TGTAGCGCGATAGCACAGTAATCAGTTTCTCAGATCCAGATGTTCATTCTTCCACAATGGTATTCTTCCCTTTCTTGGCCATATTGGCACTGGCCTGGGTGACTACAGCTACCCCAGTCGTTCGAACGGTATTTGGGCCTACTTCGTATGAGCCTGCAACTGATCTTCCCGTGGATTGGCACCTCCTCTCTCAAGCTGCAGGTATGGCTCAACAAACCATATGCGATCAAAACACCATTGGCATGGAGATCGGGGATGCGAAGCTTCTGTGGTCTCAGTGGCTAGGTATCGTGAACCAGCGTGTCAATGTGTTCCACTCCAAGTCGCTTGGTGTTTCTGTTGCTTTTGAGAGCACTACAGGCAGCCTCTTCTCAATCTTGCACGATGCTGACTTTTTCCTCACCAAGCCTGTGGGCCCTCTTGCTCCTGCTCTCAACGATCATGCTTGGATTGACCAGGGCTTCCAGGGTGCTTATCTCGATATTGCTGAGCCTACTTTTGCCCAAGTGAAAAAAGCGATGAAGGACTACAATGAAACTCGCGTCTCCATCGTAGGCCATTCTCTCGGCGCAGCCATGGCACTTTTGGCAGCCATGGACTACGACCACCGTCTCAAGCATGGCGTGCACCACTGCTTTGCCTTTGGTCTTCCACGCACAGGCAATGCTGCCTTTGCCAAGCAAGTGGATGACCAACTTCTTGGCAAGTTTTATTATGTGGTCAACGGCAAAGATTGGGTTCCACACATGCCATCGCGTGAGTGGGGCTACCAGCACCCTTCTGGCCAGATTTGGATCAATCCTCCAAACACCGCGCACTGGGCCTTCTACCCTGGACAGGAAAACCACTACGGCGCCAACTCAGTGGAGCCTATCTGGACCTTTGAAGACCATCACGGCGTTTACTTCCACACTGGCTTGGGTCACGGCCCAGGAAAGTGTCCCGCAGAAGTGAATGCAGCTTAGCGCAACCGTGCTCCTTTATTGCGATATCTGTGCCGGCTAGCGAAAGAAGGGACGGTATATAGAAGGCATATGTACAACACCCCCAATTCGATGAATCATACATGCTCTTTACTGTTACACACATTGAAATTGATCCCATACTTAAAAAAGACAATTGTCTTGCTACCAATGAAAGGTCCTACAAAAATATGGTGAGGAGAGAAAATGCAAACGACCCGCGTCTATCACCTCACGAGTAGTTTAACCCCACTGGAGACCCGGGGGGACAAAGCAGTTCACAAAGTCCATGAAGCACTGGTCGAATGACGACACGTACTGGCCGTAGGCAGTCCAGCAGGGCTGGCCGGTGTGGCCAATCTCCTGCAGACAGACACCAAGACCATGGAGGAAATCCTGGCACTGGCTCGAGGCGTTTTCAATGGCCTGCTGGCACGACAGACGGCGGTCAAGGACCTTGCCGTGCGGGGTGCCAGCCATGACCGTCATGGCAGCAGCGAAGAGGACGAAAAAGAGCGTGAAGAGGGTCGAGAAACGCATGGGCGATGGGTTGAAGGAAGGCAAAGATGCGCCGTTCGAGGGGGTGAAGAACGAAAGTTCGCGTTAAGGGGCTCCGTTTATATTCGCCACACCGCGTTTCATCTCCACACTGGAATTTACTTGTCCAACAGTCTGGTTCCTATTTCTATGTACGCCCGCCTCTTTTGCATTTTACCCACCAATAAAAAATATTTTGTTCCACGTATGCATAAAAATATGTAAGAGCCCATGTATTCTGCTCCTTATACATACTGAGCATCTGATTTTACTTTATTAGAGGCTGGATTGTAAATCTTGGCTGCATCATAGATGACCGCCGAACCCATAGGCATGTGATACAGACCCTTCTCATGTCTTTATCACGTAGTCTTAAATTCCGTGCACCTGCGTGTGCCCACGTCGAACGGGGTGAGCAAACGAGAAAGTTCACAATTTCGACAAGAGCACCTGAGTCCGTCACTACGGTGAGACGTGCTTTGTCACCAGAGACATATAGTTTTGGAATTTTTTTTCAAAGGCTATGAAGCCTTCCGGGGACTATTCGTGCGCCATCGTTCATACTCCCTCCTCCTTTAGGACTGCTCTTTAGACACTGGCTGACCTCAAGTAGATTCGACAGCTGTGCACAGTAATTCATCGCAAAATTGGGATATGTCGAATCTATTTGCCAGGTCCGTTTAGCGATGACAGCTTTTTTACGTGTTTCGTTTGCTTACAGAGACTCGTGCACTATTCCGAAGCTCGACACGCGCTTCCGAGAGGCGCCTTCGAAAGGCTGCACGGACCATCTATGTCAGCATTATACAAAAAATGTAAGGAGTTTCTCTCCTCGCTACTCCCTCCACTTACTGACATGTTGAGACCCAATCATGTCCATCCGTGACGCATCCTTACTCAGGAGCATCTCCGTTGACGCCGGTTTCATGTGCCTGAGATAGGGCTGTGCTGTCGACTCCCTTACCCATCCACCACAACGAGGTCTATGCAGCTCCTGGTGTTTGTTGTACTTGCTTTCCTATGGCAGGTCTCCGCCCACTCTATGCGACGCATTCGCCGTGATGACGCACCTAAGCCGTTGTCGCCGATCCACGACCCTTTCTATGTTCCTCCGAAAGGTTGGGATACCACTAAACCAGGTACTATTTTAGCTACACGCACCATTCAAGCTGGCTTCACACAAACCCAGCGCATCAACCTGGAAGCAGCTTACCAGATTTTGTATCGCACATCTGGCACAGATCCAAGTATCCCATCATATACGGTCACCACGGTGCTGGTTCCCCAAAATGCGCGAAAGAACAAGTTGGTCATGATCATGCCATACCAAGACTCCAATTTTGTGGAATGCAATCCTAGCTACAAAATCCAGCTTGGCGCACCTCCAGAAGTGAATGTTATTCAGTCCGTGGAAGAGCTAATGTGGACCTCTGTTTTAAACGATGGTTGGATTGTCACGATACCAGATCACGAGGGTCCTACAGCCGCATTCTCTTCGGGATATCTCGAAGGGTATGCTTCGCTGGATGCAGTTCGAGCTACGCTAAACTTTGATAAGCTGCAAATGGACCCCAAGTCGCCTGTGGTAGGCACTGGCTATTCAGGGGGTGCTATTGCAGGAGGATGGGCCGCCTCTCTTCTAGAAAGCTATGCACCTGATATCAATATGGCTGGCTGGGCTATTGGAGGTACTCCCTCGAACAGCTCTGCTACCTTTTATGGGCTGGATGGAGGTCTCTTCGCTGGCTTTGCTGCTGCTGGTATTGCCGGCATTGTGGGATCCTACCCCAAAGCTAATGATTATGTGGGTTCTGTGATCACGCCCGAAGGTAACGGTGCCCTTCAGTTTACTCGTGAACACTGTATGGGAGAAATTATTGCGGGTTTGAAAAACGTGAAAATTACGAGCACTGGGTTTATGAAGAATGCCAACCGGTTCCTTGAAGCAGATGGAATCCAAGGGCTGTTGAACATGTTGAGTATGGGTGCGGACCCCAAGTTGACGCCAAAAGTCCCCATATATATGTACCACGCTACGAATGACGAAGTGATTATGTTCCCTATGGCCAATCAAACGGCCACGCTTTGGTGCCAGAACGGTGCCAATATCCAATTTCAGGAATACACAGGTCTTGAGATGGGCCATGTATCCACCGAAATACTGAATACTCCTTTCGTTCTCAAGTTTATCCGCGAGAGGATGGATGGCAAGCCATTCATCCAAGGGTGCCAATGGCAATCCACTATCAATCCTATGTGGCAGCCAGATATCCTCGGCGCGAAACTGACAGAGGTGTTTAATTCAATCTTAAACTTTTTCGGTACCACCGTGGGTCGCGGCGACCAGATTTTGAAAGAAACTATTTCCAATGGCACCTTTGGGTCTACTTTTTGATTCCGACTAACGCCCTTCGCTTGCCTCGCTTGTTGCGCATGCGTTGGCGCAAGTCTTATTTGTATATACTAGCATGTACACATTTTAGGTGTTTCCGCGCTTCAAGCATGAGAAAATAAAAAGAAGCTTTTTTGGCTGTAGCCTTGCACAGGTGCATGTGTAGGAATGCGAGATATCTCAATTTCTGACTATGTCACATGCACATGCACATACTACTCAGGCACGACCAAGTATTGTCGTACAGCCTACATACCGTCAAGCCTGCAGAAGTTTTTTTCTACCTGTACTGGGGATATGCCCTGCTGTCTAAAATTCTTCATAGGTGCATTTTCGTGCGCCTCGCTAAAAAATCATCCAATCATTTGTCCACGTGCGTTGGGGCGTGCGGGCCCTCTCTGGCGTAGTCGACAAAGTTGGAATTTACTAAGGACGAGCGAGTGTTGGGCAGCAAGCTCAGGTTCATCGGATATCCTGTTTACACTGGCGATTCCTATCTGACATCTTCGACCCTCCTTTAGAGTCTGCTGGCTAGACTCTTTCTTGTTGGATCACGATGAGGTGCCCTAGTCTTTCTTTCTTTGTCCTCATTGCCTTCACTTTCTTTACCCAGGTGCTTGCCAAGCACTTCCATGGTGGTCTCCATGCATACATTCGTTCCACCTCGGACGACTCGTTCTACCACCCGCCTTCGGGCTGGGAGAATAAGCAGCCGGGTACCATTCTCCGCTCGCGGAAGGTGGACATCACCAACTTTGGCATCCTGAAGCTGGGTGTCACTGGCTACCAACTTCTATACCGCACGAACTCGATCGACCCGAACACTCCTATGACTACGGTGACGACCGTTCTTGTGCCCGACAACTACGACAATGACAAGCTGGTCGTGGCTGGTGTGTATGAAGACTCGTACTCGAGCGACTGCGCGCCCAGCAAGCGTCTCGCCTCGGGCAACAACATTTTCAAGAACGTGGCCATTTCGTACCAGGAGATGTTCTACACTACGCTTCTTCACGAGGGCTGGGTGGTGACTGTGCCGGACCACGAAGGTCCTCACAGCGCCTTTACCTCGGGTCGTCTGGAGGGCCATGCTATCCTTGATGCCATTCGTGCGACGCTCAAGTACGATACGCTCGGTCTCGACTCGAACAGCAAGGTGGTCGGCTACGGCTACTCGGGTGGTGCTTTGGCGACGGGCTGGGCGGCTGGTCTGCAGCGCAAGTACGCGTCGGAGCTGAACGTCGTCGGTTGGTCTCTGGGTGGCACTGTGGCCAACATGACCCGCTGGCTCAACTACATTGATGGCACCTCGGGCGCTGGCTTTGCGGTGGCGAGTGTGGGTGGCTTGTCGTCGACGTACCCGGAGCTTTCGTGGATCCAGGACTCGCTTACCCAGCAGGGTGAGGCTGCGCTGGACCGGTCGTCGCATCTGTGCATGTACGAGAACCTGTGGGCCATGTCGTACAAGAAGTTCCTCTCGAACGAGTACTTTGAGGGTGGCGACGACTTTTTCGTGAACGACCAAGTTCGTGAGGTTTTGCAGAAGCTTGACATGGGCCGCTACAGCATCTACGCCCCGACGGCCCCCGTCTTTATGTTCCATGCGACACACGACGAGGTGGTGCCGTACAGCATGGCTGCTGACACGGCGAACGCGTGGTGTGACCAGGGCTCTCAAGTCCGTTTCCTTACTGTGACAGGCCTGGAAATGAGCCACACCAACACGGAGCTGCTCAACCTGCCGAACGTCCTGTTCTTCATGCGTGATCGCTTCAACGACAAGCCATGGGGCGACCGCTGCCAGCGCGACAGCATCTCTGACCCGATCCTCAACCCCTTGTCGCTTGGTCAGTCGCTTACGCAGGTGGTGCAGCAGGTGATTGATCTCCTGGGCACTCGTATTGGCCCGGCCGACTCGATCATGAACGCCAAGATCTCGAGTCATCAGATCCCGTAAGTGGGTCTTACATTGTGGTGGTGCATTGTCATGGTTTCCTTGTTTTCTTTCTCTATAGATTCGTACTGTACTATATACGTTCGTCCGATGACTCTGCGGCCGCTAGCACACGTGTGCGTACATGGTCCCACACCTCCTTGTCCGTATAGGCAGCCTCGTGGCCATCCGGTGGATGCATCCAGTAATTCAAGGCCATATGCGGCTCGGAGCCTGTGGCCGACGACGTAACTTCATGGAACCACGACGCAGGGAGGTACAGCATTTGCCCCGGCTTCAAGTCCACAATCAGGGGGGCAGGACACTCTGGCAACGGCGAGGTCGTGGACGTGGCGCCTTCTGGCGTGGGCATCGCCGGGTGAATGTCAAAGTGTTTGTGCAGTGTGTACGGCTTAATGAGCGAGAAGCTCGGTGGCTCCTGGTTTTCGTTTTTGTCAAGCGAGAGGAGCCATTCTTCGCCATCCTCCCCGCCGCCAAACTCGCTGCCTGCCTCGGATGCGTTTTCAAGGATCCCCCCCTCGTCGTCCTCGTCATATGCCGCATGCACGTCCGATTCGTCTCGCGATGCCCGCGATCGCTTCCGTGTCGTTCGTTGGGCACGCGCCGCCATGCGCCAATGCGCTGCGTCCAACTCGTCCAGGCCGTCGGCACGGATACGGTCCCCTTCTTCGTAGACTAGCAAGCCATTGGGATGTAGATGCGTCACGGTGCCACGCAAGTGCAAGTACGGGTACGCTGACGGAGGGAACAACACGAAGCGTTTGTGCCCTGACAAGAGAATGTAGAGGTTGTCATGGAAATCATGATGCAGTCCCGAACTTTTTTCATCACGCCCACTGCCGATCCACAAATTGCATTGCTGGAGGACCAAGTCGCCCAAGACACGCGGATGCAGTGGGAGGTCGCTGCGTAGTTTATGCGTAGGCGAAGGCAGAACTGGATCGAGCACAGGCTCCTCCTCGTCCTCCTCGTCCTCCTCTTCGTCCTGCTCGTACTGCGTCGTGAGATAATATTGCCCAGCCTCGTCTGGATTTTGAACGAGGTCCAGGAACTCGGCAAACGACATGGTCTGACGGGGCATCGCTGTGCCGAAACAATGCTCGTCTGGATGAATGGGCTCTACTTTCACCGTAGCACTACCCGCCTTGTCTTTCAGGTACGCCAATTGCGTCTGGCATAAGTCGTTGTCGTACATACCCACTTTTCGCCATGCCAACACTGATCGTCCAGTAGCCCTTGCAACACAACAGGACGGCGCGGTTCAATGTACTTTGTCCACATCTCCTTCGCACCAATGCTCGAAGGCTCGACCGGGACCGTGCGGTCCTCCGGCGCAGGTGCCCACCCTTCGTACATAGCCCAGAGCACGGACGTGAAGCGCAAGCGTGCGTTTGCGAGGGCTCCATCACGTGATAGCAGCGCCATCAAGGAGGGGCCCTGGCCCCAGGTGTCGTTGTGGCTCGCCGTCGTACGAAGACGCTCTCGCTCATAACCAGGGACGATGATGCGAGCTGACGAGCCTAGTTTGGGCGGTGCGCCCTCTGCACCGTCTATGGCAGAGTCCATGCAGCCAGCGTCCGTGTTGGAGCGGGCCAAGAACTTGAACCGTCGTGTGCAGCATATGATTGACAGTACTGCGCCGTTCACTGTGCAGCGTTGGGGCGCCACATCGGGCCTCTTGTTGCTGTTCATGCTGCGCATTGTCCTGTCACATGGATGGTATATTGGTACGTACTTACTGGCCTAACCATGATTAGTGTGCTATGCGCTCTTCATCTACCTACTCAACCTGTTCCTTGCGTTCCTCACGCCCAAGTTCGACCCTGCGTTCGAGTCGGATCTTGCGATGCAGGACGTGGAAGATGGCGCACCAGGCCTGCCGACCAGTGCGCCCGCCAGCTCAGGCCTGATGAGCGACGTGTTCCACCCTTCCGAGCGTCAGGACCAGGAGGAATTCCGCCCCTTTATCCGTCGGCTGCCCGAATTCAAGTTCTGGCTTAGTGCGACACAGGCCATCCTCTTGTCGCTCGGCGCCACCATGTTCAGTGTATTTGATATTCCCGTGTTCTGGCCCATTCTGGTCTTGTACTTCATTACGCTCTTTGTCATTACTATGCGTCGCCAGATTGAGCACATGATTCGGTACAAATACTTGCCCTTCGATATTGGACGCAAAGCGCGTTATGGTCGTAGCTAAGTAGCTATGTCTGCCTGTCTTGGATTGCCTAACAAATGGGTGGTATCGCGTACGTACACCACCAAATACGAGGTGGCACCTGTGGGGCTGCGCGGCGTTAGTCAGGGGGCATACATACTCTTTCGTGCTCTCTTCTTGCGGCACTGTCGTGACTCGTGTATCGTTGAGCGAGTACCATGTATTGTCCGAAAACTCGCGCTGGTTTACAAAATAGTGGCCATGCGTCGCCTCGCCTCGATGCATAAATACACTCGCCAAGCGGTATGGCACTTGGTGCTCGTTTGCCCACAGCGCTTGCACACGCTCATGCAACGCCTGCCATTGCATTCGCAGCGTCTCCGCTTCGGCCCGCATCGATTGTGCTTCCGTTCGGAACGTGTCCGGGGATCGCGCGTGGACCAACGAAGCCCAGTCTGTCGCTTCCTCGCGCGGCGTCTGTGCTTGCCATGCCGCCACCGCGTCCGCCATGTGCTCCACGGCAGCCAGGCGTTCGCCCAGGAGCGTTTCCATACGCTCCCGCAGCGTCGTCATCTCTGCGCGCCACGTGTGCGCCTGTGTATGCATACCACGAAGCGCATCCACACGGTCAGGACACGTAGTAACGTCCATGTATCGGTCCAAGTACAGGGTATCAGGCAGCGGCAGGGCCGCTTGGTTTTTCACGGCGCGGTGGCTCTGACGATCGTACTGCACGCGCTGGATATGGATTTGGAGGATCGGCGGGGCCTTTTTTAGCGTGATGGTACGCTGCACTGTCGGTCCCTGCGTAGCGGTGACCCACTCTTCACTGAAAAAGGTGTCCAGCGCATCGTACAGGTCGCGTGACTCGGACAAGAGCGTCACGGGGATGCTCATGAACGACTCGTCTTTCGCTGGCGGCGCGGGCGTCTCGTCTTGCGTATGAAGCACTTGCGTCGACATGCCGGTAAACAGATCGGCAATGGATACCGCCGCCGATGCCTGCGTGCCATGCAGCGCCACTTGCAGGAGGAACATCATATTGTCCAGGCACTCACACACGTCCTGCTGCGCACTTACATGCTGCATCAGCACATCCCGCGCTACTCGATCGTCCTCATGCGCCTTTTCCCAGGCCAAGGGAACAAGCGCCAAGTACGCCAACTCCTTATCAGGCCGCAACGAGGCTTCCTTGGTCTTCGTCATAGCGGAAAACAACTCTCCCAACTTGTCCACAAACAAATGCGCTCGCTCCCACTCGTCGGCCGTGACCTGGTGCTCAGAAAGTGTCGGAAGCGTCGTCGGTACTTCATGGGCCTGGCCAGCGACGTGCTCCACCGCCATACGCACCGGCTCGATCCAGTACAGGTACTGCAGCAGCGAGTTCAGGTAACACGTGTTCCCAATGTTGTCCAAGCCTCGTGGCCATGTAGCCGTGAGAGCTACGTCATCGTCGTTCTCCCCACGCAAGCGGCGCTGCAAGAACGAACTCGCTCGTACGTCGGCAATCTTTTCCAGCGCCGATCGTAGTACTGTTTGTCGCGTCGTGCTCTCAGACGCGTACACTTCATAGCCGACCCATACCAACGCATCGTCAATGTCCGCACTCACCTGGAGGAGCTGGTACGCATCCTGGACATCGTGAATCGGCGATGTACGCAGCCTCTCGTCCAGTGCTGGCACAGGCGCATAAAAACGGGCCAGCACTTCCATCGCACGGACCGTCTTCGCCCAGTCGTCATCGGAGCCATGCGATGTGACAATCTCATGTATGCGCTGGTTGTACGCCTGTACAATAGCCTCCGTCGTGCACGGCAGGATCGGCGTCGTGTCCTCGTCCCATAGGGGTGCTCGCTCGTCGTACGTAGTGCCTGGCACCGTCATTTGCAGCGCTGTCCAGCTCGCGTGCAAGTCCTGCCTCGTGCACAGCCCTTGGCTTTGTTCCACCGCGAGCAGCGTCGGGACTTGTTCACGCCAAGCTCGCACCGACTGTATATGCTCCAACTCAAGAAATAGCGAAGCGCGAAGCGCAGGAAAACACAGCATCTGCAAACGGTACATCGCCACCACATCAGCCTCCGAGGCCTCCATCGCCACACCCAGACGTGCATACGAGCGAGCTAACGCGGTGCCTGGCGCAGGTACATGGATCGTAGGGACAAACCCTGGCCATACGGCTGCCGATACATGCAAGGTGCCATGTGTCTCCGCCTCGTCGGGCGAAGGCGGCGTCCCGCCAAGGTGTGCACACCATCCCGCCAGCTCCATGTACATACGAATATGCGTCTGCAAAAGAGCCGCGTCATCTGCTAGGTTTGTAGGCGCATGAAGAGCCTTGCGTGGCGTCTCACTATCCAGCGGCGCCACCGTCCATTGCAACATATCCATGATCGAGGCCAGCGACTCATCCCATCGAAGCTGCTGGGAGAACGATTTGCTGTCGAGTGGCACAGGCCTCGTTACGCCTACAATGGCATTCCCTAGCATACTTTTCGGTCAGTCATCCAATACGTACCGAACCAGCAAGGCTACAGCGCGAGCGACTTCGCTCGTGGGCGTTTGGCCAGGCCCTGGGCTTTGCTCACGCACCGCACGAAAAGACGACCATAGCGCATGAGGAAGTACACCATCGACATGCCACGTCTCGTACGCATGTTCACTGGCCAGATCTGTATGCCGCAGATGCGCGTCTGATGCTGTTTCATCCGTATAGTACACCGGCGTAGGCACACCCGTATCGTCCAACGCTTCCTTCAGAGGTACAGGACACGGAATTGACGCCCGTTCCATGGCCGGAGCACATACAAGCCATTGCATACGCTCTGGGGCCCATACTGCTTGGGCATGTGGGCAGGCCGTGGCCCAGGCGGTGGCTAGCGGCGCTAGCGGCGTGCTAAATACCACTTGGTACGTCTGTGCCTCCGGGAGGAGCCCACTTTGCGCAAGTGCAGTAGGCGTACGAAGGCATTCTCTCGCACGTACAGGCAGTGTACTTTCGCTCATGGGGCTCTACGTCACGCCCAGGCAGGCGGTCTGCAGGCGCAGAGTGGGAGGAAACACAGCGGATGGATGGCCCTACCGTGCGTGCGGTGCGGCGCTTTCTCCACACTCCCTCTTCTGGGTTTAGTCATCACATCTCGCCCCTCGCCCCCTCCCCAACGACAACGTCGTACGTGCTTTTGTGTCACGACGAGATACCCCACGTACGAGCTTGTTAGGTTGTCTTTCTATCATGTCAGATACAGAGCGGGCTGGTACACCTGACACCCCGCCAGCCCCGTCATGGTCTGACGCCCCAGCCGACGGCGTTTCGTCGGCAGCGACCGATGCTCCTTCGCAGGACGATGCATCGACGCTGCCTACCACTGAGCCGCGTGATACAGAGGGCAATGCAGAGACGTGGGCCGTACCCGAGATGAAGGAAACTACTACGAAAGAGCCCCATTCACCTGCGTCTCTTCTTCCGCCGCCATCCGACTTGCACGAAGCCGTGGCTCAGGAACGCGTCGATGTGTTCTTGCTTCCGTGGCTGACGCAGGTCGAGGCACACATTGCGCAAGGCATGTACGAGGAAAGTACGGCATGGGTCGAAATTGTGCTTTGTCTCTGTGGGGCACGACGCATTCCTGTGCAGACGGCCGGCGCGCCAGCCGCGGCATGGAGCTCGATCCATGTCGGTCGGGCCGCTCGACGTCAACTGGGCCGATGCTTGGTCGCTCTGTACCGCACATCCGCGCCGAAACCGCCTCTATTTGAAGTGCTAGCAGCCTTGCAAGATGCCTGTGCCACCGACCTACGTGCAGACTCGCTCGCTGCGCATGTGACGGCGCTCCACGTATCGTACCTCCTTCTTACGTCCTTCCCTGACCAGGTGGGGTCTGTCGTTGCATGGGTCCCTCTCCTTCTTCGACATGTACGTGCGACGCAGAACCCAGTACTGGCACGGGCCCAAGCGCTAGAGACGCTTCAGGCTTGTCTGTCGTACGGCGTAGGTGCCTATGCGCCTGCTACGCTCAAAGAAGTGCATAAGACGCTGCGTACGCAGTTGGCCGACGCTGCAGGGCCTGTGATACGTGGGTGTGCCAAGTGTCTAGTGACGTTGATTCACGTGGATACGCACCTCGCCGCCAAGTCAGAGTTGGAAGCGATGCTTACGCACTGCGCCAAGCTCATGCATACATGCGATATTGAGTCGCGCCGATCATTGGCCGAGCTTGGTGCTGCACTCCTAGCGCAGTCGACCACGAGCGCACCCGCTGCCGAAGGCAAGGCACCTACCACGCAGCCCGTGTACGCGCTCGAGCAGCAATGTGTCCTGCTCCAATCGCACCTGGCACGTGCGACCAACTGGCCTGCGCGTGCTGGTGTCTTGCTGATGTACGAGGCGCTCGTTCGCCAGTACGACGAGGCCTGGCTGGAGCACCAGTACACGACGTTGCACACGCATGTGATTCAGGTGGTGGCGGAGCGTGTCGGCGCCATCCTCGCGCCCACCGAAGCGTCGTACTTGCATCAGGCTGTGCTCCGTCTCCTACTTTCCTGGACGGCTTATCTAAGTGAGCCAGCGCAAGTGCGTGTGCTTGCATGGCTTTCGTCCGAGGTCCTTGCTGCATGGCCGGCGGCTACGCCTACCGCACAGCCTCCAAGTGACTTGGCCCTGGCGATGACCTTGCAAGTCTCGAGTACGCTGCTTACGCAGCTGGGCTATCTGACCACGTCGTTGCATGAAGCCGTGTACGAGCCGACCATGCGTCTGCTCACGCATCCTTCATGGCGTGTGCAAGTGCAGGCGGCATGGTGGGTTCGTATGGCATGCCATACGCAGCCGACCATGTTGGCTCCGACGTATGCTCATCTACTGCAGGCTATGCGTCGTGATATGAGTGCACTGACATCGACGCAGCCGGATCACGGCGTATCGTTGCGAGCGCGTTTGCAAGGGCACAGCGCAGCGCTCGCCGGCTTGGCGCCCGTGGCTGCACAGCATGCGCTGTATATGCGGCAGGATGATGTGGACAGTGTGTTTACGTTGGCCACCGACCTCTTGACGCAGGGGAGCCAAGCGGCGCTGCTCGATGCGACTGCTGCCATCGCTGCGGCATGGACGTTGGTCGGTGCTCTCATGGCGCTGGGTCCGACGTTTGTCAAGGCCCACATGACGACGCTCCTGCCCTTGTGGCGCAATGCGCTGAGTGAGCGCGCGTGGCCTACGACTTGGGACGACGAGGCATGGCCTTTCCTTACGACAGTCCGAGAAGCCGCTCTGAGCAGTCTTCAAACGTTCTTCTTGCACGATGGCCACCGTCTCCTCACACCCGAGACGGCTCGTCGTCTCGTGGCTATGCTCAGCCATGGCCTGTCTTTCCTCGATGCATGGGCGAGTGTGGAACGACGTGGCGCGCCGGAAGCAAGCGTCTCCGCCTTGGCGCGAGTGCGTATGCCGTTGGTCCGTGCGCGCCTGCTTCGCTGCTGCACGCACTTGGCGGCGCAGCCGGCCTTGGAAGCCTTGGCGCCGCGTCTGCTTGCTATGGCCATTGATACACTGGCACGCAGCGATAAGTATGCGAGCAGTGCCACACAGGCAGCGATTCAGTCGCAGGCAGGCGCCACGTCGTCGCCCTGGGACGTCCATGATGGCTTGGCGTACGGCGTGACCAGCTTGCTGCAGGGAGAGCACGCGGCGCTGCACGCATGGGCACCGAGTCTTCCTCCACCGACGTATATCGCACCTCTAGCGCCCTCGATGCACGAGACGTTGGCATACGATTTAGAGGGCGTGCTGCGAGTGCCTGTGCTGGGCGGCTTGGAGCATGATATCGTTCCTTTGATGCTCACCGCTGCGATTCCCTCGTCAAGCACATCGCGCGCCATCCAAACGCCCCGGCCTGTGCCACCGATCACCGCGGAGATCGATGCGTCCGCGGGCGTGTTTGCTGCGCTCATGCCGTACCAAAGCCGCGAGGTCCAGATCGGTACAGCAGAGTTTCTCCTGGCGGGTGTACGCCGTCCAGCCTTGGAGAAGCAGCCGGGCCGTCGCTTGGCCGTGCTCACGAACAGTGTGATTGCATGGCTCGGCGCCGTTCGTACCGCTGCGCGCGGCGCACGTCGTGCGTCTGGGTTTGCCAATGACCGTGTAAACACGGCGCTTCAGCAACTTTTGCAGTTGGCACTCTTGCATGGCGATTCGCGTCTGCGTGCGTCCACGGCCGAATTGGATGGCTACGTAGCCCTGTTGGCCGGCTCTGCCTCGCTGACGCAGCAAGTGCAGACCCTTATTGAGCATGTGATGGACCACCGCCACGCCGATGCCCGAGCCGCTTGTGCCCTCGCGCTGGGTGAGGTGTATGCGCGTGTGGGCGGCTTGCATGCCTCGCCTCTGACCAAGACGGTGAGCAGTCTTTTGCTGTCGTTGGCCAGCGATCCGCACCCTGCTGTGCACACGGCTGCGCTCACCGCACTCGCGCAGGTCATCGAGGCGGCCAGTGTGGCGTACGAGCCCTATGTAAAGAGTACGCTGGGCTTGCTTGCGACGCTCGGTGCTGTCGCGACGCACGAGCCGCACGGCGGCAGCACAGGGAGCGCCAATCTCCGTGTCCAGTTCCGTGCGTACCCAGCGATGGCGCAGGTGCTCAGTGCCTTGATCGGTGTGCTGGGCCCCGATTTGCAAGAGGTGCCTGCGACGCGCCACCTGCTGTACGCACAATTGCTCGCGCTCGCTCGTGAAGACGCTACACCGACCATGTTGGAAGCCTTGCAAGCTTTGCAGCGTCTTGGCCTCGTCGTTCCCTCGCTGCTTACCACGTCGCAGTGGTCCGATGTACTCCAGTCGGCGCTTACGCATCCACAGCGGCCTCTGATCCAAGCGGCCGCACAGGCATACCGCCAAATGGCCCAGCGGACGCCGACATGGCTCGCACAGCATGGCGGTCCTGCGCTGCTTACGCAGCTGCTGCGCTACTTTGATCAGGACCCATCGCTGACATCGATACCTTCGCTGCTTCGTACGTGGCTCCAGGAAACCGCGAGCGAGAAGCCGTGTGTGTGGATGGACATTAGCTGCGTGGCTTTCTTGACGCCGGAAGCGCTGCATACCTCACAGCAGCTGGACCGCGCTGTGGGCGAGAGTGCCGATGAAGCAGCGGCGGTCCTGGCCACCTCCCACACGGACACGGCGCCTACGCGCACCTGCCACGGATGGCGGACGCAGGCCTTTGTGCTCGAGTGCATGCACCACATTGGCCATGCTGTCCAGGGCCACGCGCAGCACATGGGCGCGAGTGCCAATGCACGTGATCCGCAATCGCTCAGTCGGCGTGTCAACGAGATGGTGAAGGCTGCGTGCAGTGCGAGCACGTCGGACGTGCCGGCGGTGCGTATCCAGGGCCTGCATGTGCTGCGGGATATCATGGAATGGTTCGCGACGACCCGCGATCCTGAATTTGCCGAGGCGCCGCTACTGGAGCAGTATGCGGCGCCACTGGCCGCCGCGTTAGCGCCTGCGTGGGGCGCAGAGAGTACGCCAGATGTCCTCGCCACGGCCATCAGTGTGAGTGCTGTGTTTGTCGCAGTCGGTGTGGATCCATCGCCGAACAATCGCATTGTCCGTCTGCTGACGTCGGCCCTGGAAATCTTGCCACGTACCGAAGTCACGAAACTGGGCGATGTGCTGGTGACGCCCAATGCTGCCGCGTACCTCAAGATGGCCATCCTGCGCGCATGGGCACGCCTGGCGCTTACGCGGTCCTGTGAAGCTATGGTCGCGCCGCATCTGGATACCGTAGCGCGTGCGTGGGTCGGTGCGCTCAGTACGTACGCTGTGCTTCGGGCCGATCAGCATGCGATGGCCGCGGACGCCAGTGCGATTGTCCCGCCGATGCCGCCGGACAGTGCGTTGGCGCCGCTGATTCAGGCGCATATGCTCGACTACTTTGCACAGACATGGCCTACGCTATTGCATGCCTTGACCGACCTCTTCCAAACGCATGCAGACGTCGTCGATGCCATCCTGCGAGAAGGCCGCGACGCGTCGCTGTCCTTTATGGCATTGTACGGCTTAGCGTTTGAGACGCTGTGTGACGAACTGGAGCGGCCGTCCACGCCCGAGCACAGTATGGCCCGTCTGGTGCTGCGGTCCCTCCAGGTACTGGTCGATGCCAAGTACAGTGGCGCATTCCTTTTGCAGGCAGCGCAGTTTGACGAGTTGCTGCGTGTATGCCAACGGGCGCTGCAAGGCGACGTGCCTGCGATCCAAACGGAAGTGCTGCAAGTTCTCCGCTCGTTGGTCCGCTCGATGCGCGAGCGTCTGCTGGAAGAAGACGATGGGCTTGTGCACGATACCAAGTTTGCCACGACCAAGCTCGGGCAGCTCATGCGGATGCTGTTGGTGTATACGGAACGCCTGCCCAGTGCACGTATGCCTCGTACAGAGCGTGCTACGCTCCTGACCACCGCCTGGCAAGGTCTCGTGGATATGGTCGAAGTGTGTGGCGCCAGTTTGCAGGTCGAACTGTGCTCGGTCCTGCTGCATACCATGGCCACGTATGCGAAGCGCGAAGACGATGCCGCGTTCCTGCTCTCGCATGCGTTGCCTGTGCTACGGGATATAGGTACGCGCGTGACCATTGCTGCGCATGTCAGCCCAAAGCAAGTGCATCGAAGTATGCAAGGGTTCCTCACCGCGATGATCGAGATGGCCGATGCGCTTCGAGCGCGCAGTGGCGATATGGTATCGCGCCGCAGTGCGAATGCCCTGATTGCCACGAGTCTCCTGCTGACCAGTCTCGATGCGCGCGTACCGATCAGCAGCGACGTGCTGGAGCAGTTCGCGTACTTGCTTTCCCATCGCTTGGATACAGATCACGACGCTCCGATTGCGCTGCAGTGCCTGCGTACGATCGCCAAGGCTGCCGCCTCCGATCCACCCCGCAAGTCGTTGCACTGGTGCTTGGGCGCGTGCTTGCCTTCGTGGTGTGCGTACGCCGCCCGGCATGCCTCGACACCCACGCTCGCTGCGCCTGCCGTGCAGGCGTTGCTGAGCTTGGTCCATGTACTCACGCCTTCGCACGCCCTCTGTATATCGCTGCCGATGGTCGCAGCGCTGGTCACGGCCGCTTCGTCCACGTCATCGCCGAGCGACCTTGGCATGGCGGCCGTCTTCGCCGACTTGGTCCACGTGGCTCGAGAGCACCCCGCCGCGTTCCGGGAGGCCACGGCCGCTCTGCCGTCGGCGTCCCGCACGGCGCTGCATGACGCTCTGCGTACCGCCATGGGGGCCAGTGCGGCGCCCGTGCGGGCCAAGACGGAAGCCACAATTTCTCTTCGTACCTTTGGCGCCCCGTAGATTCCAAGTAGGTCCGCTGGTCGTGGAGGGACCACATAAGGCCACCAGGGACACACTCATCCCTTTCTTCCCCTGCCTGTGAAGTGGAGGCTCTCTCTCTCCCCTTCTTGGCGAGGACCTACGATCGCCTCGTGGCTGCGTACCAGGCCTCCGGAGGCACGTACGTTGTGCGTGATGGAGGCGTCTACGCCATCAAAGGTGGCAGAGGCGACAACGTCACCGTCGTCTCTGTCCCCATCCAAGACCCGCCATCCGCCTACGCGGGGCATCTTGCGTGCACCGCCGCCGCCCGGCAACGACACCCTGTGGAAAGGACGTGCATGGTGGTACCAAGTCAACGCCCGCCTCGCACAGCAAAACATCGACGTCAAAATCCCAGCAGGCACCTCACACATGCTAAGCGGCATGATGAAGCGATGGAACGTCGCCATGTCGAACGACGCGTGGGCCGCCGAAATCGATATTCACACGGAACGACTTCGTCGCGTGCATTTCCGCACCGAGGACCTGGCGCATACATACCCCATCTCACGTACGGAAGCGCCGGAATCAGAAGCATCTACGCGCCAGCGTATTGAAGACGAGGCACTTGCACGTGCCCACCGCCTTCGCGCGCGGCCTTGGACCGCTCGTGAGCTCCAAAGTCTCTACCGCGTATGCTGTCGGGCGCGCGAAGACGTACCACACTATGCAGTGCTCGAGGCCCTGCAGCAAGCGTCGTCCTGGCCCACCTCGCGTGCGCGCACGCTGGATTTCTCCGACGCGGCGCTGGGCCCAGCGTGCATTCCCCTCACGGATATGCTCACGGCCCCCACGGGCACACAAGTTCTTGTTCTAGCACACTGTGCTTTGGATGATACATGTGTACGTGCCATCGTACGTGCCCTCTTTGCGTCGCAGGCAGTTCACACGCTGAATATCGCAGCGAATCCCGGCATTCAGCTCGAAGGATGGCGCGCTATTAGCACACTACTCAGCCATGCGCCCTGGCTACGTCACTTGGACGTCTCGGAGAATACTATGACCAAGGCAGCAGTGCGTGCACTGCTCGCCCCCCTCGCCTTGCATCGCGCTACATCGCTACAGACATTGCGTATGGAGTCATGCCAACTTCGCGGCGCTGCGCTCGATCTGTTTGTGCAGGCAGTGCGTGTGTCGACCCTTCGTCATTTGTCGCTCCGACGCAATCAACTTGGGCCGACGAGTGGCGAGGCTCTCTATATCTTGCTCTGCGATATGGACGAGCAGGGCATCACTGCGATTGAAGAAGTCGAGCCGCTGTGTGTCACCTCCGTACCCGCACAGGACGATCCGTACGGGGACGAACACCGGATGGATGTGGTGCGCTCCCTCACGCGCGACATTTCCTCGGAAGAGCGGCGCACCGCCGCGAACGAACGCGCGTCGCTACGTGACGTCCTCCTGGCCCGTACGCAGGCGTATCAGCACGCTCTGCTGGACGTCACGCATGTCGGCCATCTATGGACGCTCGACTTGAAATCCAATGCGCTGCATGACGGGGTCATGTGGCTTGCTACGGCATTGCGACGCAACCGCACACTCCGTGTCCTGTCGTTAAGCCACAACGAACTCACACCGGCCGGTCTGGCGTGCTTGGCCGATGCACTGCGCTTCAATACGACACTGGAAACACTCGATCTGAGCCACAATCCATGCTGCGGCCCTGATCTGAGCGGCATTGTGCGTCTTCGCCTGGCCCTCGCGATTCACCCACGCCTTAAGCGACTCGTCTTGAGCGATACGCATCTCGCTGCGGAAGGCGCGTTGGCTCTGGCCGAGTGCCTGCCTGATGCACAGCATTTGGTGCACCTGGACGTATCACAAAACTCGGTGGGCCTGGTCGGCCTCCTTGCCTTGTCGGCCGGCACAGCGCCAAATACGTGCTTGCGGTGCGTAGACGTGACGCTGAGCGAAGACTTGTGGGAACGCGAAGAGTACGTACGTGCAGCGCGGGCTTTGTACGCCACGTGTGCCCAGAATACCAAGGACGCAGAGCTTCGTGCTACGGAGAAGACACCCGTGCAGCGGCCCCTGGACAAGTCCGTCTTGGCCGCTACCTTGCAGCGATGGGAAGGCCAAGCACGCCCGGCCACGGCTCACGACGACAGCTCCGCCGCGGCAGCCTCTCTCGCGTCTCCGCCCGAAGAATGGGATCACGACTGGGATCCCCCCTCCACCGCTTCCGACACCACACACGAAGATCTACCAACACAAAAGGCGCACTCCCTCACGACCGAAGAAGGCGTGGCCTTCCGTGTGGCCAAAGAGAAGGAGAACAAAACGCTTCCAGCCGATGCCGACGACGACGCCTTGCAGAAAGAGCTCCAGGACGCTGTGAATTCGGAGCTGGTATAGATGAGTGTATCATAGTTCTACGTTTACGACGCCGTCGTAGTCGCCACGGCCACCACCGACAGGCTCGTCGTGACAGGTGCGTGTGAAAGAGACTGCGTCACGGAAAACAGCGCCTGCGGCTCCGCAGGCGCTGTCTGCGTCGACGCGACTTTGGCCTTGTGCGCACGAACGGCAGACTCGACCGCTTCAACCGCGTCAGCAGCAGCGGCGCCACCAGCCCCCTTCAGCCACGGGTTTTGGCCGCGCATCGGCGGCAAGGAAGGCGTCTGGTGTGCGCGCTCGTAGAATTGCTGCTGCTGGCCATGCGTCATGTTCCCACGGGGCCGATGCCATGCGTCGTCTGTCGTAGGCGTGTAGCGCGGTAGGGACGGCGGTACGTCGCCGGCTTTCGCCCAGCGGCCGCGCTGGGGGACAAGAAGAGGGTGCGCTTCTGTCGTAAACACAAAGTCGTCCAACGAGACCACGTTCGGCGGCGAGAACAGCAAGTAGTAGTATTTGAGTGTCTCGGCCAGGGTAAAGCTTTCCATACTGTCTGTGTACGACACAGGCACATCGTCCACATCACGGATGGCTGAAATGCCAGCGGGGAGCAGCCCATGCGTCATCCACGAGGCAAACATCTGCCAGCCACGCTCCTGCCACACAGGATCGCCTGTCGTGCGCCACATGTACATGACACTCTCAATCGACTCAGGGCGGTTGTGGTACGCATTATGCAGCCCACGCACACCAATGTACGGGTAGCCCGACGGCTGGCCACGCCGACGAGTGCCGTCCAGCAGGGAACGAACATGGTACCGATCCTGGTCATCAGGCCGGTAAAACTCCAGATTTTCAGGGCCCAGCCCTGTGGTCGTGCTATTGTACGCCCAGTAGCACGTTTCCGTAAAGCGCCGCGCAATGTTTAGATCATCATGGCGCGATGTCAGCAATTTGGAGCCCAGCGCCAGCATACCACCGGCAAAGCAGCCTAAATGCTCGACCTTGGCCCAGTATCGTCCCAGTCCAAACGATTCGGCACACACGGCCAACGATGGCGCTTTGGGCACGACATCCACTTCTTTAAATAGGTGGACAATGGCCGAGTTGATGGCATCACCATACATACGCGCATACTGCTTCGTACTGCCGCCCAACAGTTGGTGCTCTTTGATCAGGTACTCATAGTACGAGTCAGCCTGCCCACCAAACGTGTATTTCCCTGCCAGGGTCTTGCCTTCCGGATAAATGACCGTCGGGATAAGCGTACCCATATGGCTCTTGTCAGTGAGATTGCGGTCAATGTAGTCCGTCACACGCTGCACACGATCAAAGTACGTGCGATTGCCGGTGACTTGCCAGAGCCGCGTAAACTCAAGAAGCATACTCGCCGCCTCGGCCAGAATCACCGAAGCCTTGTACCCACGTGGATTCTCTGGTGTATACTGTTTCGAATCGTCCATATGCATGCGGCCCACAGGCAATCCGGACAGTGTTTCAAAGGCAGGCAATATCAGCTGGCCCAACTCTTCCGCACGCTCGAGCATGAGCGCATCCCCTGAAAGGTCGTAGGCCGATAGCAAACCACCCAAGTACCGAATCCCTGTCTCAAACACAGGCACACGTCCGTCCGCTTGGCCATACGCACTACGTTGGCCACCCACATAGTGGAAATTGACGTCGTACACATGCTCCCGCGCTAGGCGGTACTCGTCGTGCAGACCCATCATAAGCAGCGTGTCCAGCGCATCGACAATCGTTGCACCCCATCCATTAAAGTTGTTGTTTGGCTTCTCCGACACAGGACGAACTTCGTCCGCCCCCCATGCATAGGTTTTGTAGCCTTGCCATGCCCGTACAAAGGCACTTTTGACCATGGCCTGCCGCCGCTTGAGCTCCGCATCGCGGCTGGGGTTATTCCGTTGTCCAGAATACTTCGAGTCATCCTCGAAGGCGTATTGAATGCGCGGCAAGGATTGCACTCGGATCGTTTCCACGTCAGCCAGCGGCGACGTCCATGAATTGAAGGGGTACGGCCGCCACTCATCCTCCTGTGCATGCTTGGAGGGGTGCATCGCATCCTCTGGACGCGTTTTGGATCCATTCAGTTCGCGTTTCCAGGGTACATAAATCCAAGACGCATTCGTCGTCACATTCAAGGGCTTGGGCGGCGGAGGCGCGACCAGTTTCGGGGGCGATCTGAGCATCGCTAGCACATCTGGAGCAATATCGCCCAAATGTGGATTCGCACCAGGAGCATACAAGGTATCATGAGGCTCCTTGTTCATGGCCGGGTCCATCAGGGCCGGAAATGTATCGGGACGCAACGTAGCATGCGAGCCCGTATGCATAGGATACTTCGGCACATTGTCCTTCTCGTTCTCGGAGGAGCCAAAGCCGTAGTCTCGCAACGATCGAACGGGATTTTCCGATCCTGTCATTAGGAAAGAGCAGCGTGATACATACCATCGTAGGCGAAGTACACATACAGTGTGACAATCCCCCGAGCTACGGCGAGAATCAACACAAAGTAGAGCGCCACGAACAGGCGTGGTCGCCGATTTGCACGCCTTTCCATAGTTCCATATATATCTGTAAACTGAAAGGGGGGGTACAACGCAGCTGGCGCCATGCTGGGCACTCCCCTTGGATCAATCCCTGCCAATCTCTGGTAGCAAAGAAAAAACACGTCTCGGCGCTGTCGAGATGTACATACTCCACACGCTTCGCGTGCCCATCCACTAGGGTGGAGGCTATGTGAAGGCTACGAAGCGCTGCCAGGCGCAAAGAGTTCACTCCACAGCGTACGTAGCTCTGGCAGCGCAGCAATGACCGGCACGCCATCTTCGCGTGTCCGCGATGCGTTGTCCGGCAACGTCTCATCAAATAGGACTGGTGTAAGTGAACATGAATCGTACCACACGAGTGCCAACCCAACGATGTGGCCATGCGCACGTTGGCCACACTGTCGTCGACAAAGTAGTGACGTGTATGAGGCGATGCTTGAACAGCTTGCTCCGCTGCCAGATAGAACTCAGGCTCGGGTTTGCACGAACTGCGAGAGTGAGTAAGAAAATCGACGTACAAGTCAGGGTTCGCATAGTCGCAAAACACCACAGCATCTACATAGGTTTCCAGCTCAACAAGAGAAAGTACACGGCGTGCATGCTGAGCGTGAGTACTTGCCAAACGTACCACTTTGTAAGCGTTGGTCAGAGCATATACGCGCGTCTTCCTCCGATCGAGTGATTGAAGCAGCTGAATCACCGACGTATCTGGCTTCAAAAGTGTATCTAGAGGCAAAGACACATCGCATTTCTGGTCGTAGTCAAGCGGATCAATGGTATGGTGCCGCACCAACCCGCGAATCGCAAGACCATACTCTTTGTAATAGTGCTTATGCAGGTACTCGGCCTCATCTTCATCGAGTCCAAGCGACATAAAGTAATTGCGAATACGGTCTATCATTAAATCAGCAATCCTTCGTGTGAGCACAGAGCAGACCTACCGTGTTTCCATGTGCGAGTACAATGTATTATCAATATCCAGCCAAACAATCGCCTCCGCTTGACTCGCATCAATGGGGCCGTCAATGAGGGGGTCCATGCCCAAGTATGAGGACCAGGGCTTGTCCAAGGTAGGTCGAGGAGGTGCCATAGGTACAAAGGCCGCAGGTTCACACGAGCGGGACGACACGATGCACGCCAGGTACCGGATGGAGGGTCACGATTGCTTTCTGATGGAGGTGTGTGTGCATATAAAATGCACGGGCCAAAGACCCAGCCAGCTGTTACTACGTTGGTGCCAACGTGTCATGGCAACGTCGCGCGAACGAACTGTGCTTATCACTGTAGGAAGTACGCGATTTGATGCACTTATTAACGCGGCCCTCTCCCCTGCTACCTTGAATGCGCTTCGTGCGTGTTGGGGTCCTGGCGCTTGTATGTACCTACAGTATGGACAGAGCCCCGTCTCATGGCCTGTAGATGCTGTGACACACATACACATGGGCGTGAATGGCCATGCCTTTTCTATGGAAGGTGTCAATGTATTTGCCTTTGCGTATGCACCCCACTTACGAACGTGGATCGAAGCCGCCAGTCTCGTTCTTTCGCATGGAGGTATGTATGTTCGTCATTTACACGCAGGCGCCGGCACCATATTGGAAGTCACACGGTCTACGCCTACTCCACGCCTAATTGTGATTCCAAACACGAATCTCATGCATGACCACCAGCGTGAGTTGGCTGAGCACCTTGCAGCGCAACACGTACTAAGCCTGGGCGACGTGTCGTACGTATGTTTATCGGCTCATTGTACAGCATCTTGTCAAAAATGATACCCAATGTACTCTCACAAACATTCCAACCATTTCCGCCGCAACGCGTCGACGCTGTGCGTCACGTTCTCGCTTCGGTGTGGGATCCATAGACCCTTGGCGTTTTATGTACACACCTACATTATGCAACTGTTGCGCCAAAAACCTTGGCGTAGGCCGGTCGGATTTTTTTTTAACGTTGTTTCGCCTTTAGCCTGAAAGATACGGATATACGCGCCTGGGGACGATGGATTCGAGTTCATCGAAGAACGGGAGTTCATCCAAATCGTCGGGTGGCGCACCCTTTCTATTCCCTTTTCGTTCTAAGCAGTCGTCAACAGTGTCCTCGGTCACTGGCAGTGCCAGTGCACGACTGGTCAAGTCTCAGTCTGATACACTGCGCGATATGCATGCGGCCATAGATAAGCTGCTTCAGCCCAAGTCGTCAACATCTGAGCATAGATCACAGATGCGATACTTGATCGATGCACTTATCCATGAGCCCACACACATGCTGCCGTTACTCGATCCCAAGGTTGCGACGCCACTTGTGTCTTCGCTTACTGTTTTGTGCAGCCGTGTACTGCGTGGTGAGTACGCATACGATGTGCAGCTGTTATCGTGTGAAATGCTGGCTGCTACCTTAAAATATGCAGAGTTGTCGACGCAACAAACGATCGAAGATACAGCCAAAGAAATGACGTCGGCTACAGGTTGGGATGCTACCTTGCCCACGCGAGCGCTTAGCACGCTGGATCGTTCTCTCCTTTTCCATTTGATTGTGCGCTTGACACGTGAAGAGGACTGGGCGATGCCTTTGATCCGAGAACGCCCATGGCAAGCGATTCAAACACTTACATTTCAGCTCACGGCGATTCAGGCGCTCACCCGTGACGGCCGCGATGTGATGCCCTACCGTGGACTGATTGATACACTAACACATTGGCTTTCCAAGGTGTGGGGTACCATGCTAATGCTGCAGGCAAATGAAATGAAGGAAACGTTGCCAGAGTATGAGCACTGTACACGTGTCTTGCTATCTCTCCTTACATCGATTTGCAAGTTTTCTGCTTCGCGTTTGGAGAAAGAGCATATGGAACTGATTTTACGGCGAGCCACCGATCTAATTTTGCATCCTGATATTCCTACCGTGCAGTCCAAGCCTGAGACGGCGACTCCAGATAAGAACAATGCCTTCACAGGCGGCTTTTCGTATTATGGCATTGAAGCGATGAGTCCCTACTTTGGCGTTGCAGTGCCCAGAGAGGCAAGCATGGCGCTGATACCTCCTGTACTTTCCACGCCTGAAAGTCATATCCCCGCGACTATAACGCCTGCGGACCAAGATTTTCCGTCGCTAAGCGAAGTGAATGTACGTCTAATTGCACGTCTTTTAGAGGCTATCATTTGCTATGCGTTCATTCCAACATCATGCATTGCACCTGTGGTCTATGCTCTTTGCCGCGTCATTGGGTTGCCAGTAGCGCGTGCGAACGACATGGACATGATCTTTGTGCTGCGTCTACGCAGTGTCAATGTCACATCAGATCTATGGCCTGTGCTGAACAACGTTTTGCGTAGTCACGTTGTGCACTTGATGCTGCGGCTGGTATACCAAATTTTGTGTACACCACATAAAGAGCCACGTTCCGTGCGTGTTGGCTCCTTGTTGTTTGTCCATGCCACACTGATTTGGAGTGTGCGTGAACGTTTGGAGGAGGAGTCCCTGAGTACGCGTGCGAAGCGTGGTGATGAACCGCCGCCTCTGTTGCCACTTTCCATGGTACAGAGCATGATCCATGGCGCCATTGCACAGGGTGACGACGCATTAGACTTGGCTGTGATGCTGCTCCTTGACGACTTTTTGCCAAAGCGCGAAAGTATGCCGGCGGCACGCCTGCTACCTGATTTGCCACCGCGCGAGAGCCAATCTCCGATTCCTCTATGCCGATTGTATGGCGATGGAAAGAGTCTATCAGACTGGGACGTGCTCCCAGAACTCATCGTGCTGATGAATCGACACATGTCGCGTCTGCGGCGGACAGTCACCACGATGAGTATCACGACCATGGTGCTTCATGCGCTAGTGGTGATCCTGTGTGGCTCCCCTGTGGAAGGCGAAGGCCAAGGACGACCTATCCTTGCCATGCCTTGGGCCGCAGCGACGTTTTGGAAACTGTCGCCGCTGTTGCCGGACGATGTCCTCCTTGATATGGTACGCGAAAACCAGCGCCAGAACTGGTACCTGCCTAGCAATCCCTTGTGGCTGGATCACATGGTCGAGTTGCTGGATACGTTCTACCCTATGGTGCTTCTGGATGCACGCGAAAATGGCGAGGCGCCAGCTCCGAAAGCGCGGTTAGAGACGATACACATGGTGACGCAAGTGTACGAAGCTGTCCAGGACATACCTTCGCTCCGCAATCCCATGATTGAGCGTGTGCTCATGCCGCTTGCGTCGCGCGCCATCCGGCTTGAGACAAATTTGGACATTGGTCGACCACTGCGAAAGATGATACGGCATGCCATCATTGCCTCGGTGCTTGATCCGACGATTGCCGAGGGCAAGGCGATGGAGCATTTTATCAAAGCCATTACGCAGTCCGTGTACAAAGCCGAAACGACACCCACAGATCTCGGTCGACCACTGCAGGCCAAAGCGCAGCACTCGCGCCAGCAGAGTGTGGGTCCACGTGATATGGACGTGCACTCCGGCCTTCAGCTGCGTATGACACGCGCTACGCGCTCGGTGCGTGACTTGATTTTCCTGTTCCATCAGCTAGCGTTCGGTCCCTTGGATCCGTCCAACGTCTCGCCGGAAGAGCTAGAGACACGGCGGATGCAGGACCGCATTCGGACCTGCTCCATGGCGATCTTCCAGAGCTTGCTGCGCATCGTGCGCAACCAGAGCACGCAACCCACAATGCAGTTAGAGCATTTCGAAGCGCCTTGCACAGTACAGGTGCCGTTGCATATTCGACAGTACGTGCTGCGATGGCTGCTGCGCCTTCGTGCGAACCGGAAGCACGCCATCTACTTCCTCAGCAAGGACAGTCCAGAGACTATGACACTTCTATCGACCATTGTACAATCGGACGAAAAGGAAAAGGAGAGCAAGGAGGAAGAGCGTGGCCGTTCCTTGCATCGACGCACAGACTCTGCGGAACAGACCAAGAGTGGACAGCAAGCAGAAAAAGTCGAGGCGGCTGTGAAGCGGGCTTCCTCACGCACGCGGCCATGGTACGTGGATCCCGTGGACTTGGATCTGCCTGAATGTACATGGACGAGCGAGATTTGGCAAGTATACCATCATGACCACAACAATGAGCACGCCCGAATTCCCGATGTGGAGCCCGATGCGTCTACACCGGCATTGCTCCCCATCTCTGAATACCTTTCGACCATCGTCTTCTTACTTCAGAACGAGACGGAATGGGAATTGGTCTCGTGCATTATGGCATTGTTCCCTGCGCAGCTGAGCAATCGCCATCTGTTCTGCGGGCCCAAGACAGTGGCGCAGACGCGGGCCTTGCGCGACTTCGTGTGCCCTCTCCTCTTGGAACAACGACCACTCCCCCACCTTGCGCTCCCTGATGATGTGCGTCGTACCGATTTCTTGGCCATGCTCTATGCCACGCTCAAAGTGCTCGTGTCGTACCAGTCCTTGTTCACGCGTGCGCAGCAGGACGAAATGGTCGAGGCGTTTGTCGCCGGACTAGGTCGTTCGCAGACAACCGCACAACCTTGTACACGGGCCTTGATTGTGGCATGCCATGAGCTTCCGAAATCATTCACGCTGCACGTTACCAACATTCTGGTAAAGCTCTCGACCATCATGTCGTCGATTACGATGAGCGTTCACATCCTCGAACTTCTGGCGGAAATCTGCAGTATCCCGGCCTTGTATGCGAACTTTACAGAGGCCGACTACCGCCGCATCTTTGGAATTGCACTGCAGTACATCCAGTTCCATGAGAGCACTGCGGCAGGCGGCACACGAGAAGACCTTCGCTCGTCGCCCGCCAAGTTCTCACTGTCGCAGTATGTCCTTATGCTGGCCTACAGCAACATTGGACAGTGGTTCACAACGCTTAGGCTAAGTGATCGTCCAAAGCATGCATCGTATATCGCTCAAGGCCTTGTTCTGGCCAATGAAAATTCGCCATCGCTTAGCGACCAAAGCATGGTGTGCTTGGATTTCCTTGCGCGATTCACGTACAGCAATGCGGAATCGAAGCCGGCTCGTTCGCTTCTTCGTATGCTGGTCTCACACAATGATCCCAATGCAGCTCCACCGCAGGGCCGCACTTGGCTCGTCGGTAAAGGCCTGGTCACGATCAACCCACTTCGGCGTGCAGGCACGTTTGAAGTCATTGTGCGCCGACCCAGCGGCACAATCACGATGATCAGCAACTTGGAAAATATGCCGCGTAGCTCCCTGATGGACGATGAACTTTTGGCGCATGTGCTGACCAACGCATTGGAGAATATGCATACTCTCGGACCTCTCTCGCACGAAATTCTTCGCGCACCTACCATGGCAATAAACACGTCAGAAGCTTCGGAGACATCGTCTACCTCTGGGACCCCAGCCACCGCAGAAGCTACGTCGTCGACAGACACAACAGAGTCTGGGGCTGTCGACGACAAGGCTCGTCGCATCCGCGCACAAGAAGCAAACCCGATCTTCTTGGCTTTGCAATTGAGTGCATACCCAGGGAAGGCAACAGATCGCCCTCCTTTCTTGCTCCCAGATGACCGATCTACTGAGCGATTGCTGCGAGCCATGGATCTGACCCCTGTGTACGACTTCCACAAAATCGGTGTTTTGTATGTCGGATACAACCAGACCACAGAAAAGGAAATCTTGGGGAATACCTATGGCTCTACAGCGTACATGCGCTTCCTCTCCCGTCTAGGCACTTTGGTTCCGCTGCGTGATCAGGTTGATGTATACACAGGTGGCCTGGACCGTCAAGCAGATGAACATGGCAAGTACGCCTATGTATGGCGCGACAATACCATGCAAATTGTCTTCCATACGGCTACATTGATGCCCAACCATGAACATGACCCCAACAGTGCGGCCAAGAAAGCTTTGATCGGCAACGATTGGGTCCACATTGTATTTAATGACTCAGGGCGGCCCTACGAATTCGGCACGATCCCTAGTCAGTTCAACTTTGTCAACATTGTCATCTCGCCTCATTCTTCTATGCGCGACTGCGTAGATTATATCGTGAAGGATGATATGTACTTCCACGTCACACTTCAGCGCCGACCTGGCCTCCCTGACTTTTCGCCTGTGGGTGAAGGCTGTTTGGTTTCGTTCGCTGCATTACCTCGTTTCGTTTGCAGCTTGGCGATGCAAAGTGATCTCATGAGCCAAATCTTCCTCGATACAGGCGAATCCATGGTGCCTTACTCGAGCAACTGGGTGACGCGCTTGCACCATGTTGAGCGATTCGAAGCGCAAATGCGAGCAAAGCAGGATGAGCAAGCAAGTCATGAAAACACCACTGTCTATGACTTTACTCAGATGTTATCCAATAAATAATGTATAGATGTATAACTACGACGGAAAGATTAGATCTCTCTACAGCACAAATTTGGTAGTAGAAAGACTACACTCTTCTTAAAGGAAAAAGCAAATATCATCATCATTACAGCTTGCTGAGCACAGCCTCCGCCGACGATTGGGAAAGCTCACCCTCGTCAATCGAAAGATCGACCACCTTCAGGTCATCCACAATCAGAGCGTAGCGGGCAGTACGGGTACCCATACCCTTGGCCGACAGGTCGAGCGTAGCACCCAGGCCCTGCGAGAACTTGGCATCCACATCCGAGGCGAACACAAGGTCATCCTTGCCGCCCTGGTTCACGCCCCAAGCGCTCATCACGAAGGCGTCGTTGGCAGCAATGACCACGATCTCATCAACGCCCTTGCTCTTGAGTTCCTTTTGCTTCGCCATGAAGCCTGGAATGTGGTGCACATGGCATACAGGAGTGAAAGCACCCGGGATGGAGACAATCACCACCTTCTTGCCCTTCCAGCGGTCATGCGATTGGAAAGTGGTCGGAACACCGCAAGCCTTGCCGGACTCGAGTTCAGGCGACCACGGGATGTAGGAGAAAGTAGTGTTAGGAATCACGTCACCCTTCGAAGCAGGCATGTTGGAGTAAGGGAGGGATGTATGAGGCTGATCTGTGCACTGCTTTTAAGGTCCTCATCTGCGCCGGCGCCTATGCATTGCCACTCGATCAGATTCATCAAGGTTATCATCACGTGATCTTGATTGGTAATTCGGGACAGTTCGGGGTGTCTGGCCTGCGTGAACAGGCAGGCTGGAGGCCGGCGTGTGTCTACATTGGCGACAGCAACTGCGACTGTTCTCGTTAAAGATATAATGTCCCTCCTGGCTACTCTGGCGAACTTCGGTTCTTCTTCGTCGGCCGTTGAGGCCACCCCGTCGACCGGTGCCTGGTACGAGGCGTTCTTCCCCGTTGCGCACAACGAGGTATGTATGGCTCATCGTCGTTCCATGCTAACATTTCAGGAGGAGGACAGCGAAGACGAGGAGGAAGAGGAGGAAGAAGAGGAAGAAGAGGATGATGAGGAGGACGACGTACGTACTTTCACAATATAGGGTATGACTAACATCCTGCAGGAGCCTGAGGACGTACGTATTCGCTATGCGCAGCGATCCTAGAATGGTAACTAACATTCGTGTTTAGGTCTACCCAGAGATCTACGAGAGTACGTGGAATACATTCGGGCTAACAACCACAGAGTGCCAGAACTCTCCCGCCTGCGAGTCGGCCCGGCATCACTTTGAGGAGTGCCAGGAGCGCGTTACTGGCGGCAAGGGCTTCGAGGGTGAGGACTGCGTTGAGGAGTTGTACGTATATCAATCCTAGGCATTCGCTAACACCTACAGCTGTATGTATAAGAAGAGACAAGGCGTTGCTAACATGCACCAGTCCACCTCGCTCACTGCGCTCTGGAGTGCACTGCTCCGTACGTACTCACAGCCGCGACATGTCTAACTTGTGCAGGAAGCTGTTTGCCCAGCTTGCCTAAGTTCATAGGCACGATATCGTGTTGTGCATTATCTTTGTACGGTCACTGTACTTGATAGAAATGCATACGTTTGGATGCCATTTTCCATGAGCTGTCTACCAATCGTAGTGAGAGAGCCTTGCAAGGTATATATGGTCCCTATATAATGAAAGCATGGTCGTCTATGCGTCCAGTGCAGTAATGTACAACACTGAGATGTCAGAAGCTGCATTATGGCACATACCATTGTTTCCACGAATGAACGTGTCGCCGTAGTTGCTCTTGAGCACGCCATCCACATGCTCTGTTGTTTCCTCCATAGCAATGTTCATGTAGCCATCCAGACAGGAGAGTGTACCTTCACTGTAAGTGCTTTCCCTACGCGCATCACGTACCGTGGTAATCAATACCAGAGTTCAGGCGCACTACCACCTTTTTCCCAATCACGCCTATACTGTTAGGCCACTACGCAGAAAGAAAACATACTCTTCAGGAAATCATTGGGGCTTCCTGCCTTAACCTGCGTTGAGGCATTGACAGATTCATCCACTGTGGGAGGCGCGGCTGCTGTTTCCTCGGCCATGTCGTTCTTGCAATCCTGAGCGATGCACAGGACGACCAGTCTACGAGGGCATAAATAATTGCAAAATTCATACGCACCACCACAGTGGCCCATGCGACGCTACATGGTGCGAACCTACAATGTAGGAAACCTAGGATGGATATGCACACTGAATGTACATGAGACTTACGTTCATATCTTTCGCATTTGATTTCTTGGCAGATAAAGAAAGAGAAAGAGAGAGAGAGCTGTCTACGTAGACTGTTGCCTTTCAGGCAAGATCGTTCCTTCTGTAGGTAGAGGCGCCATGGCATCCTAGGACCGAAACGTCTGACTTTGGGACTGTGTACATATAGGAGTGAGAGTCCTTTTTTGCAGGAGGTTGGGGGAGAGGCATGTCTCACAATCTCATTGTCCGATCTCGCTCGCTGTCTGTCGGTCAAAACCAAGTCTGGCTTGAATCTGCCCAAATTCGCCCTGCGTCCTCCTCCACACCTGTCCACGGTTCCTTGGCCACCGCCATCCCATCGCCGATGACGTCCCTGCGGGACGACAACCCCTTGCCATTTAGTATGTCATACGCTCCATGTATCACCTCAGTTAACATTAGACTATGATCCCAGGGCCAATCAACGTGCTCCTGATACAGACGAGCCGCTTTTCGGTGGCACACCCTTTCGTGACGCACATACCAGTGAATCACTTACGACATCGAGTGGCTCGCGTCCTTACTATGCGCTACTCAATGTGGACCAAAATGCCACAGAGACCCAAATCCGTGATGCGTACAAAACTCTTGCTATGGCATTCCATCCCGACAAGCATCCGGACGATTCCCGGAAGGAACTAGCCGAAAAGACCTTCCAGGAAATTCACAAAGCATACCAGGTTCTTAGCAACCCTGAGCAGCGCGCTGTGTATGACCATTTTGGCGAAGAAGGCCTGAATTCCACATGGTCTGTTGCTACGCGTGGCCAATCCATGGCGGAAATGCGGGCCGAGTTTGAACGGCAATCACGTCTTCGCCAAGCGGCTGATGCCGAGAGCTTGGTCAACGCGCGTGGCGAGTTTAGCGCGGTGATCAATGCTACATCGCTCTTCCTTCCTCCTGCAAATCGTCTCACTGCGTTGAATCCAGCGCTCGCACCAACGATACAACAGAATCTGACATGGAGCAAGCGTGTTGGTCTCGTTTCATGTGCACAGATCGTTGGCAAACATGGTTTTGACATGCAAATTTCCGATCGCTCCATGGTATCTGTGACGGGGCAACTGATGAGCCGTGGAAATGCTGGTGGCGGCAACCTGGTCGGCACGATCAAGACACAATGGAGTCCCCGCTTCTTTTCCGAGATGAGCGCCTCGCTTCTTCGTCCGCATGTGCTTACAACTAAAGGTCAGTACACGGTGGATGAGAATGTGTTTTTTAACTATGCCATTGTGTCTCAAACGCTGGCTGCCCCGCCGTCTGTGACACTGACATATGGTCAGCGCTTGTCCAGTATCTCGTCCCTGACAGGTTTTACCTCGATCAAGACCGGCACGTACACGCTTGGTGGATGGGGTGCCGATGCAGATGGCCAGCCTCTTCGACAAGATGTGGGAGCCATGGTTGTAGGTGTAACCAAGCAGCAGCCCGACGGCACAGCATGGACATTCCAGTGCACGTTGGCCGACACCAACCAATCGCTGAGCTACGAATGGGCGATGAAAGTGCTGGGTGGTTTCAAGATCAAGACGGGTCTATCGTTGGGCACAGCGACTGGTTTCACCGTCTTTACCAACAGTGAGCGCCGTGTCACTGAGAATGTCCGTGTCATGATGGGCGTCGAGTGTGGGTTGGCGTCTGGTGTCCTGTTCAAGCTGCGTGTGGTGCGGTTGGGCCAGCGATTGGTATTCCCTATTGTTCTTTCTCCGACGTTCCGTGCTGACTTGGTCGCCGCAGCGACGTTGGTCCCTGCAGCGGCGATGGCGCTCTCTCATTACTTCTACTTTGTTCCTGCGCGCAAACGCCTTACAGCTGAGCGCCTCGCGCAATTACGCGAAGAGCGCATGGACGAGATTGAACAGCGTCGTAACTCTGCCGAGCAGACTCGCGAGCTACTTCGGGCGCAGGCACGCAAACGAGCCGAGTCTGAATGGGCCAAGCAAGGCTTGATTGTTTTGCAAGCATACTATGGCCGCCGTGATACCTTCCCTGCTCCGCAGGACCTCTCCCAGGTGACCTTATCTGACAAGGAGCACGTCATGGCTCTCTGGCAACAAGACGCACATCCAGCAGAACCATCCACGTCGCAGCCACTGTGGTGGGATGTACAAGTTCCATTGCAAATGCTTGTCTCGCAGAGCCAGCTCGTTATCCCTGCGGGCCGATCGAAATCCAAGTTGATTGGGTTCTTTGACCCATGCGTCGGCGAACGCAAGCAGCTGTACGTGCGCTTCTTATTCCGTGGTCAGCTGCATGAATTTACGTGCTACGATACAGACGCTGTTGCTGCGCCCCTACGATGTATGTATATCGCACACACTTACACCGCAGCCCAACAGATCATGCCTTCGACATAGACGAATAGATAAAGAAAGAAACACCGTGTTGCTTCATATGCTACATGTAAATTTATAATACATTACAGAGGTCGAAACCCCCTGGTTTTTAGACACGCGACTCATCCTTGCGGCTTAGCTCCGCTTCACGCATCTTCTTCTCCGCCAGTACCTTGAACTTGAAGTAGTCCTTATGCAGGCCACACTCTGTCTTGCCAGCCTTGTCACTCCAACGACCAGAACGCTCATCTGAGCCATCCTTACCAGTCGGCAGCGATGTTGAGTGCCAGTCACCGATCGACTTATAACCCATATCCAGGAGCTCGTTGTAAGGCACGGCATTCTCCTTGGCGTATTTGTCCACTTCGGCAAACGACCAGTTCAGCAATGCGTTGACTTTAATCAGACCCGTCTCATCCACTTCCACAGCTGACAGCGAGGCACGGTCCGCACCTTGCGAACGACGACGGCCCGTGAACACCGCACGGACGCCCAACTCTTCGTACGCACGACGAGCAGGCTCCACTTTCACCAGGTAGTCGTACGTATCCTCGTCGCGCTCCCACAACTGCGGACCCCAGCGCTTCTCAAACTCCGCCGTGGTGTCGGTACCCTGCGGCTTGTAGACGTACATCGGCGCGTTGTAATGCTTCGAAGCACGCTCGGCCAACTCCACCGTCTGCGGGAAATGGTACAGCGTGTCCACAAAGATCAGCGGTACCTGGTGCTGGGGCTGAGTACCGTTCTTGGCGGCGCGATCGCTACTGATGCGCGAAATCAGATCGAGCGTCACACAGCCGGTCAAACCAAACGCTGTCGTTTGATACAAGTTAGGCAAGTTATCAACGGCCCACGTCAGAATTTCACGGGGGTGCGCGTTCTGCAGCTCTGCGTTGATCTGTGGAAGGTCTTCAATGATACGCTTTACTTGCGTATCAACGTCGGCGCCATCGGCAGCATACTTCGAGGCAACCTTCGTAGCAGCAGACATTCTTAAGAAGGCAGTGAGTGGTCAAGAGCTTGGGCGTGCGATCCTTAGCACTTTTTACGCTTTTTTGGCACGAGCGCCACTACACAACAATTTCGTCGCACGACCGCGGGTCATTCTAGCCTTTCGCACCATCGCGTATGCACATCTTGCGTGCTTTCATGGACGACCCACGGACTTTTCTCCACTTCGAGTCCGAAGCCACATGGCTTCCATGCGCACCTGTTCAAAACTGAATTAGGTCACGTGTGCGTGAGAACTGGAAGTTTGCAGATGGGTCCACGCCGAGAGTGAGTACGTCTGGACTCGTGCTAACGTTTTCCTCGTCCTACACTCAGGTCACTCCTCAAGATGGCTGCTCGTCCTACTGTGAACGTGCGCGGCATTGACGGTGCGGCTGCGGGATCGCTCCCTCTCCCGGCGGTCTTCACTGCGCCGATCCGCCCGGATGTCGTCCAGGCTATTCACTGTACGTATTTGGATTAACGGAAGAGATGCTTGGTTTCGACGTCGACGTTTGGGAAGGTCCGACCATGAATATTTGTTGCGCCCGCACTTGACGCACCTAGCATCCTTCATTTGAAAAGGATAGTACTAACATATTAGCGAACATCGCCAAGAACAAGCGTCAGCCGTACGCCGTGGCTTCGAACGCCGGTCACCAGACCTCGGCTGAGTCGTGGGGTACTGGTCGTGCCGTTGCTCGTATCCCCCGTGTCGGTGGTGGTGGTACGCACCGCTCGGGTCAGGCTGCCTTCGGTAACATGGCCCGCGGTGGTCACATGTTCGCCCCGACCAAGGTCTGGCGCCGTTGGTTCGTCAAGACCAACCAGGCTCAGCGCCGCTACGCTACTGCCTCGGCCCTGGCTGCCACGGCTCTGCCCTCGCTGGTTCTGGCCCGTGGTCACCGTGTTGAGCAGATCGAGGAGGTGCCTCTGATCGTCTCGAGTGAGGTGGAGTCGTTCACCAAGACCAAGCAGGCTGTGGCTGTCCTCAAGGCCCTTAACGCCTACGAGGACGTGACCAAGGTCTCGAACTCGCGCAAGATCCGTGCTGGTGTTGGTAAGCTCCGCAACCGCCGCCACTCCCAGCGCCGTGGTCCTCTGGTTATCTACAACCAGGACAACGGCATTGTGAAGGCTTTCCGCAACCTGCCCGGCGTGGAGGTTGCCAGTGTGCACAGCCTGAACCTTCTGCAGCTTGCTCCGGGCGGTCACCTTGGTCGCTTTGTGATCTGGACCGAGGACGCCTTCAAGCAGCTCGACACCATCTTCGGCACTTACGAGAGCGCTTCGGAGGTCAAGAAGGGCTTCCGTCTCCCGAACGCCAAGATCTCCATGCCTGACGTTACCCGTCTCATTAACTCGGATGAGATCCAGAGCGTGGTTCGTCCGGCTGGTCCTAAGCAGACCAAGCGTCCGTTCACCCAGAAGAAGAACCCGCTCCGCAACCGCGGTGTTCTCTTCCGCCTCAACCCGTACGCTCAGGCCTCGATCCGCCGTGAGCTGCGTGAGCAGGCTCAGCGCCGCGCTGGTAAGCTCAAGAAGAACACCAAGACTCCTCGCACCACCACTAGCGAGGCGTTCTTCGAGCAGCTCTTTGCTTAATTTGTAAACTGCTGCTGATGGGATGTAGGTTGCCTGTGCACACATATGCTCCTACTGATGTTTTCTTGTCTCAAAATTGCCACTAGCATTTATTCTAGTTCTAGATACATGTATTAGATCTTGTCGACTAGATACCAATGCTATCGATTGATTGCCTTGCCGATTACAGAGTCCTAACATTTTTTAAAAGATTCTAGTAACAAACGGACCCATGGACAGACCATATACATTCGTAAATTACACAATGAAGCCACGGATACGCTGGACGGTAGGCTTCCACTTCATGTTGTTCTTGGACACCTCCGCATTGGTCAACGGGCAAAGACCATCGACATCGGACGAGGAGATCAGGCGGAACTTGGGGCTATTGCCATAGCCAATGTCACCAATGGAGGGCTTGTCTGGCGTGTAGGTTGGCCAGCCACCGTGGAAACTGTACAAACCATTCTCAGGGTCTTTCACAAACTCAACATTCACACCACGGTACACCTCGGCGACGGCCTTACGAGTTTCGAAGTCATCCGTGGGCCATGGCCACAAAAAGACAGGACCAGGGTCGCCAGTCGTCTGATTACCAATGTAACGGAGCTGCGGCCAAGTGCCCCACGCGTACGGCGTGTCGCTGCCATGGAATGTCAACAGCTCACGGTACTCCCATGGCATGCCAGGCAGATAGAAAGAGGGACTGAAGCGGTATCGCCAAGTAGGTGCCACGCCCTGACGTTCTTTTGCCTGGACGCCTGCAGGACACACCCAAACTTCCGAGGTCACTACTGGTCCAGCCACATCCGTGAGGTAAGCGTCGTGGATCAAGAAGGCATTACCCTCATCTTTATTGTTGCCAATCAGCATAGGGATATCCACATAGCGCTTCTCCTCCAGGCGCTGGTAGTAGTCACTGAACACTGTTTTATTGTCCACAGCAAGCAAGAACTTGGCATCCGTCGAGAATGTAGCATCCATAATGTCCTCCCAAGGCTTGTGCTGCATGCAACGGAACTGGGCATCATCGCTGGCGGTACCGCAACCCACTTCTTTAGCCACACGATTCCAGTCACCCGTCTTTTTGGTGAAATCAGCACCATCAGGTGCCACAAAGTAACGACCCAGCGATGTCATACTGCCACTCTGCAAAATCAACCCCTTGATATACTTAGAAGTCGGCTTCTGGTAGTGCGCGTAGGCCCAGTTATCGACTGTACAAGCGCCAGTGCTGGTACCACCCATAGTAATCTTATCGGGGTCACCACCAAAGTGCTCAATGTTCTTGTACACCCACTCAATCGCAAAGTCCACATCATTCATACCGGGGTTGGCACCGGGGTAGTCGTCGTCATCATAATGGCGGCTCACATCCAGTTGCGGCGACTGCGGGTAGCCAAAAATCCAGTTGCGGAAGTTGACGCTAATCACTACCACGTCATCTTGCGTCACAATACGATCACCTTCGTACATTTCCAATTTGTTCGCACCCCATTCATACGATCCACCATAGATGTTCAGCCAGACAGGAGCCTTCTTACCCTGTCCACCAGACTTGACATAGTTCTCCCAGTGCTTCTTGCCCACGAAAATATTTGCATTCAGGCAGTCTTCACTTTGGGTACTGCGGTCAAAGATCGAAGGTGACAGACCAAAAAGACCCACGGCCTTCACGGATCCACCGCTACCATGTTGAGGGCAGCTTGGACCGTACTTAGTAGCATCTTTGACATCATCCCAGTTGGCCACAGGCTTGGGAGGGCGGAAACGGTTGGAGCCACCCGTATCGGCGCCGAATGGGACACCCAACCAGGAGTAAGCACCAGATGTATGGTTAAAGTGCCCACGGACACGACCTTCATTTGTTTTGACAACCAAGTAATCATCCGATGGCTGGTTTTGGTTGTTGTTCCCGCTCGAGTGCTTGTTTGAGTATCGACGGGCCATACCATGATGGCGCAACCGAGATTGATGGTCAGCCAACAAATCGGAGGCTGCGACACCAATAGCCACTGATGCCATCAAGGCCACAAAGGCCAACAGTAGGCTTCTCATTTGACCTGAGCACAACATCCTGCTGAGAAGGATGAAGCGCGATCCACGTTTTTTAAAGGGGAAGGAGGCACTTGTTAAAGCATATGTCGCTCTCTGATCCTATAGACGCGTCGCGCGTGTAAAAACAACCTGCATATCCATGCAGAGTTCTGCAAACGGTTAAGTTTTCCTATTCTCTAATTGCAGCAATTGCGCACGCGGTTGCCCGAGCCCTTGTATGTGCATGAGGACTAAGCGACGCCCCTTACGCAAAAACACCGAGGTTCGCCCTGGCTCGCTTTCTTAGCCTTAGTCATCATGACGCGATCGATAATCTGGAACTCTCCATGAGCCTGCGGTACGGCCTCGCCTTGTGTGTACTTTGATCACTTATCGATATTCCAACGCCACTCGTCCTTCGTGTATGTTTCATAGGGGGTTCGCCCTAGCTTACAAAGTTCAGAGTTGCGCTTCTTTACCACGTCTTCTGTCTAGGCCTGGTATTTTATCACATCGGGGACCGTTCCACATCTCATTGTTTCGAACATTACCTCCTAAATTGATTTCCCGAACGAACGTTCCTCCATCATCTGCATCGTACACCATTATGGCGCCTGTAAACACGTCTGAGGCTGTTGCAAACCCTACCAATCCTCACAAAGTTGTGATCATTGGCTCCGGCCCCGCTGGTCACACCGCTGCTATTTACCTTGCTCGTGCAAACCTTGCCCCCATCATGTACGAAGGTTTCCTTGCCAATGGCATCGCTGCCGGTGGACAGCTCACTACTACCACTGATGTTGAAAATTTCCCAGGCTTCCCTGATGGTATCGGTGGCTCTGAAATCATGGACAAATTCCGTGCTCAGTCTCTTCGTTTTGGTACCACAATCAAGACGGAAACTATTTCAAAGGTGGACTTGTCCAGCCGTCCCTTCAAGTTGTGGCGCGAGGGCTATGAGGATAAGGAGCCTGATCTGGCTGAGGTGATTATTATTGCTACCGGTGCTTCCGCCCGTCGTATGAAGCTCCCTGGTGAAGAGACTTACTGGCAGAGCGGTATCAGTGCGTGCGCTGTCTGCGATGGTGCAGTGCCTATTTTCCGCAACAAACCTCTTGCTGTTGTAGGTGGTGGTGATTCAGCTGCTGAAGAAGCCACTTACCTTACAAAGTATGCGAGCCATGTCTTTGTGTTGGTGCGGCGCGATGAACTTCGTGCCAGCAAGATCATGGCCAAACGACTGCTTTCTCACCCCAACGTTACCGTGATGTTTAACACTGTTGCCACAGAAGCGAAGGGTGATGGTGAGCTTTTGAATGCCATCCGCATCAAGGATACCAAGACTGGCGAAGAAAAGGATCTGGCTGTGAACGGCCTCTTCTATGCGATTGGTCACGTTCCCGCTACTTCTATTTTCAAGGGTCAGATTGACCTGGATGAGGACGGCTATATTCGTACCAAGCCTGGCACATCATTCTCATCAGTGCCAGGTGTCTTTGCTGCCGGTGATGTTCAGGACAAAAAGTACCGTCAAGCTGTCACATCAGCTGGTAGTGGCTGCATTGCTGCCTTAGACGCAGAACGATTTTTGGCGGAGCTAGAGGCCTCTTCCGACTAGATCATTTAGCATATGTAACTGTGATTTAGAACCGTTCCAAATAGACGCTCTTATTTAGCATGGGGTGAATGTCTTCTAAATGAGGAGAATATACTATGATCAAATCGGGCTAACCCTCGGGCTCAAACCCCGCTAAGTTCGTCAGGGCTCTTGGCACTGGAGCACCCCCCGTTCCTTGTCTGTTCTACGTGCCTGATTGGTACCGGTAAAGACAGGTATCCGATGCATCACGTGCTTTTCAAACCCGCCTCTGCGTTTGTGCTAGAGTCTTTTAGCCGAACAGACCCGTATATACAGCCAATGACTTTTTCATTATTCCCAATCCCAGCTACGCACGCTGTGATGACGAGAACAGGTGAAATCTATTGGCCCATTTTGATTCCAATCCTCTTTCTGATTAGCCGGACGGGTGCACTGCAGAGCAGGTCTGCAGCTCAGGCAAAGGGTACGTAGTTGCCTTTAAATAGGAGAACTGCATCGCTGCCAACGTTTCCTCGACAAACATGCTGTCTTCCCGCGCAATGCGCTCCCCCGCATTCCGCTCGGTGGCCCTTGGTGCCCGCCGTGCGGCTGCTACCCGTGGCTTTGCCACTGTTGCTGAGGAGGCTGCGGCTATCAACGTCGCTGACCTCAAGAACAAGGTTGAGCTCAGCTTGATCGAGTCCGGTAAGGGCTACTACCTCCCTTACGAGAAGATCGAGGAGAACCTGAAGGTTGTCCGTGACCGTCTCAAGCGCCCTATGACCATGTCGGAGAAGGTCGTCTACGGTCACTTGGAGGACCCTCACCACCAGGAGATCGAGCGTGGTGTCTCGTACCTCCGTCTTCGCCCTGACCGTGTGGCCTGCCAGGACGCCACTGCTCAGATGGCCCTTCTGCAGTTCATGTCGGCTGGTCTTGCCAAGACTGCTGTCCCGACTACCGTGCATTGTGACCACCTTATCGCCGCTGAGAACGGTAACATTGAGGACTTGGCTCGCGCTAAGGATCTCAACAAGGAGGTCTACGACTTCCTTGCCACATGCTCTGCCAAGTACGGTATTGGTTTCTGGCGCCCGGGCTCGGGTATTATTCACCAGATTATCCTTGAGAACTACGCTTTCCCGGGTGGTCTGATGATCGGTACTGACTCGCACACCCCGAACGCCGGTGGTCTTAACATGATTGCTTGCGGTGTTGGTGGTGCTGACGCCGTCGACGTTATGGCTAACATCCCCTGGGAGCTGAAGTGCCCGAAGGTGATTGGTGTTGAGCTTAAGGGTAAGCTCTCGGGCTGGACCACCCCTAAGGATGTTATCCTCAAGGTTGCTGGTGAGCTCACCGTGAAGGGTGGTACCGGTGCCATTGTTGAGTACAAGGGTCCGGGTGTCGAGTCGCTCTCGGCCACTGGTATGGCTACCATCTGTAACATGGGTGCCGAGATTGGTGCTACGACCTCGGTCTTCCCCTTCAACTCGCGCCAGGGTGACTACCTGCGCGCCACTGGCCGTGGTGAGATCGCTGACGCTGCCACCAAGTTCCAGCGCAACCTGCTGCCTGACCGTGACGCCGAGTACGACCGCCACCTCGAAATTGACCTTGACGCTCTCGAGCCGCACATCAACGGTCCGTTCACCCCTGACCTGGCTACTCCTCTCTCGAAGTTCAAGGAGGAGGTTAAGAAGAACGGCTGGCCTGAGGAGCTCAAGGTGGCTCTAATTGGTTCGTGCACCAACTCGTCGTACGAGGACATGTCGCGTTCGGCCTCGATTGCCCAGCAGGCTATTGCCCACGGCCTCAAGGTCAAGTCGGGCTTCACTATCACCCCTGGTTCGGAGCAGGTCCGTGCTACCATTGAGCGTGACGGTCAGATGCACACCCTCAACGAGGTTGGTGGTACTGTCCTTGCCAACGCTTGCGGTCCTTGCATTGGTCAGTGGAACCGTCACGATGTGAAGAAGGGCGAGAAGAACTCGATTGTTACTTCGTACAACCGTAACTTCAGCGGTCGTAACGACGCTAACTTTGCCACCCACGCCTTTGTGGCTTCGCCCGACCTGGTCACTGCCATGGCCTTCGGTGGTAGCCTGACTTTCAACCCGATGACTGACTCGCTTGTTGGCTCGGACGGCAAGGAGTTCAAGTTCAATGCTCCGACTGGTATTGACCTGCCGGCGAAGGGTTACGACCCGGGTGAGAACACCTTCCAGGCCCCGCCTGCTGATGGCTCGAACGTTGAGGTGATTATTCGCCCTGACTCGGAGCGTCTCCACTTCCTTGAGCCGTTCAAGCCGTGGAAGAAGGAGGACCCGAAGGACCTTCCTGTCTTGATCAAGGTCAAGGGCAAGTGCACCACTGACCACATTTCGGCTGGTGGTCCCTGGCTCCGTTACCGTGGTCACCTGCGCAACATCTCGAACAACTGCTTGATTGGTGCCACCAACGCTGCCAACGACGAGACCAACAACGTCCAGAACTACTACACTGGTGAGTGGGGTGCTGTCCCGGCCACCGCCGCCTTTTACCGTGACAACGGTCACCCGTGGGTTGTGATCGGTGACGACAACTACGGTGAGGGTTCGTCGCGTGAGCACGCTGCCCTGGAGCCTCGTTACCTGGGTGGTTTGGCTATCATCACCAAGTCGTTCGCTCGTATCCACGAGACTAACTGCAAGAAGCAGGGTCTTCTGCCCCTGACCTTCAAGAACTCGGCCGACTACGACCTTGTTCGCCCTGATGACCTGGTTGACCTCGAGGGTGTGCAGACTCTTGCTCCTGGCAGCACCGTCACCCTGGTTGCCAAGCACAAGGATGGTTCGGAGGACCGCATTCCTCTGCAGCACAGTTTCAACGAGAACCAGATCGAGTGGTTCAAGGCTGGTAGCGCCCTCAACCTGATGGCGTTGAAGGCCAAGTCTGCTTAAGTATAAGTAGATGAATAAATCTCTTCAGCGTTACGCGCGTGAACAGCATGTAGTCTGCGATGATTGTAACAAGAAGTGTTGTCCCTTTATATTTTCTATGTGCGAACTAGTGCGAAGTGCTTGCTTCTCTTCTCTTCTGTAGATGTAGTAGTCTTGGGTGTGTGGAGAAGTGGAGCTTCGTCGTCCCTTGGCTACTGCGCTCAGGGCGCCATGTCGCTGGCTGTGGATCGCGAGTACGTTTGCCATTTTCTACTAACGCAACTGAGCTGCTGCGTTCAATATTAGAACAAAATATATACAGTACTGCAATGATGCTGCCATCCGGCGTGTTCTCACGGATGCCGACGCGCCAGAGCGGGGATCAGTCAAGGGCGAGTTTAGCTCCAGTGTGACATCCACTCAGTTCATGGGGCGTAGCACCTCTATTGGCTCACAAATGAACTCTGCTAGAACGGGTTATATGGTTCCCAGATCTCCCTCTCCTCCTCAACAGCTTGACAAGGTTCGCCATCTTCTTCTTCAATACTTGCCTGACCAAGAGGAGCTATGGGGCCCAGAAACATCCCTAGGTGCATCATCGTCTGGGTCATCTTTGGATGATGATCTACCGTTTGTGTATCGGTCCGTATCTAGTCGGCCTTTTATGGACAAGGGTATTCCCGTATCGTCTCCTTCCTCACAGCAAGCGAGTCCTACAAAAGCACCCGCTAGAGCACACTCTGCGTTAGGATCCATTGTTCGACAACCAACGAACCAGGTCACGACGGGGGGAAGCGTATCTACGTCACAAGCTCAAATGCCTCATCACTCTGAACGAACTGCGCACTACCCAGCCCACGGCCCACGATCCACCCTTCCTGACCCTTCCCTGGCGACTACATTTTCAAAACTCCATTTAGAACATACCATCACAGACGGATCGGCACCTTGGAAAAAAGACATGCAATCCACTTTATCAGCTGCCCCAACTTTGCTAGCTTCTTTCACTGAAGATACCTCGGATATGTCGCGTGAAAGTTCATTGCAAGGTGTCTCCTCCTTAGCCTCTGCCGAGACACTGGTTAACTTTGAAACTGACATGACTCATCATACTTTGGATGTATCTACTGAGGCTCATGGCTCAGGTGCTACTCATGTTTCTGAAGCACCAGGCGATGCAATTTCATTCCATCGACAGCCAATTACTGAACCCACTGTGAGATCGTCTCTGCTTAAGCAGCGCTTGTGTGGCCCAGACCCATCATTGTCCACATCATCTCTGCATGAATACTCACGCATTGCCGCTCATGGAAATGTGAGGAGCATGAACATCACTATCTATTTCCCTGGACAGTCAATATCAACTCAAAACGGGCCTAACCGATCGCTCTCTGTTTCTGTTCAACTTGATGCTAACATGGAAGAGCTTATTGGGTATGCGTTGTATTTGTATACACACACGTATGGCTCGCTTCCGTCACATCCCGACATTCAAGACAACTTGGATCTAGTAACGATTACCCAATCATGGGTTTTGCGTATGGTCGAAGATGGCATGGTCGACTATGACTATCCAGGTATGTTCTAATATTCTTACCGACAAGCTATCGAGTATAACTTAACTGTGGGACGGTTCGGTGAAGATGAATTTGCCTTGTGTCCCAAAACATTACCGAAGTGTATGTATGCGAGTGTTGCCGATCTGACAAAAGTGTCCATCCCATCTGTACCCGCCTCTTCCAGCGGTCTTAAACTGTCACCATCAAACGAACCTACGGTTTCTCTTGCTATTATGGTAGTCCCAACGGCCAGCGGGAATACCCAGATTCAGGTTCGCCCTGATACAACGACTGCAGAGGTGCTAGCTGCTGTATGCCAACAATGCCATCTTGAGCATCCACAAAACTATGCGTTGTTGCGGCGCGATCGTGGTGAGCTTATTGACATGCAATTAAAAGCAGCCGACTTTCAGCATGTGGACGACTTGGCCTTGGTTGAACGTACATCAATGCAGGCACAGGCTTTGTCCAATGATCTAGGGCCAGTACTTCAGCAACCCAAGTACAAGAACGCTATGGACTTGATCACTAACTACAAGGTATGTAATTCTTCTACTCACTCCACAGTCCTATGCTGTCAACCGGCGACACCACATTGCCATGGGCCGTCAAGAGCGTATCCTTACCTTGGACGGCGACTGGATCCACATCTTGTATGTTTTAATTTTTCTGACTTTTAGACGGCCTACGGAAAAACGCTTATCTCACTCTAAAACTACGTCGTATCACGTCTCTTCCATCATGCGCTGTGAGCTCAACCCCCGTATCCCAACTCAATTTCGCATTGTCGCCTATCGTGAACGCTCGCGAGACACGAAGCGGTATGAGTTTGAGACGGACGACAAGGACCGTGCGGCTGAAATCGTGCACGAAATCAATCATCTGCTTCAACAGTAGTTTTTCCTAAAACAAACTTGTACATTCTTTAGTCTGGTATCACTATAGAGCTCTGTTCCATTTCGTTACACGGTAATCACCGGAAATTCAAGCTTCAGAGATTTTGGCAGGCTCTTCATCGTCACTTGCATCCTCTTCCTGCATGTCGTTCAGGCCCTCCATGCCAGAACCACCCATCTGGGCCATCATTGACTGGAGGTCCAGTCCGCCCATACCACCCATGCCTTGCAGCATCGACGGGTCGAAGCCCCCGGCCATAGCCGGGTCATTGAGGTCTTCGGTCTGCTCATCCTCATCCTCCCACTTGTCAAAGTCCGTCTTCACATTGTGGAGACGGGCCTTCTGCTTCGTCAGACGGGGCCAGTATTCCTCCTGCGCCTTCTCCTTGCGGAGCACAAGGTAGAGGCTCTTAGCAGTGAGATGCTTCTGCGACTTGTCGGGAACGATGTCATCGTAGAACTCCAAATCGTAGTTGTACTTGTGGCCCACGATACCCCGCGAAGAATCCGTCTCAACAGTGGCTTCGAAGTGCAGGCCCGTAGGGGTAAGGTCGCACTTGGTGTGCTCCTCAGTCAGATTGGGCACATTGATGGTGAGCAGAATCAGGTTGCGCTCAGGCTCCGCTGCCGAGCTGCGCTGGGCCCACAAAAGTTCCGGAACAGCAACTTGGGGAGACATTATGGTGAATAGGTAAGGTGCTTAGCTAGGGTATTTGTTCCTAAAGTAGGCCCCTGCGCCGGAACATCGAAGGCGGTAGAACATACCAGACCTCCGCCATGGCCTTGGCTTCACGTGGTCCTCCACGTGGACATCCACAATTTTTTTCGAACTGCCCCGACCACCTGCTGCGTTTTCGTACACGATGGTGCGTGAGGGCAACGTCAAGCGCAAGGCAACCACGCGCGCTCCTGTTGCTGTGCCGACAGGTATCAAGCTCAAAAGCAAGACTGTGAAAGAAGATCCAGTCAAGCTGACCAAGAAAAAGAGTACGAAAGAGGATGTCAGTGCAGCTCCCGTCAAGAAAAAAACCAAGTCGGTTCGCATCAGTGAAAACCCTTCAGTCGTCAAGATTCCAGCTCGGAAAACCTCAACAAAGAAATCAAAAGTAGTACCTCTTGCCACAACGGTTGAAGATGAAGATGAGGATGAGGGTGATGAGGACGAAATTGCTCTCGTCGATGAGGATGACGACTCAGAGGAGCTGGAAGGATTCCCCCCGATGGACTCCGAAGATGAGGACGAAGAGGATGACGCTCTTGCCATGCGTGCTGCACCCACTGTGAGCGAGGTAGTGCGTCTTCCTAGCAGCCGTGATGATGTCGCTGTGCGCCAGCGCCTCGAGAAGGCCAAGCAAAAGCAGGCTCAGAACAAAGATAAGGAGGAAGTGGGTGTCGTATACATTGGCCGCCTTCCTCATGGATTCTTTGAAGACCAGCTGAAGGCTTACTTTGAGCAGTTTGGCGACATTAACCGTCTGCGTTTGTCGCGCAACAAAAAGACTGGTCATTCGCGCCACTACGGCTTCATGGAGTTTGCTTCAGCAGATGTGGCAGAGATTGTTGTGGACACCATGAACAATTATCTACTGAATGGTCATCTTTTGCAAATGTCGATGATTCCTCCGGAAAAGGTTGATCCTAACCTTTGGGTGGGCGCCAACCGCAAGTTCCGTCGCGTGCCTACTGACCGCATCGAGCGTGTTCGCCGTTCCAAGTCGCGGTCTGCAGAAGCCAGAGCCAAGGTGAATCAGAAACTGTTGCAGCGCCAAAAGAAACGTCGTGCAGCGTTGGAGCGTGCAGGCATCGAGTATGATTTCCCGGGATACCAGTAAACCATGTATTATGTATTATCATTCTCCCTTACATAGCGACTTCTACTTACGTCGAAATCAATAACCAAGATCCACGAGCGCCCGCGTTCATGAGTTCAGTTTGCCCAATCTTCACACGGTTGGCCGTTGGAGTGATAGTTGGCAATGCGATAGCGGCCACGCCCCTGCCCAGCGACGATGCGGACGTATCTGGGTCTGTCGCTGGAGGCCCCATCGTGGCTGTTGATGGCGCCATGGGCGTGTCGGGTGCGTTTCGGAACGGTATTATATCTGACGCCGAGATTTGTCGTGAATCATCGGCTGAGGTCATAGAGGCAGGTACAGGTGAGCTGATCGCGCCAAGAGGGGGGGACATGAGGGAAGTAGGAGCAGAGGGCGGCATGGATACCTCTAAGCGCAAATAGGCCTCCGCACTCCATTCATACCATACTCGCCGTTCATCCGTGAGTCGCCACATATGAACATCCATCTCACAACGGGCCGGCACATACAATGGCTCGCGGAAGGGGAAAAACATAGGGAACCAACTCACCATATCCTTGCTGGCGCGCGCCTTGTTAGGGAAAATGCTCAATTTTACATCCTTGTAGAGTTGCGCCTCAAAGTAACCTGCTAGGCCATGGCATATGCCAGCGTGTGGGATGTAGAACGTATGCACAGCAGAGCGCACATTGTGACTGTTTGTCATCGGCACACCATGCTCATTGACCACCAAACCACTGTTGACCATAGGTCTATGCTCAAAACACCAACATGGCTGCACACGTTCACATTTGAACGTTTCGTCGGTCGACGAGAGGATACGCATCGATTGGAAAAAGACCACGAACGGTGAATCAAACACAGCCGCACCGGAAGGCGTTGTACCCATTCCTACACCTCCTCCTGTCGGCATAGAGCCCAATTTGGGCTGCGCTTTCAACTGGCCATGCAGCTTGGGCGTAGTGATAGGCGCCAAATAGGATGTGTACGAGCTTGGAATTGAAATGCCATTGGGCTTCAGGAAGCGCATTGCACCGTCCAGGCACTCTGGTGCAAGTTCGTTATCTCCAAAGCTGCCCAATAGCTCGCTCACCACGATATCAGCTAAATCTGATTTGCTCTGTGGGATTGGCAACGTCCGCATATCGCCTTGCAGAATACGAATACGTTCTGTACCCCACTCATGGACTTGACGCTCTTGTAGGCCTATACAAGCACCAGGGTTCTTTTCCACAGCCGTAATAATCACCACACGAGACGCTCTTTTGGCTGCGGTTAGACATCGTGTGACCAAAGCGCCGTGACCTGCCCCCACGATCCAGACCTGTACAGGCGAGCCGGGTGTACGAATGTCCGACAGCGCTTGGAACATAGCTTCCTCGTACAGGTCATACTTCACAGGATCTGATTCAAATACATTGTACGTGCTGGCACCGAGCTGGTGCGCCATGGGTTGTAAAGGCGCCTGCAAATGGTCACCATACCCCTGTGCATAGACTTCCATCTGAGTCAGTGACGGCTGCTTCTTAGCCAGGTGTTGCAAGTACAGCAAGTATGCATCTGGCCCACCTTGTGTATGATTCGAAGGCGGTGATGTGATGTTCACTAGTACCATTTTGACCGACTGGCGCAAGAGTTGCAAGACCAGTGACTGTGCCGACTTGGATAATACTGGGTACCCACGAGCATTCGACAGGAATGAAGATGCAGGAAGCCATAACAAAGAAACCGGTTCACTTAACCACCGCTCAATGGACGATGTAGGCGGCAGTGGCATCGACAAATCCAAAGCAACGTGCAACTGGGGGTGGTAGGAACACAGGGTCTGAATCTGGTCCCATGTCTCCCACGCCCAATTATCATTGGTTCGCAGATAAGCCGTAGCTGGTACAGAGAAAGGACCATTGGGCGAGCGTAACGAGTGTCGCGCGAGCATGTCATTGAGCAAATGCGGCGAGCTAACGGGCAGTCGAATTGATACCCGCATCGTGGGAGGGATAAGTGGCATCTCCCCAGCGATGCCAACCAAGCAAGAGTTGATTACACGTGCATAATCAGCCAGATAAGGCGTACGGCTTGGCTCACTCCCAGGCGGGGGCAGCACAATATGTTCCACGCCCAGGTAGGCTGCGTAAGCAATTTCTTGCCGCAATGCCAGCTCAGAGTCAAATCGCACACCCTCATCCTCTGCATCCAGTTCAATCCATGGACTAATGACCACAGTTACACCCTTTGCCTCACTGGCCTTGGTCAGGTTCAGCTCTGAACGTAGGAAAGAGGGGTTCTTGCGCCATCGTTCTGCTTCTCTCTGGACCTGCATGTCCAAAGAAACACCTCCTGTAGCCAGTGCAGAGCGACTTGTACTACGTGGAAGAATGCCTGGTTTTGCCTCTACCTGGGGCACGCCTGTGTGAAGACACATTTTCTCCCAGCGGTCCAGCCAGCGGAAGTTTGCTAATTCCACAACGATACCGTCATAATTGCCTGCTTCCGTCATCAATTTGCACTGCTCTACCGTAGTTAGGTTTTCCTCTTGCAACTTGTCCAGGTCTGCCTCATCTGTCGGCATAGAAACGCCTAGCAGGTCGGGCCGAACGGTGACGTGCGATGCAGATGTAGGTGGTGAAATAGGCGCGCTAGCGGGCGGCACAGGCAATGGCCGTGCTTGACTCACACCTGACGCGATAGGATCTAATACCTTGTTCGGTACATACAAACAGACGGGCACTCGAGGCGCAGGGGCCTGCTTCGTGCCCTCAGACTCGTTTGTCATTGTCGTAGGTCGTGCAGATGGGAAGGGATCCGCATTGGGCATAAAAGTGTCATTGCAGCGCTTTCATTGGCGGGGCGTGGGGCTGCTCATCGCCATCGGCCCCCCATTGCCCTCCACCTCCATATAGAAAGAGGTGGGGTTGTTGTTGATTTGGTGCTACGCCAATGGGCAAGAGCGTATGTATTTGTCTGGCGACGTCTGTTACTAACATACAGTTTGAGGAACTCAAGCGAGAAGCACTTGAGAATAGTCAAAGGCAACGCGTTGAGCTCGAGGAAAAATTAAAAGAACGTGCAAAGCACAAGGATGATGCCCAACGAGCTGCAGAAGAACGAGAGCGACAACGGGCAGCATGGAATGCACGCGAGCGCGAAAGACAGCTCAAAAATGAGTCAGTAATGAAAAAATTGGAAGAGAAACGTGCTGAAGCAGCGGCAAAACGATCGGCTGCACAAGAAGCAGCACAAAAGGCAGCCATCGACAAGGCGGTGGGTCGGTCCAACAAGCGAGCTCCTGCCTTGGAAAAGGCGAAAATCCATGCAGCTATGCGGCGTGCCCAAGTACCGAGAAGCCGAGGTGGGGCAGTAGCTCTCACTCGTGAGGAAAAGAGGATGAAGCGAATGGCTAATGAGATGGGTGTATCTTTCAAAGTGCAACGCAATGCTCCACCTCCAAAAATGAATACCAACATGGCTGCTAAGCCCAATGTTCCCAGCACATCGACATCAGTGGCAGGGCAAGCGCCTCCAAAACGCTTATCTGCGCGCGAAAAGTTCATCTTGGAAGAGAGACAACGCAAACTTGCAAAGCAAGCTGCCGCTCACGTTGACGATGAAGACGTTGATGAATACGACTCCATGTCTGACATGGGCTCTGAAGATGAGGGTGATGTACCTGCCCATGCATCCATCCGTGACGAGATTTGGAAACTATTTGGAAGAGATCGACAAAGGTATGTTGACATATGTATGAGTTTTCTTATACAAAGGTACATGGCCCGTGATGTCGATAGTGATGACGACATGGAGGCAGGTGCAGATGATGTACTTGAAGAGGAACGTCGAAGTTCCATGTTTGGCCGCCGCGAAGACGAGCGCGAAGAGCAGATGCTCTTAGAAAGCAAGAGGCGAAAGTTCCAGGGACGGCCATAGCACGATACCAGTTAATTTCATGCGCGCTTTTCCAGTACCCATGCACTCGATGGCTGCAGTGTTTTGTAGTAGTTGTCTACGGTATCCACAATTTGGAACCCGTGCTGCTCGTACAGCCGCTTCGCTGCTTCATTGCCCGTTTGCACATGCAGGTAGATGGAATTAATACGACGTCCTGCAAAGGTGGATCCCAATGCTGCAGTTTCCAGTAGATGCTTTAAAAGTGCATCAGCTATGCCTAGTCGACGGTAAGGTTTGAGCACAGCCAGTGTCATTACATAGACTTTCCACGTTGTCACATCTTTTCCTTCTTCCAAGCGACAACAAATATTTGCCACAGGGATATCATTAAACAAACCCAACTTACAAATTGGATTTGTATCCTCTGCTAGGGCAATATCGTACACATTCTCCTCGTATTCGATCGGCAGGAGTAGGGCATTCAGGCGCCGTACCTGGTTGATATTGTTCTTCGTAATGTCTGCCAACGAGATAGTTGACCGTGCAGCGATTTCACGACGCACAGGAGCGTCCGCTTGAGGCTTAATGCGCTCGGCGTATGAGAGAGGAGGTGGTGCCACGGCCATCATCCAAGCCTAATCGATGAAGTGAGATGCGTCGTCTTGCTTCTCCATGGCTTGTGGGTCACCCAAGTGACTGCTTCGTTGCTTAGTCACTAGGTCGTAAGCGAAATAAGCCCCGTGCGCCACCACGGGCACTCCTCGATCATCCCCAGACCCAAAGGCACCATGTCGCGGTCGAACGTGATTGTGCTGTATGTACTTATGCTAGGTGACTAACTGATAGTGATAATGGCACGGGATACACAAAAATGGGGTGAGTTTCCCTCCCTTTTTGCACCAGAACACGACTAACATTTCTAAGCTTTGCCGGCAACTCGGAGCCCTCATTTGTGTTTCCGACGGCGATTGCTACGTCCTCATCTAGTGGCAGCAAGCCTTCAGGGGCACGTCCGAGTGTGCCGAACAAACCTGGTGGACTGAGCAACTCGTCTTTGGTGTCCAAGCGTGGTATTGATGACTTAGACTTCTATATTGGTAACGAGGCTTATGCCAATTCCAAGACGTATCAAGTGGACCAGCCCATCCGTCATGGTATCGTGGAAAACTGGGACCTGATGGAGCGTTTCTGGGAGCAGTGCATTTTCAAATACTTGCGTGCTGAGCCAGAAGAAAACTACTTTATGCTTACTGAGCCTCCGCTGAACCCGCCGGAGAATCGTGAGGCCACGGCTGAAATTATGTTCGAGTCGTTCAATATCAAGGGTCTGTACATCGCTGTACAGGCTGTGCTGGCTCTTGCTGCAAGCTGGACAAGCAACAAAGTGACCGACCGGACGCTTACAGGTACTGTTATTGACAGTGGTGATGGCGTGACACACGTTATCCCCGTGGCCGAGGGATATGTGATTGGCAGTGCCATTAAGCATATTCCTCTGGCCGGCCGCGATATCACGTATTTTGTGCAGCAGCTTCTCCGTGAGCGAGGTGAGTCTGTGAATATTCCTGCGGAGGACAGTCGTCGTGTCGCCGAAAAGATCAAGGAGGATTACAGTTATGTATGCCAGGACATTGTGCGAGAATTCCGTCGATTTGACGAAGATCCATACAAGTACTTTGAACGCTACGAAGGCGAGCACTCTGTGACGGGACGTGTACGTACCTTGCTTACTGACCCAAGCGCTATTCGGTAGATGTTGGCTATGAGCGTTTCCTAGCGCCGGAGATTTTCTTCAACCCCGAAATTGTATCTTCTGACTTCTTGACGCCGCTGCCTGAGGTTGTCGACCAGGTGATCCAGCAGAGCCCAATTGATGTGCGTCGTGGCTTGTACAAAAATATTGTTCTTTCTGGTGGGTCGACCATGTTCCAACACTTTGGCCAACGCCTTAAGAAGGATCTGAATGCCATCGTGAGCCAACGTATTGCTGCCTCGGAGGCGGCTAGTGGCAACCTGGCTCGCAGCTCTGGGTTGGAAGTCAACGTGATCTCCCATCGTATGCAACGCTATGCCGTCTGGTACGGCGGCTCTCTTCTGGGCTCGTTGCCAGACTTCCACTCATTCTGTTACGACAAGAAAGATTACGAGGAGCATGGCCCTAGCATTGTGCGCAAGTTCAGTGTGCTCGGCGGTATGTAGACGCTAGGGAGTGTGCGCCCGTGGTTGCTGCTTTGGCTAGAGAATATATATAAAAGTACACTGATATGCCTGTCTACTCCCACACTCGCAGCGTGCCTGCGACATCGGCCACGATCATGCAACGGAACGGCACCTCCAAGTATCCTAGCGCCGTGATAGTATGCTGCTGCGCCTGCATCGATGTGGTGCCTGCATGAACAGCCTTGGCCTGCTCGTGAATATGAAGCGGCGTATGTAGTGGTGCATCGGTCGGAAGCTGAACAGCATGGTGATAATGCTGCAGGGAGCCCTGCGACGTCAGGGAGAATTCGCCGCGGACGTCGCAACCCCATGCTGTGCTATGTTCCGCGCGACCTAAATCCCAGAACCGCACAATTCGATCGGACCCGCCCGTGATCACATAGCCACAAGGCGCCTCGCTGCTCTGCGAAGGAGAGCTGGTGTAGCCATCCACGCTCGCGACCACGGTCCATATGCCATCAGTCATCGTGGTGGCCGACGCTGACACGTCTTGAGCCAACATGGCAACGAGCGCCGCAGTGTTCACATGATCATCCGTGTCTTCGGTGATGGGTGTGCACAGTGTACCTACGGCGGGCGTTGCGTCGCTTTCCATTGAGCCCACGTGCCACACACTGTCCATCGTACCCTGCTCAAGATCTAGACAGGTCATTTGGGGCACTGCTGCTTCCCATGCGACCAACACGCATCGAGGTCGCGTTGGATGCAGAGTACACGCGCGAATTTGTGCGGGGGTGCCATCGCCCACCGCCCATGTCTGCGCGCGCAGCTGGAACCGAAGGTCCCACAAGGCAACCCGGCCTTGCGACGTACACGCACACACCCAGTGGTGCTCGCGATCGATGGCCATGCAGGTGATGGCGCCCCACGCACGTGGTTGAGCGAGGGTCGATAGGATGCGCATGGTGCGTATGTCCCACACATGCAGGCGACCTGTGTTGGTGCCGAGGAGGACGGTCGGCACGGCCCCTCGCACATCCTGCTGCAAGCTGGTAACATACTCCCCTTCCTCCAGCTTCTTGCGGCCCAAGACCTGAGGGCGTGTATATCGTGGAAGCGTTTGACTTACGTGAATTGTGACGCCCCAAACGTGAATGGAACCATCACGCGCCGTACTGACAACGCAGTGTGTACCTTCCAATACACAAACACATGTGAGGGGGGCATGATGGGCTGGATACGTGAGGCGTGAACGTGACGTGACATTCTTTTCAAGGCGGGTCGTGTCCCAAATTTTGACGGTGCCATCGTCTGAGCCACTGACGAAGAACACATGATCGGAAGCCACCGCTACACACGTAATGGCTGCCGTGTGCTCCGAGAAATAGGCAATCAAATGACCTTGCGGTCGTCGGTTGCTCACAGGGGCACGGCGTACCGGCAACGCGGCCGTCGGCCAAGTCGATACAGGCTCCGATACGGTGGCTGGCATTTTCAGTCCATGCTCGTACGCCGCTTCCAAGTGTGCGTGGATGTACGGATCCACACCTTCGTACGTGCTGCCCATACCAGCGGAGAGCGTAGTTGAGGCTGCAGGCGCATGGCCCAGGGGCTCGGTAATTCGCTCTGTGCTCGCACGTTCCGCGTGAGCGGTGATTAGGGAGGTGCTTGTTTGCGCGATGCTAGGCGCGGAGAGGAAAGGTAGCTTGAGTGATCGATCTGAAATGGAGGCAGCATCGTCCTGCATACTCGGCGCACGGCTTGGACGTGCGTGTGATGCGGGAGGAGGTGGGGGCGGCGTTCCAGGCCGCGAGGGACTCAGCACGAAGCCTGCTTCATCGCTCCGCTTCTCGTTCACAGGGGTAGCTACTGGGGCTTGAACGCCGCGGTGCTGCATCCTATCCTGCGCCATCCGCACAGACATAGCCGAGGGAACGACCATGGGCACATTGCGTGGCGTGAAGAAGATTGTCTGCTGCGAAACACCTTCCAGCGACGTAGATGGAGGCGCACGCGTCGATCGACTCGGCGCGTTTCCACGCCGCTCAATGTACCACCACAGCGCTGCCAGGTTCCGTGGATCGTGCGTCATATCCATCCCGAGCGAGTGAAGACGAGCTAACATGGCACGCTCATCGTCCGTTGAAGGCGCAATCGTAGTTGGCGGCGGGACAGTGGGCGGGCGCACAATCGTGTCCATATGATCCCGCACCGCTTGATGCATCGTGTCCTCATCTGTAACGACAGCCACCGCATGCGCACGCCAGAACGTGGCCAGGGTGGAAGAAGGATGCGAGGCTCCTGCGATACAGGCGTGCAGCACGGCTGGCGCTACAGGATCGCGCAAATGACTCCAAATGGAGAGCGTCGTGCATGTGGCAATGTCGCACCGCAAATAAGGGCGAAGCAGCATGTAGATACGCATCCACCGCTCGGCCATTTCCGACTCGCCACAGTCCACGGCAGCCACAAGAACGCCTACACTCGCTTCGCGGATCCATGTATTGGGATACGCGAGTAAACTTGCCACGTACTGCAAGAGCTCCCACAATGTACCCCGCCGCAGACGTCGCAGCAGGCAGGGAAGCGAACGTAGAGCTGCCACGACGACCAAGTCATCTCCATCGCCCATGGCTTGCACCAATACAGGGTGCATATACTGCTCCAAAGCGTGCGGACTGATCATCGGCTCTAAGTCGACCATCGCCGTGAATACTGCCTTCCGCAGCTCGGCGTCTGGGTCGTTGAGGTACGTCAAGACATGGCTGAGAAGCTCCGACTGCACATACTCAGGCCCCATCAGCAGGCCCCATGTCAGACTATGCGTCAATAGCGCACGACGCACTTGCGGCGATGCATCCGTGACAAACAGAGCCACTTGATCACGTACAAAGAGACGAAGAGAGTGTACGTCCTGCTCAAACGAGTCGCTGGCCTGCGTATGGGCCAGACGCAGCGCTTCTGTCACGAGGCGTGCTAAGCATGACACCGTCGTCGTACGCACATGCTCGCTCGGATCGGATACGAGTGGCGCCACATGCGGCCACACAAAGTCGTGAAGGACCCCATCGTTGCTCGGCGAGATTTGCGAGACGCACTCAAACAACGTCGCCAGACCATGCATCGCCATGGCACGTACACGAGGACTGGGATCTTCCAGCAGTGACGCAAAGTAGGGCAGGACCCGATCAAAGCGAGCCTCGTCTGTAAGCCAGCCCCAAACAACATGCAGTAGTAGTTCCATGGCATGAAACTTGGTCGATGCACGCTGCGCATGCCGTACGTTGGCCAGAAGTACACTCAATACCACCAACACTTCATTATCACTCTTCACGTGAATGCGTGGTACGCAGTCGGGGAGCGATAGGCGTGGGATGGCACTATGCAGCTGCACATCCTGGGTCTGACCCGAGGTGGGCACGTCGCCAAAAAAGCGAACCAACGTAGCCCAGTCCTCGTACAGCTTTTCAATACGGTCGTCTGGCTCTAGCAGCCGCATAAGACGCGCTTGTTGCCAGCGCTCGTCCGTCGACTCATGAAGCCCTGAGGCCTCATCCTCTTCGCCCGTACGCCGCTGCAAGTCCACCAGGTACAAATGAAGGATCGCATAAAACGATTCAGGGAAGACTGTGCCCTGGGAGCCATGCAACAAGCTGTCCAAGGTAGGTCGCGCCCCAGGGTCGACTTGCAGCATGTCATGGACAAGGGCACGAATGCCAGCATGTGGTATCTCCTCCAGCATAGGCTGCAGGTCCAACTCCCCTTTACGGTAGCGGAACAGCTGACTGAGAGTAAAGAGCGGCGTGCCGTCCCGCCAGAGCTCTGCTAGCACACACCCAAGAGAAAACACGTCCATAGCCTCCGTGATGGGGTGCTGAGATCGTTCTAGGCCCAAATGCTGCACATAGGATTCATTCGGAAGGCCCGATGGCATGGATGGATGGGGCGGCGATGACGCGGGTAAATCTGCTAGCGATTCGTAAAACCGTTCGGGGGCAATATAGCATGTGCGCCTGGCTGACGAGTCGAAGAACAAGGAAAAGTCACTGGGGTCATCCAGAGGTAAGTATGTGGGCTTGAACGACGATGAAAAGTCGGTGATGTACACCGTCAATGACGACGTCACGAGCACATTCTCACACTTTAAGTCGCCATGTGGAACGTGGCGCTCATGCGCAGCACGCAATGCGTACAGAAGCTGGTAACTGATCCACAGTTTTTCCACTTCACTGAGAAAAGGTCGCGTGCTGATGCGGTCGTACAAGCTGCATTGAAGCCATTGACGGATCAAATACGCCGACGTCTCCGTCTCGATGACACGCTGTGTCGCCAAGACATTCGGCACGTTATCCAATGCTTCACTTTCCCCTAGATGTGAGTGTCGATCATCACATACACTGAAGCCGACGCACAAGGGCACGTAGGCGTATCTCCGAGTCAGGCTTGGTGAACGTCTTGATCACAAGGGACCCCATGGCATGCTTCACACGGGCCGCCCGCAATATACGCGATGTGCCCAGACTGCACTGTGAGATTCTCACACACATACCTGCACTCATAACTCAAACTAGGGTCTAGCAGGAGCTCTGTAGCCCCTGCAGGACGATGGGCTGTACCGCTTATCGTGTTGCCCATGCACGATACCTGGTGTCAAGTAGGAGACGCGGTCGGACACGGCTGCCAAGTGGAGGAAGAGCACCGCGTCAGCAGCGAAGGAGAAAACTATTGGTACACTACAGATCAATGAGACCCGCCTTGCGAATGCTGGTGTGTTAGTCTTCTCCCACACGTATACGTACGCGCGCTTAATTTCGCCAGCAGTCTTTTGCCATACGTTGCGCTTCCGATCACGCGCCATCGCTTGTACGTCCGTACCATGCGCACAAATCAGCTCCACAAGCCACTGGTGCTCTGCCACCGACGTAAAGCGCGGCACAGGCTTGTCTTCGCTGGACAACTTTTCCAAAGCTTTGTATAAGTCATATAGAGACATACCTTGCACCGTAGCACCTTCCTTGCCTTCATGCAGACGCGGAGGCAGCATCGTGAGGTTCGCAGGCTCGTCTTCATCCTGGTTCAGCGTGTCGCCCCATGGCGTCTTTGTGTCGGCCTCCTCTGCCTCTTCTTCATACTCGACAATGTCTACGACACGGCCCTTTTCATCACGAATGACACGTGCCATGCCTTTGCGGGGACGGCTGTTCTCACTCTCCGCTGGCGCTTGCGAGGACATAGCCGCCTTGTTATAAGGATCATTTCGATCAAGACCACCTGATTGCTGTGCTAGAGACGGAACTAGACCCAGCTTGGCATAGCTGCGTGGTCAGCCTGCATGCATACGTACTTCTGGCGCACTGTCAACGTTGGGTCCCAATTTTCACGCAGAATATCCGGACCCATTACCGTGGGCGCACGCTTCAAGCGCTTGTTCTGTGCACGCTTCGCACTCTTGGTCGCGCCCGAGTATTTGCCCGAACGCGCCTTACGACGCTGCCGTGGGTTCGCCATCGTGGTAGTCGAGCGTGCCTTCAGGCCTATGCAAGGATGGACCAACTTTTTTTGACTGTCACGTGCTTGCTTGGACACTATGGTACACAGGCCACCTGGGGCCAGTGAGCTAGCCGTAAATGGAGGCGTGGATGGATTGCAAGCGACGCAGAAAGCCAGTGCCAGTGCCTTGCGCTGAACTGGAGGCTATTTGCCTCTCCTTGGTCTCTGGCGCGCCGTAATCCAGCTCTTGGATCTCATGATCCACGTGGGCAGATGGCATGGGCCGACCAAAGGACGTGGGCAGCGCTGCACGGAGTGGATCGACAGGCACATCATGCACCGCCTCGTACTCTCTATCGTGGTTCTCCGCTTCTTTTTCCATAGATAGGGCTTGCTTGACGTGCCGCTGCATTTGAAGGTACGCCTGCGTAGCTGCATCTTCTTCTTGCTCGTACTGATCGTTGTACCACGCTTCACAGTCTGTACTGCTGATCGTCATACCAGCCGGAATCTCATTGGGCGGAAGTTGAGATGGGGGAGGCACTTTGGGGAGAGACGAGGTGGGAGTCGAGGATCGAAGCAGCTCGGAAGCTGTCGTGAAGGAAGGCTTTGGCAGGGCCGGCGCAGGTGCTAGACGAGAGCGTCGTTTCCGATGTCCCACGGTCGTACGGGCCAGCATGCGTGCAGCGATGGCTTCCAGCCCAGACACTGGGGTATCAGGCGTGACGTCTTCGTTTTGATGGATATCAATGTCCAACTTGCCACCACCTGGAGGTAAGACGACAGGCTTTGTGGTGACATACACGTTTGCTTGATCCGAGCTATGTTGCTGCTCTGCCTCAGCAGCAGTTCGTCGGCGTTCTCGACGCTTTTGGTTTTTGCGCTTAGTACGCTCTTTGCCCTGCCCTGGTGGGACCCACAATAATGCGTCTTGCTTGACATCAGACGTCTGAGATGGCTGCGACCCTGGGTTGTTTTCGTCATCGTCGGAGTTGTCGTCTTCACCAGAGCCTTCATCTGCATCATCATCTGAGCTCTCATTGGAGTCTTTATCGGAGTCTTTATTAGAGTTTTCGTCAAGGCCTTTATCAGACTCTTCATCAGAGTTTTCGTCAGAGTCTTCTTCAGACTCTTCATCAGAGTTTTCGTCAGAGTCTTTATCAGACTCTTCATCAGAGTTTTCGTCAGAGTCTTTATCAGAGTCTTCATCAGAGTTTTCGTCAGAGTCTTTATCAGAGTCTTCATCAGAGTTTTCGTCAAAGTCTTCTTCAGACTCTTCATCAGAGCTTTCGTCAGAGTCTTTGTCCGAGTCGGAGTCAGAGCTATCAGATGACGATGATGAAGATTCATCCTCATCCTCATCCTCTTCTTCTTCTTCGCTAACAGGTACTGAGCCACTTTGCACTTCAGTCTCCACTTCTTGTTCTTCCTTTTTATCAGCCGTGAAGGAATCACCGATAATGTCCTCATAGTCGTTTTCATCCTCGTAGTCCAGCTCATCCAGCTCGTCTGTCTCATTTAACGCGTCATCGTATGTATTCTTCATGACCTCGCCTTCTGTCTTCTGCTTAGATAGGCGCTCCTTCTTGCGGCGCTCAAACGCATCCATAGCTGCCTCTACCGACGACATGGCCGAAGGGCGTGAAAACGGAGGGACAAAAGCGCTGGAAGCTTTCCGCTTCGAGGTTGCACCCTTTCGGGAGGAAACACCTTCGCATTCAGACTGCATCAAGAGAGCAATACGGCTTGCTTCTGCCATAAGATCGCGCTCCGCATCCTTGTCGATAACCGAAGAGGTGGCATGGTTGTCTGTTGCAGCGCCTACCTTTCTCCGCTTGGTACTCTGCTGCTTGCGAGCGCTGCATGTAAGCAAAATTCATACGTACACAATCACATCTCCCTCACGAACCGTACGCCCAGGATGATCAAGCAGTGCAAAATCGTCGAGCGTAAGATGCAGCTGGTACGGCGCACATTCGTCCCCATCGTAATGCGAGATCAAAGTCTGTGCGATACGTTCCTGCAAGTCTTCAAGGGTATCATTTTCCACTACATTCATCCAGAACTGAGCCTCTGGAAGTGGATCATGCGTGGTAACGCGCACACGCACGTTTTCCCTGTCGCCACTTTTTGCCATGGTGAACACGATGCCTGTGCGCATCCAAGAGATGCACGAATGTGACGCGACGCGTGCACTGCGATCGGCCGAAATGCACCGCTGTGCCAGACTGGCTCCACTTCGCACTTGCAACGTGAGGGACGCCACTGGAGCGCAATGCCGGGAGGGCCTTCGTCCGCATGGCTTCATTCCATTGATGCGACCTATGAGCTAGTGGAAGTACCGGAAGTCCGGGAGAAATATCCCGTGTTGGCACAGAAAGTGGCGGCTACGATTACCGCGTGTGAAGAAGCACTTCGTGACTATGGGTGGCATCACTGTGCTCTCAGCTTCAATGGCGGCAAAGATTGCACCGTGCTTGCGCATATCCTTACAGCGGTGCTGCGCCGATTAAATGGATGTGAGTCGCACCAGTCTGTGCCCACCATTGAGTCCCTGTATGTGGCCTGTTCGCAGCCGTTTACAGAGGTTGAGCAATTTATTGAGTATGCCGCGTCTGAGGAGACAGGCTACCACCTCATACTTCATACGACGAAAGGCGATCTAAAAACTGCGCTTACTGAGTACAAAGAAGGTGAGAAGGGAAAAGACATTACTGCCATCTTTATTGGCGTGCGACGTGACGATCCGCAGGGTTCAACGATTCATGTTCGATCGAAATGCGATCCATCGTGGCCGCCCATCATGCGTATTCACCCGCTGCTGGATTGGGAGTACGAAGATGTATGGGCCTTCCTGCGGTGCCCTCATTTGCGGGTCGGCGCGACTTCCTCCCATGTACCATCGTACGTGGCTGGCCAAGAAACGGGGGTGCCATACTGCGCCCTGTACGATCAAGGATACACGTCCCTTGGCAGCCAGTACAATACTATTCGCAACCCTGAACTCAACATACCCGGTACAGACACATACGACCCGGCCTATAAACTACGTGATGGTTCCTTGGAACGTGCAGGACGGCTTAAAGATGTCCGTAGACCTACGTCGACGTAGCTGTATTTTTCTTTGACTTACTGTTAGACGAGGGTTTTTGGTGAGGCTTGGCCTTCGGCTTGCCCTGCTTCGGCTTGGGAGGGTGCGAAAGCGCTGGCGCTGGCGTAGGCGTAGGCATCTGGCCCTGGGGTTTCGGCGAATTCCATGCATTGGGCTTCGCAGGCTTCTTCAGTGAGAGAGCCGCGAGATGTGACGTGGCGGCGTCCACCTGCTTGTTTGAGGCGGGGCTACGCGCTTTGGCATGCTGCAGGCCACCCGAAGGCGTAGCGGGTTGGAAGAATTTCATACCGCCAGATCGGCTTTGCGGGCCGCCCATCACCGTCACTTTCGGTCGTGCTAGGTTTTCTGCGTGGAGCGTACGTTGGAGCGGCGTCGACTGCATCGCAGCCAAGTCTGACAATTCGCCCCACTTGGTCGCAATTTGCGGCGTGCTCAGGTTGAGCACATGCGCACGGCCCACCGTCGCGCCACGGTACTGGGAACAAATACCGCCTAGCGTCGTACCAGCGAGGAACGGCGCGTCAAATACCACGTCAATGCTGTCGGTGCCGATTGCAACCACAGTACCCTTGGCAGCCAGTGGAACGAAACCAAAGTCCAGGACATTGATCACACGATCACCGAGCTCAAACGACTGCTCTGGTACACGGAACTTGGCATGCTCGGGTTTAAGCAACGCTTCGCGAGGCAAGCCACGCAGGATTTGGCGCTTGATTGCTCCGCCTTCAGCACGGCGCTGGGCAATGATCGCCACGGCGGATTCCAGCACCTCGATAATCGGACGCTCCAAACGCTCCACGTACAACGGCACATCTTCCAAGTCGCGCAGATGATGCTCCTTTTGCCACGCCCGCAGCGCTGTCATACGCTCGTCTGTCTTGGTGGGGAACACTTCCTCCACATCATAGTACTCGCCGTCATTCAGCCGACGAGCAAGAATGCGTGGGATCTCGGGGAACGCCTTCATAAACTCCACGACCAGCAGAACCGCTCGCTCACTGTACTCCCAGCCCTGGTGGCCACGGCGTGTGTACCCAAGGACCTTTCGGCTACGCGCCTCGAACTTGAGGTTGAGGCCAATGTTGCTTTTCTGGCCATGGTTCATAATAAAGATGCTGCTTGTCAGCTTGGAAAGGACCAACGACGAGATCTTCAGCCGGTTCGCCACTTGCCCAGCGTGGAAGTACGAGTCCTGTGCACGCTGCTGCACAAGCTTGCGAATAATCGAGTGCTCCTGCACAAGATCAGCAATAAACGCCAACTCTATCGTCACTGTATCCCCAGCTGTGCCGATCACACGGCCTGGGCATCCAAAGCCAGGCGAGCCCAAGAAGAAGACCCTCGTACTATCGGGGAACGCTTCAGCCACAGACATGCTAGGATGCTCCAAGAACCGCGTGTCTTCATGCTTCACCTTATCAATGACCAAGGGCCATGGGGACACAACTTCAGCATCAGGCAGTGGCTCATATTCTTTCTTGATCGAGCCATCGTAGCCTAGAATAAGACCTTTCAGCGGTCGCACATGCAATAGCACATCCACTGCTCCCAGCACCACACCGTAGCGATTTGCATAGCGCGAGGTGATATGGGAAGTTTGCTTGCGGAACGCCAACGACGCTTCGCCTCCCACATCATGACGAATGCCCACTTGGTTCTTCTTCCACACAGCACGGAAGCACTCGTTCGAATCGCTCACACCTACCACTAAACCTTCAAAGAGGTACGGCCAGTGAATGTATGTCGACGTGCCAATCAGCGTCTTGGCCAACGCCTCGGTGCTGGGCTTCTCGCCACGTGGCTCAATGGCCAGAATCATCGACAGGCCCTGCGAGGACGTCCCATGGACATTGACGCCAAACTTGCGCAGCGACGGCTTGAATGACAGCGTCTTCATGGAGGGGAAGCCAGGCATGGCATCCAAGCCGAGACCTACGCCCTCCGGCAAAGTCTTCACAAACGACTTGCCTTCCATCGAGGGAAGAACGTACTCGGAAATGCGCGTATGATTGTCTGGCAGGTCAGGTAAGAAGCCTGGCAAGCTTGACGGCATTACGCGTGTGTATGAGGCATCGTACACAAACTGATGCGGCACTCCATGCGTATTGCGCTCACGCTCCTCCGCCGTCAATCCATTTGCACGACGATGCAGAACGTCCAAAAGACGCGACTCCTCAATGAAGGGAATTTTCACAACGGCTTCCCAACTGTTCTTCTTGCCATTCATATCACTCTCGTACTTGGTCGGGTAAAAGTCAAGAATGGACGAGCTGGGATCGGTCATGAGATCCTGGAACGCCGGTGGAATAAGCTGCTTGCTGAGCGGCGGCAGCACACCCATCAACTGCTCAAACGGCAGGAATGGCGTACCTTTCTCGAAGTGGAACGTAAAGTCGGAAATGTTACGCATATCGGACACCTGTGGTGCGTAGTGGTAGCGGTAAAACCAGCCCCAGGAGGCATTTCCTTCGTAGTAATAGTGCAAGACCCACTGCATGCCTTCAATGTAGTTGTACACAAGATCTTTCACAGCGTCTGAGCCATATTTAATGCCCATCTTCGTCTGATAATACGACGATTTCCATGCCACCAGCTTGTCATCAATCTCACGCTCACGCTCGGCCTGCAGAGGTGGCTCAGTCGGAAGCGACGTCTCCTCCGACGCTTCGTCGTTGGCCTGACCCGGCACTTCCACACGCGCATCCAGGTAGGGCTGCAGCGCCTGACGTACAGCCGCCTCGCTCTGCTCAAGAAACTCCATGTCATAGGCATCATCACGACGAATCGCTTTGAGTGTCGAGGTTGGGATCGACATGGTCGTAGCTGTCGTATCACTCACAGGATCGTACTCGTTCTCCAGCCATTCAAGCTGCAAGGCATCCGCCAAGCCATGCAAAAATGTGAGGTCGGCGGCAGGCAGCTTCGCAGGGAACGCCAACGACGTCTCTGCAGAGCCGGGGTCCGCACGGAATTTGACAGCGAATTCGTGCACCTTGGTCACCCAGTCACGCTGCTGAGGCGTCATACACATTTGCATCGCTTGGCCCTTCTTGCCCTTGCCCTTGGCTTTGGTCTTGGATGGTGCTTCCTGTTTGGGCATGTGGTCACGCACGAAATTATCACGCTCCAACTGGAATAGCTCATTGATGATCAGCTGCAAACGTTCCGGATGCAAAATGCCCTGCTCATTCAGGTAGCCCCCAGCCTGCGGTAGCACCTTTTCATAGATCCGGAACAAGAGCTCAATAGCACCTTCGTTGATATGCAGGCCTGGCAAATGCGGTAAAAAGTCATTGCCGACAAACAAGTGCAATAGGATATAGTCGTCAATGATCCTCTCCAAGTCAAAGGGGAACGACAACTTGGTCTTCAGCGCATCGAATTCCATCTCCAAATATTCACGCAGTAGCGAAAGGTGCAGCAGGTAAAATGTCTGTGTCTCCAATCCACCCGTCTTCTTTCCACGGCGAGGACCGAACGTCACCTCTTCACGGAGCAAAGCAAAGTGCGGGTCGTGACTGAGCAAACCCAACATGATCAAATCCGCGTCCAAACCATAAAGACAGTGACGTGTGTTGGGATCATAGCCTGGTTGTGCCTTGAGCGTACGCACAAACTCCATAATCTTGTGCTCACCCTCACCGCATGCCTCATGCCCCGAGAGAATCACTTGCACATCCCGCCAATTCGCATCTTCTGACACCTTCTTGGCAATAAAGTACTCGAGCTGTCGAGACAGCTTCCGCATAAACACGGTGCCTGGCGTGATACAGTTGGAATCAAAGGGCGGGGAATCAGGGATCTCTTCGCCGCGGCGGACAGCTTTGTCATGGGCCTCCTTGGCTTCTTGCGCCGTACGGAAACGACGCGAGCGCTGCTGATTCATCTTGGCACGAGGCGCCACACCATCAATTGCAAGGAAGAAGACCTTCTTAGGACGAATTTTGGCAAAGAGATGCTCGATGTACGCAAATATGCCTAAGAAGATATCTTCTTCGGATATCCGGAACGTAGCCTCTCCATCTCGCGGATGCGAACTGCGGTGTCAGTTGGGCGTATGTCTTCGTACCAGTTATGAATAATACCATTCATGTCTGTGGGGTGAGTGCCCACATGCTGAACGTACCTAGATAGAGATTGTCAAACTCAGGTATACGGTTCTCTTCCACGAGTTGCATAATGACTGCGCGTTAGCTCCCATAGCGCCTAAACGTACGCGGATAACGCTCTGAGAGCCATCGAAAATATTTCGGCACACCTGGAAAGCATGTTAGGCATCCTGCTTAGCACATGACGTACCCATCGTGCCGCGTTGCTCTCTTGTTACAGTTGGGAGCGACGAAGCGCGGCGTGTTCTCGCCACGTGACAATAGCGCAGGACATAGGTCAGCCAACCACGGTGCCCCACAGTGCGGCGGAGACGTGCGGTTCCCTATGCGTCAGGTGGAGAAACCCCACCATAGTTGCGCACGGCCGTGTTGCAACGTTGCCAACATGGAACGACGACACTCGAAAGCGCGCATGGACGCGCTGTTCAATGAGAGTTATGTGAATGAAGAACACATGCAAGCCTATGCTGAGGTATTGCGGCAAGAAGAAGCTGCATCGCATGGAATTGGGCGTCTAGATTCAGTGCGTCCCGTCTCAGCGGCCTCCGACTTTGCCCCCATCTGTGAGCCTGTGAAGAAAGGCCAAGACGAAAGGGATATGGGCACGCGTATTCATATGGATCGCTCCATTCCTGAAGGCATCATGTACTCGATTATGCGCTGGCCCCTTCTTGGTATTATCTTCCTCTTTATCTTTACCGAGTTTGCCCTCTATGTCACTGTACGTCAAGTGGTCAATATCATGGAGAAGTTCAGCTCATGGAACGGCAAGAATGGCAAGCTACGTCAAAGTCTACGTGATGCGCAGACGTACCCAGAATGGAAGCGCACAGCGTTGGAGTTCGACCGGTTTCGCAAGTACGATGAGTGGAAAGCCAACGATGCGAGTCCCTTTTACGATTGGCGCTTGGTCCAGCGCGTGATTGCTGCGATGAAAGTCACGCGGCAGAAGGAAGATGCACATGCGTTGATGGGCGTACTGCACCTATGCTTGAAGCATGGATTTGCCGGCATTGAAAACCTCGCGTTGTACAGCCAATCCTTCTACGGAACGAAGCACTTGATTGAGCAATACTACTATGAAGTGGACAAGGCATTGCAATTCTTCGAAAAGTCGACCGACATTGAGCCGCGTGTGAAACGCGCTTTCTACAATTCGACGTCGAAAAACTTGGGCCGCACAGCACTATGTTTGAGCGGCGGCGCGAGTTTCGCGTATTACCACATTGGCGTTGTGCGTGCGTTGTTGGACGGCAATCTGCTTCCGAATATTATCAGTGGCACGTCGGCAGGTGGCTTGATTGCAGCCTTGATATGCACACGGACGAATGAAGAGCTGAAGGACATTCTTGTGCCAGAGCTGGCCCATAAAATCACCGGCTGCGATGACCCCTTACACGTATGGATCGTACGTGCGTGGAAGACGGGGGCCCGATTCGATGCAGTCACTTGGGCACGTAAAGTGCAGTTCTTTACGCATGGCTCTCTTACCTTCCGGGAGGCCTTTGAGCGCACCGGCAAGACGCTGAACATCAGTGTCGTGCCGTTTGATCAGCACTCGCCTGCCCAGCTGCTCAACCACGTTACAGCGCCAGACTGTCTTATTTGGAGTGCTGTGCTGGCTTCGGCCGCTGTTCCCGGTATCTTGAACCCTGTCTTCTTGATGCAGAAGCAGGCTGATGGCACACTCAAGCCGTGGAGCTACGGCAACAAGTTCCGCGACGGCAGCCTGCGTGTGGACATTCCGTTGGAAAAGCTTCATTCGCTGTTCAACGTGACGTACCCGATTGTGTCGCAGGTCAATCCACATGTCCACTTGTTCCACTACGGCTCGCGCGGGGCACCGGGGCGCCCGACAGCGTACCGCCGTGGCCGCGGATGGCGTGGTGGATTCCTGCTCTCTGCCGCAGAGCACATTCTGAAGCTCAATCTGATTACCAATTTTAAGATTATGCGTGATCTGAATCTCATGCCGAAACTCTTGGGCCAGGATTGGTCGTCGGTGTTCTTGCAGGACTTTGCCGGGTCGATCACCATCTACCCCAAGACGCGCATCATGGACTGGCCGCATATCCTTACGGATCCGGACCCTAGTGATCTGGCACGCATGATGCGATCGGGCCAGTATGTGACCTTCCCGAAGCTGCACATGATCAGCAATCGCGTACGTATTGAGCGCGCCATTGCGCGCGGCCGCAGCATGCTGCGTGCGATGGACAACACGTCGGACAAGGAAGATGAGAGTGATACGGAAGTGCTCGATGCCTCGCTGGATGCATCGGAAATGATCATGAACGCGGGCGGCAATGGCACCCCGAAACCTGCGACCAATGCCTGGGAAGCGGAGCAGGAAGATGTGATGCAGCGTACAGAAAATGGCCTGCTAAAGATGTACTCACCGAACCTGTACCGCTTCCTGGACGAGTATGAAATGAGCAATGCGCCATCGCCGGCCGAGTCGGATGGCGAGGGCGAGGCTGGCACACAGGGGAACGGTTCGTCTGTCGGTGCACGTCGCCGACGTCGTCCACCGCTGTTGGACGTACGTCGGATCGAGGATCCGGCTCATCGCCATCAGGCTCGACGGGCGCTGATGGAAATGCGGCGATCGCACAGTGAATCGTGGATCGTTCCCACGCTGTGCATGCCTGATGCGGACGACGAACCGTCCCATAGTCCGTACTAGCAGCAACGTAGACAACGAGCACAGACCATGATGACATAATCTCGTCGCTGCGGCGAGGCAGGCCTCGCTCTCGATCTTGGCTGGCGTGGAGCGTGCGCTTCGATTACGATCGGTCTCTCTCGTAAGGGACGCCAAGCGATGGCGGGTGTAGGCGAGCAGCCTCAAGATGTATCAGGGCCCCGAGCAATGGTGGTGGGGCCCAGTGCGCCAGTGCCAGGACCGGAGGGGCAGATCAGCCATATTGAGTCGGCCGTGACGCGTCTTCTTGTCGCGACCAAGATGCTACTGGAATCACTAACGCACTGGTCGCAAGGCAAAGAGACGGAAACCAATGTCTCTCAGATCTATGTACGACTCGGCAACGACTTCAATGCGGCTCTCTCGTCGTTTCTCAGTGTGCATATCGACATGGCGTATGTGGACATGCAGCGTAGGCGACTAACTTGACAGGGATCTGTATTCGGTGCCAGCCGACTTACGGCGGTGCTTGGAAGCATGCTTATCCGAGCCTGCCTCACCAGAAGCGCTTGAGCGTCATTTGCCGAGCATTCGCGAGATTATTATTCGGCTCCTGCAAGGTCTCAAAGCCAAGCAAACGCTCTACCGACAACGCCAGGCAGAGGCCGCGTTGACGGCGCCTGTGCCCGTGCCAGTACCTGTCGCGGTGGGCACAGGCACAGAAACGTCAGCGGCGACAAGTACGTTCCCGAAACGACGGCCATTGCCGCCACCAGGGCCCAGCGGCCCACCGTCGTCGAGGCCCACCAGTCTTCTGATGTCGTCAGCGCCGATTACCGAGCCACCAGCGACGCCGAGTCATGCGGGTACGAATCCATCGTCGGCGCGGTCCTCACCGACCAAGTTCGGGAGTGTCGCAAGTACCAACGATCCTCAAGCGAGCTTGCGTCGGAGTGATGCCCTGGAGCGACGTGCAAGTAAGCGCTTTAGTGCGTATGCCTTCAACAAGATGGGGGCAGGTTCCGGCTTGCTAGCCGCGCTGGGTACCACGACGCCGTCCGTGAGTCCGCGTGGAGCTGAGCGTCTTACTCCGCAGAGTACGTTGCCGCGTGTTCAGGAACAAACGACCGGCGCACGAGCGATCCCGACACCGGCAGAGACGCCGACACGCGCACCCACGCAGGCAGCCATGGCGACGAGCGCGTCGGAGATGGCATCGACAGACAAGGCCTTGCCGGACATTGTATCATCGCCCACGACGATGCCGCTGTTCTTCCAAGTCCACGACCATGTGCACAAAGTCTCTGTCCCGATCGATGTATCTATGGAGGACCGAGGATTGAGTCTCGCACAGCTACGTATGATATTTGTCCACCAATTTTCCCATGCCGTGGAATTGGATCAAATTCCCGACGTATACATTAAGGATCCTACGACAGGCGTCGCCTACCTGCTGGAGAACATGGACGACGTGCAGCCCAGGAGCGTCTTGCTGCTACGTGCCTTGCCGAAGGCCAAGACGCCGGAATCGAACGGCATCACGCAGCTCCGAGAGGACATCACCACAGCGTTGCAGAGTGTTATGCACGAAATCCACACATTGAAGGCGATGTACGCCACGACGCCGCGCAAGGACAGTGCCGTGGGCACGCCCATTCTCGACGCTGATTTCCAACGAGCTGGGGACCGTTTGATGCACTTGGCAGCGACGGCACACCCCGACGTGTCTACGGGCGACACGTCGGGGGCGTCGCAGCGCAGCGCCGCGTATGCCCATGAGCTCAAACGGCAGTACGAGGCACTGCAGCATCTACGCAACGATTTTGCTGTGCTGCGACAGGTCCAGGACGAGAGCGAGCAGGATATGCGGCAAGTGTTTGCACAGGTGCGTGAGCAAGTCCATGCAATGCATGATGTCGTAGCCCTTGGCCCTTCGGCGGGGCGCAACCTGGTCGAGTCAGGCAAGACGCAGCTCGATGCCAAGTCGCAAGCGGTGTTGACGAGTGTGGAGGATCTGCAGGATGTGATTGAAGACTTGAAGTTGGACGTGGGCCACCGCGGCGTGAAGCCCAAACCGATGGAACTGCGTCGGATTCAGCAGGAGATTGCACAGGCGACGCAGCGTTTGCACGACTTGGAAGAGTACATGGACTCGGTTCGCCCCTCGTGGAAACGTACATGGGAAAGCGAGCTGCAGACCATTGTGGACGAGCAAGAGTTTTTGCACTACCAAGAGGGCCTCCTTGCCGACTTGAAGCAGGATCATACCGCGCTGCAGGGCGTGTTTGCCAGCATCCAGCAAGTTGTACGGCTTCGTGATCAGGGGCCATCGCGTACCGCTGACGAGCCGGCGAAGGCCCCGCGATACGTCCCACCGCCGCCAGACGAAGAGCACCAGGGCCTGCATACGGTCATGGTGGAAGTGCGTGGGCAGTCGATTGACCATGAACGACGCTTGCGCGCGTTGCAGGCAGCGGAGCGAGCGCGCGAAAAGGCCAAAACGGCACGCACAGACGAATTCATGCAGGAAATCGCCGAGTTCGCAGATACCAAGGGCCTGCGCCGCACAGGTGGCCATCTCGAGGCCGAGCGGATCCGGCAAAAACGCGATCAGACGACGTTACGGGCTATGTGGGATGCGTAAGTATGTCCAGAAGGTATGTGTCGCATCAGCGCCTTGCACGCGCCATGCCACTTGCATGGCGACGTACGCGGGAGGCGGATCAGGAAGGCGCATGCTCAGCGACGCTTGGTGCCGATGCACACGGACGCCACTTGCAAAGCCGTCCCAGCCGGCATACGACGGCGTATCGTCGTCCCACTCTAACACGTCGACATAGGCCGGCACATGAACCTGGTAGGCCGATAACTCAGCCTCTGACCGTAGTGTCACGTCCATAGGATCCATTAGCGGGTTCTCAAGGGTCAGGGTATACAGCGACGGCGCACTGGCTGCCAGCGTGCATGCCGGCAGGAACTGGTGCGCCATCAGTTTGATTTTGTAGGCGCCCGAGCTGGTCCGCAGCTCAGGGCGGACGAGGATATGCCGGCATACCGCACACCGCTTGCTCAGCTTGCTTCGCAGACGAACACGCTGCGGACGAAGAGCGCGTGGGGCGTACGGCTGCTCACTGGGCATCGCCCATCGCTGCGCGAGCGTCGTGGATCGACTCGCCGCACGAAGCTCGTCCGCCTCGCGAGCCTGGCGTGCGGCATGCTTGGCGAGCGATTGATAAAGGGTAGGCATATAGGCTTCGTGCTCGGGCATCGAAGGGGGCTGCGCCGTCTTGCGTTGGGCATACCACCGATTCATCTCCAACACACTTGCCATGTGCTCACTGACGTTCTCAAACTCACGCACAGGCCAGTGGGCTGCGTCCCATGCATCCAAGGTAGCGCCAAGACTTTGCGGCTTGTCGGCGACGAGACCCCACCGCTTCGAGTCCCAACGGCAGTACGTGCACGAGAAATAAAACGGCTCCACCCCCTGACTCGCTTCCGGCGCGGTGAGCGAGGCTGTACGTGGCGGATCAGATCCTACAATCGATAGGACATGCGTGCAGAGCGGGCACGTAAAGCAGTTGCGGCCACAGCGTGCGTGCTGCGTACGCACACTGGTGCCTGGCACTTCAAAGAGGCAGTGGGGGCAATAGCAACTGCTCGTTTCCCAGGCCACGCAGTCGTTGCATCGTAGCTCATGGCACTCTTCGCAAAAGTACAGGTCGCAAAGAGCCGAGCTAGGTGCACGTACGTCGCTATGGGCAACCTGCTGGCCGTACAAACGCGCAGTGCAGGCACACACGACCGTGCTGCTCAGACGATGCATGCGGTCCCAGAGCGTGCCAAGGCAACGTACGCGTCTCGTCGACACTCCACAAAAGGGCCCATTTGGATAAATGGAGAAAGATACATCGCCGCCGCCCCTCCAACACCACCATGGACGACCAGGCGACAGCCAAGAACCTCAACGCTGTGTCGTCCATTGTGCGACGTGACTTTTCACGTATGCCGCTCAAGCTGGATCACAATAGCAGGCCACTTTGGATCTCGCCGGACGACGGGCACATCATTCTCGAAGGATTTAATGCCCTCGCCGAGCAGGCGCAGGATTTCCTGATCGCCATTGCCGAGCCTGTGAGCCGCCCGAGCTTTGTGCATGAATACAAGCTCACACCATACTCTCTTTACGCGGCTGTCTCTGTGGGCTTAGAACCTGACGACATTATCGAAGTCCTAAATCGGCTCTCCAAGGTCCCCGTCCCGAAATCCGTCCTGGATTTCATTCGTGAATATACCATGAGTTTCGGCAAGATCAAGCTAGTACTGAAACAAAACAAGTACTTTGTCGAGAGCTCACACCCTGATATCCTGCAAATGCTCCTCCGTGATCCTGTAATTGGCGAGGCACGCATTCGTCCGACTTCGACGACTTCCGCCACCGCCACCGCCTCGACACAGCCACCACCACCGCCCAACACCGCGGCGCCGGCGGCACAGACAGCCGATGCACCGAACGCTCCGACGGACCAGGAGCAGGACCTGTTTAGCGCCGTGATCGGCGTGTACGATGCTGACGAATTGGACGAAGACGATGCCGTCCACAGCTTCGAGATCCGTGAAGAGCATATCGAGACTGTGAAACGTCGATGCAATGACCTCGGGTTTCCCATGCTCGAAGAATACGATTTTCGCAACGATCGGCTGAACCCAGACTTGGATATTGACCTGAAGCCCATCACGCATATCCGGCCGTACCAGGAAAAGAGCCTGGCCAAAATGTTCGGTAACAGCCGTGCGCGCAGTGGCATTATCGTGCTCCCTTGTGGGGCAGGGAAAACACTGGTCGGAATTACCGCCGCATGTACCATTAAAAAGAGCTGCCTTGTGCTGTGTACGAGTAGCGTCAGCGTGATGCAATGGCGGCAGCAGTTTCTTCAGTGGAGCAATGTGCAAGAATCGCAAATCAGTGTATTTACCTCCGACGAGAAGCAGAAGTTTACCGGCGCCGCAGGCATTGTCGTGTCAACGTACTCTATGGTGGCCAATACAGGCAAACGATCTCATACCTCCCAAAAGATGATGAACTTTTTGGAAAGTCGCGAATGGGGTTTTATTCTGCTGGACGAAGTGCATGTCGTGCCCGCCTCCATGTTCCGTCGTGTGCTCACAAAGATCAAGGCTCACGCCAAACTAGGTCTCACGGCAACATTGGTCCGTGAAGACGAAAAGATCGATGAGCTGAATTTCCTGGTCGGGCCAAAACTGTACGAAGCCAACTGGATGGACTTGGCCGCGAAAGGCCATATTGCGACCGTGCAATGTGCTGAGGTTTGGTGCCCCATGACCGCTGAATTTTACCGGGAGTACCTGCGCGAACGCAGCCGGAAGAAGATGCTGCTTTATTGTATGAATCCGACCAAGTTCCAAGCTGCGCAGTACCTCATTCAATATCACGAGAACCGCGGCGACAAAATCATCGTGTTCTCTGACAATGTCTATGCGTTAGAGGTACGTTATTCATTTCACTGACCGCAGGCATATGCGATCAAGCTAGGTAAGCCTTATATCCATGGAGGCACGCCCCAAATTGAGCGCATGCGTATCCTGCAAAACTTCCAGCACAATCCCATCGTCAATACCATCTTCCTGTCCAAAGTAGGCGACACATCCATTGACCTGCCTGAAGCAACGTGCTTGATCCAGATCTCGTCTCACTTTGGATCACGTCGTCAGGAAGCCCAACGATTGGGCCGCATTCTTCGAGCGAAACGTCGCAACGACGAAGGCTTCAACGCATTTTTCTACAGTCTCGTGAGCAAGGACACCGCTGAAATGTACTACTCGACGAAGCGCCAACAATTCCTAATCGACCAAGGTTACGCTTTCCGCGTCATTATGAACCTGGTGGGCCAAAAAGAGATGCCTGGCTTGGTCTATTCTACCAAATCGGAGCAGATTGAGCTACTTCAAAGTGTTCTCATTGCGAGTGAGAGCGCCGCAGAATTTGGTACGGATGTCAAGTTTAGTGACACGACGTCGAAAGCAACGCCCAGTGCAAAACGTATGATGGGCAGTCTGAACGCACTTGGTGGTGCTCAGCACATGTCCTACGTGGAACGGAATCGATCTATGAACAAAACGTTGGCACACGACCAACCGCGTCACAAAGCCTTCCAGAAGCGCGCCGCGTCTGCCAAAAAGAAGTCGTAGTCTGCTTGCGTGGTGTTGCCACGTGACATTATAGGGGCCAGTTGTAAAAATTTATTGGGGTGCCCAAAAGAATTTGCAAATCCCTCACCATCCTCCAGGGGTTTTTTTGCACAATATTTGATACACGCGTCCACCTCGCGTGTACCTAACTGCATTGAAGTGGTGTGAAAGCCAAAAAAAATACGCGTCTCATGGCGGATCCATCGATATCGTCCGCTATCCTGGAAGGCGTCCCTGTAGGAGGTGTACGTATGAAGATCTATGAAGCAGTATACTAACGGACCAGACCGTTTCATCGGTGCCATCCTCACTCGAGGGCGTTACCATCAAGGTCGGCGACTATTTCCCGGACATGAAATCGTTCCGAGCCAAGCTGGGCCTTTATGGTATCACGCACAAGTGCCCATACCGTGCACGGAGAAGTGATAACAGTCGCTTTGTGGGCATTTGCCCTGCTGTTATGAACGAGATCAAGAAAGAGCATAAGCATGACAAGAAAGACGACAATAGCAGTACGGCTCCTGCTGATCCCAAGGTAACGTGTCCTTTCAATGTCATTGCTCGTCGACGAAAAGAAGGTGGCGTTACCGTGACGCGTGCCATTCTTCATCACGCGCCGAACTGTACTGCTCCTGTGACCTTTTCTACATCGGCGACCTCAGCGTACATGGCGCAACTCATGGACGAAAATGCATCGACTATTGCCCCTCGTGAAATTGGAAAGTATGTGCATGAAGCCACAGGTACGAAACTGTCCTATTCAACATTGTGGCGTACCTCCCATTTGCTGCAGACCAAGGAACGTGAACGACAGGATGCGACCTTCAAAAAGATTGTGCCTTTTCTCAACGCGTTCAGAGAGGCTAACCCTGGCACCCTTGCTGTTGTAGAGCAGCATCCCAATGGTCGATTCTATCGCATGTTTTTATGCCCAGGTGCTTTAGCCAGTGCTTTTGGCGACTGTCCCTTTGCTCTGCACGTCGAATCTACCCCAATTTCGTCTTGCTACGAAGGTTCTTTGTTGGTTGTCTATGTCAAGGACGGTCTTGGTGCTCTCATCCCCACAGCTTTTGCTATTACTTCACGCGAAGACGAAGAAAATTGGCGCTTCTTTTTTCATCAATTGCTCACTGCCTTGCCCATCATTGGATGCCCAGGCGTTACCATCTCTCACGTTAAGGATCCAGCTATTGAAGGCGCTCAAATGGCTGTACTGCCCGCCTCGCGCAGCACCAACAATTTCAGTCGCTTGGACTGGACCGCCTCGGGTACACTACACGAGTATTATTCTCAATTGCAACATCTCTGTACTGGAAGCTACTTTTCTCTCATGGTAGGATGGATCACGCAAGTGGCTGTGTTGGTGTATGCGCGGTATGTGGAAATGGAGTCAGAGCGAAGCGTATTCCCAGGCGGTATCTTGGGCCGCGGTAGCGTGCACTTCAGTGGCTGGGAAGTCGCTTCATTCGGACCCTCAGATTATCTTGTGGTCAATGCGCATGAAAAGCAACAGGTGAACTTGGCCCTTCGCTCCTGCAGTTGCGGACAATGGATCGAACACCCTTTCCCCTGTATCCATGCTACACGATGCTTGCCCCTCGAACGTCTCGTGGGTCTTGGTCAATTTGTTCATCCGTCCTATTTCACTGAAAGTGTGCGTCGCTGCTATTCTAGGCGTATGACTCTGATCGATGCCGATACCGTTACTCCCCAAGCAGACCCTCCCATGGACGGTGCTACTAATTTTGTGAACGAGCATGGTGATCCCACTACTGATGGTGTCGTTGTTCCCGCAGAGATGCCCCTTCTGCCTCCTACTTCATTGACCCCTGTGAAGCGTGGTCGTGGTCGTCCCCGGGTTGTACGCCAAAGCGGCAATGGTCGAGGCGCTATGAGCGCTATGTATCAATGTGGTCATTGCAATGGGAAAGGACACAATTCACGCACATGCCCATTAAACCAAAAGCCAGATATGCAATCTGCTGCTCAGGTTGCCAATGTGGCTCTAGCTACTGGCCCCACACCCCCATCATCGTCGCATGTATTTGGTGATGCGACCGTCCCCTTCTCCATAGATGCCACCTTGTCGGCATCCTCCACTACCGTGTAAAACTATGAGATATCCACACACTGTGCCACCTGCACTTCATATTTTTACTCTTCTTTTTTCGCTCCTATTTTTCACGGGGTGCATGCATCATAATTAGTAGATGAAATACAGGGATCTAATTCTTCTTCTTCTCGTCTCCACGTTGAGCACCAAGCTTAGCGATCGATTCCTGGCGCATCTTGTTCTCCGCAATGCGATCCAAACGGACGGCATACCACTCGCCGATTTGCATCAAAAGCACACCAGCCAGGAGCACTGTGATAATGACATTCGTAGCACTGATCACTTGCACAACAGAAGTCGTCTCCCGCTCTGACAGTGGCTTGAAGTCATAGTTCTCCACCTTCCTGTACGCTTCGGCATCAAATACAGCACGGTGCACAATGCGCATCTCATCTGGATACTTGAGAGCACGCATATTGGGAATGTTCACACCAATGTACATCAGAACACTGACAAAATACAGCAAAAGGCTGATCGAGCCAAAATACTTGTCATTCTCTTGCCAGCGCACAATCTTGGCAACAATACCAATCATACCAAGACCAATTATAGCATGAATAAGTGCTTTCACACTGAGAGGAGCTGAGTAAATCGACAAGTAAAAGTCGATAGCATTGCGCACCTCTTCTTTTCCAAAAGCCCCATGGAAGAGAAGAGGGTAGTCATAGGACGACATAATATACAGAAGTCCTATCTGTATGAGAAGGCATGGCGTGTATTCTTACTTACCATAAATAAACAGGATACTGCCAATTACAAATCCTGTGCGGAATCCCATTTTGTTATCAATGGAATTGGGCGATGATCCGTTTCTGCCGTTGTGCATTCGTCCACGTGGTCATGTCAAATCACACAGTAAACATTACGTATACATAACACCTTCCGTAAGGGTCTACTTTCCCCACGCACATGTCAAGACCGCATACCATTGGCGATAGACGGGTGTCACCATGGGAATTTATGCAATCTTTCCGGCTTTACCATCCATGGAATTTGCTCCCTATAAATCCCAAGTGCGGTAGGAGCACAACTCACACTACTTACAAATATGTCCCTGAACAAGACGATCACTTTGAATGATGGTAACAAAATCCCTCAAATTGGCCTTGGAACCTGGAAATCTGCTCCGGGAGAGGTCGAGCATGCTATCGAGCATGCTGTTAAGTCGGGCTACCGTCATTTGGATCTCGCCAAAAAGTACGGAAATCACAACGAAGTGGCAATTGCCCTCAAGGAGGTCATCCCCTCGGTGGTGAAGCGTGAAGAGCTTTTTATTACCGACAAGCTCTGGAACAATGCACACAAGCCAGAGATGGTGGAGAAGGCCTTGGATCAAACTCTTGAAGAGCTAGGCCTTGATTATCTTGACCTTTACTTAATTCATTGGCCTGTTGCCTTTGATGGCGATCTGGATGACTTGATGCCAGTGGAGAATGGGATTGTCAAACTCGACTTCAATACCTCGCTCGTCGACACTTGGAAAGCCATGATTGCTTTGAAAGAGACTGGAAAGGTTAAGTCAATTGGTGTTTCCAACTTCAGTCCTGCCCACATCGAGGCTATCACTAAGGCCACTGGTGTTGCCCCTGCTGTTAACCAAATTGAAGCCCATCCATTGTTGCCTCAGGATGAGCTGGTTGAATACCACAAGAAGAACAACATTCTTATCACGGCTTACTCGCCTCTAGGCAATAACACGCGCGGTGAGAAGAAACTAGTCGAGTACGATGAAGTCACCGATATTGCCAAGGACCGGGGCGTGGATCCCGCTCAGGTCCTTATTGCCTGGGGTGTCAAGCGCGGGTACTCTGTGATCCCAAAGAGTGTAACCGCCTCTCGTATTGCGAGCAACTTCACTCAAATTGAACTTTCGGACGATGAATACAAGAGGATTACAGATCTTGTGAAAGCCTGTGGGCACACTCATGTTCGTTACAACTTGCCTTCCATGCGCCCCCCAATCTGGAATGTCAATGTATTTGGTGAAGAGGCCGAGAAGGACACTTGTTACTCTGTTAAGCTAGAGTAAATGAGTTGCTTTTTCCTTTTGTCAATTACACCAGATTGACTTTCTTGTATATTGATTATACATCCCTCCCTCTTTTGCATCTTCACTTAAGACAAGTGAAGGCTGTAAGGTGTGACGGTGGCGTTGGTAAAACAATTCCTCTTTGATTCGCATGTTTCACAGAAGGGGGGTGTGATCTCACGCCCCACCAATTTTTCTCGCATTATATACACGATCAATGTTTGAGTTTCCTCTCGTCACAATCTTCGCATATGATCATGTAAGATTTTAAGACATAACAATGATACACGCAAGTCTAATATGAACATTTTTGGTAGTAGCATAATCTTAAAATCGTTTTTATTATAAAAAAGGAATAGTAGCAATATAGGAGGTAAGACTCATTTCTTTTAACTCTTCCTCGAATTATATAGAGAGCAATGTGGCGTTAACTCACCGTGGGGAGCTTGAGTCATCGGACAACACTGACTCTACAAATCTGTGTGGTTTTGACATATCTCGTGCTCTAAATCAACCCCCAAAAGCGCCAATCGAAAGTTAATGTATCAAATCCTAATTCGCCTCATGCCTTGTTTCACACAGGGACCTACCCAAAATTTGTAGGCGTTGGATATACACGTGACTAGAGTAGTGAGTTCAAAATCGTAGTAAAAATTACATAAAATGCAACCGAAGGGCGTCGAAGCCTGAGGGAATTGTCCCGCACGGACGCTTGCCACGTAAGTCTCGGCGTGCTTCTATAAAAGGGCATCCGCTTCATTTCTCTGTTCACTCGACTACATCATGTCTCTGAACAAGTATATTACACTGAACGACGGCAACCAGATTCCTCAGATTGGTCTCGGAACCTGGCTCTCCAAGCCGGGTGAGGTTGAGAATGCCATCGAACATGCCGTTAAGACTGGCTACCGTCACTTGGACCTGGCTAAGATTTATGCCAATCACGATGAGGTAGCCATCGCCCTTAAGCGTGTCATTCCTTCTGTGGTTAAGCGTGAGGATATCTTCATTACCGACAAGCTCTGGAACAACGCGCACAAGCCGGAACTAGTAGAGAAGGCTCTTGATCAAACGCTTCAAGAGCTGGGTCTCGACTACCTTGACTTGTACCTTATTCACTGGCCTGTTGCTTTTGAGGGTAGCTTTGACGAGCTGCTTCCAGTGAAGGATGGTGCTGCCGTTCTTGACCTGAAGACTTCGCTTGTCGACACCTGGAAGGCTATGGTGGCCCTCAAGAAGACTGGTAAGGTCAAGTCGATCGGTGTCTCGAACTTCAACCCTGCCCAGATCGACGCGATCACCAAGGCTACTGGTGTGGCTCCCGCCGTAAACCAGATTGAAGCACACCCATTGCTTCCTCAGGATGACATGGTCGAGTACCATAAGAAGCACAACATCCATATTACTGCCTACTCGCCTCTTGGTAACAACCTTATTGGTGAGAAGAAGCTGGTTGAGTACGATGCCGTTGTGAAGGCGGCTCGGGACCGCAATGTTGACCCTGCTCAGGTCCTCATTGCCTGGGGTGTGAAGCGCGGTTACTCTGTGATTCCGAAGAGTGTAACGCCGTCACGAATTGACAGCAACTTTGCACAAATTGAGCTTTCTGACGCGGAATACAAGGAGATTACCGATCTTGTTCAGCAGTCTGGCAAAGACCACATCCGCTACAACACACCTATGATGTACACTCCCCGTTGGGAGATTAACGTGTTCGGCGAAGATGTTGAGAAGGATGCTATCAACTTTGTCAAGATCGAGTAATTATGAGATATAATGCATATATAGTATTACGTCTATGATCTTTTTTATTTCTCATTGTGTGCTAGCAGTTCTGCGTTTGTAGCCATGCCGAGGCATTCCATTCTGGGAAAATCAGGTCAAGCTCTCGCAATGCCGATTCAGTTGCGTCTGTTTGTTAGTAAAAACGTCATATTCCGACCTACCAGAACCATGAAACCCGTTTCTTGTATCTCCAATGCCCAGCTCTGCTCTAAGACTTCCTGGGTTTTCCCAAGCAGATCGATAGGCTTTTGTCGGCCCAATCAACTCTCGCCATGTCCGGATGGCATCAGGGCCTGATAAGGCTAGACCAAGTGCGGGCCCTGAAGTCATACCCAGGATCAAACGGTCATAATAGAATCTCCCTTGATGTTCTTTGTAAAATGCGGCTGCATCGTTTTCATTCCAATGAAATTGTTTGCTCCGTATGATCTATGATTAATGAAAGTGCCATTGACGTACTTGTAGTGTATCGTGAGACTGAAGGCGCCTTAAAGCATGCAATAAATTGGGTTTGAAGGCACACACTGTAGGTTTTATCAGTGCTAATGTCACTTCCATGCTCATGTTGTGAACATTGTCGAAGTGGTCACTGCGCGCGATTACAGCCGTGCCTTTTCTGACTAAGCAATTAAAAGTTTAAGAACTTGGCTTTCTTGTCGCCCCGAAATCAGGCACGAGCATACAATGTGAGATCCCCCCTTAGCACTAATTTAATATCATGCATGATAGACCTTTAATGCATTTTGAAATAAATCATTCGTATCATCGTAATAGGTACTATATAAACATTACATATTGTTTTCATAATATCAAAGGTGCTAAGCCACAAGTGCCTTGTTCACAAAAAAAACTTTTTTTTTTCATGATTATTTCAATCAAGTCGACCAACATTCATTGAGCATAATTTGTCTTAAGAATTGTTAAATCGTGAATTGAACATCAAAGAAGCGTGCCTGATCCAGCCAGGTGCATGTGAGTGATGTAGTGTTTCATGTACGATTCGTCATGAAGAAAAATAACCAGCAGCAAACATCTCATTACAATCCACCGCCACTGCGCTCTACTGAGACATAGCGGTTACCAGCGAGCGTTGACGAGACATTCGAATGACGACGGGCGTTGATGATATGGCTCGTAGTGAGAATAGCGGCCGAAGCACTGCATTAGGTTAGAAGACAAAACCAAAAGATAAAACATACCTAAGCATAAGAGCAGTAGGGCGAGAGAAGAGTGTAGAAATCATGCTTTTCGAACTCAGTATAATACTTGGTGAACCAATTCACCTCGGCTAATTCTCATATTTATATATTCGGTTTGTCTTTGGCTTGGGTTAACAACAATGTCTTGTCAATCAAAATGGTGGTTTCTAGGTCTAGGCCGTAGCCAATCCCAGGCTATCGAAAGGAAAAAGAATTACTTCACCCTGTGTCATAGGTCCAAGTGTCCCAAAAATTGTTGGCCAAAGCTCGGCCGACATGGCCAGGTTTTAATCGGCGTTAGTGTCGCACTCATGATTGGCGTCAACAGCCGTGGCGGACAGGAGATCGCTTAACGTCAGCGAACAACACAAATTACTGCCGAAGTGCCTCGCTGTACATCGCGAATGAGCATGGGCGATCAAAGCTTCGGGCATATTCCATCTGGTTTTGCCTCGCCGGTAAGGAGATCTGCCCGTCTGAACAATGTGCCTGGTAGTGTTGAAGCTGAAGGGCCCTCGCTCCCCTCTCTGAACGCGTCGCGTCGCCGGTCGCGTCGCGGCAAGTCTGATATTATAGACACCTCTGCCTGGTCTTCTTCGCTGTATTCGGCACGCGATCCCTCCCAGGTAAGCAGCTACTATTTGAGGCCATTTGAGGAAGATACCAACTTGCGTGCCAATGGAAATGCGCATACGGACGACGGTTCTCGTTTGATGGGCGACATGTCTGGATGGGGATCGCTATTACGTGGTGCACAAAGGCCCTCTGCAGCATCCAAGTCGTATGCACATCGTGCTTCCCATCCTCCCGCATTTTTGAATGATTACTCTGAAGAGGAAAAATTCATGCAGCAAGTCGAGTCGCAGTGGAAGGCATCTACGCAGCCGCCTGTGGACTCTGTACCCCAAGCTGACGATTCCGTGTTTGTAAACCAACATACGCCGCAGGTACCGGGTCTATTTCGGTCTGTGATAGATGCGGCGCAAGAATCTAGCTCGGCGGCTGACGATCCTGCTACCAAGCCAAAGCCACCCACCCAAGAAGATACTCGCGCCAACATGTTTGAGCGGCCTCCTTCTGATATTCCGACTTCCAAGTTGCATGGAATTCGCACGGCATTGTTTGTACTTCTCGTTTCTGGCTTAGTGTATTATATTTTGTACGGACGTGGAACATCTCCCACACTCTTTTCGCGCGATCCCTTGGCTCGATCTCCATTGTGGTCTGACACCCCTGAAGACCTTCAGCAGCGTGTCATTTCTTTGGAAACTGCTATGAATAAGGTATGGACCGCCTTGAAAGAGGTACGGACGGATGTGAAGCAAGGCCATGACAAGCTATCTTCTCGACTTAGCTCGCTCGAGCAACGGGCTGTCGTTAAGAACACTGTCGAAGCGCTAAGCAAAGATATGGCTACATTACGGCAACAACATGCAGATGCACTCTCCCTGTGGCAGCATGAAAAGGAGGCATGGGAAAAGAAACTTTCGCATTCGTCTGCCCCGTCGTCTGGTGCGTCGTCCAAGGCGTGGAGAGCTATGGAAGCCAAAGTGGCTGATCTTGAAAAGCAGATTGCTAAAGCAGAGCGGCAAGCCTTGGACGCTGATACAGCTGCGCAAGAGGCACGTCGGATGGTAGAGCCTTTGAAAGACTTTGTGCCTGATCATTTGCCTGTCCGCTATGACCGGCGTACGAAGCAAGTGCGCATTGACCCCTCGTTCTGGCATGAATTCCGCAAAGTGATGCCATCATCGAAAGGTGATGGCACTAGCTCGACCGCTCCGTCGTGGTCTTCATTTTTGCTCGACCATCGCACAGAGCTCGATAATCTTTTTTCGCATATGGTTCATGAGAATGTCGAAGCGGGTCTTCTGATCGATAAACGTGCCTTCTTGGATTTAATGGCCACAGAGCTGGCTCGTGCGAAAACTGAGCTTTCTGCGAAATTCAACGAAAATGTGCATGGCCTTCAAAATGATGTGTTGGCTAAAGTACGTGAGCAGCAAGCGATGTACGAGCGCTCTGGGTCTTGGGACGCACCTACACCGTCTTCTACCTCTTTTGATATGGACCAAGTGCAGCAGCTCATTGATGCAGCTCTGGCCCAATTCGCAGCCGATCAAATTGGACGTGTGGACTACGCACAATACACGGCAGGTGGCCGTGTTCTTCCCAGCCTGACGAGCCCGACGCATGAAGTACGTATGCCAGGGACCAATGTACACAGCATTCCGTGGATGCTATCGCAGCTCCTTCCTGCGCCTCTGCGGCCTCTTCAGGGCTCGACCTCCCATACGGTGCGTGGGCGTATGCCTGTTGTTGCACTTCATCACGATACCTCGCCAGGCATGTGCTGGCCATTTTCTGGCTCGCACGGCCAGCTGGGGGTGCAGTTGGTGGGCCGCGTACGCGTGTCCGCCGTGACTATTGACCACATCCCCGCTTCACTGGCGTTGGATGGCCAGGCATCTGCGCCTCGTGATATGGAGTTATGGGGTCTCATCGATCGTGATGAAGATCGAGACAAGGTGGCTCGTTGGCGTCTCTTGCAATCCACGCTCTCTGACGAGCCATCCCCTGTACCTCCTTCTCCCGCACATGTTTTCTTGGGCTCGTTTACCTATGATGCCTCTTCGCACGCGCCCCCCATTCAGACGTTCCCTGTAGGCCAAGCTGCGGAGCAGAGCGGTCTGAGCTTCCGTGTCATCCAGCTCCATGTGCTCAGCAACCATGGTCATCGCGACTATACGTGCTTGTATCGCGTGCGCATCCATGGCGAATCTGTGTAGAAACATTCCTTTGTATCACTATAGTACAATTAATATCCGTCCAAATCTAGGGCTTCCAGCGCAAGGCTGGCACTTGTATGTGCGTAGGCATCTTCTTCCCATTCCTCCTCGTCGTCGTAGTCATCATCGTCGTCGATATTATCGTAAGCAGGGGCCCCAATGTGATGATTCACAGGTACATGGCCATCCAGGCCAAGAGGCGGAATGATGTCCGCGGCGGTGTCCGCATCGCTTTCGCCCAACGCCCGATCGTGTCGAACATCTTGCGCCTGCACTAGAGGTGTACGCTCGTCCAGCGACGAAATGCTGCGTTCCAAAGCATCCGTATTCGCACTTCGTGTAGGCCGCGGTGCATGCAAATCCATGGAAGATAGGGGTGGAATATCACTATCCACATACTGCGGCTTGGCTCTAGGCGTGCGCGTATCCAGTTCGGTATCTGCACTCCATGGTGTGTCTATGCTGGCATCCATGTCGGCTTGCTCGACGACTTGAGATAAAAGCGATGATCGGGTATGTGAAAGAAGGGTATGGTCGACATGACGATGTCCCGAGGACACCTCAGAGTGGCTAGGAGAGCCACGCATAGACGATGCATGTCCATCTGTAGCGCCCTCCGAGCTGCCAGAGATGGAAAGCGTGCTAGGCGTACGTGAACGTGAATGAGAAAAGACGCTCCATACGGCACCGAATCGAGCTTGTTGCGATGCAATATAGCTCTCACTTCGCTCAAAGTGAATTTTTAAAGACGGATGCTGAACGCTAGCCGGTTTTTCATTCCACGTATCCTGAGGTGCGAGGGGAAGGTTGGTCTTGGGCCATAGCCAGCCTGGAATACGATCGCGTTGCGGCATAAGCACACCGTCCGGCTCGCCAAACCGCCCCACAAATTGGGTTAGGTGCTTGGGGGCTATGTCCAGCGCGCCCTTTACACGACTCGAGCCAGAGTTCGCTCCGCGTGCGAGTTCTGCTTCAATGGCCACATCCGACCAGCCCTGGATTTTGCGAAGACAAGCGATTAGCGTGGACGTGACTTCGACACCATCTAGGCAATGCACATAGAGAGGCAGGTTCTCACGATTCAATACTTCCATAAGGGCGCGTGCTGCCCCTTCTCGCGTTAGACCACCTGTCTCTTCCTTGGGCTTTTCTGTTCGGATATGCACCATGGCGATGCCCACCTCCCCATTTTGCGTCTTGGCCCATTGTGCTAGGACTGGGTCATCATCAATAGGTTTGGGTGTAAGAGACACAATAGTTCGAAGGTGCAATGTTTCCAGAAAGCGCAAATTTCGTTGCTTAGGGTAGGCACCCCGGTAGAGGCATTCGGAAAAGGAAGTCACGCGTGACGAATAGGGCCCTGTGCTAGAGTCGGAATCCGTCTCTGGTACAGGCAACGGGAAGGCCACTGTCCCAAACCGAATGGGCGGAGCAAGCACCGACGGCTGCATACGTAAATTCCACAGCCAAGGTGTGCTGGTCCAGGGCAGCTGCGATCGCTGGCCGTGCGCATGGGGCTTTGATGATGCGTTGTCCCCCTTCCACCGCCATCACGTGACAAGGGGGCCTCGGCGCGTCCACGCAAGTGTTTGTTCCTTGCAAGGTCATGGCATATCTGCGCGGCAGGGAAGCCCCGATGGACCTCTCGGAGCCTGGGCCCCAAAAACGTACGTGTTTGTGGATGCTTACCATATAGCATCTATATTCGATACCCCACTGCATGGGTCTCATGAATCAATGGATGCTACACCTGATGCGTCCTTGATGGATATTGACCCAGACGTTGGGCCTACCTTTACAGCCATGCCAGTGGAACAAAGCCATGCTGCTTTGCCAGGACAGGTCATCCCCGTGTCTTCCAATCCTATGGTGCCATTTACAGCATCGTCTCCACCGTCTAGGGACGCTGCTGTGGGCACGCCTCCCACAGGCACACCTGCTCCTGCTTCGTCGGCGCCTCCACAGACATCCGGGTCGGCAAGCGACGCGCCGAAAGAAGGATGGAGCATAGTCAAGTCCTCGGCTGATCTTGTAGCGGCTGCTTCTTTGCCTACAAAGGCCGTGGCGCCGTACCGTCATGCGGCTTCCGCTGCTGTTGCATCCCAGGCGCGAAGCTTACTCGAACGACCTGAGACGTTTCTTACGTATGTGCAGGTTCTGTTCAATGCAAGTATTATTCTTGTGTTTATATACCTGCTCTTCAGTGTGGTGTGGACCATTCAACACGATGTGTCCCTGAAAGTGAAAGAGTACGAACTGGGTATGTCGAAAGTATCGCTTACTCCTAGATTATCTCGGTGAAATTGCCTCCTGCTCTTCCGCCTACACTGCCAACCGATGTGGCTCGGACATGCAAGCACCTGCGCTCACAGAAGCGTGCGAGGCATGGCGTCGATGTGCTGCGCGCGATCCCACGGTCGTGGGACGTGCACGTGTCACCGCTGAGACGTTTGCTGAAATTCTCAATGGATTTGTGGATGTGGTGAGCTGGAAAACAATGGTACGTTGATAACCTGACTCACAATCAGCTCTTCTCCCTCCTTACTCTCTCTATTGTGGTAGGCGCCACTAACTCCACGCTGTCCTTCTTCCGTTTCAATGCCAGTCAACGAAACGATCCGCCGCCGTCGTCCACGCCCTCTTCGCATCCACCCTATTACCCATATGCGCTGCCGCCCGAGTGGGATACCTCTGCGTTACGTCATCGTATACGTCCTCAAGATGATCAAGAGACTCGTACTATACCCTATCGTACAGAGCAAAACTAAGAAGGGGTATGTTGTGGCTGTCCTTGCAGCCTAGCCAGCTTTTGTTTTCGGGCGATTCGATATTCGTGCTTGGCCCGGCGTGCTTGCTTTGCACGCTGCAACATCCATGGCTCAAAGACCATGTTGGCACGCTCACGTTCCCGCTGGAATTGCGTCAGCATATCTGCTTCCTGCGATGCATAGTGTTTGCCTGTGTATATATTAGTCATTGTTCGTGGTTTCATACGTACGCCAATCGTGAGGTCGTGCATAGAATGCGTCGTGTGGATGAGTAGCTGCTTCTACACTCGTGAGCTGCTTCATTTCTTGCACTTCATCCCACTGCTGAAGGCGCCGCAGGCGAGCGCGACGTCGCGCGCGGATCATCATGGTCATAGAGAGTGGCTGTTCCGGTTTATACCGAAGCATTGGTTTGTTAAAAAGCGACGGTGGAAGAAGAGCACCGGATATATGGATGCGACGAGAGGGGTCCTTGGGTTTCCGAGGAGGACGTGGCTGTGGCCGTGGAATGCGTGGCTGTGATTGTTGACGCGCTAGGACCTTGCGTCGTAATGGTCGAGGAGGGAGCATTGCTTCTAGTGCCAGAAAGGTAGCACCTTCCACCTTAATAGTGGCATGCACTTTGGTCGAGTACATCCTGGATTTGTTGGGTGTCATGGCCGCACTTTGTCGTCGTCGAATACGCCGGTCGAGCGTGCGGATCTCATCAATATTCGTGGTAGCCTGCGCTTGAAGGAACAACAGACCACGTTCGCCTACGCATCGATGTTGTTGGGAGGATGGGACATAGGTTGGAACACCAGGATCGTACTGGGGTAAGGTGCCTGGAATATGTGCGATATCCTGAATGCTTTCGGCCTGTGGCATGGGGCGTTGATCACTGAAAAGAGATCCATTGGTACGTGCAAGAATGGCGTGGATATCCAGTGATTCGCCTGGTGGAATAGGCTCTGGCTGCGACGGTGTCACGCAAGGATCATCTACTTCCTTGCGCAGCACATGATCTATGTCCACCGCTGCGAAAAAGGCACAGGACTCTGGTAGATCGTCCATATTCAGTTTAAACGCAAACATGGATCGTGTCCATAAGTTGGCCACTTGTAGCGCCAGTGCAGCGCGATATCGATCTTCGTCGCGTGCCAAGTAGCGGACTTCATCATGGACACTTAGCATGAATCTAGCTTGAATATCGTACGTCGAGCAAAGATGATCCATGGCTGTAAGGAGCAAATGCAGATAGTCCACACCGCTGGATTGCACGACCCAGTTGATTCGGCTGGGCATGTAGTCTTGCCTGCTCTGTCCACGGCCTTTGGGCAAGAATCGTTTCGACAGCGCTGCAGTTATACCACAATCCAAGGCTGGTGTCTTAGGCTCATCACTCAGAGCAATTTCTTCCAATTTGTTGAAGACAAAACTCTCTGTGCCCCCGTACCAAAACTTTCGCCCAAACAGTGCATTGGAGCGTGTCGTTTGTCCTTTGGTGGCAGCATACAGCTGCTTGGCACGCCGCCCTGCTTCTTCTACTGGCATACTGGGATTCGCCTTCAAAAGCAGATGCATGGCATGTCGTATGCCAGCACCGTAAATGCGACTGTAGTTGAACACTTTGGCCTGGTTTCGACTCGTGCCCAAGATGGACGCTGTTTTGCTATGCAGATCTGTACCTTCCGCTTTCGAGCCTTCCAGCGTCATCCACCCAATGGCTGTAGCACCATGGATGCCGAATTGCGCATCACCCATCACGCTGCATATCCAGAGCTCTTCACTGTCGACATCGGCCCCGACAATACTCCATCCAGGAGGCGCTTTGATCATGGACTTAAGCTCACTTCCAATACGGTTCTTTTTTGCATTTGAAGCCGTCAGCCATGTTTTCTCAATCGCACGTCTGGTTACTGTACCCATGGAAATGACTTGTGGGAGAATCAGCCCGTAGTTTGACGTAGGGCCAGTGAATCCCATGCGCGTGTCGGCCTCTCCATCCCAAACAACAAACTGTTTTTCAATGCGGTCATGAGCGCTGATCCAGTAGCTGCATTGGGCGTTCATCTCCAGCGCATCCCGGGCGGCCTCACCACCGCGCTCCCCATGTAAACTCTTAAGTCGTCCGCTTTCAAAGTAAGGCAAGAAACTCTTGCTAAACGGATTGCCCACATTGCTTCCATCACCATTGGCATGAGGGAGCTTGTAGAAATAACCGGTACAGAGATGTGCATCTGCTTCATGTGTAAAGGTCAAAGGCGCCTGAGCTTCTTTGGGTACTGTCGTGCGGTAAACCCAGCCATGTTCGCGACTGCGAAAAACAGGCGCTCCATCCCATGCAATTTTGAGCAACAGAGGTGCTACTTTAGCACGGATAGTAATGTCCAAATCTTGGCAAGCACTATCGTACAGGTCCCAGTACCATTTGGGCCACCATGGTGCAGGCAACGTAGGGTCCTGGTAGGGAACGGCCTGCCATGGCAACTGCTGCAAGCGTGGATCCTTGCCAGGCCCTAGCGTACGAACGTGATCGGCTAGCTGGCGAAGCAGGTCACTCACGCGATCGCTGCCCTGCGATATGGCTTCCAGAATTTCCTCCCCCAGAGTTCCTGCATCAGACGTAATGGCATGCTTTTTCAGCACAGCTTGAGACAATGGCGAACCAGGCAATGGAACCTTTTCTCCCTTCATCAATACCACCCACTGCTTGCCATTTTCACTGAGACAGACCGGATTACCATCGCAACGAAGTTGAAGAAGAAGAGGTACCACTTTGATCCGTGCAGATAAAAGGCTTTTTGCATTGGCAATCTTATCACGCCACCATAAAGGGACCATCGTGGATGGGTCTATTAGTTTGGGCTTTTTCGGTGACCAATCCAGCTGACCATACCAGGGATCAGTTTCCCACCAACGATCGTCCCTCGATGCGTCGTTCTCAATGGCTTCTACACCGGCTTGCATAAGCGATTCAGCCATGTCTTTCAGTGTAGAGACCACACGGGCATTCATTTCCTTAAATTTGGCCTGTGCATTTTCTTGGTACCGAACCCAACTGGTGTCCACAGGGAGGAATGTGCTTCCTAGTCCAAGTACGCCTGCTACTGTGACAGGATGTGGGCAACTCTTAATGAAGGCAGGCCATACTTTTTTGAAGACAGCAAAGGTCGTTGATACATCTGTGGCACAGTATGCCAGAAGAGACGGAAGCTGTGCCCAAACTTCCTCCCTCGGGGTCCCATCGATAAATACATTTCGTGTCTCTTTCTCTAGATGTATACCGCAATGAAGAGCAGCCACATCTGCTAACGAATTTTTTGAGGTGATATCCTGCCATAGCACCTGGCTTTGGTCATCGTCCATCAAAGTATCAGGTGCCGACAAGGTGGAATCAAATACCATCGTACTTTCCTGCAAGCTCGCTTGCAATTCCTCTGAGAGCTCGCCCAAGGCTTGTAGCCGAATTGCCCCTAGTGCCTCATCATCCATTCCCCGGGACTCAAGAAGCTGCTTGATTTCAGCACGTGCATCCTCTTCAAACTGCTGCTCGGCCATCGCTGCTTGAAGCCGTTTTAGAGCTCGAGCACGATAGTGCTCCGTCCATGCGGCACGTTGTGGCGAAGAAATACCATTTGTAGCCACATGCAGACTCATAGTATCAAGCCAGCGGATGTTGGTGCTTTGTAGTGAGTACTCATCGACCACAGCCGCTCGATCAAAGCCTGCGTTGTGACAGATGATGAGTCTCGGAGGAGCACTCCCGTCTCGTGGCCCCATAGGAATCAAATGCGACTTCATTTCATATCTTTCTCCATCCTGCGCAAGCCATGGACTTACCCATGAGTACCAGGCATTCTGGCTTACGGCTGTCGCCATCACAGGGTAGGGGCTCTCTTTGGTCATAACTTCCACATCAAACACCAACGCGGTATCAGCCGTGTCAGGATAAGGCACTGGAATAGGATCACCAAGACCCACAATGTCTCCATCCTGCACACGCAAGAAAGGGTATTTTGTCCAGCCTGGTGTTCGTGCGAAGCAGGCAGGTCGAACGGGCACACTGGCCTGGAGCGTGGTATCTAGTGCATGCCAGCTTTCCGCTGTCCAATAGGTCTCTGGGTCAGGCACTTGATTGCCGGAAGGAGGGGTGGCAATATGAGATGTGGACAATGAGTTGGCGTATTCGAGCCATGGGTGAGCCACGCGCCTGCCTATAGTCCAAAAATGTTCGCCAAGATCTTTGCCCTGAAGAGGCGGTAATTGAAACGACGTCGGCTTAGGGCGAGAGGCTTTGGACGCAAAGAGCCCATGCCCCTCTAAGTGGTCAATGGAAACGTCCAGTGCCATGGGATCAACAGGCCCTATAGTAGCGGAGCTGGCTGGAAAGAGCTGCTTATGCAGGTGTCTTTCCAGCAGTTGAACTCCTACAGGGTTGCAAGGCGCTTTGAAATTAGTAGCGCATATACATACCGTGAAGTTCCGGCATTATTTCGTCTTGTTCCGGTGGCGACAATCCTGTATGTGCCTCAGATGGATGTGTGGTAGAAGAGAGCCTACCATGACTGGTAGATATGTGCGTCCAGGAAAGTGATACCTTACCTGAGTTGCTGGGCCCTTGAAGTGAACCAAGAGGATACGGTTTACCCATTACATGCTTTGAAATATGCCATGTTCCTATGCCGCTTCTACGCCTGGCTAGACGTAGTAGCGTCTGCATGTGGGGTATCCAGAATGAGTGTCGAACAGAAGTCGATTAAAAAATAATATCGGGTGGGTATAAATAACTACGGCTTGATATTTCGCCCGATCCCATCGAGCAAACTTCCTTTTTGGAATTGTACATCCAGGGACTCTTCAGGGATGAGAGGCGCTGTATGGGAGGTATGACGCGTTGTATGAGAGCGCCGTAATGATTTAGCACGGCTCATTTCAGCTTGGCGCCGAACAGTGTGAGCTCGACGTAATGTGGCAGCTTGCTGTTCAGAACGTTCCAACGTTTTTACCATGGCAAACAGATCCGGACGCTCCTGTCGCAGTATATAAGAGCGAGCGCATAGGATAGATTTTACCCAGTCACGATGTGCTGCCTCATCAGACTGAGATATGTATACAACACTGGGAGAAGTAGCGATTTGGCACCGTAGTGCAAACCCATAAGCTTTTGGAAGATGCATTTTTTGTGGGTCAATCAAATATAGGTCAGACTCGATCATGTTGCAGATACGCCCATCCGGTTTGCTCTACAGGTGAGTTTAGTGTCACGTAACGTACATTTTCATTCTTCGCCACGAACAGCGAATGCTCACGAAGTTCGAGCCATCGTTTCGTCCATTTCTTGGAATCCTGTACGTTGACATACCCTCCCAGAACTGCAGAAAAATGTGGAATCGCATCGGCTCGCAGAAGAGAGTGCCATGGCGTCTTTTTGATAAGGAAATATCCAGGATCCTGTCCCCGGGAACTCAACACGTCTTTAATACGTTCATACTCACGAATAGGTCGCTCTAAGCCAAGCTCCGGTAGTACGTCAAAAGCGGCCCATCCTTGATCCAGTTCGTCTGCCGCACTCAAACCGATATGGGCAAGCGCCTGATTGAGCAGTCCAAGTGCGACAATATTTGGTGTTAGGCCAACATGAACGTATTTTTGGACACTTTGCACATATACTCTCACAGAAGAAGTATAGTTTGGCGAAGTTTGCGATACATTCATCTGACCAAGTGACGTGGTTAAGCTGCTCATCCCTTTGTCAAGTACGGCGTCAGGCGATGTAGGTACAGGTAAGTGATCTTGAAATCGTGGTGAAAGAACAGGAAAGCTAGACGAGGATTGATCAGTATAGTATTTGCGATTTAGGTTATGACGTGCTTGAGACGATACAGTTGCTGAGCGATGCAAGCTATCCCGTGCAAAGCCAGTACCAACATGTCGCTTTGATCCCGTTTCTGAAGTACTTGTCGACCGTGGGATGAATTGCTGGCCTTCTCTGTTGGTAACTTTAGAGCTTCGTCTTGCCATCGGGCTTTTTGAGCTCTCTTGGTCATGGTAAAAGGCGGTGCTAGCCGTCCGACCTTCAAGCCTTTGTAGCGCATATTCGGTAGCATTCTGTTGAATGGTATGCGTGGAAGAAGTAGGAACAGACCGATGCACATCCTCTTTGCCACCTTTCAGTACGTGAATATTTTCTTGCAAAAAGGGGTTTGTCTTTGAACGTGGCTGCGAAGGTGGCTCTTTACGCGTACCCGTTATTTTTGAGGAATCATCGTCTGAAGGTAGCCCGTAATCATCCTCTTCATCATTGTCCACTTGGACGGGGTATGCGAAAATATCGTCTTCCGATGCATACATCTGTAAAGTGCAGCTGTGAAAGATGGTGGAGTGTTCCTTTCTGATACCGAAGAATAGGCATCAAGTTTACTCGCACGCGGGGAAACTGTCAGACGAGGAAGTAACACGTGGTATTCGCCAATAAAATTCATCAACTGACATCTCTCCATACATTCGAACAAAAAAACCCTTTCCCTCAATCTCTCTTAAGGTAAACTGTTCTAATTTCACACTACAAATGATGAGGGTAATTAGCCTCAATGCGCCTACGGTCAGGAGCATAGACGATAAACTGATAAAGGACAATGAAATCGAGGAAGATCGTCCCAACGCTACCCATAATCCAACTGGCGTTTTCAATGAGGTAATCAGTAGAGGTGTCCTTCAACAAGATCGAAGCAACATAAGTTATGTTGCCAGCCACAGCAAAAATAAAAAGAGCTAAGCTCAGGCCGGCACATTTAGTATGTCGATTTTTGAAAATTTGAGGGATGCGCGATGAGAGGTACAGGAAAGCACTCAACCAACCCAACACTTGCGCATCCCAGCGAATGTTAGATACACCATCTTCTGATGGGCTCGAAACTGCTTTGTCATTTGTTGCTGCTCCACCATTCGCAGAGGTGATGTACGCAATCACACCGGTTACAATCACAAAAGCACTTGTAAGGGTATATTTCATGAACGCAACTTGTTTAGGCGTGAAATAATTGAGAAGATTCTCAAAATTCTCAGCCACATTTACAAAAGGTTGAGCCAAAGTATTAGCCAAGCCCTTGCGCTGCGAAGAGCCCAGTAGAGGAGTATCTTCACTTACTCGACCACTATTTTCCTCATCAGCTGCTGTAATGCGCTTCCCATCCTTGTAATACTTGCTGTAATACCACCACTGCCAAACAAGAATTAGATCACATAAGCAATAGTAGCCCGCCAGATTAATCATCGTCAGAAGGACGCCTTGAAGAAGGCCGCCAAACAGGTTGAATGCATCTCCACCAAGCCAGATCAAGATGAACCAAATAGAGATGCCTTCTGTTGACTTAAGAGCATAATTTTCTTGAATTTGACTGAAGACAGGAAAAGCCTGAGAACGATAACGTCATGTGAAAGCAAGCGAAAGCCGAGAGAGAACCCATAAGAAAATTATCCAGACAGCAGAACGTATGCATCGCAAAATAACAGGCAGGTGTTAGTTATTCGTTTACTTCAAACACGCACGGTGTATAGACAATTACCCAGCAAGAGATTCTGTTATTTAAAAGAAAGGAAAAGGAAAAGTGCGTTAATACCATTGTCTTGACGCGAAAAAAATACTTACGAAACCCTAAATGTTAGCAAAAAGATAATAAAAAGCAAGATACAAACCATCCCATCACAAATGACATCCGATCAGTCATGGGGATTGTCTTAGTTAGCTCATCCGTAGCATCAGCTACAGTCGCCAAAACTCCCTCCATCGCTATAGTCAGGGTCTCAAAAAAGAAAAATCTTCTAATGACTCTTGCGAAGTTTAACTTATAATGCACTACTTACTAATCATTACAGATGTCTTTTAAAGAGCACGAAGTGTTTCCTCCATGGTATTACATAATGATTTGAGAGAATTCGGCTTTCAAACCAGTTTCAAGCCGATCAAACTGTCATGCTTGAATGCCTTGCATCGATTTCATATAGGGCCTAATGGCGCACCTGCGTATTGGATCGCTTTATCTATTCTGGTTTTGTCTTTTGCCCTAACCCTTTCGCTTAACCAATAGTGGCGTTATATATTTCCCCTTTGGCGTCAGACGAGAAATTGGAACACGTGCACCGAATAAGCGAGAGTGATTCTTACACCGTACCACTGTGAAATAAAAGTAACCCTAGACCTGGTGCAAATCAGCATGCATACCCGAATCTCCGCGGTAGAGATTTGGTGTTTTATCTATGGGTGTCAATTTCCAGCTACCCACTGTGAATCGGTTCTGCGGAAATCGTTGCGATCCTTGAGAATCTACTATTGGCTAGAGTGTATCTGGAGCTGCGCCTGTGAGGTCAACTGGCTTTCAAGCAATTTACCGGCTTCCGTTACACCATAGCCCTCTCTCTACACTCTTCCCTTACCATGTTTTTCATGGAGGATTTGGCAAGGGATAGAAAGTCGGGCGGTAGTAATATATCGTCAGTATTACACTCTATATCTACTGCCTCGACCAAATACGATTCGGCCCCCTTTAGCGACGCGGAACCTGTAAGAGATATGAAGCCAACTGTTCAATTGCCACCTTTAGAATCACTCTCCGCTCTCTCTAATGACCGCCCACTTCCCAAACCTATATCTTCCATGAACCCAAACGATGAGTTTCGACCAGACGCTACCCTACCAGTATATCCCCCCTCACATATGCAACGTTCTAGCCACACAAGGAGGCTTTCCTTGGAGACCCCTTTACGTTCCGACAGGCTTGGGGCGCTTCCCATGATGAGGGTATACTCTGATCACTCGAGCAATGATCATGATCTGGGCCCACCTGACCATGGTCTTGATACGAAGCTCGGAAAACGGAAATTTAATGTATACCCTTCACATATGGACTCTGACCGCAAGGACCTATGGCGCCTAGGCAAATCTAGTTTCAAGTTTGCGAGGCGTGAGCCACCGTTTTCTTCTAAGGTGCTCTCTGCCAGTAGCTCTCTGGCGTGGGAAGCAAGCCGCTCCCGCATGTATCCGCCATACCCTAACACCAGGCATAGTCCCTCATCATGGGACGACTACCGCGAGCATTATACCTACTCGCTCGATCGTCCGTCATATGCCGTTAAAAACTCGCACACGGGTGCCTACTATCCAAGTCACTGTGAAGGGCCATGGATCCCTAGGCCTTACGAGCGCGATATGATGAAGTACTATGGACGTGGCGATAAGTATAGTGCAGGACGAACAGAGGCTGGACCTCGGATTGTTGACAAGCCTGTTTTATCATCTCATGGATTGGGCAAAAATCAGCCTCCTCCTGAAAGAGTGCTAGACGGCCCGCAGTTGAATTCGTCTCCTGATCACGAGCATTTGCCATTGCCTGGTGCGTCAAAAAGCACTAAGCCAGTACGCTCTGGTGGCAGGTCCAAGTCGGGAAGCAATGTGTGTCAATCTTGCTTTGCTATATCCACGCCCGAATGGCGGAAAGGGCCTACAGGACCTCGCACACTTTGCAATGCTTGTGGTTTGTTGTTCGCAAAGATGTGCCGCAAGCACGAGCAGGACACCATGTCTTCCTTGCAAACAGAGCGAGATGCTGCAGAACTTCGTCGACTTGCTGTGGAAGACTTGTCTCGACCGGAGAAGCAAATGCAAGTTCTTGAGTTGTTGCGTGCCAACTCGCGAGCAGCTGCACTGGCTAAGCAGCAGAGATCTACGTCTATGACGAGCGGATAGAAGTCGTCACTTTGAAAAGGAACACAACTCTATATGTATATATGTACGTTTATCGCACGTATGCATACACAGGCGTATATGTATACAAGTAAGATTCATAGAAATAATGATACCAATGATGCGATATCAGCGCAAACTTTGCACTCTGGAAAGGCAAGGCTGGACGAAGGGATTCGAGCATCAGTCTAGATAAGTATACTCAATCTGTATACAGAATTAATTGTTCTATTATCGCACCACAAGCTGAACGTACATTCATTTGCGTGTAGGAATGCAGCAGAAGTCAGAAATCAAAAAAATCGGAAATGGTTAGTTGCGGGAGGGCCAAGTCGGAAGAACAAGAGGGAGACGCTTGGTTTCTAGCACGGCACGCTTGCGCACTGGAGTGTTAGTAGAGTACAACGTACAATGGAAGATGCTGTAATGGAATTCTTGCCCGCCATTCTTCGCAGGAACCCAGAAACCGTAACCGAAAAGCACGAAAAAGAAGAAGTGGAAGCGCGAGGGTCTAAATACCATGAAAAGCAGGAACCATACGCATAGTTCCATGTATGTGAAAAATTCGAGCTGACCACCGGGCGCATTTTCTTTAATGAACCGAATCGCATCGACCCAGAGGCGCATATGATGGGGGTGAGGACGCACTTTTTTCTCCAGAAGGAAGAGAGAAAGAATCCGGGCATAGATACCAATGTGAATGTGTCCTACCGTTCCCACCGCATTGTGGAACGTAGAATTGGTGCACAGCACACTCCAATCATTGACTGGGAAGACCTGGAGGTACATATTAGGCCGCGTGTAATCCTCAGGGAAGAGGTCGTCGGGCAAGAAATCAAAGGAAGGTCGCTTGAAGCCTGCCGCAAGGATAATGATGTCAGCCTTGCTGAATTGCTTTTCGCCTTTCTCGCCTTTCTTTTGACCACGCTTCCGAGCATTCCATTCGATACCATCTTCTTTCACACAGATCGTGTCTCCACGCTGGTAATCAGCGCGACCGTTTCGCACATGCTGCAAGAATGAGTTGTTGACAATGGGAGTGCCAGTAAAGAAGCCCTGCGTCGGCGCCATCTTCTCCGTGAGGTCGCGATAGTGGAACCAGCGGATGAATGCTTCAGGAATGAAAGACAAAGGCATTTCACGGCCGAACGGTTGAAGTGAAAGTAGTGCATCCACTACCATATTACGCGGAATTATCCATTTATCGCTTCGGGCAAGGATAGTTGGCTTGTTCGCGCCCTTGGCAAGAGCTGTCTCAGCTGCCTCTACACCACTCGCACCACCACCGACGATCAATACCCGCTTATTCTTAAAGTCAACATCATCCAGCTGACTAGAATGAACAATCTTGCCTTTAAAACTTTCTTGGCCGTCAATCTTGATGAAATTTGGCTTGCCACATGTACCGATGGTGACAACAAGGCCATCAAACACCTCCGACATATTGCCATTAATTACCCATCTGGTGTGGCCAGATCCATTCTTTTCTTTGGTTGAGGAAGAGTGCCGTTCCACCTTTGTGACAGGCGTGTCGAAACGAATGCGATCATTCAAGCTATACACATCACAAATGCGTCGAATGTTTTCAAGGATTTCATCACGGTGAGGGTAGAACGCCCTCCAGAGAACCATGGGATGGAAACGATACATCACAGAGTTGATTTGGAGACCACTTGTCGAGTTAACATTGGCCCAAATACCACCTGATTTTGATCCTGCTTCAAAGATGGTCACCTCAAATCCATGCGAGACCAGCTGCGACGCTGTGGAAATGCCAGACAAGCCAGCACCGATAACAGCTACATGGCCGAACTTCTTGCCATGCTTTGGCGGAGGTAAAGGACTAAAGGCCCAAGAGATTGGCACCTGGATCCATTCGTAGATATACACCACTAGCCCAAGAAATACGGATAGGATCGCTGATATCATCGTGGTGTATGTCTACCGAGATCTGCTCGGCAGTTTCTCCGAATTTGACAGGTCAAAAGGGAATTTCAACGCATTGGGCAAGAGGATCATAGTGCTTATTCAGCAAACGTGCATGGGCCAAGCTTCATGCAAGGTCCAACGCCTACCCTGCTGACACCACCATGTTTCTTAGGTATTTGAGTAGCACGATTGCGCAGCAAATCGACCGCGACTTGATGTCTCCAGCAGGTGGATTCAGTATTGATCAGCTGATGGAGCTTGCCGGATTGTCCTGTGCCGAGGCAGTGTTTCGCAGTTATCCCCCGAATGCCGGGTACCAACGTGTGTTAGTAGCATGCGGGCCAGGCAATCAAGGCGGTGATGGACTTGTAGCGGCTCGTCACTTGAAGCATTTCGGGTATACGCCATTGGTATGGTATCCCAAAAAGAAAGATGCACCTCTGTTCCATGGTCTCGAACAGCAACTGCGAAACTTGGACATCGAATTTATTTCCGAAACAGGTATGACACAATCCATGGTATCCAGCTCTCATGTGATTCTCGATGCTATATTCGGATTTTCTTTCAAAGGAGAGCCTCGGGAGCCCTTCAAGTCGCTTCTTCAGCTGTGGATCGATATGAAGAAAGACCCTTCTACAAGTAAACCAATTGTATCTGTAGACATTCCGTCGTCGTGGAATGTGGATCTCGGTCCAGACGCCTCAGCTATCGCGAAGTCTTTTATGCCGGAAGTGCTGGTGTCGCTAACAGCACCAAAGAGTGGTTCGCGATATTTTACAGGCCAACATTGGCTAGGTGGTCGTTTTGTGGATCTGACGCTGAATGACAAGTATGATTTGCGTTTGCCACCCTATCCAGGAACATCACAGGTTGTCGATATCACAGGGGCCGAGCCACTTCCATGAAAAGCAGAAAAAATACGTACAACAACTATATTACGTAGGTTGAATAGGTGGCGTCGGCAACGGTCGTGCCGGTTTGCCTCGCGTTACTGCAACAGCATGGGAATGGGTGGAAGGAGGCTCCACTGGATCAGACATGTACAAAGCGATATAGTCTTCCTCTTGCCTCTCAGTTTCATCCTCAATCGCCGGCAGTAAGAATTCATGAGATGTGTCTTCATGACGAGATATGGGTAGACTGTACATATCTGGAGGTTTTAATGTGTCAGAGTGCAACGAGTGATCGTCTGCTTTCGGCATAGACGAGGGGTTGACAGGTATGTGGACATATTGATGAGCAATATGATCAGAGCTGGATAAAGGTATGTTGTTAGGGTATACAGAGGCACCTTCACACTTCATGCTCATGTCTGAGAGCTCCACATCCTCACAATCCATTTGATCCATAGATACCTTGGCACTCGAATTGATCGATTCTTTACCATCCTCGCATGAAATAGAGGATTTCGACCCACGGAGTGTATTGTATATTGGCGTTCTTGGACCTCGAGGCAAAGCTAGCGGCAACACGCTCTTACTGGAAATAACAGGCCCATCATATAATTCATGGACTCGATCCATGAATTTCGCATTCACAACAGGAATATATAAAGGATCATGAAGAAGTGGGTGACCAAATTGGCGCATAAGAGGTTGGTATTGGTTTTTGGCTTTCAAAGGCACAGTGCGTGCCAACTCCAGCGGAGATGGGTCATACCAAGTAAATCTTGGTTCCAGTTTGATGCGAGTATATATCCCATAGGCAATAAGTGCAAGCAAGGGAGGAACGCATACAATGGCTTTCACCCAATTATGGAGGAGTCCAATGGCTACAGCCAAGACCACCTGCGCGAGAGCCAGACCGGCCAAAAGGCAGCGCGTTGCAACACTCCATAGCCGACCACCCGATTCACTTTTGGTCGCGTACACAAAGTAAAACTGGTTCTTAAAAACAAACAATGCCATCCAGAACACACCAGCTGCAAAAGCAGTGACAATAGGGGACAAAGGTGCATAGATAAAGCCAATGACAGCGATAAACAGCATGTCCACATAGGAGACCCAGTAGCAAAAGTTCGGTGGCTTGGTAAGCTCCCACACATCTCTTGGTGTATGGGGGAAAATGTATTTGTTCATTACCAGGAAGAAAAACCGGAGGACTTGAGCCAGCTCAAAAACAAGGAAATAGCCTTTCAATACAATCCATGTCATCCAATAGGCAGACAAGAACTGAAACCGAATGGATATGCTAGAGGCCAGCTCCTTAGCGGCGGAAGAAGCCACATCGCCAGCACTCTCATTATGACGGACAGACTTGATAATAATGAGGACAAGATCCAACAGGACACTGATAAGAGAAAAAATAAAGAATTGGGTTAAGATCGTAAACGTAAAATACTGTCCAGTCAACAATACGTCTCTTGACTGTTTCGTTCGTACACCACGGTACATTACAATACGGTGCATCATCTTGGGAAGGAGTAAGGAGAAGACATATGTAATCAAGGGAGGGATGATACCTTTGATGACAGAGAATGAAAAAACGTTGGAGTAGATCCAGTCGCGAAGCCCATTGGAAATATATCGAAACGCATCAAGGTTTGATATCAAAGCTGATATCAAGAGTGGCAGAATATTGATGCAAAAAAGAGAAACAAGAAGAAAACGAGCAAAGACACGCGAACGCATACGTGCTACTTTACTTTTGTCCAGGTTCTCCCAAATAATATCTCTAGGAGAAGATGCCAAACGGATATGAAAATCAGAAGGTTGCTTCGCAGTAAAGTAACGAGCAGAGTCATGGGCATACATAGGAGCGCTTACTGAGGCAAAACCATACGTTTCAGGGATCTTTTCGCCAGACCCTGAGCGTATATCTTGAATTTGAGACTCGACGCATGAAAGTTCACCTTTATAGTAGTCAATAGCATCGACACGACGAGTACTACACCAATTCAGTCTTGTGCCGCCCACTTTAATGGTGACTCTTTCTCCTGAGCTGCTTCGAAGCGTTTTGTCAATAGCCCGCTCCAGGCGGTAGACGAGCGACTTTTGGAGCTTTAACAGTTGTGCTAAATTTTGGGTGCTGTTTCCTAATTCCACCTCTCTCAACGGATATGGCGGTTGCAGTTTCTCCAGGGCAAATCGCAGAGAATTACTGTTGTGGATATGTGGCGCAATATCTGTGATTAACAGAGCGCGGGAATAAAAGCTTGACTCATACTCTGGGGAGGTGAAATAGGCATGCCGAATTTGAATCACTTTGAGATAGGATCGGTGTATAAGAAAAAGCGACACACTCATAGCAAGATAACTCAATACCACATGAGCCCATTGCTCAGCTCCCTGCATCATACCCATGGTAAGGTATAGTACTTCCGCCGAGTTGGTCTGGTTAATATTTTTTGATGCATTCTGCTGTGACACTTGGTATGTGACATCAATGGGAATAAGAATGATACAAAGGGGTATAGCAACCACTGTTAGAATCTTGGCAGAAAGTCGAAGAAGTTCCAAAAATACGATTGCGTCGGTGCCCGCCATGGACAAAATGTCAGATTCACGCAATCGACATATCATTTTGATCCAGCCCCAAAGTGACATGTGTTTCATCACAACAGCAGGCTGTTGAGAGAGAGATTCCACTTTGGGAGAGTAAATATGCCTGTTCCATCGTCGAAACAAAGTGAATAGCAAGAAGGTAGCAATGCCCAATGCTAGAGCCACAGCGATGAAAATCGCTACAGAAGATAAGGTTTGACGACCGGCCTATTGTGAGAATAAATCAAACGTACGATATTGTTTTTCAAGTCTGTGAGAATAGAGTCAACATCATCTCTTCGATACAAGGGAGCTGATGGACTCGGCATGGCGGTAAGGAAGCACTAGCATAAAAATTGTGTAACTGGAGTGTCAGGGGCCTTATCTCCACAGTGGCAGTGCGCTCGCTCCACTGTCACGTCAGCCTTTGTCCAAATTAATTGCACCGCCTCCACAGCAGTATGGATTGGCTTTCTTGCAAACCATTGAAATGAAACAAATTGAATTATGTTCCCCGTAATTCATACTGCCGTACGGAGTACCATAGCTGGTCATCACTGCCGTTGAAAGAGAGATCACTATATGATATTGAAGAGAAAAAAATGACATTTCTTCGCATGATGCAGGCCGGGCTTATATGGACCTGGGCTTTTTTTCAAGCTACTACCTTACTTGCTTTACGTTATCCCATAGAAGGACAACGCAGCACCTCACAGAGCGTACGACCTAGGAATTGTGGCAGCGCCTTTACGTACGCCCTTATGTGCGGGGGCGTGAGATTTTTCTAGTCCATGCTTGTGATGGGCCTTAATATTCAAATTTACCCTGTCGCGGGGCTTAGTAAGAAGCTCTAATATAGAGATGGAAAAGGGAGAGTTGAATAAGCGTGTTGCGACGTGAGAGCGATTTCGTCGCCCGAGCCAAAAGTGTCCGTGTGAGGCCTCATCTTTCTGCACTACGTATTCAGCGAGGCGCCACATTTTCTGCTCTCTTTGCTGAACTAGACAGGCACCGCGTGTATTCCTTCGTTACTTTAGTCGAGTAAGGATACACAGCGGCCTTTACCTTCTACCTGACCATTGATTCTCGGCATGCAGTAAATTGACACGGACTTTTGTACCAGACCATTGCATGACACACAGATCAGACAGATATACTGCTAACGATAAACGCGCTGCTGCGTTTGAGGATATATTTGGACGCCGAATAAGCCAGCGGGCCTCAGGTGCTTCCATGCCAGGCCCGCCACCCATGCCACAGGCCAATATTCCTCCTAACACAGGCAGTGTGGCATCATTGAACCATAAGCAAGCGCATTACGTTCAAAACCCTATGTGGAAGTCAGGAGCACATGCACACCCTTCTTATCCATCAACAGGAAGCGCGGAATCGCATCGCGTTATTTCTCAGCCCTCGCTCTCCGGCCCTGCGCGTGTATCCGAAGGTCTGATACATCCGACAGATGGGATGCATACACCTCCACGGGCCAGTTTTCAGGGAGCCACTCGATCTTCTCTGCCTGCGCTACATGGAACCGCGAGCAATGACAACTCACCGCACTCGTCCAGGTTGAGAGCTCAGTCCATGGCTTCAAATCATGGTGATATGATGTTGATGCACGCAGCAGACGCGCGCAACTCCGCTCTCACGGCTTCTATGCAAGGGTTAGCAATGCATCACCGTATTTCCGACCCCAGTGCTACGCCTACACAAGGATTTTACCACGGCGGCGCGTATGCCAATTCTACATCCACAACGCCCACAATTCCGTCTAGTTTTTCTGAAAGTGGATACACTTCTACACCCGCCACAAGCACGATGCAAGCGAGCCCTGCATCGACGATGCCGAGGTCGAAAAGCAAATCGGCACTTTCCCGTTTCATGCCCCGTTCGTCTATGGATCAGTCGCAATCTAGGGCTTCGTCCCGTGGTGAGTCTACGCCGTCTCCCACGCATGTTTTGAGACGCATGCAGTCGGCTCTCTTGCCTGGAGAACGGCAAATGAGCGCTTTTCAACAGCCTACTTCAACGCCCGATGCATTTACGACGGTAACAGACCCTGTGACGACGCGAGCATCTGTGTCACCTGGCTCTTCAGAGTTCCCCCCTCCCAGGGTCAGTAGCCAGCTTGTCCGGCATGAATCGCCGGCGCCTATCGTTCATGGAGCTGACTTGGCATCGTCGACTCGGCCCATGCCTGTGTTGCTCCCAGGTGATAGGCCGGTAAACCCAGCTCTACTATCAGATGTGGCCCGTGCCTTGGAGAACGCTGTGGTGCCAACCAATCGAACCAAGAACGAGCTGACATATGCTCGTGCTTTTGATGGGCAGGAAACGGTGGACAAACTCATGGAGATTGCTCGGACAAGGCACAGAGATTTGGCGCTGCTACTAGGTCGAGCGTTGGATGCGCAAAAATTCTTCCATGATGTGACATATGACCACAGGCTTCGTGATTCACAAAGTGAATTGTATCAATTTTACTATGACCGATGGGGGCCTCATATTGATGGGGAAGCATTCGCGCTCACCACACCTGCAGCGTCGCGACGAAACTCTTCCTCCACAGCAGCAGGTCGACCGACACTCACGGCCCTAGATATGGAACGTGTGTACTCAGCCCAAAATGCCTTGGCCATTGACGATGCGGATGAGAAAGAGGCTCAGACATACCACCCTGAATACCCAATTGGTGTGTTCACACCGTTGACCTCTTGCTACAGCCCCACTTGTCAGCCTGGCCAGCCATGCTACAGTTACGCCTGTCCCAACAACCGTGTGGAGCTCACTTCAGTGCAGTCCACGTTGCAACGGGAGGACAGCCACGAAGGGCTGAATGAAATTACGACACAGCTATGGGCCGAATCTGTCCCCAAGGAAATATATAACCAAGTGCCCGATATGGAGCGCAAGCGTCAAGAAGTAATTTTCGAAATTATTTCTACGGAACGCGCGTATGTACAAGATCTGGAATATCTTCGTGATGTACGTATATGCGCACTGACCCTTTAGATTTGGATTAAACCACTCAGTACCCAGCATATTTTATCAGAATCGAGACGCGATGGGTTTGTTGAAAAGGTGTTTTGCAATCTCCTCGAGATTCTGGCCGTCAATGCCCGCCTTTCGGAAATGCTCATGCGGCGTCAACGACACCATGCCGTCATTGACCATATTGGAGATATTTTTGTGGAGTTTGTTCGCGAATTTGATCCCTACGTAAAGTACGGCGCCAACCAAGCAGCCGCTCGATTGGCTGTCGAGGCGGAAAAGTCGAGCAACCCTATCTTTGCCATGTTTGCCGCTGATACGGAGCGAAAAGCTGTATCGCGGAAATTGGAGCTGAATGGATATCTTACCAAGCCCACCACCCGTCTTGCACGATACCCCTTGCTGTTCGAGCAGATGCTGAAATTTACGGCGGAAAGCAATGTGGACAAAATGATCTTGCCAAAAGTCATCCAGCAAATCCAACGACTCTTGACGCATGTGAATGATGAGACGGGTCGAAGTGAGAATAGGCTCCAGCTTACGTTTTTGAGCAGGCACCTTGTATTTAAGCCTCTTGATATGGTTGATCTGCGTCTGAATGAGGAGGGACGCGAGCTTGTCTTCAAGAATGCACTGAAGAAGCGTGGCACACAAAGCGACAGCTCTGAAATTCAGCTCTACCTCTTCGATCACGCATTGCTAATGGTAAAGGTAAAAATCGTCCACAAGGCTGAAGTGTTCCGCGTTTATAGGCGCCCGATCCCGTTGGAGTTCTTGCAAGTGACTGTGTATGACGACGTACAGACATCCAAGGGCATCAAAACACGGTCAGTATTGTCGCGCTCCTCAATTGGCAAGCGCACGTCCATTGGTGCTATGCCGGGCCAAACACTTCCAAAGCAGGACAGCAAGTCAGGGTACGCCATTACGTTTGCGCACCTGGGAAAGCGCGGCTATCACATCACGTTGTGGTCCACCACGATGGCCAATCGCTCTAAATGGCTCGAGCATGTGGAAATGAGGCAGGAAATCCTCCAGAACCGGAGTCGCATTTTCGACATGATTCCAGTAGCGCCAGGTATGATGGACGTACCTACGAACCGGATTACTTGCGCTGTGCCATTTGATTTCTGCCGGCAGATCTTCTTCGGTAGAGAAGATGGCGTGTACCTGGCCAATGTGCGTGACGATACACATCCGCCCAAACTTGTTCTTGCTCTCCCAGGCGTGACGCAAGTGGACGTGCTGGAAGAATTCCAAATTTTGATCGTACTGGCGGAGCAAGTGGTCCATACATTCACCTTGAATGCACTGGACCCTGCTGATCCCGTCATGTCACTGAAGCGTGGACGGCGTATTGCGTCGCATACATCGTTCTTCCGCGCGGGCGTCTGCATGGGTCGTACATTGGTGTGCGTTGTGAAGTCAGGGCCTGTGTCGTCCACCATCAAGACTCTGGAGCCTATTGAGTACAGTTTGCGAGCTAAGAAGCAACAGACTTTCCGAAAGCTCTTGCAGGGTGGGCAAGATACGCTGCGTGTATTTAAGGAGTTCTATATCCCGACCGAGTCCAGCTCGATTCACTTCCTCAAGTCGAAGTTGTGCATTGGTACGACCAAAGGCTTTGAAATTGTGGACCTGGAGACCCTTGAGACACAGGGCTTGCTGGATCCTGCCGACCAATCTCTGGACTTTGTGCAACGACGCGAAAACTTGAAGGCCATTGCGATTTACCGCATCGAAGGCGAGTTTTTACTGTGTTACAATGAGTTTGCCTTCTACGTAAACAAAAATGGGTGGCGTGCTAAGGGCAACTGGATCATTCATTGGGAAGGCAATCCGACATCGTTTGCCTTGCACTATCCTTATATTCTGGCCTTCGAGTCGAACTTTATCGAAGTCCGGCACGTGGAAACAGGAGCTCTTCACCAGGTTATCACTGGCTTTAATTTGCGATGCCTTTTCGCGGATACGTTCTCGGCATCGATCCAATCCCGTTCCTACAACCATCGGCTTCAAAAGATGGGATACGCCAACCCTATGCGTACAAACTCGATGCCTGTACAACAGGTGACTGTGGCACCGCCCAATATAGTGGGTAGCCCAGCGGCGGCAAGTATGACGGCTGCTATGGGTGGGATTCAAACACCAGTCGTGCCGCCAGGCACAATGTCCGACGGGTCATCGCCGTACAACTCACCACGGCTGTCATTCTCGTATGGATCCCCGTTATCCCTGCAATCGCAATCCTTTGGCCCATTAGTACAATCACCTCCGAACATGACCTCTGGAACAGCACAATCGAGCGTATTGGAATCGGTGCTGGCTAGTCGTTCTGAGATTTTGTTCGTGGGTGATTCTTCCGCTTATGCGATCCGACCACACACGTAATTTGTTGCCCCGCACGACACACATCGGAGCCCATCATGCAACTTTTTTTACCTCTTTCGTACATGAATATTTAGTCAGCAAGTAGGATTCGATACCGAGATTAGGCTCGCTAAGGAACGTGAGTCTCTCCCCATCGGTAAAGGTCACCACAAAAGCAATATGACGGCTAAAAGAGGGAAGAAAGAGATCGACGCTGGGCAAAAACTTCACGAGGTAGCTTCTAAGTTGGAGGAGCCGAGTTGGCAGACAAATGCATCATCGGTCTCTCTTTTTCTGGATAAAAAGACAGATGTACTAGGATCGAAAGAGGAAGAAGAAACAGACAGGAAGCTGAAGGACACAATCTCAGGGAAAGAAAAGGGGGAAGATGCTTCCATTATTCTGTCTGATATGGACAGAAAAAAGATGGCAAAGTCATCAAATGAGAACTCTACTTGCAAGGCGCACTGGTCTGCCCTTCTTAATCTCGGCGCTGCAGCCAGTGGGCTCAGCATTGCCCTTAGCCATGACAGTATGAAGAGCCTGAAATACTGTATTTCCTGGCTTCAATATGCTATTGCCCACATCGAGCATCATGTGAATGATCTGCAGGATTTTATGGATGCACTGCGCAAGGATGGCAGCTCTCTTACACCTGCTGCTATGCAGAAACTAGCTAACACACAAAAAGAAATCACTGAGCTTATTCGTACGATTATTGATGTGGCAAGTAAGTATGTGGACAATGCTCTTCCTGAGTATGCGCGCCGAATTGTGAAAAACTGTTTACTGAGCCTTCCGGAGCGCTGGCGACATGCATCTCTCAAGTTGGCCGATGCGTCGCAGTCGCCATCCAAACAACATGTACAGACGCCAAGTGGCGCTAATGAAGATGATATGCAGATCCAAAAATACTGTCACCCCAGTGTTGAGGTGACTGCCGCAAAACTACTTACACTGGGCGTTGAATCTCTTAAAATCATGAAAAGAATGATGCAGGTGCTTGTGGAAGTAATGGACCATGCTGACTCATGGGTGGAGAGACTAGGATCCATGCTCCCTCAATCAACTGCATCCTCCTCTACACCATCCAGGCCACATGGCTCAAAACATGGCGCGAGTGATACAGACTCACTCGAAGAACATGACCAAAAACGTATGCGAAAAGACGACTGGAATGAACACGAATCTTTATCGCCCAAACGTCCCTCTGACTCACTTCCCAAGAAGGAATGATAGCTCGAGCTCACTGTCCCCTATGTATGTACTATTGCCCTTAGCTCTATTCATGATGTACTACTATCCACGGCGGCCTCCACGCTTCTCTCCACTATGCACTGGGTGTCACGTGAGGATCAAAGAAATTTTGTCAGAGACTGTCCACATCCTTGCAGCCAACGGCATCATGGGACGACGTGCAAAGAATAAGCAGCCTGCCCCGCAGCCGCTTCCTGAGCCCGGTGCGGGACGAAAAGGTATGAAGGAGCATGCTATATCTAAGCGTAATGCTCCAAAAGCTAAGCAGAATCCGAAAGCCAAAGTTGCGAAGACACCAGCTAACGTGTCGCGCGCGATGCCCGCCAAGGCTGCCTCGCTGCGTCAGACACCGGCTACGAAAACAGCATCATTGTCGAAGCCAGTGAAGAGTAAAAAGCAATTGATTCCTGAAGATGAAGACGAAGAGGATCTTGATGAATATGACTCTGATGACCTGGAAGCCTTGGATGAAGATGTAGATCTTGACGAAGACGATGAGGACGAGGAAGAGGCGGAAGATGACGCCAGCGAAGATGGCGAGGATGAAGACGAAGAAGAAGGCGAGGGGAACGAGGAACTCTCGATGGAGCAGATTCTATCCTCTCTTGGTCTGCCCAAGAATGGCAAGCTTACGGAGCGTCAGAAAAAGAAAGCCCTGGCGGAGGCTGAGCGTCTGGAGCTTCTCCTGAAGAGTTCTGGCCATTCTTTGGAGGAGGACGAAGACGTAGCTGAAGACGAGGAGGATTCCGAAGAGGGCGAGGAGGATGTCGAAGGCGAAGAGGATGAGGACGAGGAGGATGTCGAAGACGGAGATCTCGAGGGCGACGAATTCGAAGGTCTCGAAGATATGGAGGACCTCGATGAGGAAGAAAACCTTGATGGTCTGGAAGAGGACGACGAAGAGGACGACGAGGGCGATGACGAGGGCGATGACGAGGAGAATGCGGAGGCGCCCGGCACTGGCTTCCTGCTGCCGACCGTTGAGGAAGAGGAGCAGGAGAAGCAAGCACCGCTGGATTTGCAGCTTGTGCAAATGCGTATCCAGGAGGTCGTAACCATCCTGGCCGACTTGCCTCGACTGGGTGAGCCTGGTCGTTCTCGTGCTGATTATATGGATCGTCTTTCGAAGGATGTACAAACCTATTATGGCTATAACGAGTTCTTGACTAACATGTTCCTCGAACTCTTCTCGCCGGACGAAGCCATTGCTTTCTTTGAGGCCAATGAAGTTCCTCGACCTGTTACTATTCGTACCAATACACTGCGTACGCGTCGCCGCGATCTCGCCCAGAAGCTTATCAACCGCGGTGCGAGTTTGGAACCTGTAGGCCCGTGGAGCAAGGTTGGTCTGCAAGTGTTTGAGAGCTCCGTGCCGATCGGTGCGACGCCAGAATACCTGGTGGGTGACTATATGCTGCAAGCCGTGTCGTCATTCTTGCCCTGCGTGGCCCTGGCGCCACAACCGAACGAGCGTGTGCTGGATATGGCCAGTGCGCCAGGTGGGAAAGTGACATACCTCTCCGCGTTGATGCAAAATACAGGCTGCATTTTTGCGAACGACAGCAACAAGGCGCGTATTAAGAGTTTGACGGCCAATATCCACCGTATGGGCTGCCGCAACGTCGTTGTATGCAACTACGATGGTCGGCAGTTCCCCAAGGTGATTGGCGGTTTCGACCGTGTGATGCTCGACTCGCCATGCTCGGGTACGGGTGTGGTGAGCAAGGACCCCAGTGTCAAGACGAATAAGTCGAAGCGGGACTTTATTCTTCTTTCGCAGCTGCAGAAGCAGCTCATTTTGTGTGCCATCGACAGTGTGAACCCGCGATCGGAGACGGGCGGCTACGTCGTGTACAGTACCTGCTCTGTGACAGTGGAAGAGAACGAGGAGGTCGTCGAGTACGCGCTGCGCAAGCGGCCGAATGTGCGCATTGTGCCTACGGGTATCGACTTTGGCCGTGATGGATTCAAGAGTTTCCGTGGCAAAAAGTTTGACGACCGCATGCCGCTGTGCCGTCGTATCTTCCCGCACGTGCACAACATGGACGGCTTCTTTGTATGCAAGCTCAAGGTGGAGCCTATCAACAAGGGCGAGAAGCGTCGTCAAGAGATGGAAGCGGCGGAGATCGAGACGGCAGCGGAGCAGACCCAGCCCAAGCGGTCAAGTGCGACAACGCCCTCTGCCTCCGTGGCGGCAGACTCCTTGTTTGACGAGGCCGAAGACGAGGCCATCATGCAGCGCTCCCGTGAGCGTATGGCCAAGAAGCGCCGTATGTAACTATGTAGAGAGAGAAGCTACCAAGAGGTATCGAAACGCTGCACGACCTTCGCTGCATCTTCCGCGTCCATTTGTGCACGCTTGCGCTTGAAGAAAATGGGGCAGTCTTGGTTGGAGCACAACACATCGTGCGCCAATGAGCCTTGGCACCGCTGACAGCACGTCCAGAGCCGACTGAACTCTATCTCCGCCGCAGAGGCCCGCATGAGCTTCTCAAAGTACAATTCCGTCTCACGCGACTTGCAATTGTCGCACACGGCCGCTTTTTGGTTCTTCAGCGGAGTGCGGCAGCCCAAGCACTGCACAGTCTTCACAGCGAACTTCATCAACGCACCGACATTCGACGTGGCCACCTGGAGAACACGTGTGTGCTCGCCACTCAGCAGCGAGCTCGCACGATCGCCCAGGATCGGCTCGAATATACGCATGAGCGGCTTCGAAAGCTGGTTGTCCAGGTAATAGCGTGTATCGATTGGGATATTGTGTTCCAGCGCATAAAGCGGATCTTCCGACTTTTCGTACGCTGCACTGCCTTTGCTGCCCTTCACAATGACATACGCCACACGATCGCCCAGCGACGGCGCCGAGCCGGCATCGCGCTTACGCATGCGCTCCGCCAACTCGACATGTGCCTGCTTGGCTGCATAGTCAGCCTTGGCCAGCGCTTTGGAAATAACAAGTTGCGACATGTCGATCTTGTTCTGCAGCAGATCGGCAATGACCTGCTTCGCATACGCTTCAGCGCCTTGGACGTCACGGTCGATCAGCATTTTGCGCAGGCACGTCTCGATGACCGTACGTACCAGCCGGCAGTTGTCACGACGCACCGTTTCGATACCCTTGGTATCCATTTTGTCATAGGTATCCGGCCGCGTCCAGTACAGACCCGCATAGCGCTTCTTGCTGATCAGCAAGTAGGGGAAGTATACCTTTTCGAACTCAAGGCGGATGGGATGGATAAACGATTTCGATACAAGCTCCGCAGCTTCAGCGCCCAACTCCATCGCCCGCTTGAGATCCGGCACGCCAAACTTGACCATGACGGAATCGGTGTCGCCGTAAATCACCATGGCATCATGCTCGTACCCGTTCTTCACAGTGTAATGCCCTTCCACCTGCCGCTTCGTCTCCTCAATCATCTGACGACCATACGCCGTAACACTCATCGAAATCTCCAGGCATGGCAGACGGCCCACCGTCGCACCTGTGAACCCATACACAGAGTTGGCACTGATCTTCAGTGCCAACTGCCGGCCGTCCAGCACAGCCCGTCGAAAGGGATCGGTTTCCTTCTTCAGATCAGCCTTCGCTGCTTTGCGGGCAGCCAGCAAATTCTCCAGCACCTCTGGCAAAAGGCCTTTACGCACACTCGACTTGACAAAGTAGTTGTTGTTGGGCGTCACGACATAGTCCTGGCCTTCGACCAGCTGAAGACGGTCAATGGTGCGCTTATCCAGCAGTGTGGTATAACATAGGTTGTGCGCCATCATAATGGACGGGTACAGGGACGCGAAATCCAAAGTCGCAATAGGCTTGTCGTAGTACCCTTGCTTCGGATCCAGCACCGTAGCACCCTCGTACTGCTCGTCTCCGCCATCGCCTTTGTACGCGGGAATAAGGTAGCCATCATCACGCGCTTTGCGAAACAGTTGCGAAATGACCTTGATTTGCTGGCCACGACTCAGCAAGTAATTGAAAGGCACACCAGTGACACGCGCCATCTCCGTGTAGTTAATCAGACACATGAGCTTGTCAAGCAGTCGCTGCGGCAGGTACGCATCCTTCAAGCAGTACACGGCCAAACGACGGCGCGCTTCAGGGCCGGAATTCTGCAGCTCTGTAATCAGCGAGTGATGCACATCCTCCTTCTGTTCCTCTGCAACGGTAAGTCAAAGAATACATACTTAGGAATTCAAACGACACAGAGTTGAGGGAGTAACTGCGAAGCTTGTAGTCACGCTGCATTACCTGCAGCATATCCAGCTGAATACGTCCTTGCAATTCCGTGTGCTTAGAGTCACGCGTACCATACGCCTTGGAGGAGAAATGCGTATCCTTCGCCTCGCTCCGTGCATCTGGTGTTAGCCATACCGTACATACTTTTCTCGCGCCCCAAGAAGGGAAAGCTGGTCGACCGCAGTGCTTTGGCACGATCTAGCAAATACGGAAAGTCGAAGTTCGATATGTTGTACCCAATCACCACATCAGGATCAACGCGCTGCACAAAGTCGGCCCACGCCTCAAGCATCTCACGTTCATTGTCGAACGACATGACATGGCATCCGACAATGTGCGAGCAGGAGCCCAACGTAAATATATTCTTGACAAACGGCGTAGACTCGCCCTGTCGAGTGACCATGTTGGCGATCTGAATCACAGGATCGATTTGCGGGTCAGGGAATACGCCTTTGCGACCAGCACATTCGATATCGAAGCTCAAAATACGCAAAGGCGCCATCTTGAGCCATTCGCCATGCGGCGCATAGCTGTGAATGCCATCTGGACGACAGTCCACCTCAATTTGGCATCGCGAAAGGCACGCATTCGGCTCCCGCACCGTATAATGACCAGCTTTGACTTGGATCCAGTTCATGCCGACAATCTAGTGTGAGCAAAAAAGCACGTACTTCGTGGTCGATCATGAATCGCATAGTATAGGCCACATTGTCAAACGAGACTTGGGCATCGCCTGGCACAAAGAGATCACGGAACCCAAGCTCGCCACGCTCAAACGAACGTACAAGGTTAGTAGATATGATACGTATCTCGAACACGAGGAAAGCTTCGTAGATCTGATGCAGTCACCTTGATGAAGGCAATATTCTCCGGCCCTGTATACTGCAACAGGTTCTTCTTGCTCTCCAGCGAAATATCTGCGACACTATTCGCGCCAAAAGTGGTCTGGATAAGCAAAGTACACACGTACATTCAGGTAGTTCTTAAAGTCCTGGCATGTAGCCTGCGTAAAGCCGCGGGGCGCATGCACATAGAAGTAAGGGAGAAACCCATGAACGTGGACCAACACAGGGTGTCCTTCCTACGGGTAAGTCGATCAAGTACGTACCTGTGTCGTGCCATACATGCGGATCTCGGGAGATGCTTGGGGCATTTGACACTCTTCCACGTCGATTTGCTGGAATACTGCATGTTAGTCGCTCTGTACGCACTGATATTATCCGTCGAGGGATCGAGCGAGTCCAGACTAGGGCGCTCCCATACGACGGTGGGATCGACTAGACTTGTAAGCCAAGTTGGGTACATACGGAGTGGCTCCTCAGCCTCGCCCAAGCTCGCAAGGGTATCCGTGAACGATCCCGGCTGTGCATCAACCTTGCGCCGCTTGTTTGCCCTGCTTGTAAGTAGACTTCCGACGCACGTCTCTTCAACCATCACGGCGGTGCACAAGAAGGGTGCGTCACGCGTCAGTGCCACACGAACGCGTCGCAGCGCGTGAAGAAAGTGGAGGAGCCTATATGCCACGTGGTAGTGATCGGAGTGGCTACGCTACGAGTAAGCGCCGCCATCGCTCTCCATCTTTCTGACAGGCCTTCTTGCTTCCCAACGAACTGAAATTTGCGGTGATGATTCCGACACGGCAGAGTCTTCGTCGTGTTTGGGCGTCGACCCATACTATGGCATCGTCGAGGCGATCACGTATCAACGGTGCCTCGATAATTCGCCACCAAGCGGTGCCTGGTCTCGCATCGATGCCATCAGCACGCTTGCATACAGGCCAGGTCGCGATGATGCCGCGCCACAAAAACGGATCATATCGTATGATGATGGATCGTCAGGATCCTGAAGAACAAGAGAAGGAAAAGAAGGAATCACAGCCAGCCGAGGCCGCCGCGGACGACTCTGCGCCCAAACAAGAACAACGACAGCTGTCGGACGCCAACGAAGGTGAAGGCGCTGCACGAAGTGCAGGCCAAGGCTCAAGTGCAGGCAACGCTGGCGAGAATGGCAATGGTCATGACGACGATGGTAAGAACGACAAGCCTGCCGCCCTGGTCTCACGCAACACCGTCCCAAGCGTATACCCGCAGGTGTTGGCCTTACCGATTACGCGCCGTCCCCTCTTCCCTGGCTTCTACAAAGCTGTTGTGATTAAGAACCCTGACGTATGTGCTGCCATTAAAGAAGCGATGAAGCGTGGGCAGGCGTATGTGGGTGCGTTCTTGCTCAAGGACGAGGAAGAGGACACGGATGTCATTGCCAGCTTAGATCGCGTCCATCGTGTAGGTGTGTTTGCGCAGGTGACCAGCATTTTCCCTGCACAGCCCAATGCACGAGGGGATGGGCCTAGTGAAGATGGGTTGACGGCGGTTCTGTACCCCCATCGCCGCATCATCATTGACGATCTCATCACACCTGTACCGGAAGAGAACAAGGAGATCATCACACATGCGACCGAGACGCCCATGACAGAGGAGGCGAGTGTTACAGAGATCTCCACGGAAGAGACTGAGAAGGCCACAGAATCCAGTGCTACAGCGCCGTCGGAAAGTGTGGTGGAGGACACGGCGGCATCGGCGTCTCCCAAAGAGCAGGAGATTCCTTCTCACACGCCGCCCTTCCAAACGGCATTTTTGCACAAGTACAAAGTGTCGCTGGTCAACGTGTCCAACCTGGAAATGGAGCCGTACGATCGCAAGCCAAACCAATATATCCGGGCGATCATGTCGGAGCTTATTAGTGTGTTTAAGGACATTGCCAACCTGAACCCACTGTTCCGTGATCAGATTGCGAACTTTAGCATCTCACAAGGCGCTGGTAATGTATTTGAAGAGCCAGAGAAGCTCGCTGACTTTGCCGCGGCTGTGTCTAGCAGTGAAGTGGACGAGCTGCAAGGCGTGCTGGAATCCATGGATGTGGAAGAGCGTCTGCAGAAAGCGTTGCTAGTTCTGAAGAAGGAGCTGGTGAACGCGCAGCTGCAGAGCAAGATTAGCAAGGATGTGGAGAACAAGATCCAGAAGCGCCAGCGTGAATACTATCTGATGGAGCAGTTGAAGGGTATTAAGAAGGAGCTTGGATTGGAGACAGATGGCAAAGACAAGCTGATTGAGAAATTTAAGGAGAAGGCGGAGAAACTGAACATGCCGGACGAAGTGCGGAAGGTGTTTGATGAGGAGCTCGCGAAGCTGCAGACGCTGGAGCAGGCGGCCAGTGAATTCAACGTCACGCGTGGCTATCTGGATTGGCTTACGAGCATTCCGTGGGGTGTGCATTCGCCGGACAACTATGCGATCAACCGTGCGACCGAAGTGCTCGATGAAGACCACTTTGGCTTGACGGATGTGAAAGACCGTATCCTAGAGTTCCTTGCCATCGGTAAGCTGCGTGGTACAGTGCAAGGCAAGATTATTTGTCTGGTTGGACCGCCTGGTGTCGGTAAGACCTCCATCGGCAAGTCCATTGCGCGTGCGTTGGACCGCCAGTTCTTCCGGTTCAGTGTAGGTGGCCTGAGTGATGTGGCCGAAATCAAGGGCCACCGTCGGACGTATGTGGGTGCCATGCCAGGCAAGGCCATCCAAGCACTGAAGAAGGTCGGCACGGAGAACCCGTTGATTCTCATTGATGAGGTCGACAAGATTGGACGTGGCCACAATGGCGATCCGTCCTCGGCCTTGCTGGAAATGCTCGACCCGGAACAAAACGGCTCGTTTATGGACCACTACCTCGATGTCCCTGTGGACCTATCGCGTGTGCTCTTTGTGTGCACAGCCAACACACTCGATACCATTCCCCAGCCACTACTCGACCGTATGGAGGTGATTGAAGTGTCGTCGTACACGGCCGAGGAAAAACGCCACATTGCGCGCGACTACTTGGCTCCGCAGGCACAGGAAGCGTCTGGCTTGAAGGGTGCGGATATCACGTTGCCGGACGAATCGATTGATTTCATTATCAAACGCTATGCCCGTGAAAGTGGTGTGCGTGGTCTGCGCAAACTGTTGGAGAAGGTGTATCGTAAGGTGGCGTTTGACATTGTGAAAGAGCATGGAGAGAGTGTGTTCCCAGAACCGAGTGATGTTTCTGCAACGGCCACCGACACACCGTCGTCTGAAGAGTCGAACGCACAATTTACTACGACGCCGCGGGAGCCGATGCAAGTTCCTTCCTCCGTCTCCATTGTGATTACGGAAGAGCAGCTGCGCAAGTACCTGGGACCGCCTCTATACCACAAAGACCGCTTATACACACAAACCATGCCGGCTGGTGTGGCGCTAGGCTTGGGCTACCTAGGCAACGGCTCAGGCTCGTTGATGCCGATCGAGACTACGCTGATGCCTGGCAAGGGCCAGTTGAAGTTGACAGGCAAGCTGGGTGACGTGATCAAGGAGAGTGCTTCCATTGCTCTTTCCTGGGTCAAGACACATGCGCATGACCTGGGCTTGACTAAGGAACAAGACGAGTCGCTGCTCGAGAACCGTGATGTGCACCTGCACATGCCCGAGGGCGCCGTGGGCAAGGAGGGCCCTTCTGCGGGTGTGGCCTTTGCCACAAGTCTCATTAGTCTTCTGACTCACCGTGCTCTGCCTACAACCTTGGCCATGACGGGCGAAGTATCGTTGCGCGGTATGGTGCTGCCTGTCGGTGGTCTGAAAGAAAAGCTGCTGGCCGCGCACCGCGCGGGGATCAAGACAGTGATTCTGCCCGCACAAAACAGGCCGAGTGTCGAGGCGGATGTCCCGCGAAGTGTCTTGGACGACTTGGAAGTGCACTACGTGACCAACATCTGGGCGGCGCTCGAGATCGCGTTTGGGCCAGGATCCTGGAGCGAGCCGGCGCGCGTCTGGAGCGCGAACGAGACGCCAGAGGCAGCTAGCCAATAAGCAGACAAAATAGCTTACATAAAGGACTGGGGCACGTACGTTGCTGACGTACGTTCCCTAGGAACAACGGGCACCAACCACCCACTTCATTTTCAGACCCACGTCTTACCACCGCCAAGGCCTGTGTCATGTCCTTTCTGGGTGTGAGTGGCGAGCCAGACGACTATGGACGCAAGAGCCATCGGCTTAGCATGAGCGGACTCCTTGGCCGGCGGCGGAGCTTATCGCGCAGCCGCCCTTCGCAGTATAGCGACCAGGAGAACGAGTTGGAGCCAGCACAGACGACACAAGCGCTCCCATACGACCCACCCACAGCCAGCGCAAGTGGGGCAGAGATTCCTCCGATGATGCTAGGCCCGGTGGATGACCAGGGAACCATGTCCGACTCGGACGACGAGTCGACGTATTTTGGCAGTGAAGTAGAGGACGTGGACGAGTGGGAGCCCATTGTGTTTGACGATGCTACGATGAAGAATACAGACCGTAACACCCACCTTCTGGACGATACGGAGAATCTGTTGGCATTGAACAATTACGAGGACGAAGATCTTTTGGATCCGTCAGCGGACGAGTTCCAGACAGCGCCGAACATTGTATTTTCACGAAACGAGATCGAGAAGCGAGAGCACAGTATGCTTCTCAATGCCGAGGGTCTGCCCATGTCCCCACCAGGGCGTCCTCCTGTGGTGTATACAGGTCCGATGTTTGGGCGAAATCACTGCACCATCACAATGGAGTATGGCGATTATGCGGGCTGCCTCGCTTCGTCGAAACGTCCGAAGCGCTATATCATTGCAAGTGATGGCAGTGAAGGTTCGCAGTATGCAGTGAACTGGGCGATGGGGACTGTGCTTCGAGACGGTGATGAGACGCTGATCGTGGCTGTCATGGAGACCGATACCAAGTTGGACCATGTCAATGAGCGGCTGGAAGATCCTGTGCGTCTGGCCGTGCACCAGAAAATTCGCCGCGATATGGCAGTGACACTGTGTCATCAGGCGTTTATGCTTCTGCAGCGCACACAACTGGGCGTCAAGGTATCGTGCCAGGCCATCCATGCGAACAATGCGCGACATATGCTCCTGGATGTGATGGACTTTTACTCACCGACCATGGTCATCAGCGGCAGCCGCGGCATCGATAAGATCCGCGGCGTGCTGGGCAGTATGAGTCACTACCTTGTGCAAAAGTGCTCGGTGCCCGTCATGGTCTGCCATAACAAGCTGCAACTACCGCGCCTTCCTCGTGGTAAGGCGGATGTGGTGAACAATGTGCGACTTCGCCACATGCGTCTGGACCAGGCTGTGGTCGAGAAATACAACCGCCGTGAAGATGCGGACGAGGACGAAGAAAACCCACAACCTGAAGCGGAGGCGCAGCGAGCCGAGCGTCTCGTGCGTGATTCAGAACGTATGAACCGCTTGAACCGCGTGAGTTTGGAGCGTCGAAACTCAGGTGCTCACCCCGTGGTATCCTCGCCGGAGCACGGCCCCGATACGACATTGGTCCCGCAGCCGGCCCTGACAGATCTTAGCCAGCTGAGGCTCGTGGATGTACGCCGCCCATCGCTGGAACCATAATGGATGCGTGTATTGCCCAAGTTGGTGCGGACAGATAGCATCATGTACATACCCATGCAGATACGGTAAATTCCTATGTACTTTCTAATCATTCGTGGAGGCGGCCTTGTCGGACGATGCGGGTATGTTCTCCTGGAGATTTGAAAGGAAGGTCGTCGCGTCGTACGCGCTCCCGAGCTTGATGGCAAAGTGTGTCAGACCCTCAGGCTCCATAGCAGCAAAGCGCAGGAATCGCTCCTGCTCGAGGCTGCATTGCATACCCGGGAACAGCTGGACGTTCAAGATCAAACGCAGCACAGCATCAGACCGCATCACCAGACGCGCTGTATGACTCTTCTCGTTTCGGTTGATTTTGATAGTACCTGTGCCACGCTCTTTCCACACCTGCGCATCAGAGAGAGAGTAGAGCTTGGCACGCACAGAGTGTACAGTGGTATCGTCCTCTTCGCCCGTCGTGACTGTCGGTTAGCTCGTCGGAGATACATACGTTCAATATCCGGCTTGGGCACTTCCTTCTTGCGCACGACAATGTCCTCGGGTTGTGGCGACGCAGCACTCTCCGAGTCATCCTTCACCCAGTCCTTCTTTTCCTTCTCGGTGGTCGCCGCTGCCTCCGCCTTGGAAGAGAGGGCGGTGGCGGATTGGAAGGGCGCAGCACGAGCGGCAAACGCACCAAAACCCAACTGCGATGTGGACTTGGAAGAGGCAAACGGACTAGCCGACGAGGCAAACGACGAAAATGTGGGTTGCGTTGATTTCTTCGCGCTAGGCTCTGGCATGCCCTCGGTCGCCTTGTCAGACTCGTTGGTAGCTGACGGGGCCTCCTCGTGGGAGGAGACGGCCTCGGTGCTCTTTGCGTCAGACGTAGTGGTGGCCAACGCGGCCGCCTCCTTCGCAGAGGAAGCTTCTGTGTCCGTTGCGTCAGAGGCATGCTCTTGCACATGGGCCGATGCGGGGGCTGTGGTCTCATCCGAGGGCGCGTCAGTCACCGACGCGTCCTTCTTGTCGGACGGCGTGGAGGCCATAGACGCCGCCTGCCGCTGCTTCTTTACAGGCGCACTGGCCTCGTCCGCCGCCGAGGCGGGTACGTCCTTCACACTTTCTTCCACCACCTCCTCCTCGCTCCGTTCACGTTTACGCAACGTAGGTGTCGGGCGCTGGACCTCGTCCTGAGTAGCGGCGTCCGTGGCTGTCATGGAGGTAGGAGGAGAGATCTCCACTCGGCCGGCCGTGCGCAAGTGAGAATCACGTGGGGAACGGTGCGCAAGTACGTCCGTTCCCCCTGGGGATCGGGAGTACGACTTCCTCCACTGAATGTGGCCGCATGAGGGACGTACAAAGCCCTGAGGAGTCAGGCACACACATAGATACCCAGGATCCGGGGGCTCTACCTCGCACGAACATACCGCAGCCAACGTTGCTGGCGAATATCTATGCAGAGGCTCAGACGACAGATCCTCTCATTGCGCTGCAGTACTTGCTCACGCAGTACAATGCTTTGGCCGTGGAGTACGCTCATGTATGTCAAACACTCTCTGCGCACACCTACGACCGACATGAGCCTGTGGGCCTAGGCGTAGAAAACGTGCCTGTGGCCCCGTCCACGACCCTCACGGGCCGACTACGCAATTTGCGACGCCGCAGCTTCAAGACGTTGCGTGGTGAGACCATGCGGACTCCGCCTTCGCAGCCATCGTCTCTGCCGGCCGATTCACACATGGACTCGGTGTCACACATGCTGGAGCAGTCCCTGCGCACAGGCCCGCCGCCGGACGTGCCACGGACGACGTCGCCCGGCCTAAGCAATACCTCGCCACGCCTGTGGCGCAAGCCCAGCAATGGTAGTAACGCCACATCAAGTTACCCGCGGTACCCAGAATCGCCATCCCAATGTTATTCGGCATCGCAAATCAGCTTGGCCCAGTCGACGTCGCCACGTATCATGACACGTGCCTTGAGTCCGCCGGCAGGGCAGCAGCCCTTTCCACGCTCGTCCAGCTCCCGGCCGACGACCCCGTTGGATCGCGGCGTAGAGGAGACGGGCATGCCTACGGCTCTGGATGCGGCCATCCTAACGCAGGCGGACATTATGACCATGGGCTCATTTTACTATGGGGGCGCTGGCCCGGACGCTGTGGGCTTCCGTATCCGACTCCAGTATCACACAGCTACACCGGAGGTGGCACGTCGTCGACGGAACTATGTGCGGGTAGAAAAAACGTGGAAAGACCTGGTCGCGTTGCATGACAACGCGGCCCACCGCCTAGCCCAGACGTCGCATCTTCTTGCGCCCACACTAGAGCTACCAGATCGCGTCTTGTTTGAAGCGCCGTATGCGCCATGGCGTCAGATGGAACGCAATACGGCAGTGGATGCATTTCTCAATGCGGTCCAGCGTTTGCCGGTGCCCTGCGAAGACCTACTGCTGCCCTTCTTTTCGACCAATCTCACGCGCGATCCCGAGCCCGACGCGGAATGGGGTGCGTGTCTGCGTCAGGAGGTCCTGCTGCGCCAAGCGGGCGAAGGCTGGGCCGTTTGTACATGTGCCCTGTACGCCAACACACTGGTGCTCCATGAGCCCCAAAGTGGGTCCGCCCCGGATGTGTTGGATCTACGCCGCATTCGCATTGGGCGCCAGTTTGATATGATACCATCGCCGCATGACCACACGACGCGATTCCCGCTGATTGTGCTACAGAGCATGCTGCCGTCGCCTTTGCCTGCGACACAGCACCACATCAAACTTGCTACAGAGTCATTCCGGCAGCATACAGATTGGATGACAGCGCTGCTGCATGAGTTCAGCGAGCATTCCACGGACAAGGTGGCATTGGACGGCGTACCTGAGGCTGAGAATCGATCATCTACCTCCATCCACATTACGCCCAGCACGCCCGGCCGCGATTCAGATACGTCAAGTGAGCGATCCCACGCTGTATCGCCTCGTATGGACCGACACGTATCCTCTCTACCGCAATCGCCGCCGCTGCCGGACTCGATGCGGCATACGCCTGCGACTAAGAGCCGCCTGCGTCATGCGGCAGAGCACGGGCAGCCACATGCGCCTACCAACGATAAGCGACGCTACCTTTTCGGTCTCCTTACGCTAGGCAGTGGAGAGGAAAGCCATGAAAAGAGCTTGTTCGGGGCGCCCATTAGCGAGGCTGCCAAAGCCTCAGGCTTGCTGGTAGACCCTTCTCTGAGCCCTGTGCCAGCGATTGTCAAGCGATGCATCGATATGCTGGAACATTGCGGCGCACTGAACGATGAGGGCTTGTACCGCGTGAGCGGAAGCTCGTCAGTAATGAAGGTGCTGTACGAGCGCTTTACGGCCCTGGGCGACGTGGACTTGGAGGCAGAGTACAAAGCTCAGCGTATGCGATATACCCATGTAATCGACTCGCATGCGGTAGCAGGTCTGCTGAAAATGTATCTGCGAGAATTGCCGGACAATTTGTGCACAGATGTGTTGTTGCCAGACTTTACCGCTGCCGCCGAGATGCCCGAGCGTGAGGAGCGTCTACGGACCCTGCGTCATCTGTTGGACCTGGTACCAGCAGAGAACTACTCGACATTGCGTCTGGTGTGTCAGCACTTGTGCCATGTCCTCTCTTTCTGCCATACAAACAAAATGACGCTGCCCAACTTGAGCATAGTATTTTGTGCGACGCTTCGCATGTCCAACGAGTTGGTCATTGCTCTCCTGTCCGACTTTGACATTCTTTTCAAATTGCCACGACACCATCCGGACACGGACGCTTTCACGATCAAGCCACCTGGCCCCACAGCCATAAAGCCTGCCGCAAGCCCAGAGCAACAGCAGCAGCAGCAGCAGCAGCAGCGACATGGCCATGCGCGCACGAGGTCCCTGCACGCTGTCTCCCCGAATCGGGCTGGTCAGCACCAGTACCGGTCTTCGGACGTGTCCCTTCATTCCTTGACGAGTCTGCCTCGATCAGACCTCTCTTTTGAGCGGCCAGACGTCCAAACGCAGACTGCTCCTGAGTTGTGACGACATGTTTGACGATAGCTAGCGTATAGGATTGTGTAATGAAGTAGGATGCTATCGACGTTGCCAAGTGGAGGCCGCTCCGAGTTTGCCTTGCCATGTCCACGCTCTACGTGACAGAGCCACCGACGGATGGCAAAGTCATCTTACATACCGCCAAGGGCGAGATTGAAATTGAGCTATGGTCCAAAGAAGCACCCAAAGCATGCCGGAACTTTGTGGCGCTAGCTATGGAGGGGTACTATGACGGATGTGTATGGCACCGCGTAGTTCCTGGCTTTATTGTGCAAACAGGTGATCCCACGGGTACAGGAGAAGGCGGTATGTACGGATGCACTGACAGCAGGTGAATCGTTCTATGGAAAGCCCTTTGCTAACGAATTGCACCAGCGACTCCGATTTAACCGACGTGGCCTCGTCGCGATGGCGAATACGGGGGAACGCAACTCGAATGACAGTCAGTTCTTTGTACGTATGCCTGTGACTGACGTCAGATTACGCTGGACGCAACGCCTGAACTACAAAACAAGCACACGATCTTTGGCCGGGTAGCAGGAGCTACGATCTACAATGCGCTAGCCCTGGCCGATGTCGAGCTCTCGGCCACGGAACCTGACCGACCTGTATACCCTCCCAAACTCTTCCGTGCAGAAGTCGTCCACAATCCTTTCCCTGCTTTGGTGCCACGCATTACGCCAGCCGAGCGTGAAGCACAAAAAGCGGCCAAAAAGATGGCCGCCGAACGCCAAAGCGCTATGGAGCGACAACGAAAGAAGCCCAAGAAAAACACGGCCTTGCTGAGTTTTGGCGACGAGGAGGATGTGCCTGTGATTAGCACGGAGAAGAAACCAATGAGCTCCCATGATCTCTTGGACGACAAGCGCCTGAGCAAGCGCACCTATGCACCGCCGCCTGCCAAAACGAAATCACGCGACGACCAGGTCGAGGCAGTAGCGCAGCTGCCACTTGCCCAGCCGGATGCCAACGAAGCAAAGGCTCCGTACGAGGCGGTCCCGGCGCCAAAGGAGACAGCAAACGTGTCATCTGGGCGCGAATTGCTCGCTTCGCTTGTTGGACAGTACAAGAAAGAAAAGTCGGCGACAAACAAACGCAAGGACAAAGATGCCAGCACGTTGGCGATGCTGGAATCGTTCCAAAAGAAAATTCGGTCTGATGACGCGAGAGTGCCAACGAAAGATATGCATTCCAGACCTTCTGGTGGCAGTGCTTGGGACGATGAAGACGACATGCGCGAGTACGGTGCGAGCGATGAAGACGATGTAGATTGGCGGTCACATACGTTCGATTCAGGTGGCATGCCACTCTCAGGGTCGCATGACAAGTACTCTGTGCAGGATTATCAAGTGATTGACTCACGCGATACAAAAAGTGACGTCGCTGCTTCTATGGGCTTCGGAGGTGAAAATGTCGTGCGGCAGCATCAATCTCGCACCCGGCAAGAACGTCTCAAGACGGAAGGACGTCGTGGACGAGATTGGGTGTAGATGTGGTACATAGGTGGAGGACAAAAAGGGACCGAAATGTCCCATGCTAGTGTCTCTCGCCCATCATGAGCGCAGGCGGCGCTGCCGCCGAGGTCATTGCGTCGCCGAGCGGCCGCTTTGACCTGCCTGCTTCGGCTGTGCGCCATGTGGACGACACAGATGAAGAGGTATGTGCAGTGGCCCTGGCTTACCACGCAGGTGTTTTTGCTGCATACGCTTCGTAATCCAGAAAACGCTCACGGCCTTGGATCGATAGATAGCAAGAACGATACCATCGACGTGCGCCTGGATCTCATACCAGCTCGCACCTTTAAAGGCGCCAAGAAAACGCGAAAACCTACCGAGGTCAATGTGAGCATCACGCAAAATGTACGTCCTTTCGTTGCTCTAACGTAGTGCACGGCCCTTCGAACACGCGTGGGGGAAACGGGCAGCGTTGTCTGGCGCTGCAGTGTGCTGTTGGCAGAGCATGTCCTACGGCAGCTATGGGGTGTGATGGATCCATCTTTCCCTACACTATTTTCTGCGTCGCAGTTTTCTGACTGTCGTGTGCTGGAGTTGGGGGCCGGCACAGGCGTCATGCCGGCCTGCTTACTAGCCCAGTCAGGGTGGCTCCTTCCTCGCGCTGATCCGCTCCGCTGGATCTCCACCGACCGAAAAGAGAATCTTTCTCTCATTGCGAAGAATGTGGCTTCATGCATCCCGCCCAGTCCACAGGTGGACGTTCACGTCCGCGAACTGGATTGGATGCATATTCACGACGTCGGCCAAGATCCACATGCGCGGCGCCTAAAAGCTCGGCTTGTTCGGGATACGCTGGCTCCTTTCTCCTCGGAGGCGGATGTTGTATACCCGGATCTGATTCTATGTGTGGATTGCGTGTACAATCCTGCCCTGCATGCGCCCTTGGTTTCTACGCTGGATGCCTTCTGTGAGCCTTCGAAGACTGTGATTCTCCTAGTGATGCAGCTACGTGAAGTGGATAATACCCAAATGTTTCTCGAGGCATGGACGCAGCATACGGATCATACCATATACCACCTAGATGACGATATGCTGCCGCCGGCCATGCGCCAGGGCTACGCTGCGTGGATTGCTTGGCGTGGAGAGGGTGGCCTTACCGCGTAAAATTCACATCGGCCGAGCTGGCCTGTCTCGAGGGCCACCCAGCGCGTCGCGACGCGACGCGCCACATAGCGTTACGTCTTTCCTCCGTTCGCTACGAAATGTCGATGCGTCTTCTTGTCCGTCGGAACCCTGCATACCCCCTCGCCAAGCTTCCTACGCGGGGAAGCTCGCAGGCGGCTGGCTACGATCTTTACGCTTGTGAAGATGCCCTCATTCCTAAGGGCGGCCGTGCTGTTGTGCAGACAGGCATCCATATTGCTCTTCCTGAAGGCCACTACGGGCGTGTGGCACCTCGCAGTGGCCTCGCTGTAAAGCATGGTATTGATGTTGGTGCGGGTGTTGTGGACTCGGACTACCGTGGTCTCTTGGGTGTGGTGCTATTCAACTTTGGCAACGAGGATTTCCAATGTACGTATCTAATAGGGCTTACCATCCAGTCCATGCCGGTGATCGCATTGCCCAGCTGGTTATCGAGAAAATATCTACACCAGAGGTCCAGGAGGTGGATGTACGTACAAAGTCTTCTGCTAACGAATCTCAGTCGCTCGATGATACCGTGCGCGGCAGCGGTGGCTTTGGCTCTACGGGTGGCTTCACGTCTGTGTAATGAATGAGGGGCAAAAATGTCTTTCACGCCATCGCGGATAGGGGTGGATAAATTGTGCACTATATACGCTCTCTTTCCCCACTACAAGCCACCACCTCATAGGATAGATGAATCATATGTAATACATATTGGCCCATTCGATTCCATGGCTCATAGCGTAGCGAAGGTCCAAGAGCTCTTAGTTGTCGAGCGGTGTCATGATCAATGGCATACGGATACCTTCCTTCCACTGACCGTCGACGAACGCACGACGCACCACTTGCTGACGCTGCACAAAGTCCCAGTCGGGCACAATGTCAAAGCGGAAGTTCATAAGCAAATGCGCGAGAATCACCTGTGTCTCCAGCGTAGCAACCTGCTTACCAACGCACGAACGCGGGCCCGACAGGAAAGCAAACGTGTGGCCCGGCGGCATCTTGGCGTTGATGACCGACGCAGGCAGGTTGTCCCAACGGTCGGGGTTGAAGTCTTGCGCATCCTCGCCCCACAGATCCTTCGACAGTTGAATGGCGTTGAGCGGGATGAAGAGCTCGTGACCCTTCGGGATCACAACCTGGTTGAAGGTGCCCTTGCCATCAGCGCGGGTGTACGACTTCGAGAGCGGCACAACGTCGTCCTTCAGGGCGACACGGACCGTGCTCGGAATCGAAGGCAGCATACGGATCGACTCCTTCACAACGTTCTCAAGGTACGGCAGCGTAGTCACATCACGCAGCGGCTGCGTGTTGTAGATGGCGCGCTCCTCCTCAGGCAAGTCATCCATCTCAGCGTGCTCCTTCGCCACAGCGTCCTTGATCTCCTTGCGCAGGCGCTCCTGCACCTCGGGGTGCATGGCCAAAAGCCAAAGAGCCCACGTGTTCTGCGTAGCCGTCGTCTCGTGACCAGCAATAATCAGCGTCGTCATCTGACCCATCAGCTCCGAGTTCGACATGCGTTCCGACGGCTTGAGGTCGGTGGCCATGTTGGCACGAATCATACGGTAAATCAGCGACTTGGGCGACGATTCGTCATCGAACAAATCCTTCGACATGCCCTGGTTCTCCGCCAAAATCTCGTTACGGATGTTGTTCACAATCTCACGCGCGTGGTTCTCCACGGTCTTCTGTGCACTGCGGATCAACAGGTTGCGGCGAGTAGGAAGCTTGCGCAGCCACGACATACCAGGCTTCTCCGAGAGAATCAAGAACACGGCAGTGGAAAGCTCCAGGTCGAGAATAGCACCCATCAGCGTCGTCATAGCGTTGGCAAGAGGGTCCTGGTTACCACGCTCCAGCGATTGGAAGTCGGCGTTGAAACCAATTTCACCGATAATGTCAAGAGTCGTACGCGAAAGCCAGAACAGAACGTCAATCACAACACTGTGCTGCGGGTCCTTGAGAGGGTAAGCCCGGTCCGACGGGGTCTGACCAGTCACTTCGGTGTCAGCAGGGAGCTTGCCAGTGCGACGATCAATGTCACGCTGAATGATAACCTTCAGCTTGTCGACAAGCAGCTTAGCGTGGCGGTGGATGCACGGCTGGAACTGCTTCACCACACTCGGGGCAAACGCAGGCGCGATAATGCGGCGCTGACGCGCGTGCTTCTCACCCTCAATCGAGACCAGACCCTCACCAAGCGCAGCAGTAAGGAAAGCACTGGTGTACTCGGGCTTAGGGTACTGGTAGGCCTTCGCAGGGCTCAGCACATGAATCAGGGCCTTGGGATCGGCAAGGAGAATGCGTTGCACATAGAACATATGACGGTAGCGGTAAACCGGACCGAGCTGGTTCATCCACTCAACGTGCTTGTCCGCCGGCGGAGCATTCTTGATAGCACGGAAATCACCGAAAATAAGGGAGAGAGGATCGGTGGTCTTGACCTTAGGGATATGTTTCCAGCTGCTGGTCCACTCGTCCACCGTCATACGGTAGAGCGAGCCTAGCAATTGGTTCAACACAAAGAGAAGCGGGATGGCGACAATGATAGCCACAGCTGCAGCCACAAGCACCAGGACATCTTTGCCTGCCGGAAGAGAGATCGAATCCATGATGGCAAGTTGGAAACGTGCTGTGAGCGGGAATCAGGCCAGTCGGTCCCCTGTCTGCGCCACGCCAATTTTATTAATGTGGCACATGACTGGATCGATATACACTGGATCAACTCTACTTGTAGAAATAAACGAATGCCTATTCGTTGGTGCGCTCGCCCACTTTTCTTAATACACCTACCCTTTTGTTGTGTGGAGGGACAAGGGGGCCGGCTGATCAAATCTGTAGAAAATCCTGGCCTCCCATGCAGAACCGTGCGGAGATTTACTGCACTGTTCGGACGGCCATAGCTTGCAAATTTTACAGAAGTTTTAGTAAAATAGGGATCAATGGTTTTCTCCGCGGTTGTAAAAGGTTCATTTCTAAATATCATTGGCTGCTATATCTATCTATCTATACTGATTTAGTCATGTCATGATTAACCTCACAGAGAGATAGGTTATTCTGGCCTCATTTGAGGCGAAACAAAATATGATTGCCTCAATTGTCTACATCTCGCTTCAAACTGATACACGTGCATAATCATCTCTACACCGTGCTAAGAATTCGCAACGCAAGAGCAAAATGCCGAATCAGCAGGGTCTTGATGAAAGACTAATGAGACAAATCGACGTTCAGAATAATTATATATCTTGTGTGTGGCAAATCACCCGCTCTTCATCTTATTCCCACGATGGTTCCTATGGCAAGCGCTATTAGACGTCGTTTCTTGATCCTTTGCAATCCTGCAACAGGTCAAATCAACCCACTGACGGCTCTTATGGAAGAGCTGGTACAACGGGGCCACCAAGTCATTCTATCATCCTCTAGTCATATTCTCAAGAAGGCACAAAAACTTCAGCTTCGTGTGGGCCAGATTCCTCAACCTGAGGAGATCCCTTCAGATGAATACCTTGCGAAGAACCAAGTGGTCTTTTACTCTCTGGGTTCAAGTGAAGTAATGGAAGACTATACCAACAAGGCTATGGAGCACCCTGAGCGTTTCCAGAAGATGTGTCGCTCTGCTCCAGGTGATATCTGGGGCTGGCTTGATACTTTTACAGAGCTTGTTCCCGGTGCCTCCAGTGAATATCGTGACGTGGTTTTCTTTATCCGTGACCTTGTGGAAGCCCTTGACCCTGACATGATCATCGTCGATAACTTCAGTCCCTTCGCCGTGGATGGTGTTCGGCTGACGAAGCGACCCTTTATCGAGACCTCACCTGGTGCTGCCGCTGCTGTAGCTAGCAACGTCAACATTTTCTCGAGCCCCATCCCTATGAGCGGCGCTCGTACCGGCAGTGGTGATATGTTTGTTCTCTTCCGCAACTTTATTTTCATGCTTATCTGGCTCAAGTTTATCTTCTTCAACCCATGGCCTGCTCGTCGTCGTCAATTCCGCAAGGAAGTTCTCGGCCTCCCTTCTACTGACATTATCTGTGATTCCATCATGACGCCTACGCCTGGAATGCTTCCACAACAGGTGGCTACCATCTCCTTCAACGTGGCAGGGATGGACGTCTATCCTGCAGAGGCTTATGATAAATCCGTCTATTTTGTCGGACCATGCTTCCCCCCGAAGCAGATCTCAACACCGGCGAAGTCGTTGCCATCCAGTCCTAATGTCAATCCTACTCCCTTAGATTTCTCACCATCGGTTTCCGTTGCTTCAACACCGACCATTGGCGAGACGATGTTGGAGAAGGAGATGTTTTCGATGCAGACTCTTACTCGTGACTACGACCCTGTTATGGCATGGCTCGACCGCGCACACTTGGACGGCAAGCGTGTGCTTTATATCAACATGGGAAGTATCTTTTACTACACTCGTAAGGATTATGACAGTATTGTTCAAGCTCTGAAGATGCTTCACGATATGTATCCTAACACGATGGTGCTGTGGAAGATCCCTAAGCTGCCTTTTGAGGTCCAGCCCCTTCCTACTCCCGATGAGGACAGACTACCTCTTTACATCCGCCGCGAGGACTGGCTCCCAAGCGTGGAATCTGTTCTCTCACACCCTGCGGTTGCTGTCTGCATGCACCACGGTGGTGGCAACTCATACAACGAAGCCTTGGCATATGGTGTGCCACAATTCTGTGTATCACAATGGGTTGATACACATGACATTGGTCTTTGCATCCAAAACTCTGGTGTCGGACTATGGGCGGAGAAGTCTCCGTTCTTTGACCCTAGCGACATGAGCACCAAGCTTGCCCAGCTGCTAGAGGACCAGAATAACAAATTCCGAAACACAGCACTTTCGTGGAAGCTGAAGGCTTCGCAAGCCGGTGGTACTAAGAGTGCAGCCGACATTATCGAAGGTGTGGTGTCTTCGTATCAGTTTGCGAACGGGAGCAGCAAAACGCCTATGCTGAATGCCATCTAATTTAACATAATACCAATCTTATTGGCACCTGTATTATGTTTAAACAGCCTATACACCTATACGACGGTATGGCATTATTTGTTTTTTAACAAAACTAGGAACTTTGTGTACTGTACATATAGAAGAAATTAGTGAAGTATTGATTGTACTATTCATGATGTCGTGCCAAGAATGTCGCGCGTGCATCTTGTCTTCGCACAAGCCAATGAATTCAGAAAAATTAATTCGACCTATAGAAATGGAATCGGCACAATTACCGGCACGTAAAGCCGCCTTAAAACTCAGCCTGGAAAGCAGGTAGATGTGGCAAAATCGGCTTTTCAGAATTTGGCACTACTGGTAAGCTGGGTGTAATGCCAATACGTACATGACATAGCTGTAAGTAAGAAAACCGAAACGAGTAAGGACGCTGTGTTAGTATCCATCCACTATGCAATAATAGCTTGTCGCTTGTGACAAGCTTATCGTGCGATGCGTACAGCTGAAATTAGCCAAATAGTTGAATACGTACAGCATGAATAATACCCTGCAATGTATATCCAAAAAGACAAGTATCAGCAGTAGTTCGGATGATAAAACATACCGGAATGTAACCAAGACAGGTAAGGATAATGTTGACTTGAGATGTAAATACGACGCCACTAATACTTACTCCAGAACTGAGCGTGGCAGCCGCGCTCAAGGAACACACCCAGAGGCGGAAGGAGAACAGCAAAGAAAACTTTGCAAACGTCGGAACCGCTACCGCATAAGAAAGCCCTATACTTACGTAGCAGGCATTGTGATTGTGAAGTGTTAACACTGTCCCGCTCAGATCTCCTGTGACCCGTTCACGCTCCAATCAGGCAAGGACGGGAAATTATGTAAGACTCCAGGTAAGACCCTATACGGTGAGTCGCAGAATGTCGAGGCATGCGATTGGCATGATCCGATTAATGAATACATAGAAACTAAGAATATCTGAACTAGAAGCAAGGACGAGAAAACAACGCGTGAAACGAAAAGGCCTCGAAGAAGAAATTACATGGCAACACCATTTTGAGCTAGACGAAGCTTCTCTTGCTCAAGACGCTGGTATAGCAATGTGACAGCCATTTGAATATTTGGCGGAGGGCCTGTGATGGTGACTAGACGTTCAGAGCCAGTGCCACCCGCTGCAATACCAGCGTTCCGCTCCATAATCTTGATATGACTTGCACTAAGCTGCCGGATCTCGTTGATTTTTTGACCGCCTTTGCCAATGATACAGCCCACAAGATCATTAGGAATGAAAATTTGTTGAGTTTGCAAGCCAGGAGCTAGAGCAGAGGTTACAGGTGTTTTTGGACTTGCAAAACCGCTAAACGGCATAGCATTTTGACTTGGAGATCCAACAGTGGGACTGAAGGTAGGCGTTCCCATTGTACGCGGTGTAGCCGTGGGACGATAAGGTATGTTGTTCGAGTTCCGGTCTGGGTGTTCAAGCAAAATGGTACCAACATAGTAAACAGCAATGTGCAGCGCATCTGCCACACCAGTGATGCTCAAGATCCTCTCGGTCGATCCTGGCAACATAGCCTCGCCAGCATAAAGCCGTGCGCCACTAGCTTCCTGAATTTCCTTTATCTTGCTGCCCTGTTTACCAATAATTGAGCCCATACGGGAGTTGGGGATAATAAATCGAATAGCAGCAGCGCGAGAGCCAGGTAGTGATGGCTGTCCGAACGGCTCATCGTTGATCCGACGTACAATCAGGCCAAATGCCTTACTAACAGCATCAAGAGGACCAGAAACGGTCAAAATCCGCTCTGGGTTCGAAGGGATGCTTTCGCTGATATTCAGACGCGCATTACTCAGTTCGCGAATTTCATTGATGTGACGACCCTGCTTTCCAATAATCACACTTGCATCGCTCGTGATGATGAGAGCGCGAATAACAATGGAAGCAGGAGCTGCTTGGGTATACGCAGAGGAATTAACCGACTCTGCATTGCTAACCATGGAGGTATTAGCTGATACAGGCATCAAATAGTTATCATGGGTAGGTGTTTGCAAGATATTACTGGTAGAGTTGTCATGAAAACTGGACGTATGAGAAGCCGGTACGTTAAGACTGAAGGCTGACGTGTTTGATTCATCCACCGACAAGTCAGACGAGGAGTGAACGTGGTTGACAGAGTCAGACATCATTCAAGTTGATAGTAATATGAAAAAAGGAAAAGACGTGTTGAGGATGGTTAAGAACGGTCTGACCAAAGAAGGGATGGGTGGTCAACAAAAAAAGAAGCCGTGGAGAGATACTGGGGAGAGGAGCTCCTAACTGGACTTGATCATGTTAGCTTTGCGTACAAATACCACCTACCTGAAGTCAAACAGTCAGATTGGGATACAAAAGGTGTGTGAGGATGGGGAAGGATGCGTCGCTATGCAAGCTCGGCTCCGTGGTGGATTAGGATGAGGAGTCCGCTCTTGTTTTCTTGGCGCGACGAATCTAGTGCGCGCATTTACGACGTTTCATCCTAAGGCACGTGCCGGAAAAACTCTCTCTAAAGAAGTTGATTGGATTAATAATTGTTAAATAACGCATAGCTAACAGCTGCACTCCCATCGCGCATAACCAATATCGGGGTGTACGGCTGCCCAGTTTAATCTATATGTCAGCGAGCATGCAGTTCACAGCGATTAGAGCACTATCTGCGCTAGGACGTATGAGTTCTTCCATGTGAGATCTTTGGACCTTGGGCCTACAAGTAGCACGTTCATAGCCACCGAATCCACATAGTGTTCCCTTCTCAGATGACTAATCAAATTGTGTCGCTGTGTGCATGCTGATCTGTCCGCTCGTTCGTTCACGTCATCGATGAGCGCTGTGGGGTTGTCAGACGCAGGTACGCCTGTCGATGCAACAACAAGCTCATCGAAAGATACTGCCGACATAGAGCGCGACACATGGCGAAAAAACTTACGGCACCAAAACCTTTCTGTGTGGGAGCATGGTCCCATGCAACCCCCTGACAACTTGGACTCGACGCTGAAACGTAATTCAGCGTTCATCAAAAGGATCAAGCAGGGGAATGTAGGAGACGCGCGTGAGTCACTTCTACGAGAGGTCGAGATGCTCAACTTGGAGAAATATCTAGATGAGTTGATTCCAAGTGTGCCTGAAATGCTGTGGAAGTGCACACAATTTAAGGATCGATGTGCCGCTATTGACATACTCTCGGCCTTGCACATGCGTTTTGGCGGTACAGACTTTACGATACGAATCAAGGATGCTGTGGCCCAAGAGCTACAGCCACCTACGGCCCGGGCCAATATTGATACCTCCAATGAGCAAGCTCAGAAAGAAGAAACCGCGCGCGTGACGCGCCAGCGCAATCTCATGCGTGGCGCTACGGAGCTAGTGTTAGTAGGCCTGATTGGGCCGCCTTCTAGTGGCAATGCTCTTTTCTCTGTGAGCTGGGAGTGGCTATTTCAACTACTACGTGGCTTGGTGCGTAGTGTAGCGATACTAACCTGTAGCTCTCACAAGATCGAGACCATATATATACTTCTCTTGTGAATGGTCTTCTTAAATCGTATGGACCGTTGATCATTCCAAGTATGGAAGAGCATAAAGCAGGCGCTCCGGTGCAGCTTCCCATGCTAGGTGACATTCCTGCGACGAGTTCGACAGGGTTTTGTCAGAACTTTCGGCGGCTCTTTGAGGCGTACTATGTCACACTCTCTAAGCGTGTTGTGCGCGAGCACTCCCTAATTCAAGAGCAAGAGAAGAAAAACCGTGATGCGTACATCAAGTTTGGTGAAATCTTTGATGATCGTCAGTCCGCGTTTGACAAGCGTACGAAAGAGCATAAAGCGTTGGTGGACACGCTCCAAACGATGGCCTCGCTACTTAATGTTACTATGCCTGACCTGCCTGAGGCATCTCAGCCGCAGGCGCAACGTTCTGCCGTCAATTTGGAGGCCAAGTCTACGCTCGCAGAGATGACAGCACGATTAGAGGAAGAGTTTACGTCCGGCAAAAGTCCATGGGCCGATGAGGAAACGCGCAATTTCTACACGGATCTTTGTGATCTGCGGTCTTGGGTGCCAGCGACGAGGTTAGGACTGTCCAAAGATGGCGAAGCTGAGACCAATGCTACGCCTGAAACAAGCCGGGACGAGGCGGGGCAAGGGCTGCGTACGCTGATCGATCAAATGCCATCACTGGCCAATGCTTCTATGGTGGACAAGCTTGCTGTGGATATCGCCTTCCAAAATCGGGCTGGCATCCGCAAAACGCTAGCGCCGGCCTTCCTCCAAATTCCGAAGCAGCGATGGGACCTGGTGCCTTTCTATGTACGTTTGCTGGCGACCTTGCACCCTTATATGCCCGGACTCACAGATATGGTGGTGGAAGACATTGACAAGTCGTTCCGACGAGCGCAAGCTGTGCGGCAATTCGATCGCTTGCAACGGGGTCTAGTATGTATGGAATGCACTGACACATAGCTCGTCGTGTACATGGGCGAACTGACTAAGTTTGGGCTGGTACCGGAGCACATTATCTTCCATGCTATCAAGTTGTTGGTGGACAACTTTAGTACGACAGCGATTGAAATGCTGGCTCAGCTGATCGAGACATGTGGCCGCTATTTGTACCGCTCGACGCCAACGCATGCTCGTATGCAAGCGGCTCTGGATCAAGTGCGTCGGAAACGAATGGCCCACAACTTGGATGAGCATCTACGTATGCTCTTAGACAATGCGTATTACCAGTGTGTACCGCCTGAACGGCCGGTTGTCGTGCAGCAAGAGCGAAGTGTGATGGATCAGTTCTTGGAGCACGTTATGGAAAAGCAGCTCTCTGTTAAGATGTACGACCGTGTACTGCATGTGCTGCGCTCGATGGACTGGAACGACAGCGGGGTAAAAACGCTCCTGTTTTCGCGATTCACGTCGCCCTGGCTTTTGCCGGCTGAGCGCCTGACCTTGCTAGCACGCCTGCTGTGTGACTTGCAAGCGTATCACCCGGCGTTTGTGGTGCAGGTGCAAGATTCGTTATGTGAGGCCATTGAATGGGATTTACACTGCCCTACCTACCATGGTGCGCAGCGTCGTGTGGCGCGTATTCAGTACCTCGGTGAGATGTTCAATGTGCGTCTTGTGAACAGTGATGTGATCTTGGACCAACTGTGGCGCCTGTGTATCCGCCGTCCCCAACGTCCTGATCCGTACGATAACTTTACGCGTGTGCGCCTGGTATGCACGTTGCTGCAGGTGTGTGGTACGAGCTTTTCGAGCGGCATGCTTCGGAAGCGGATGGACGATTTCTTGGTCGCATTCCAGTACTATATCCTCACGAAGCCAGAGCCGCCCGTCGATGTGCGTTTCATGCTTACGGCAGCAATTCGGCCTATGCGTCCCAAGCTCAACTGGCATCTGAGCCGCGAGACATTAACAGCCAAGCTCGATAAGATTCTGCCGTTCTTCTATCGCCGGGATATGGCAAGTTTGATGGCCGGCCGCGCGCAGAACGATGAAAGTGAGGATGATGGCGACGAGGATGAGGACGGTGACGAGGATGGCGACAATGACGACAACGAAACAAGTGATGTATCTGACGCCGAGAAAGACACAGAGCTAGCGTTGCTGGACGAAGAGAAAGCGCAGAGACGTCAAGAAGCGCTCGATGCCGAAGCGGAGGCTGAGTTGGAGCGTGAATTGGCGATGCTCATGACGGAGACCAACATGGCCGACCGTGGATCGAACGCCACGGTGGAACGTACACGAACGTTGCTCGCGAAGGCCCCTGTGCCGCCTGGCCCCACGACGACGCCCAACACGGACGATGCCTCGTTCATGACCTTCTCCCTCCTCTCGCGCAAACAGACCAAGTCGCTGCATGTGCCCACAGGCGCTGCCATATCCATTCGCGCCAAGAAGCAGCAACAGGAAGCGGAGGCGGAGCGGCAACAATTAAAAGCCTATGTACTTGCCTATCGTGATCGGGAAGATTAGAGATCGTCGTCGTCGCCTTCGTACGCCACCAATTTTTCGTTCTTGGACTCGGTATTAGGCGCCACCGCAAACTGTGGCCCCACATCGGTTTCTTTCAGCTGCGATCGCTCGCCGATATTCGCATGCAGACCCACGATGCAGCTTTCCAGCTTCGCATTGTCGCCTACAACAACGCCGTCCATCAGAACCGAGCGCAGGATGCGGGCACCTTTCCCGATTGTGCAGTTGCGGCCGACAATGGACTGCTTGACGGTAGCGCGCTCGTCAATGCGTGTGCCTGCGCCCAGCAGGCAGTCGGCAGACAGCTGCGCACGTGCATGAATAGGGCCCTCCTCGTCCTTGGTCGCTTCAAAGGGCAAGGTGCCACACCCCGCCGTAATCGGCAGGGGGTACGGCGCAGGGAGTACAGCAGCGGTCGGGCCTGCTTGGCGTAAGAGGTAGCGGCTGCATTCCAAGTACGTAGGCACCGTATTCGCTCGTGCCATGAAGCCCTGGTCGGCCGAATTGGGAGATGGTTGAAGTGCTTCGAGCACTTTGGCCGCGGGCCATGGACGTTGCCGCTCCGGCTGCAAACGCGCAATGAGCATTTCGCAATGCGGTTGGAACGGCGTGGCACTCGCACGCATATCAGCAATGCTCGTCCATGGCGCTGGGGCGACCTGCGTCTCGCCTGAGGCGGGCGAAAGCGACGAGGACGGGGCGACCCAGGCAGCTTTCGAGCTCAGACGCGATTGCCAGCCACACTTGATGACAAATGGGACCAACTGTTCCGTGATATTGTTGAGCTCCGGATGCAATTCCAGCAGCGGGAGCAAGGGCTCCAAATGCATAGCGTACACATGCGAGTCAAGAAGCGCCGTGGAGACACGCACATGCGGATGCTTCCATAACAAGCTCATACGCAGCTCCAAATCCGACGAGTTTTTGTCCGAGACGTCGTCAGAGTCCATGACCAGCAACGGCTCGTGCACGTAGAGAGTATCCTTGACACAGTCAGGCAGCACACGAATGCCTTCGTGCACACGCAGAGGCCGGCGGTCGTACGCCGTAAACAGGTTCGCAGGCCCATCGCGCTCTCGTTCTTTGCCGGTCCCTTCCCCGGCGCCACGCTCGTAAAACAGGCACGAAAGCGTAGGCGTGGCTTTGTCGGTGCCGAGGTGCGACGACAGGAAACTCGTGAGCGGGACATGGGGGGCAATGAGATCCACCGGCACGATCAGTGGATCCCGGTCCAGCTGCCGCGTCGCTGCGAGCCAGTAGAGCAGCTGCGCAGTGCCCCACCGTGTGCGTGTCACGGTAGACGATGGGTCGAGGAGACTGCGCACGGCCTCGCCAGGCTTGGGGCCGTACGCGACCAGTTCCACGTTGAGCACAGGAGTCATGGGCGATGGCTCGACCAGGTCGCCTGTACCTACAGGCACGGTAGTCGCTGCACTGCCGCCGAACGTCACGGCCACATTGCCTTCGCTCGACGACGACGAAGCGATGTTGGCCGCTTCTGACATGGCTTGCTCCACGTCGCGGCTAGAGCCAGGGGGGATCAGGTACAGCGATCGTAGCGCGGCTGCCAGGGCGGAATGATCGGCCACAGGGGCTACCAGCAAGCACGACCGAAAACCGGCCGTGACGAGCCATTGCAGAGGGTACGCAATCACCGGGCGATTGAGGACAGGCACAAGGGCCTTGGGCAGCGTATCATGAGGCATGTCACATAATGGGTACAAATTCGATCCAGCATCGCTAAACAGAACCGGCTGGAACCGTTGCGCATGATGCGCAGAGGCCGGTGCCATGCTGGAGAAAGACTGGGCGAAAGGCACAGCACCGCGGTCGACCAGCGGCGAAGTGGAGTCGCTGACTCTTAGGTAAGCACCCCTTCGCAGGCGCAGGCGCAGCTGCGCGACCCAGAAAAAAGACCCTGGCGCCCAGGCGTGGGGTCGGTCGTAGGACGGTGGCGCAGCTTTTCTGGCTGCATCCGAGCATGGCGCTGGTCCGTGGCCTGAGCCATGTTAGCCGTCGCCTAGGGCCCAGCTGGGCCGCTGCATCGCCCAGTCTCCTACGAGGCATACGTATGACACCCTACCTAGCTGCCAGCGCTTGTCATGCCCAGCACGAGCCTCTTTGTGCACTACGTCGCTATACCACGGAGCCTTCGCCGCGCAAGAAAGACGCCGACCGTGCCCCGCCCATGACGTCGTCGCCGACATCGTCGTCTACGCCTACACCCACACCGCCTCGCCCCCGCTTTGAAAACATATGGAATGCGCCCAACATCCTGACGCTCTCGCGCATGGCGCTATGTCCTGTCATTGGATGGGCGATCGCTACGCATCAGCCATGGACGGCCGTGTCGTTGCTGGGCATCGCAGGCACGACGGATTTGCTGGATGGATGGCTCGCGCGACGATTTCACAGTAAGACCATGTTTGGCAGTATCGCCGATCCGGCCGCTGACAAGTTGCTCATGGCGACAATGGTCATTTCGCTCGGGGTCGGTGGGCACATGTCGTGGCCGCTCGCGGCGATTATTCTAGGGCGCGATGTATTCTTGGTCGGCTTGGCATTCTATTTACGCTACCAATCGCTACCGCGGCCACGTTCCTGGTCGCGCTACTTCAACCCTCGGTTGCCGAGTGTGCAAGTCATGCCGACGCGCCTGAGCAAGTACAATACGTTTCTCCAGTTGGTCCTCGTGGGTGTGCTGACCGTGTTCCCGCTCCTGCCCGAGACATGGCAAACCCATCCTCACACGACACGCACTGTGACGGCGCTCGAGTACATTGTCGCTGCCACGACGATATGGACAGGCCTCGACTATGCCATGAGCCGTCGAGCTGTGCGCTACCTGCACAAGCCCCAGTGATATATAATGCATAGATAGGTACGACTCTACGACGACGACGATGATAAGCGAGGTGCGACCAGGTAGCCATGACGCCAATGTCCACCACACGGCCAGGCGGTCGGCGATACGGGCTGCGTGCCTGCGTCCGGGGCGACGTCGGCGCCATGACTGGGATGCGACGTCGGCGTCGCACTAAGGCCGTGCTCAGGATCGATCTCAGGCACGTCGTCAAGAGACTGTGTCATTTGCATGATCGCAACCAGAGGCTCCAGCTCGTTGCGGCAATGTTCCCAAGCCTCCGAGGACGCAGGCACTTGCAGCGCGGCCAAGCGGAACATACGCGCGAGCGTCGCATCGTCCAGCATGGGCGTCTCGCTCTCCCGCTGCTCCGCCGCACGCAAGGCCTCCTGCACACTCCACACCGGCTTGGCGGGTACGTGGCGGAAAGGTCGGGCGGTCGTGGAATAGGCGCGCGTTAGCCCCGGCGCAGGACGAAGCTGGGCAAAGTCAGCGAGCTTCGCTAGAGGGCACGCACCGACGGAGACGACGTTGGTGTGGGCGCCGTCAACTGCGACTGCATCAACGCACGGAAGCGCGAGCCAGGCTGATCCAGCTGCTCAAACGAGCCAGCCTCGACAATCTGGCCCTGCTCCAGCATGAGAATGGTATCCGCCGCACGAATCGTGCCTATATGTCAGTCGCTCGCCATACGTACTTAAACGGTGCGCCACAATCCAGACGGTGGTGCGTCCCTCGCGAATAATCGACGTGATCGCCTCGTTGATCAGCAGCTCCGACGCAGAGTCCAGCGCGGACGTCGCCTCGTCGAGCAGCAAGACACGCGGCTCGCGGACCAGGGCCCGCGCAATCGCAATACGCTGACGCTGCCCACCACTCAGCTCACGAGGCCCAATATGTGTATCAAAGCCTTGCGGCAGCGCCTCGATAAACTCCGTGCAGTGTGCAGCTCGCGCCGCACGCTCCATATCCGCCCGCGTCGCCTTTGGCGAGCCGTACAAGATGTTGTCGGCAATGGTGCCTTCGAAGAGGATCGGCTCTTGCGGCACGACGCCCATGACATCGCGCAGCGACTCGGGCGTAAACTCACGAATGTCCTGGCCATCAAGCGATACCACACCCGACTCCGGCTCGTAGAACCGCAGAAGCAGCGCATGCACAGACGACTTGCCCGCGCCAGAGCCGCCGACCAGCGCCACACTCGTGCCCGGCGGAATATCAATGTTCACGCCACTGAGGACAGACACTTCAGGGCGCGTCGGGTACCGGAAATGCACCTGATCAAAGCGGATATGCGCGCCCCGCTGATCGATCTTCGCAACGTCCAAACGCTGGCCCTCGCCAAGAGGGATGTGCGGCTCCCGATCCAGCAAGCCAAACACACGCGCACCAGCACCGACGCCCTTCATCAGCGACGTAAAGAAGCTCGTCATAAGCATCACACCGCCGCCCAGGTACGCCGTGTACATCAGCAACGATGTCAAGTCGCCGACCGTCAGCTGGCCCAAACTCACGAGATGGCCACCGTACGTCAGCAGCGTGACAATCGCACAGTTGCCCACGAAGCCCAGGCCCGAATGGAAGATGCCGCCCGCGTACGCCTCCTTGGTCTGCAGCGCTGCAATGTCCTGCACACGCCCGTTAAAGCGCTTCGCTTCCAGTCCCTGTGTATTAAAAGCGGTGATCGTACGGAACGCCGGCGGGTTCAATCGCTCCTCGGCCGTGCGTGTCATCACACCCACGGCATCCTGTGTACGGTTGGTCAGGTTGCGCAGGAACCGACCGTAGAACGCCGCACCCAGCGCCGCAGGCGGAATGACCATCATCATGACCAGCGTCAGCTTCGTCGAAATATAAAACATCGCAGAGGTAGCCGCCATCACCGTGACAGCCGACCGCAAACCATCGGCCAGGTCAGTCGTGACAGCTTCACCGACAATGTTGCAATCCATATTGATCCGGCTCACAGTATCACCTGCGCCCTTATCGGCGAACGCCACCTCCTGCTTGAGCGCACTGGCAAACGCACGCTCCCGCATACGCTGAATCACACGCACACCCGCCAACTCCAGCATAATGTTCGAGCTCGCACGCGCTACCGCGCCAAGCGCAAACACCGTCAGAAGAAGCACGGCTACCGTGCTCATACCCAGGCCCAGCGGCAGCGTCGCTTCCGGCGTCGAGAAAAAGTCCACTACCTTGCCAATGGTGAACGGCACCGAGAGCGAGACACCTGATGCCACCAGAAGCAAGAGCATCGCCACAAGCATGCCACGGTACTCGGGCACCATGAGCGTAATCAATCGCCGGATCGCCGGGAAGCGACTCGCACTCCCATCCGCCCCACGCTGCCGCGAGCGCGCCATATCACGCAACGTCGTCCACACCGAGTGCAGAGGCGACGACGCGGCTGTCGTAGATGCCTTCGTATCCACAGGCGCAGGTTGCGATGTCGGATCCGGGATGGGTTCACGCTTCGCCTGTTCCCACGTCGACGCCGTCGTATGCAGCCAGTGAGGCGACATCGGCGCCGTACGCAGTGGCGGCATCAGCGACGGCCATGCCGCTACCGCCGGCGCCCCACGACATGCACTAGGCACCGCGGCGCTCCGTGCTACTTGCCAACGGCTTGCATACAAACCGATCCGTAGACAGGGCCCTACGCGTACCATGGTTGCCATGGTCGTCGCACGTTCGCCGCCGCCCAGGCATGCCAGGCCTTGCTCTACCCTCGCCGCGATTGATATCACGTGCACGTGTCCACCTCCACACAGCGAGGCGAGCCCATGCGTGTCACACCCTTGTCAAACCGACTGACTACATAGCGACTATTCACGACGACTGGTACGCCTGCCAGGCTGTCGGAGCAATGACAGCCTCGGGCGCAGGCAGACCCGTCCACAGACGGAACTGGTGGTACGCCTGCTCGAGAAGAATCTCGAGACCACGCACGCCATGCCATGCGCCATGCTGCTCGACCAATGTCAAGAGCGGGGTCATTGCCGGGCGGTAGGCCATATCAATCGCTACACCGCCTTCCGCACAGAGCAAATGAGCAGGCAGTACAATGTCCGCGCCGCCTAGGGAGAGCGACGTGCCCTGCGCAGGCACATTGCTAATAATCACACGGGGCGACTCACGCACCGCGTCGTCGAGCGAGGACAGGGGAACGACGCGCCATTCGACCGGCACCTCGTTGGCCAGTGCCACAGCTTTTTCGTGCGTACGGTTGTACAGCAAAATGCGCGTCGCGCCGAGCTTGTGCAGCGCATACAACGCCGCCCGCGCTGAGCCACCAGCGCCGATGACCAACGCCGTGAACGACGTGCCCTTGAAGCGCGCACGCGCCAGATCGACCATCGCACGCCAGTCCGTGTTCTCGCCGAGCAAAGACACATGTCCATCCTCCTGAACCTGCGGAATGATCGTGTTCACCGCGCCGATGGCTTGTGCATCCGGTGACACGGCATCCAAAAGCTGCATAATACGCAGCTTATGCGGGATCGTGACACTCGCACCGCCAAAGTCCGGCGCGCGAACCAGCGCGGCAAGGTCGTCATCGACCTCGGCAGACTCATGCAAGGCATAGCTATGCGGCAAGCCCAGCGCTTGGAAGCCCGTGTTGTGGATCAGCGGACTGAGCGAGTGCGCAATTGGCGTGCCAAACAGGAAGAAACGGCGCGCAGGCAGGAGGCCCAGCAAATGACGAGCTTGCTGGATTTGCGCGACGCTCATCTGCCCAGGCGCCGCAGCGCTGGGCAGGGCCGGGTGCGTGACAGGTGTCAGTAGCGGGTTGAGGATGCGAGTGAGCTGGCCAGCTGCATGCATATTGATCGCAATCAGCGGATGCGGCGCTTCCTTCGCTACCGTCGCGCGGAACTGCTCCAAGTCCATGCTGTCCTGCATCGTACGAGCACTGCCGACCAACTTGGCAATGTCGCCCAAGGCACATGCGCGCGCGTACAGCCGCCGCGTCGCAGGCGCGAGCCAGTGCATCGTGCCTGTGGTGTCATGCGACGAGGCGACGAGGCGCGTATGGCCCTTGGCCTCCTTAAGATCGGCCAAGCGCTCTATGGCCCGATGCAGCTCGATATCGACGTACTCACAGCCGAGACGCAGTCCAAGACGCGTAAGTGCAAAGTACCCATCCTCGTCCTCCTCTGGGAATCGGCCGCCTTGCGACACGCTGCGGACCGTGTACAGGATCGGGAGACTGGTCGAGCGGCGAAGGAGGGCGACTTGCGTGCGCACGTCATCGAGCGTGGGTGTGCCGTGCGGATGCAGCAAATCCACACGCAGCTCCAGCACGTCGGCGCCCGCCGAGGCCTGGTCCAGTAGCGGCAAAGCGTCTTGAACATGCGGAAACGTCAGCGAGAGGAAATACGCTGGATGCGCCGAGCGACTTGGCCACATGGCATCATGGCCACCCAAGGGCGTCGCGAGCTGCCGGATCAGCCCTGTGACACAGTCCGGCCCATCGTTCACCGTCTCAAGGCACGCGCAGTGCTGGTACAGCGGCCAGCGACGTTCGAACACGTCGCGCAGCGGCTCCCCGTACGCCGGTCGGTCGCTCGTCGCAAGGAACGACTCAATCTCCTCAAACGGCCGCACGACATGCACCACCGGGCCGGTCTGCTCGCGGAACGTATGCAGCAGCGCGCGACTTGGCGCCGTCTCAATGACGCCGCCGCCGAGTGCCAGGACGTGGCCACGTGGGTAGTTGTGCAGCAGTTCCGAGAGAATGCGCGTTTCTTCCTCGCGGAACGCCGGCCAGCCGTGCGTCGCGACATACGCGCCGAGATCGTGTCGCGAAGCAAACACCTCATCGGCGTCGATGTATGTGCGGTGCATACGCTGAGCCAACGCACGACCGACATGCGACTTGCCCGAAGCACGCATGCCGATCAGCACAATCGTAGCGTCGTGTGCGTACAGCGCCGGCGTCGGAGCGTCCGTCTCACGACGTTCGCGGCGCGGCGCGGGAATCAGCGGCGCATCGTTCAGGGCACTGGCCAGCGGCACGTTGAGCAGCGGGCCCAGCACATCCCACCATGCGGGCCACGTCTTCTCGACACAGCGCTTCTCAAGGATCGTCGTGCCGGCGCCGGGGACCACCGTCGCGAGCGTACTGAAGGCCATCGCAATGCGGTGGTCGTCATAGCATGCAATTGACGCATGGGGCGTCAGCGACGACCTGGGCTGGCCATGCACAATGAGGCCATCGTCCAGCTCTTCCACCTGCACGCCTAAATGGCCCAGCTCGGTAGCCACGGCACGCAAACGATCGCACTCCTTCACACGCTGATTGGCGATGCCAGTAATGCGCGTCGCACCACCTTGCGCCACGGCAAACAGCATCGCAGCCGTGAGGAACGCATCGGTCATCGGCTCCATATCGATCTCGCCCAGCGCCTGCAGCGTGCCGACCGGCGGCCCAGTGACTGTGGTGCTGGTCGCAGTCTGCTCCACACGGCATCCCATCGGCTCGAGAACGGCGCGCGCAAACGCGGCATCGCCTTGAAGGCTGGCAGTGCCCATCGTAGGAATCGTCACTGTGGTCCCGGTAAGCGCAGCGTACGCCAGCGGGTACGTCGCACTGCTCGCATCGCTTTCCACCGCGTAGTGGGCCGGGGGCGAGTAGCCCTGGTTCGGAATGCGGTACACAAACTCTGAGACGCGCTCCACGTGCACACCAAACGCGGCCATCATCGAGACGGTCATGTCAATGTACGGCTGCGAAATCACTTTGCCGCCGACCAGCTCGAGCTCTACAGGCGACTGAGCACACGGCGCACACAGCAGAATCGACGAAACGTACTGCGAGGACACGTCCGCGGCCAGTGTCAGACGCCCACCACGCAGACCGCCCTGCCCTGTGATGTGCAGAGGCAGCGCCTTCTCGTTCTCCACGTACGCAATGGACGCGCCATTCGCTTGGAGCGCATCGACCAACGGGCCGATAGGGCGCTCCTTCATACGCGCATTGCCTGTCAGTGTCACCTCGCCGTCGGTGAGCAGCGTGCATACGCCGGTCATAAACCGCGCTGCGGTACCGGCATTTTGCAGGTACAGCGGCTCGGAGGTCGCCGTCAAACGACCGCCATGGCCCTGGACAACCAACGTCGCGCCATTGTCTTCCCATGTGAAATCGGCCGCTTGCAACGTTCGCAGCGCATTCATCATCACCTGCGTATCGTCCGAATGCAGCAGGTTGGTCAGCCGGCACACACCACGCGACAGCGCAGCAAGGACCAACGCACGATTCGACAAACTCTTGGAGCCAGGCGTCGATAGCGTCACATGCGCCGGCGGCGCAGACAGGGCCTCCCGCACGACAATGGCAGGTGCCAGGACCTGCGAAATGATCGCATCGGGGACCGTGCTGGCGCGCTCCTCAACGGTCGCGCCAATACGCGAAAGCAGCACAATCTTCTTCTGTGAGCCAGCGTTCTTCTTGTCGACACGCATAATGTCCAGCAGGCGGTCCACCGTCAGCTCCTGTGCCTTGGACAACGTCGCAATGCGAGGGTCGTTCAGCGAGACGGGCAAGTCATAGTTCTTGAGACACCGCACAAGACGACTGATCGCGACTTGCGGCAGTCCATGCATTTGGCGCGCAATCTCCGCCTCGTAGATCATGCCAATGGACACACACTCGCCATGCAGAATTTCCGGCGTAAGCACAGCCTCAATCGCGTGGCCCACCGAGTGGCCAAAGTTGACCAGGTTGCGCAGACCCGTCTCCTTCTCGTCGATTGTGACAATGTGGGCCTTGACACCAATACTGCCACGGATCACATCCAGCAGCAGCGATTGCGAGGTCGTGCGAGTGGCCAATGTACGGCCCTGATCGGCTGGGCCCGTACGCGCCTCCTCGCTGAGCACAGCAGCACGAATGGCCTCCGACTCGCTTTCAAGCTTCATAAAGTCAGCAGCATCCCAGATGGCCGCCGTCTTTACCACCTCGGCCATGCCATTGCTAAACTCCCGCGGCGGCAACGTCAAGAGCCACGCCGCATCCACAAACACGTACTCGGGCTGGTGGAACGCGCCAATCAAGTTCTTTCCCAGGGGATGGTCAATGGCCGTCTTGCCGCCCACTGCCGAGTCGACCATCGCCAAGAGCGTCGTCGGAATCTGCACAAACTTGAGCCCACGCATGAACTGAGATTAGTACACTCTATACATACCGTAGCCGAGACAAAGCCGACCAGGTCACCAATCACACCACCACCACACGCCATCACGACCGTATCACGCGTAAGGCGGTGCTCAAACATCCAGTCCTCCATCTTCGCTTTGGTCTCACGGCTCTTGCTTTCTTCACCTGGCGACACTTCATAGACAAGCAGCCGTGACGTAGAGCCTGATGGCGTATATGTCTCGAAAGCCTTACGGAACTGGTCCACGACACCGAGGCCCGCCAGATTTGTGTCCGTGAACAGCACATAGGCACTGGACGGCAAGTCGTTCAGAAGCGTCTGTACGATATGCGGCACCAGGTGGAAGCCAAGATGGATCTTGGCATTCAAGCACCGAAGCTCATGGATCGTAGCGCCACTCAGTGGCGACTCAAACGGAGGGGCATGGTACGACGGCACCTTGGTACGCCCGTCCATGTCGCGAACCGAGAGTTGAGTCAGAAGAACCGGCGGGGCCTCCTCCGCCCAGGGGAAGAGATAGTGGAGTGGCCCACGTGGCAGGAGCGCAGGCGGCCGCCCTGGCCCAGGCAGGAAGTACAAGTATGGATGGAGGGCTATGAGAGGGCTGCGGAGGTAGCAGGAGTAGACGCACGCGCAGCGAGCGCGTCGTCCAGCGGCGTAAGCACATCATTGGTATCCACAGGCCACGCCATACCCAGCGCCTTGGCCATATCTTCATGCGTCTTACTGTGACTGAGACTGGCTCGCATATCGACCAGTACACGCTTAGGCAGTGAAGAGACTCGCTCAGCGTCCACGTCCTTGGCACCAGCTGTAGTTGTAAACGCTAGCTGCGTAACACAGTACTTGGTATTCCCAAATGGATTGTCAAAGTACGCCGCATATCGAAGCCATTGCGGCGCAATGTCACGCGCTACACATTGCCGCTTCAATTGGAAACACGATGGATTCATCTCGGGACCACGGGCCATCATGACGGCAGATGCACCTGTGAGAGCACGGTAGGCTTCCACGTCAGATACGCCGAAACAATCACCGTTGCACACCACAGGCACATCCTGCCCGGTCTCCCGCGCCACAGCTGCGACATGCGCAGCCACCTCGCGGAAGCGGTCAAGCAATGCTGGCTCACGGGGCCGCATCGGTTTCGTACGGCAATGAATGGTCAATGCTCGAATCGTGCGCGTGCGGACAATTTGCTCGACGAGCTTCAAGGTATCTTCTTGCGTGGGCAACAACCGAATCTTGCACGTCACACTGACATGGGGCGGGGCAGCTCGGCGCATAGCACGTAAAATGTCACAGAGCAGATCAGGTGTCGAAAGGAGATTCGATCCCATACCGCCCAGCGTAGAAAAGGGCTTTGGGCATCCACAGTTCAAGTCGACGCCAGCAACATCGTCATGCTCAGTCACCATCCGCACAGCCTCTGCAGCATACTCGGGCGTAGCTGAGCCAATTTGGTATATAAGGTAGGGCCGCTCCTTAGGATGGCACGAGAAGATCTGTTTGTCGTCTTTCATAAACTCAACAAGGCCCGTCGTCGCATTCACACGACGTACGGTGCCCATGATAGCTCGGTCCACCACCTCCGGGCCCCAAACAAGGTCCGCTCCATATTGTAGCGAAAGGAGACGCGTAGGTAGCGAGCCTGTGCGGACCATAGGCGCTAAAAAGACACCCCGATCAAACCGTGGCATACGTCGATCGTTAGGCGGCGGTACATCGTCTACCTTAACCCGTTTCGCCTGGGGTGGGCTTGACACAGGAGACCGTGAGGCTGTGGTGGACATGGACATGGTACGCAACGGCTCGACCAACAAGCGAGACCAAGGCGATGGCCGTGTTGCGACCTGGCGCATGCAACCTGATGGTCGAAGGCGTTGAACAGACAAAATTCAAAAAAAAAAGGGTCCATTTCCCAACTGTGGAGGGCACAGTGAAAAGTGCGAGGGGTATCTCGTACACCCTCCCTTCACACCGCCATGGCGATCCATGCGCTTCATCAAGCGTGGCTCGCACGCATGACATTGGTTGTCGCGCCTGAATACCAAGTTTCGCCTCCTGTCACTGTGCCAAGTAGCCGTCATCCACTGCCTGACAGCATTGACGCCTACTGTGTATACCCATTTGCTGCTGAGGATTTAGTAGCTCGATCCCCTCACTTTCGCAGTCAACAGCTTCGAGACCAACATGAAAAGCATGCTAAATTTCTCAGGGAATGGAGTAAAACCAAGGAAAGGAGCATGAAAGAACGTATGCAAAAGCTGGCGCCGGGATGGGGCCACGGTGATCAGACGCTGTTACAACCCACCAAGACCTACGTGACGCCATCCCAATCCACGCCTGACAATGATGTTAATACCTCATTACAAGCTATGAACTTATCGTCTGAGTCCAAAGACTAGATTTTGTCCAGCGGTCTGTTGAATCCGCCCTTGCTGCCATATTAATGCACTGTTTCCCATGTACATACCGATTCATATATTGACGCCAACTATGCTCTTTTCGAATAGAGGCATATCCTTCTGCATTATCCTCAACTTGTTTACCCTAGATTATGAGTAATTTTAGCCCACGTACTTTACTGGAACCAAAGTTCTCAAAACCCATCATAGCTGCGATTTGATCTGCATCGGGCTCAATATCATCATTCTTTTCTATTGATGGTGTTGGCTCCATCTTTGATCCTTGGCGCTGCTCTGACGATCTGGCAGTGCGCTCGGGACTCTGCTCACGCCGGTCTCGTCTCGGCCATTCGTCACGCTCATAGCGCTCATGTCGGCGCCTAGCGTTATAAGGGTCAGTGTGCTCATCTCTTCTCCTGCGATCCTCATATGGCTTGGCATCAGAACGCTGACTCCGCCATGACGAAGTGCGGTCGTCGTACCGGTCATCACGTCGTCGATCGCGTGGCTCGGCGGGCCTTCGCCGTTCGTCTCGCCAGCGCTCAGAGCCACCAGAGTTACGCTTTTCATAGCGGTAGGATGTATCCCTATTAGAGCCCCATCCGTCTTCACGATACCGACTCTCAGGGGCGCTGTCCTCGTACTGGACCCTTGACCGGCGCTCCGACATGAATGTTGGTCTCCACACGTCTGGACGGGGGCGTAGTGGTCTCTTCACGTGGTGCAATTCCTAATTTTGGGAAGCGCTCCGTCCACCTCCATCGCCATCCGCGCCTTTCCCTCTGACCTACGTTCTAGTCAATTTGTATAAAAATGGCTGGTGGACACTATCGTATGTACAAGTTAAGGAGTATAGGATCACTTACATCTACTAGGCTCGGTGAAGATTGACCCTGCTATTGAGCGGTGGCAGAACATGGTACGTTTGTTGACAAAGGATGGAGAATCGGTGCTAACATTTGTGTAGCACAACACCATGTACCAGCGTTTCCGCTGGACGCCCAAGAATGCTCCTTCGATTCTGTTCTGGGGTATTGGTGTCCCTACGTTGACCTTCCTTGCTATTTCGAACACAAACGTACGTGCATTACCATATGAATCCGTGAACCTAACTCATGATAGTACCGTTGGGAGTTTGGCGGTAAGCGCAAGGATGAGTCTCTCCTGCGCGAAGCTCCGGCTGCTGACGCATAAGTCGCCTTTGATGCATCAGGCTGCGTGTCTTGTTTGTATTTTTCGCTAGACACAGAAATACATGATGACTCTTTCTTTTCTCTTCTGAGCGTGCGCATGTTTGCTCTCATTACTGTCAGCGCTGTACAAGCAAGGTGAGGGACTCTAGCCTTCTTGGTTTCATGCTATAGAACTATACACTGAATGCTGTTGCTTTCCAGACCCCTTGTTTTGTCTTTATCATGTCTATCTAGCGATGTGTACCTAGGTCTGCCAGGAAAGGCGCGCATGCCCTGATTCCTGAGAAGATATTCTTTTCCCGATCTATCTATGTGCAGCGCTTTGCACACCATTGTTCTACTTGCATCCCGTAGCACGCACGGCTGGCTCCCTGGCGTGGAGCCCATCAAGTCATGCTAAATCACGTGCCTCATGATCTACGTTCTCGGCTCGGGTGGCAAATTGACTAAGCAAAAGCCGGCCTGTCGGGCGAGTCATTGCCGCTCAGAAAAAAGGCGCGAAGAAGATAGAATGCCCGATTTCAAACGGTTTTCAGGTTTCTTTCATCCAGACATGTGTGACGATCAGGACACTCGCCCTACCAAGATTCAGCGAACTGAGGCTTCGGAGGAGACTCAGGTGGACAAGTCTAGCGGTGTTACCACCGCCTCTCGCTCGGAGAACGCCGCTCTGAAGGGTGTGCAGCCTTTCGGTGCCTCGAGCGCTAGCGACTTCTTGAGCAATGTCTCGCGTTTCAAGATTATTGAGTCGACTCTGCGTGGTATGTAATTCATATGTATGGTATCTAACATTTTTGCGCAGAGGGTGAGCAATTCGCCAACGCTTTCTTCGACACGGAGACCAAGATCAAAATTGCCAAGGCTTTGGACAAGTTCGGTGTGGACTGCATTGAGCTGACTTCGCCGGCTGCCTCGGAGCAGAGCCGTAAGGACTGTGAGGCCATCTGCAAGCTTGGCCTGAAGGCTAAGGTCATCACTCATATCCGTTGCCACATGGACGACGCTCGTATTGCCGTGGAAACCGGTGTTGACGGTGTGGATGTCGTTATGGGCACGTCCAAGTTCCTGCGTGAATACTCGCACGGTAAGGACATGACCTACATTACTAAGGCTGCTGTCGAGGTTATCAACTTCGTGAAGAGCAAAGGTATTGAGATTCGTTTCTCGACCGAGGACTCGTTCCGCTCGGATCTCGTTGACCTGCTGAGCATTTACCAGGTGGTCGACAAGGTCGGTGTGAACCGTGTTGGTGTGGCTGATACTGTCGGTGTGGCGAACCCGCGTCAGGTGTACGACCTTGTCCGTACTCTTCGTGGTGTTGTGGGTTGTGACATCGAGTGCCACTTCCACAACGACACGGGCTGTGCTATTGCGAACGCCTACACTGCTCTGGAGGCTGGTGCCACTCACGTGGACACCTCTGTGCTGGGTATTGGTGAGCGCAACGGTATTCCGAGTTTGGGTGGTTTCATTGCTCGTATGTACGCTGCCGACCGTGATTATGTTATGAGCAAATACAACCTGCAGGCCCTTCGTGAGGTCGAAGACATTGTGGCTGATGCTGTTCAGGTCCAGATTCCTTTCAACAACCCTGTCACTGGTTACTGTGCTTTCACGCACAAGGCTGGTATCCATGCCAAGGCCATTCTTGCGAACCCGAGCACGTACGAGATCCTCAAGCCCGAGGACTTCGGTATGAGCCGCTATGTTTCCATTGGCCACCGCCTCACTGGCTGGAACGCGGTGAAGAGCCGTGCGCAGCAGCTTGGTCTTGACCTGACTGATGACCAAATCAAGGCTGCCACCAACCGTATTAAGGTTATGGCTGACATTAAGGACCAGACGATGGAGGACGTTGACGCTGTTCTGCACGTGTTCCACCGTGCGATCCGGAATGGCCAGAACGTGAGCCAAGATGCTGTGTTTGACAAGCTCTTTGAGCAGCACGTTGCTGCACGTGGCAATGCGATTGAGGATGGTCCGGCTGAGGACAACTAATGGGGTGTAAAGGTGTCCTCTTTGACATTGACTAGAATCAGATTGTTTTCCGTAGACGAGTACAATATAAAAAATTCCCGGCTTTCACAGATGCACAATGTGGGGTCATTGTCGCACGTGGCAGGTGTCTTACTCGCTTTGTACCACGCAGGTCGCATAAATTTCATTTGTTCTCAGTGTCATGGCGCAGGCCTCACATCTCCCGGAGCAGCATGGCCTAGCTGCCCACGTTGAGAAGTATGAAGAAAAAGCTGCCCATAGACTTGAAGAAGAATTGCATGTTGAATCAGGCGCTATTGCAAGCAAATTAGATCGCAAGAAATGGGCCCACTTTGCGTGGGTTGAATGGTCCAATATCGACCCGATCCCCCAGGAGGAGCAAAAACTCAAGCATCCCTTTTCCATTGGGCTGATTTGGGTAAGTGCCAACTTGAATGTCCTTGCTTTTTCAACAGGTATGCTTGCACCAGAATTCGGGTTTGGATTCCGGTATGCTAGCTACACAATTCTGGGCTTTTTGGTCGCTTGGGGGGTGTTCCCTGCCTTTTTTTCGTTGTTTGGACATAAACTCGGTATTCGCCAAATGGTACACACACGATACTCCTTTGGCTATTTTGGTGCATGTATTGTGTCCATCTTAAATGCAGTCACGGGTATCGGATACATGATCTTGAACGCTATCTTAGCTGGCGAAACCTTGCAAGCCGTCTCGCCGCATGGTAGTATGTCTGCGACTGTCGGCATTGTGATTGTAACTGTGCTGGCTTTGATTGTGTCCTTCTTCGGTATCCGCGTGCTCAACATGATTGACATGGCCTTTTGGCTTCCTGTGTTGATATGTTTTGCTATTATGGCTGGCGAAACGAAGAGTGGCGCGGAGGGCCTGCATGTTTTCAACAATGAGCCAACACCCTCAGCACGTTCTGTTTTAGCTATGGGTTGCTTAACGGCAGGCTATTACGCTACATATGCGGCTTTTGCCTCTGATGTGAGTTTGTACTACGACCGACGACAATCGTCTTCCCTGTTATTCATATGTGTCATGGTGGCGCTTGTTTTCTCTGCACCTCCCATCATGATGCTGGGCGCTGCTTTTGCGACATCAGCTCAATCCATACCAGCCTGGGAAACACAGATCGAGGCCAATCCCTCGCCAGGTCCACTTATCAACTATATTCTCTCTTCGCATTTGGGCTCGTTTGGGAAATTCCTTACTGTTCTTATTGCCCTCTCCGCTGTGAGTAATATTATGACGACGTTCTATTCGATGGGACTGAGTGTACAAACAGCTCTTCCGTTCCTGACATTTTTGCCGCGTTTCGTCATACCCATTCTAGCCACAGCTATTGTGTTACCGTTGGCTATTGTGGGTCAGAACAGCTTTTATTCCGCACTCACCAACTTTGTGAGCATTATTGCCTACTGGGCTGCCCTCTTTATTGGTGTTGTCCTAGCTGACTTTTTTGTTATTCGTCGTGCGCGATTCTCGTCGTACGACGTGACGATGTGGAATGATTGGCGTCGCTTGCCCCCCGGCATCGCTGGCATTGTCTCGGCGCTTTTGCCATTGGGCCTTGTCATTCCCTTCATGGACCAAGTTTGGTACACGGGTCCATTGGGCGAAATAGTAGGCGACCTCGGTTTTGAGATTGGCCTTGGCCTCTCGTTTCTTTTCTACTGCCTCTTGCGTCCGTTGGAGCGCTGGGTCTTTGGACGCTAACGCATTGGGTTCCTGCAGGTGTTGTGTATAGATAATGAAAGGCTCCTGCTAGGCTCATCGCATCACGTGAGAGGAAGGGTCGCTTCCCAAACACGCGTTGCACGCGTAGACCTCCACGCCATGACAGACTCGGCGTCCAGCGGCGGTGCGGAGGATGTGGCACGCATGCCGTTGGAAGAGCGGCTCGTCTCCAAGGTGCGTACTGGATCTGCTGACATTGTGTAGTTATGGAAGGCGCGTTTATCGGCGTATGAAGAACTCGCCAAACTTTTCTCACAGACCGCTTCCGAGGAGGACCCTGTCTTTGCTGCGTATGTACGCCAGCCAGACATCCTCAGCGGGATGGTGACAGACACCAATGCAGCTTCCCAGGAAAAGGGTGTTGAAGCACTTTGTGCGTTTGTGCATTATGGTGGGCATACCGCGGCTAGGTGCGTAGTGTGTACACATTGACATGGCAGCTCTCGCGAAGTAGTGATGCCTGGGTTGGCCGACAAGTGCCTGGGCTCTATGCGGACAGGTACACGCAAAGCGGCCTTGGAGCTGGTTCTCCTCTATGCAGAGAACGAAAAAGAGCCGGGCTGTGAAGGGCTGATCGCCGATTTGGTCCAGCGACTGTCATCCAAACAGCCCAAAGTGGTCGCTGCGAATGTGGCTGCATTGGCTGCCCTAGTCCAGACGAAGGACAGCAACCATGTTCATACGGCCTCAATTATGCCCTGCCTCCCTACGATCTTTGCACATGCGGACAAGAATGTACGAGCGGAAGGCACGACATTGGCCATCGCGCTCTATCGTGCCGTTGGCTCTTCGTCTTTCCGCCCTGTTTTTGCGAAGTTGAAGGACATCCAGGTGAAGGAGCTAGAACAGCGATTCTCCGAGGCCGATACCACAGCCCCCACGATGCCGGAGCGACGTTGGGGGTCCGCATCGAGCGATGCCCAGCCTGCAGCGGCAGCCGCGGCGGCGGCGGCGCCCACACCGTCCACTCGCGTGGATAGGCCAGGGCCGCCGTCTGGCCACAGTGGCGCTGCATCGACCGTGCGCGCACCCACACCGCCTCCCGTGGACCCGTACGACACAGCGGAGCCTGTGAATGTGCTAGAGCACCGTGCGCTCTCTTCGAACTTCTTCGAGAAGGTAACGGCGGCGAAATGGCAGGAACGTATGGAAGCCTTGGAATCTCTGCACACGGCGCTTACCTCGACGATTCGTATTGACCCTGATCCCGGCCTGGATGCGTATGTCCAAGCCTTGCAGGTACGCATTCAAAAGGATGCAAACATCAATGTGGTATTGCAGGCGTGCCGATGTATTGAAGCGCTTGCTAAGGGGCTACGGACCCATGGAGCGCCGTATATGTATGTGATACCGACGCTACTAGACAAGCTCAAGGAACGCAAGCCATCGACGGTCGATGTACTTGCGTCCACGTTGGACGCGTTGTATGCTTGTGGGACGTGGCGCGATATCCTCGAGCCAGTCGCCCACGCGCTGCAACATAAGAACCCGGCTGTGAAAGGCGGGACAGTGCGCTTTGTCGGCCGCTGCCTTGCATCCTCGACGACCACAGTCAGGCCCGCCGAGGTGAAAGACATTGCGCCTCTCCTTGTTCCGATGATGAGCGACGGCGCAGGGGATGTCCGTGACGCGGCCGCGCAGGCCTTGGGCGCCCTAGTCGCTAAAGCTGGGGAGCGTGCTATGGCCGTTTTTCTCGAGCCCTTGGATGATATTAAGAAGGCGAAGATCCGCGAAGAAGCAGGGAGCATGCAGCCAGGGCCCGCTCCCCATCCTCAGGCGCCGCCAGCTAGCGCCAGTCATGGAGCGGCTGCCCCCGCACCTAGCACGCCACGCTCCGCTCGGCCTACGCCCAAACCTGTTCGAGGTGGCACGCCGTCGGCAAGTCCTGCCCGACCCACACCGCGGCCTCCTCCCGCCGCAGCATCGACGGCGGCGGCGGCGAAAGCGGCGCCCCAATCCATGCCTCCTCGCCCCACGCCGTCCTCTACCACGACATCCCGACCTACGCGGCCAACGACCACGGCGCCGCCTCGTGCCGCGCGAGCGCTGACCTCGACAAAGGACGCACACGACCCGATCAAGTTTGAATGGACGCCCGAATCCGCAGAGGCGCACGCTGCAGAGACGCTGCCTGCGTCGATCGTGTCGGCGCTTCGCTCGTCGAATTGGAAAGAGCGATTGGAAGGTGCCCAATCGTTGCGTACCTGGATCCAAGACGAGCAGCCAACGTGCGAATGGGTCGCCCGTTTCCTTGCGAAGCATCCAGGCTGGAAGGAAAGCAATTTCCAGGTCATGGGCGAGGTGTTCCAGTCTATGCAGGCGCTGGCTTCGTTGCCGCAGTTTGAGCGCAGCACAGTCGCTTTGACCGTGCAGCCTCTCTGTGAAAAGCTCGGGGATCTGAAGCTCAAGGCGGCGGCCGGGGAGACGCTGTGCCAGTATGCGGAGGTCACATCCCTCGGGTGTGTCATTGCACAGGTGCTACCCGTCCTGGCGAGTCTCAAAGCCCCCAAAGCCCAAGCGGAGGCCCTAACGTTCCTCGACCAAACGATTTTGGCGTTTGGGATTCAGGGCGTGGACCTTCGCGAGTTGGTCACCTACGTCGCCACTATGCTCAAGTCGGCCAACGCCCAAGTGCGTGGACAGGCTACGCAGCTGTTCTGCACGTTGGCGCGCTACACGGGTGGCTCCGCCGTCCTCAATTTGCTGCCGGAGATCACGCCGCAATTGCGTGCGACGCTCGAGACGCAAGTGGCCCACGCAGCTCCTCCGCCCGCCCCGACGCGTGGTGTGCGGACCGCGCCTGCGTCCGACACGGCCACGGAGGCAACAGCGACAGAGGTGAGCACGGCCTCGGCGGCGCCCACGGCCATGGACGAGGACGCGATGGAGCAGCTCATGCCGCGGGTCGACGTCGATGGCCTGGTCCCTGCGTCGGTGTTCCCCCAGACGAGCGACACGCAATGGAAAGTGCGCAAGGCCGCGCTGGAAACGATCCAGTCGGCATTGCAGCCACATACACGTCTGAAGGGGAGCGGCATGGAGTTGGCGCAGGCGCTCAAGCCACGTATGCAAGATACCAACATAATGGTCCGCCAAATCGCTATGGATGTCGTCCGCCTCCTTGCGCAGGGCCTGCACGGCGCGTTTGAGCCCCTCGCGCGGGTGCTGGCGGCGCCTGTGACGCAAGTGCTCGCCGATGCCAAGGCGCCGATCCGTGCTGCGGCAGCCACGACCCTCTCTGCCATGGTCTCGCAGTGTGGCCTGGCGCCCCTGATTGGGCCGATGGGGCAGGTGCTCGATGGTAAGGGCGCCAACCCTATGCTGCGGGAAGACTTGTATACATGGCTCGAGACGTATCTTACCGAACATGCGGACCAAGTCTCGAGCTGGGACTTGACGCCGATTCTCTCGTCCGTCTTGCATGCGCTGGATGATCGCGCGGCGCCGGTACGCAAGCACGCTCAAGCGCTACTCCCTTTCCTTGTGCAAAGTGTTGGGTACAAAGCCATGGTCGAGGGAGCGCAGAGCCTCAAAGGCGCGTCGCGCGCTACCGCGTTGCCGCTGATCGACGAGGCACGCAGTGCCACAGCTGCAGCGTCAAAGCATGCTGCGTCCGCGGCGCCAACGCTTCGTGCGCATGTGGCCCCCAGCGCAATGCCCAAGGCCTCGAGTGCGGCACCGCGGGCGCGCGTCGCTCCCTCCAAGGTGGCCGCCCCTGCCACGCCGGCCGCTCGTCGTGCGGCGGTACCTACAGCGAAACCGCTGGCGCGTGTCGCACCCTCATCCACGTCACGCGACAGTGCCGTGCCGGCCGCGCGGGCTCTTAAGCCCTCGGCAGTGAGTCGTACGTTGGCCGCGGCTGCGCCACGTGGTCCAACGACCTCGACGCCGTTCCGTACGTCCGAGCTCAAGTACAAGGCCGCGCGCGAAAAGATGGCACGTGCGCCGTTTATGATCGATGGGGTGGTGCGTCCGCATGATGCGGAGACGTTGCGGCAGCAGATGGAAGTATGCTGCTCACCGACGCTGGTTCAGGCGCTCTTTAGCAAGGACCACAATGCTGAGCGTGATTATCTGCATGGACTATCCGTGATGCAGAGTGCGCTGGCCCCTGCGCACACCGACCAGGATGCGAATGCAGCGGCGCTTGCCGTGGCCAACAGCGACGTGATCATCAAGTATAGCTGTCTGCGTCTCACAGACAACAATACAAGCGTAGCGCTCCGGTGCTTTGAGCTGCTTTCGACGCTGCTCAGAGTGCTTGAGACACAAGGTTACCACTTGCACGATGCCGAGGCCCATGCATTGATACCTGCCTTGATTCTACGCACAGGCGACGCCAAAGCCGTGTTCCGCGAGCAGGCGCGCTCCATTTTGCAGCGGATCACGGTGCTGTTCCCTCCGTCGCGTCTCTTGCATATGCTTGTCGACCAGGGCCTGGCATCCAAGAACGCACGTACGCGCGCGGAGTGCCTCTCTGAAGTGGGCGTCTTGCTCTCGCGACATGGCCTCGCGATTTGCACGCCAGCCAAGACCCTCCCTGTTATGGCGCGGTTCATTGGCGATCGTGATGCCAACGTACGCAACGCCGCACTCACGACGTTGGCCGAAGCGTACAAACTCGAGGGCGACGATATTTGGCGTCTGATTGGACCGCTGCCCAGCAAAGACGAGGCATTGCTCGAGGAGCGTCTAAAGCGCACGCATGCTGCACCGCCTCCCTCTGCTTCGTCCGCGTCGGCCGCCGCTGCGAAGCCCACAGCCACCCCACGGACTGTGCCGAGCATTCACGATGGAGAACTGCGTGACTTGGCACTGGTGCGCAGTGACGACAAAGAGACGAGTATTGCCGGCCTCAAAGCCATGCAGGAGCACTTGACACACACAGAACAGCTGGCCGCCCACGAGTCAGAGGCCCTTGTGCAGAGTGTTCTTATGGCCCTCGGACACACAGTACAGCATGGTATGATTGACCATCGGTATGTGAAGCATGTATTGCAGACGGTCCTTGTGCTTCTGGAGGCACAGCGCACAGAGTCGTCCTCTCTGCCAGCCTCCTCGATCGCGCCCCTGCTTGAAGGTCTGCTTCATACACTGATGGATGTATCAGCAGACGAAGACGATGAGGCATCACAAACTCTTGCCAAGCAGCTCAATGCCGTGGTCCTTCGGATCTTATCAACATGCCAAGGTGATGCTGTGTATGAGGCTTTGTTCACGGTGCTCACGCATGCTACACAAGGCTTGCAAATGGGAGACGATGAACAGGCACGGTTTGGCGAACTGGTCGTCAAGTGTCTTTGGAAGGTGGCGCGAAAACTGCCGGCCGCCTTGGAATCGCAAAGCGTTCATGGCGATGTTCTCCTGGCCACCGTGGAACGCTTCTTTGTGGCCATTCCGCCCTCAGAATGGGGTCGGCGAGCTCGAGAACATATGCCGTTGCGAGATATCCCGCTGATTACAGCGACCAATGTGCTCAAGCAGCTCACTGATACGCTTCAAGATCGAGCTTTGGCCCTCACTGACACATGGGATGATCCAGAAAACAGCCATGTATACCGCTACCTATTGCGCCTCCTGTACGGCAGCAGTAGCAAAGCAACCACGACGTCCTCAATATCGACATCACAATCGGAAGAAGCATCGTCATCGTCGACTACGCCTTCCCTCCCAGATGATCCACTTACAACAGAGCTGTGTGAGATCTTTGAGCGTATCTCTCAGAAGGACCAGTCTCGTGCTGCCATACGTGATCTGTACGAGTTCCAGAAGCGGCATCCTAGCATGCAGGCTCATATCGAGCGGTCTTTGCAAAACACAGGTCCCATTTTCCAGCGCTACATCAAGCGTGCGTTAGCGAATCACGCTGCGGACGACCCGTCGCCGGCGCCTACGTCCACCACTGCATCGTCGTCGACACCCTCCGTCACTTCGTCTCATGTGGATGCGCGCCTTGCGGAACTCAAAGCGAAATTTCGAAGTGAACCAGGCGAGGCAAAAAACCCTGATCAAGTGAAGAAACGCATGTCAATGTCGACCGAAGCACTTCGGTCACGGCTGGCAGCCATGCGAACGGATGACGCAGCCTCGTAGTTGTGCCTTGCTTGGCAGGGCCTTGCTGTTTCGATAGAATGTCATGATTGATTGGCTTTCTTTTATGTGGGGTGGAGGTTTCATTGTTTTGATCGTTTCCCCATCTCAATACCACGATCGATCCACGCTGTTGACACATGCCATGAGCGATCAACCCGATCCAACAGACGCATCGACATGGGGGCTAGGCGCTCTGGGAGAGACCAGAGCGCAGAACTTGCGTGCCGTATCACACAGCATCTTATTGTCCAAGCCACCCGTGAGCGACAACGACACAGAGGCACACCTACATCGATGGCCGACCACTCGCACCAACGGTCCAGCTTGGTTGCCTGATCGGCAAAAACCCATCTTTCCCTCGTCTAACACGAAGAGGAATATCAGCACAGATAGGTCCATGAGCTTGTCATCATCTATGGATGTATGGAGCCCTCGCTCACGAACATCTATGCGTACGTCTCTTCGTCCCGACGATATCGTTCCCCAGCGCGAGCCTGCCACTCCGACGGTGTCATCCATCCCAAGGCACAGTGCACCACAGGTATTCCTTGAATCTTCTATTTCTCAAATTCGACCATCTTTACTCGCATCCCCGAACCGTGCGGTGACTTCGTCATCGTCCACATCGCCCCCCCTTTCGCCCGTCCAGGCTTCTCCGCTACCGCAGCGCCATTTGCTTGAGCAACGGCGCGGTAGCGATAGTGTTAGCATGATCCATTCATCTATTTGGAGTGTATCGCACACGGAACCGGAGCGCGCTTCCTTTAGTCATGCCTTGCGCCCATCAGACCGACCTACCACACCTGCCCCGCGATCTACATCCCACTCGGTGAGCAGTCAAAGTAGTGCAGGCGAGGCAGGTGCAGGCATCACAGCTCAGCAGCAAGCTACATCTATGATGGCCTCTATGAATCTACAGCCCAACCTATCTGCCCCATGCTCACCTACTACTGTCGCTGGCCCACCCACGTCACGTCGAACACCTGTCCCCTCCCTATCCTTGCCTGCTACCACGGAGGTGGCTCCAAGTCCCCTATCCCCATCCTCTATTCCGCCGGAATTTATGCCAGAGGAGGGGTATGTGGGCCCAGCACAGACCGGTCCTCCTGTTGCAGACGGTCCTCCTATGTACTGGCATTATGCGGCATCCATAGGTTCGGGCTTAGGCCCCAACCCTATGATGTTGTCTCTGCCCATGCCAGCTCGTGCCTTTGTCATTAAAAGCTTCACGGAAGTGGACATTCAACGGTCTCTGCGTTTTGGTGTTTGGACTAGCACAGAAAAGGGCAACAACCGCCTCGACCGGGCGTGGCAAAAGAGCAGCAGTCTAGGGCCGATTTACTTGTTTTTCTCTGTCAATGGTAGCGGCCTCTTCTGTGGTGTGGCGCAGATGATGTCGGGGCTAGACTATACGAAAAACACAGATATCTGGGCTGAAGGCAACCGCTGGAAGGGTTTATTCCACGTACGATGGCTCATTGTCAAAGATATTCCCAACTCACAGCTACGCCATATTTTACTCTACAGTAGGTATTGCGGTTGCGCAGGAGATGACTAACCATCCAGATACGCCGGAAGTCAAGCCTGTCACGCAGAGTCGCGATACACAGGAGCTGCTACAGGAGGTCGCAGCCAATATGTTGCATATTTTCTGCACGTATGCGGGTATGTATGAGTTTGCCATTGTAACACGTCACAGGAAGCACGTCGCTTTATACACCAGGCCACAACGGCCTAATGTAAATCAATACGTTCAGTTGGTTTCTTCCTTGTCGGGCGCTGGTTTTAGCTGACCTACTTGGCCAAGATTCCCACCTGGATGATTGGCAAAAAACGCTGTACAATCAATGCCTTTAGCGTTCGTCAAAGACATAGCAAATGCATCTCCAAGTGCCATCATAATAGTCGTACTGGTCGTTGGCGCCGGTATGGGAGGCCAGGCCTCTGTGCTAGACGTATTGATCACACCATTCTCTTGTTGTAGGAGATTGTCCGGGCCACTGCAATCCAAGATCACATCCACGAGCTGAACAAGACGACCGAAGCGATTCGCCGTCATGGCAATGCGAGGACATTGCTGCACTTGTGGTAAGGACATGAACGCCAGCACTTCAGGGGTGTTGCCTGAGTACGACATGGCAAAGACAACATCAGAACCAGGATTAATAATACCCAAGTCACCATGGAACCCTTCAATGGGGTGCAGAAAAAAGGCCGGTGTACCCACAGATGTGAGCGTGGATGCAATCTTGCGTGCTACAATGCCTGAATGTCAGTCAAACAGTGCACATACCGCTCTTTCCAACGCCAACCAGAACGATCTTCCCTCCTCTTGTCGTTGTTTCCGTCGATGTATAGTTAACAGCGAGGGCCAATGCACGCTTCCATTCTTCGCGGAGACGCTGCTGGGATTCCAGAGCATGGGCCACAAATTGAAGAGCAGCCGCTTCTCTTTGTAATATTAATTGCGCCACCGATAACGCTCCAAAAATAGGGTCCTTCTCATTTTCAGTCGCTCCATAAGCGACGCCATTGTTCATCTCTCCCGGCTCAACGCCGAAGCGCCACAGTCTCTGGTCGGCGACGTCAGTCAGTTATCCTCCCATCAAAGCAATCTACTTGATCTGTGGTTGCACGTGGCATACCACGTGCCTTTTCTACAAAAAGCTACTTGGCATCCGATGATGAAGACTGGTCACGGAAGGGCGCGAACAGCTCGCCGGATTCATACTCCTGCATTAGCTTTTTCCATCTGAGTTTAGCTGACGATAGGTCACTGATAGCAGGGCGAACATCGAGGTTGAAGCTTGCTTCATTTTCATCTGATTCATCCTCCCGCGAGTAGTAGTCAATCACATAGCGAACCTCTTCACCCTCAGGATTCGCTTCCGTAGGTCCGCGACGAACGATCCAGTCATGCCTGTCAAAGGGAGGCTCATTACTGAAGCGATCAGGGAAGGCCCAGGCAAGCCAGCCAAACATACGAGCGCGTGGGCTAAGGGTTCCAGGGCGGCCTTGGAAGCGAGCCAGCTGCAGCTTTGAAACGTCGCTACCGGCCATCTTTTCCCACTCGATAATTTCCTGCCATGCACGCTCATTCAAAAAGTTGTGAATCATGACCACCATGTCTACGCTTTCCTCTGGAGTCTCCCAGCCCTTTCGAACCAAGGCATTGTAAAACTGTTGTGGGGAGGGGTATTCCCAGTAGCCATTTGCATCTTCCTTGTCCTTATCCTTCCCCATGGCACTATGATCCACAGGGCAAGACGATGCATACGGCGAGTCACCTGGTGCTGCTGACGTGCTTGCTCGTGGAATCGAAGAGACAACGCGTTCTCGTGATAGGGCCATCTTCTGATGGGGGGCACGATCTTGTGACAGATGCGGCATATTGTTTAACGGGTTCAGTTCACTTTCTGGCGCCATGGCGCCACGCGGCCCATGGGGAATTGGGCACACAGCGGGCTTGTCGTCGCTAAACTTCGACTGTGCCATAGCCTGGCGGTGGTGATGCAGTAACAGGGCAGATACGGCCTCTTGATTGTTGTAAAGCCGACCTTGTTCCCCATTAGAGCTCGGTATAGAATATGTAGCGCCCATGACTGTGCTTTAGCAATAGTAAGAATGGTGGCAGCAGTCTTAATCTTGTGCGACGTTCACTTTTTTGGCACGTGCTCAATGTGGATCAGGGTCTACGGCGTACGCGCTACATTTCTGGCACAGGCCAATTCCACACCTTGGCCACAAACCGAGCCATATCCGTGTTAGGTATCAATTCTGCGCGCTTTACAAGTGGGTGTTGTAGAAGGACACGAATGCTGTCACGCTTTGTGCCATCGCGAATCAAGCATCGTTCCACTAGATCTCGAAGGGAACGACTCCAGCGAACGCCACGTTCTGGGTCATCTTTGAGTGTAGGAAGCGGTGAATTCAACAGGAATGTAAGCAAATCGATAGGGCCCATAGGCGGTTCGCCATCCTCTGTGAAAGGATACCTGTTAAGCGCCAATTCTAGAATCGTAACTCCTAATGACCAAACATCAGAAGTAATGGTATAAGGTTGGCCCATGATACGTTCAGGCTGTTATTGTCAGTGAGCACACTGAATTACGTACAGCCATGTAGGTGCTAGTACCTGTAAATGTACCAGCCACACTGTTAATCAGTTCTCCAGAAACACCAAAGTCGCAAAGCTTCATTTGACCCTCTTTCGTTACCAAAATGTAAAAGGAAGAATATCCCGGTGGATAATACGTCGTGAATAAAGATAGTCTAGACCCTTTAATATGGATTCAGCCAGCTTCGCAAGTACTTTTTCTCCAATACGCCCACCCCGAGACTTGACTCGCCGATAGATGGAGTCCATACTACCGGCCTCACAATATTCCATGCAAATTGTAATGCTAGCGTTGTCAGGTTCAAAGAAGGCACCGTAGTATTGAACAATGTATTCGCTGCGGCATGTCTGATTCACATTCAGCTCACGCAATAGCTGTCGATGTATTGTAGGATCAGGCGACGTAGTGATAACCTGAAATGAGTATATACTGAGCACATACCTTACGAGCAATGATTTGGCCAGTGGAGCGAATGCGTACCTTGGCCACCTCCCCACTGGCCCCTTCGCCCAGAGAGCATAAAACTTCAAGGTTGCCCACTAGTTCGTTCGCAGCGGGTATAGGAGTATAAACATTTTGATCAGATTCGTGTCCAGTGGATCCTGCAATGACAGAGTGATGTGATGATGAAGAATCGCGTGAATGTCCCCAAGATGTGTGATGACTGCTGTTGTCCGAGCCATCGTAGGAACTGCGACTATAATGTCCTTCTGACGCAGATGATAGGGTCTCTAGGGACTCTGATACTTGCATTGTGTTGATCATGCGTTTGATCTCATCCATATGTGTCTCTAAATCCTCAGGTCGAGAGAGATCGGAGCGCTGCGGCATGATTGTTCTTTCCGACTCGTCATGTCCGGATTGACCACTATTGAGGGAGTCCGTAGACGAAGTTGCTACTGTTAGTATATGTTAACATACACATAGATAGGGTCAACCTTGGCCTATTAGAGCATCCTCGGCGCTTCGGCGGGATGAGCGACGCCATCGTAGCGCCGATTGTCCCAGTTTGACAGCAAAGCGCACACTCGGATGAAACGATGCGAACCGCCCTCCACTCTCTTCTCCACGTCCCCGATCGCTGAAACCATACTAGTTTGAATGCCTCTGTTGGAATCGCTATTTGGGCGCTCTACCACGCCTGCTGAACGATTGCGTCAGCATTTGCGCTCCTTGCAAAGAGCTCAACGCGAACTCGACCGGGAGCGTGTAAAACTAGAGGGGCAAGAAAAAAAACTGGTATCTGACATCAAAAAGAACGCGCGTCAGGGTCAGATGGTGCGTCCTTTGTTGAGTATAGCACTAACCGTTTGACAGACTGCCTGCAAAGTAATGGCTAAGGATCTAGTAAGGATGCGACGTAATATACACAAATATTACCAGATGAGTACACAGCTTCAAGCTGTCGCACTGCGGATGCAAACACTTCGTAGCACCCAACAGATGGCGGAGGCCATGCGCGGAGCCTCGAAGGTACGATCTCTACGGACACTAACAGACAGGCCCTGGGATCTATGAATAAATCTATGAATATCATGTCAGTGCAGCGAATCCTGCAAGAGTTCGAACGCGAGTCCAGCTCAATGGATATGAAAGATGAAATAATGAATGACACGATCGAAGACGCCATTGGTACTGAGGACGATCCTATGGGTGAGGGAATCGGGGAAAATGAGGAAAGTGAGTCTATTTTACGCGAAGTCTTGGATGAAATTGGCATGGATATGAGCCAGCAGGTACGCAAATGACCTCAGCTATTAACCTCTAGCTTCAAACCGTTCCTAATAGTGGGATTGCACTGGCTAACCCATCGGCACCAGCTAAAGTAGCCATTAGTGAAGGTGCGGAGGCAGGTACATCATCCAACACTCAAGATGATTTGGCTCTTCAAGAGCGTCTTGATCGACTTCGTAAATAAGTCCCAAGCACATTTGTAGTAATACACACTCTTAGGTGGAGCTGACAGCTGCAGCGGCAGTACTTGTGCTACCACTACACTGGGGTATGGCCAATCCACCCCTTGAAAACAGTATAGAAATGGATGACCTTTTGCGAAGAGATCGATCGCAGGCACTGCCAACTAACGGCAAGTACTATAAGCCGAGGCAGGCTGCTGGTTTTTTTACGCTGGGACTGCTCAATAATATGATGTATGTTGTCATTTTAACAGCTGCGTTGGAGCTATTACCTTCACATGTTCCTACTGGCTTACTTGCATTTGTGAATATCACACCTGCTGTTATCGCAAAAGCTGTTTTTCCCTATCTTCTCAAAGGCGAAATTCAATATGACAAAAGAGTTTGGACCTGTACTCTCCTGGCATTTTTAGGCATGATGGTGATTGCGATGTTTAACTCACTATTTATACGTTTAGCAGGCATTGCAACGGCTAGTTTTGCGAGTGGTCTTGGAGAGATTACGTATTTGCAGTACTCTACTCGCTTCCCTGATGTATTAACGACGTACTGTGTCGGATGGTTCGCCAGTGGTACAGGGGCTGCAGGATTAGCTGGTGCATTGGCATGGTGGATTGTGCGTCCTTTGGGTGTAAAAAATGGACTCAGTCTGTTGGCCTTTCTGTCTTTCGGCACAGCAATTTCCTTTTTTCTTGTTCTTCCTAGGTATGGTTCTATGGTCACGGAAACTGCAGAGGATGGCGCGCTTGAATCATTAATGCACTCAGAAAATGAGGAAGATGCGCCGAATCGCTCACAGGAAGTAACACTCTCTTGGGATGATAAATTGGCGTTGCTCAAGCCACTGTTCTTTACATATGTCCTACCCCTTGTCTGCGTCTACTTTGCGGAATACACTATCAATCAGGGGGTTGCGCCTACACTTCTCTATCCTGTCCCCTCTCCTGAAAAGCATCATCTACTTTCGCTGGTTATTAAAACACTTCGTGATTATTATCCATTATACCAGCTGATATACCAAACATTTGTATTTCTATCAAGGTCATATACATCCATCTTACCACTACCGGCCATCCCGAAACAATGGCTGTGGGCACCGGCCGTTCTTCAAACAGCTTTATTACTTTTGCTTTTGTCGGAGAGCATGTATTCATGGTTCAAAGCATCTATTGCGCGTTCGCTTGTTATGGTAATGGTAGCCGTTGAAGGATTAGCGGGAGGTTCGGCCTAGTATGTCCCTTTTAAAATGACTAACCTACAGTGTTTCCGTTATGAGTCGTATCGGAGGGCAGGAGAGGAATCCGAACCCTACAAGCAATTCGCGACGTGACGTTCAAGAATACGAATTTAAAATCGGATCTGTCAGTGTATGTGGCTCAAAGGGAAATTGTATACTGACTTGCTAGCTGGGCGATTCAATTGGAATCGTACTGGCATCTATTATATCAATGCCTATTCAAGTATCCCTATGTCGCTATCAAATTGCAAATGGCCGAGACCTTTGCTCACGAGTTTAATGGGCATTTCAAGCTAGTCGTAAATAAAGCATTTATCGACGTTGTACTATTGTTTTTTATAAACTGATTTCTCGTGATGGATAGCAACTTATGGTCCGTTCGTATAGTGGTTAGTATAGTGGATTTTGATTACGACATCGACTTCCATTGACCCCGGTTCGAACCCGGGACGGACCTATCTTTTATAATATTATTTTCACAACGAATTTTTTTCTCCTAAAACGTACGCAAAGAGAATGGTGTCACGTATTGTTTCATTGTATATGCCATTCTACTTTTGAATCTGCTGGAACTTTGCATTCATTGCGTCACAAATGTCTTTGTACACTTGCTCCACAGTGTTCATGGCATTGACATCGACTACCTTGTTTTGAGTTCGCTGGTAGTCAACAACTGGCATGCTTGTTTCCACAAAGGTTCGGAAACGCTTTTTGATTGATTCGATATTGTCATCAGATCGACCACTAGTTTCTCCACGATGAAGAAGCCGTTCCAGCATAACTTCTTCAGTGCATTGTAAAAAGAGAACCATTTGGGCTGGACAAACTGATTCCTCAAACTTGAATGACTGGTCCAATTTGCGGGGGAAACCATCAATCAAAAAGCGACCCTTACCAGCGCCCCATCCGTCAGAACTGGAGTTCTTGTGTGTTTCCAAGGCCGATTGAATAGCATTTCGCAAAAGTGAGATCGTGACTTCCATAGGCACGATTTTTCCTTCTTTGATATAATCAGCAATCATTTGACCATACTCAGAGCCAGGACGCGCTTGCTCCGCACGAAGTAGGTCACCTGCGCTAAGATGAACAAAGCCATAGTCGCGTACAAGGCTTGCACAGTGGGTGCCCTTACCTACACCAGGCCCACCCAGAACGAATACCACGACCACCTTGGAGGGGTCATATTCTGGACTCTGTTCACTCATACTTGTTCTTCTTTCTTTCGAAGTTCTGGTACAAGAGGATTGGGGAGTGGTCTCCTCTTTTCGCGCTTGTCCTTGTCAGGGTCGGATTCGCGAACTTTCGTCACGTATGCTAATGCTCCAAAAGAAAGAGCAGCAATAAGAACAAATCCTAAGGGGTTAGGTCCACTGGATTTCTTCGACGATGCTACACGCTGGTTACTAGTAGCAAATGTACGAGATTGAACACGGAAATGCCGGCGAATTTGTGCCAGAAACATAAAAGTGTTGAAGTGAGACCCCGTTGCGTCCGACGGGGCTTTATAGAAGTGTACCCATAATTCCTATACACGTTTCATTTGTGTCATCGCTACTTTCGTTCTATTGCGGGGTGGGTCTCCATCACCCCTTCCTGTCACGATGTCCTCACCGTATTCTTTCAAGCCGGGTGGGTCTTTGAAACTGAAGGGCGATAAAATCAGGTATGTTTGAAATCCATCACTTATGTCTCCAGGAAGAAAAAGAAGTCCAGCTCTAGTACAGATGCTCGAGAACTAAAAGCAACACATCGAACATCTGACGATAAGATGTCAGGAAAAGATCCTGCCTCCTACTCAATGCAGCGTGCACGAACTAAGGCTGAACAAAAGTTTGAAGAAGTACAACGCAAACGCGTATGTATCATGAATGATGTTAAATGATACTAACACAATTAGCTTCATGAACAGGCAAGAAAAGAAGCAGGGAAAACCCACAAAGACAAAGTGGAATCATTTAATGCATATCTTGAGTCTCTTAGTGAGCACCATGATATGCCAAAAATCGGACCAGGCTGATAGCACCGTTGTTATAAATTGTTTCAGACTTTCCATTTCATGTAAACCAACGTATGTATGTAACACAACGAAGTGTAAAACTTGATGCCGTACTATAAAAAATGAAGCACCGTTAGGCAGGGCTCCATGTTGGGAAGCAATCCTTGATATCCTGTTATTAGATCATACTCGTGTGACATACTTTTCCGTGCTTATTGTCGGCATGCTGCTTGAGGCTGAAACGTCAGTATTTCAATTATACATACGCAGGTTCACGAACAGTCATCAGAAAAGTTTGACGACAGATTTGGCAAATGACGCTCTTAGCTGCTTCATTGGCCTTCAATTGAGACTTGGCCTCTTTGCCGCTATTGGCTTTGGCATTACGCTCACGTTTTTGCTGAGCCCTTTAACATTGTTAGATAATTTTCTTTCTAGAATCACATACCGAGCACCGTTACCCATGTCGTGTGAAGGTTCTTTTGCGTAGGTGAACCTGCTCAACAGTCCTGCACTGTGCTTCTTCTCCACTGACCCTGTCGCCATAAATTCTCCCTGCCACATAGTTTCGGCCGAACTAACCCGCGGGCCTGCACTGAGAGCCTGAGCGCCGCCATACTACGACCTCTTGTGCGGTCAGACCATTCCATACGATGTCATCCTCTGGGCAGCGTGAGGCCGTCTTCCCGACGCGTATGACACTTGGTGTCACGAAGCAGCGTTTGAAAGGTGCTCAAAATGGCCATTCGCTACTGAAGCGAAAAGCTGATGCCTTGTCGAAGCGATTCCGCACAATCACAGGAAAGATCCAGGAGGCCAAGAAACAGATGGGCACTGTACTACAAACGGCGGCTTTCAGCATGGTCGAAGTGGGCTATGCGACAGGTGACATTGGTTATTCCGTTCGTGAAAATGTTAAGCGAGCGACATTTAAAGTGCGTGCCCGCCAAGAAAACATTAGTGGTGTACTGCTCCCCGCTTTTGCTGTACAGTCCACGAATGAAAACGGAGGTGCTGGTACATCAAAGGATGCGGACGAGGATGATAAAGGTACTAGTACTCCTAGTGAATTCAGTTTGACTGGTCTTTCGCGTGGTGGTCAGCAAGTCCAGAAAGCCCGCGAGACCTATGCCAAGGCACTACGTGTTTTGGTGGACTTGGCCAGCCTTCAAACTGCATTTGTGATCCTTGACGAAGTGATTCGACTCACCAATCGACGTGTTAATGCCATCGAGCATGTTGTTATCCCTCGATTGGAAAACACGATTGCTGTATGTATACCTGCAGTGCGTTGAGCTGACCATAAGTACATTGTGTCTGAGTTGGATGAGATGGATCGGTATGTCAGCATTCTACGACTAACCGATAGTGAGGAGTTCTTCCGTCTAAAGAAGGTCCAGGGGAAGAAGAAGCGTACAGCAGAGGAAGCGGCGAAGAAGCACAAGGAAGAGCTATCGAAGTTGGAAGCAGCCGACAATAATAAAGCTGAGAAGAAGGAAGGCGATATGCTCAGTGCTGGAAAGGATACAGATGTCATCTTTTAGAGTACATTTATTGCACAATGTATAATGGTGCTATGTTTATTCTACAATTCTTTAACCGTGTCAGTTTGCATCACCGCAACAGTATTAGGTGGTTCTGATGTAGGGGAAGCTTGTAATGTTGGAGATGACAGCATCGTCTTGTCCCGCTTCGATGCATCTGGCGTCATATAAAGCGAATCTGACAGTCTGTTAGCTGTCTCTCGCGGTGATAGATCCTCTTCGCCCGAACTATGTCGAACTGACTGGCCCGGGCTAAGGGTTGTTGTTGATGGAGGTATTGTGGGTGCCATAGGCGGCGTTTGAGGAGTAAGAATGGAAGGTGAGGAAGTTTGACTGTTCAGACGTGGGGAGGTGGTGGGTAAGTCCTGTAGAATGGGTGCACTGTTACGCTCTTCACGCTCGCGCCGTCTATCCGCGCGGGCAGCTACCGTGGCTAAGGCCGCCGAAGTCATTTCTCCCTGTACACCGCGTTTCTCGCCGCCTTGCAATTTCGCAAGCATAGTGGCAGCGATGCTAGAAGGACTCTCGGGAATAGACTCGCGAACATCTTCAGGTAGAGTGCGTAAATCCACTGTGGACTGCCTGCCACGTCGTCGATCCTTGCGTCGTTGACGTGGGGTCCCACCACTTGACCGCAAAGTGGATAACAATGACTCCAGTACGGCATTGTCATCCACACCTGCCTCACGTCTAGCCATGGCTTCACGCTTCTCTTTCTCACGTTCTTCCACAGCAGCTCTGCGTGCGGCTTCAAGGGCACGTTGTTGTGCAAGCTTGGTATTGTCTGATTTCGCTTTTCGATAAGCAGTGAGGAACTCTTTAAAAATGCCAAAGAACTCTTCCGTGGGCATTGATTTGGAGCCTGCAAAACCCCGACGCATAGGGTCAGGGCCTTCGCCATAAAAGCGGAGAGCGTCATTATAAACACGTTCCGTATATTGAATTTGATCCGTCAGACCCTGTAGATCCTCCGTGGCCTGCCGCAAAAATGGTAGCATGAGCTTGGAGTACGGCTCAGAAACATTGGATTCGTCTTCACTTAATAAGCGGTCCATGTCTTTCTTATGCTGTACATTAGCTGACTTTAGCTCAACTAAGTCGTGCTTCAAGTCAAGCATTTGTATACGGCATGCCTCCGTAGCTTTGCTTAGCTCGTCAGTGAAATCATCGAGTTCAGGGAAGCAGCGTGAGATGGTGCGCTCAACAAAATGAAGTAGTGTCGTTCCATCTGAAGCCTTTGTATCGACTAGCTTGTTAATGCTGCTAATTCGGAAACCATATGCGCCACCCTTAACACCAGTGGCATTTAGATAGTTGCCGAATAGTAAGATGATATTCAGTACCTGCGCGAATTTCTGGGCATTGATGATCGTCTCAGAACCTTCTTGGATTTTCAACAGGCCCTGTCGAATAATATCAACAGTATCATTGTATTTGGTCTTGTACAGCATGCCTTTGACTTTATCCTTCAAGTGCGGGACAGTCATAAGAAGTACCACCAATCGGTCAGCCGGATGCAAATTGCGAAGCTGCTCATCGGATGCATTCTTAAATTCACCCAAGCGCCCCTTCGTTTCAGATTCAGGGTAATATCGAAGCAGCTCCGTTAGTATACTTTGGTCGAAGATACGCGCATCGCATTTTATGATATAATGAGCGAGTTCCTCTGGTGTGCACATCTTGCTCTCAGAAAGATCGCCTTTGACACGCTTCAATACCATTTCAATACCTTGGCGAGTAGCGTAGTTCAAATACGTCTGAAGCTCATGCTTGTCGCGCTTTGTAGCCATGACCTTCTTCGACACTTCCTTGGCTTTGAATTCCTCTTCCATCTCACCAAAAACACCACGTTGCAGAATAATTTCTCGCAGTGTTGATTCACTTGATTGTGTCTTACCCCAAATCGTACTGGAGGCATGTTCAGCCGAAAGCTTGTCCCATTGCAGTTGTTTCATTCGTGTTGTAGCCATATCCAGCACACCCTTCCGCATATTGCTGTTGCCTAGGAGGGCACCTGGCGGCGCTGGTGGAGCTTGCATAGGCCCAGGAGGCCCCAATTCCGACTGAAACGACGTCCGTATTCCCAGCAGAGAAGTGCGGATAGCACTCGGCGCAGATTCACCGTTCGAATCTTGAGTAGTGGAATCACCGCGAGTTGCAACCTTGTCCTTAATAGCAGCTAGCAAAGCTCCATTGACAGCGCCTGGGGGGCCGATGGTACCAGGAGGAGGAGGGGGAGGGGGAGGTGGTATGTCACCCTGTGATCCAGATATGGAAGGAACAGGCATGCTGGTGGCAGTGCCTAGTGGAGGCGGCGGCGGCGGCGGCGGCGGCGGGGGTGGTGGTGGTCCTGTGCCATTGGCAGCGAGTGCATCTGTTGTTTGGATGGACGAGGGCACTGGCGGAGGAGGTGGTGGCGGTGGTGGCGGTGGCGGTGGCACAGATTGTCGTGCAATAGCCTCATTGAGGTTAGTCAAGGAAGAAGATACGTTTGGTTGGGGATCCATGGGTTTGGGATCAGACACAGACGGTATTTCTTCTGAGCGATCCTCGATTTGAGAAAGGGAAGCAGAATCCACAAGTGTCGCTGATGCAGCAGAGGGCTTAGTGCTCGGCGAAGTAGTGTTAGGAATATGCTGTGATGATGTTTCATCAGTGGGACATTCACCATGCTCGCCTAAGGGTGAAATCCCTCCAGCTGTAGGAGACAAGCTGTCTAAAGGTGGCAATTCATCTTGCTGGGGAATGAGTGCATCACGATCGCCATAAATTGACCCACGTGGAGTAGTATCTGCCGAATCCATCACGATGCAATCCTGGGCCTGTGCATCAGGAAGGGCATTTTGGTCTGATTCCTTATTTGACACAAGGGATTCCGCAAGGGAAGGACTCGAAGTCACTGCGCCCGAGTCAGCAGTGTTGGAGCCGCCCGCATCATCATCATGACGACGCCGTAAACGGGAAGCACGGACTTCTCGCATACGCACTTGCATATCTGTATCCTGTGCCATGTGTGTCGCAAGAGCTGCCTGTAAACCCCACTCATTGTTTTCATCGAGGACCGCAGTAGGAGGCTCAAATGTTTCGGGGTTAGGAATGACAGGCGATGGTGTTGCAGAAGGATTCAAGCCCAGAGCGACACGGCCGATACGAACTGGCGCATCCGAAGAAATGTTTGCGACAGTCTCAGCGCTGACTTTGCGGCTCGGTGATCGTGCGGGTAAAACTGGCTTCTGACGCTTTGGAACGGAAAGTCGAGGCAGGGATGTATCCAGCGCAATAATGGGCTCCGTCGTAGAATTGGCCACAAGCTTCCGGATAGTGCGACTCCTTTCCACTTGTCGCTCCAACGAGTCTCGTAAAACTTGCCTATCAAACTCAGCAAAGCGTGGATCAGACTCACGAGCATTTTGGGCTTCTTGCAGTAAGGTCGTTGTTTCCCTTAATTCCAACTCAAGGCCTAGAATCCGGTCCACATACGTTCGCTCCATTTCATCCATATCACTTTGTAGAGAAGATGCATTATCTCGAGAGAGCGATAGATCATGTTGCAAAGACTGAACTTGTTCTTGAAGTTGGCCCACCAACCCATCAGAAGACGCTTGAATTTGCTTCTTCAATTCTAATAGCTCTTGGTCTCGGGACAAGAGTGCTGCATTTGCTTCCTTTAGTTCACTCTGAAGACGTTGCAGCAAGTCATGGTCAGCAAAGCGGCCAAGCACATTATTCAACGAAATACCCATTACAGCCTCCATATCCTTGCCAGAAGCAGCGCCTTCGCGATCTAACGCGACAGTCGAAATAATAGAATCGATGAGCTGGTAGTAATGAACGAGGTCTGAGCCATCGCGCTGAATCAAGAGTAGGTGTTGAAGAGCACTCACGAAGAAATCTTTTGCTCGCGAGTCTTTAAGACGGTCCATAATTAACCGAAAAACGTCCTGCGGATCCGACATGTTTTGGGAAACAACACGCTGAAATGAATACATCATATCTTCTTGATCAGCCGCCTCCCCTTTCTCGAATACATCCAACTGTGTATCAAGGTCAGGTGTCATCAACGCCCGCATCTTGGAAATCACACGCGGCAACCCACTCGCTGACAGTTGGCTGCGGAGGTGTAAGCGTGCTTGCAATGATTCCACAATATCGCTGTTCACAAGCGCATTAATTAAGAACATGTTATTAATAACATATTCAGGCAAACCAGCTTCAGGCAAAGCACTTCTTTGGAGCTTCCGCACTTCATCACTTGCGCCGACCAAGCTACCCATGAGGCCACGACCATCGATGGCACTTTCTAGTGCTTGAAACCACGCATCGAATCGACCTGGCTGCTGTGTAGATTCACGAAGGTCATCAATGCCCTGCAATACAAGTTGGTGACCTTTAGGTTTTTCCCAATGGCATAGGAAAAGCAAAATGTCAGCAGCCTGTTTGCGCGTCGATAGTTGTGGTGACACAAGAGAATGTGTGATTCCACTAATACATTTAGGGTTTCGAAGTGCATCATGAGCACCAGGTTTGCTGTTAAACAGGGAGCGGAAAGCTTTCAGCAGCTCATATTCTTGGGCAAGTTCTTGTTCTGTCGGTTGAGGACGTGTATGAATGGCAGCCAGGAAACTTGACAAAACATGAGTACCTTTAGCCTCGACAAAGCTCTGAAGCCATCCAATAGCACATGTACGTAGTGTCACGGCTAGGGATTCGATGTGCTTGGTAGTCACAGAATTGTCCATGAATTTCTTAATATACCATTCAGGCGAATTGCGCACCAATACCATGGAGGTGGACGTAGTCGGAGCAGACGAGAGAGATGCGCCGATAAACCTTCTGTTTTTCTCTTTATCCGGATTTTGAGATGTGAGCAGGTCGTTGTACACCAGCGTCCATTTCTTGTCGACGGGAAAGTCAAGCATATTGTTCAGTGCATCTTGAGAAGGCGCGCTGGGTCCTTGTAGCATGTCTCGTTTGTTCATCAAGTCAGCAAACATGTATTCCACCTCATGATCCGGAGGCCGATTATACTTCAGCTCTGGCAGGCGCGCCATCATCGATTGACGTAGCTCGCTCGCGCCAACATCACCAGATCTTCGCAGAGCAGGTTTGCTGGCTGGCTCAGATTGCCATGAAGTAGATAGGCGAGATGGTATTTCCATAGATACTCTTGATGATGGTCTGGATAGAGCATTTCTGCTTCGCACAGGTGTGATAGTGGGTGCTCGCATAGCAAAAGCACCTGGCGCTTCCTCCGTGACATCAATTACGTGACGCGAAGTGCGGTCTTCAGACTGCTTCGCCCAGCGCTTACGCCCAAATAGGGTGTCCATAGCACTGTGACAAAGTCAATCCAGAAACTATTGTTGTAAATCACCAATTCAACGACAGCAGGACGCGTCCACAGCTGTATATGCAACGATGTAACGTCGGTCTGTGTGTTGTACCATACGCCTTCAACAACTCTATCGGCCGAGAAATAATGACAAGCATACGATCGATGTCAGACTCTCTGGCTGCAGTCTACATTGTCAGGATACAATGCCGCTCAGTTACGAAGCCATCATCGCAGATTGTTTTTCGACTTACATATTACCAATCTGTAATACTAGTAGCATGTGTCGGATTTGGAGTCGAGTTGGTAGCATGCTGGCTAGACGATGCTCTGCTATTCAAACATAGTCAGTGATGTATGACGCTACAAGAATCAAACTTCATAGACTCTGCCAAAATAAAGCTCAAGAAATGAGAAGAAAAATCAGTTTGGTATATATCTACATTATAGGAATATCGCTCTGGAAGTTCCATGTAGTGTACGTAGAGTACGTTTTATTTGCTCAAAGCTTGTGCGCCTCATCGTGCAGGGGGCTCCAAATACCACGAGCCGACTCGCTAGAGCTCTGAACAGGGTTACGCTTAAGATGCGTTGTCTTGGTTCCACTCGACTCAAGCAAAAGCTGCATTTTGGGGATGATCTGGGTTGCGGCGAGGTTATGCGTCGAAATTTGCTTTGTGCGACCATTTACTAGAATTGTAAGTCATGATATAGTATACTCACAGTAAAATCCACGTAGTATTGGGGCACGTTGAGGACGCGGCATTACCACGAACTCAACGCTAGGGTAAGAGCGTGCAAGGGCAGCCGCATTTTGCAACAGAAAGTCACGAGTGCCCTTGCTCGCGACACTCTTTTCGCAGTACTCAACCACTACTTTACGGCATGGAAGAGAGTATGTACCAGAAGCACCACCTAGCGCAGGTTGTGTGCTTAGCGCACTGCGTACAAGACGTGGGAGGCGCGACATGGTGGAAAACAACTGTGCTGAGATCCAAGTCAGACACGAGGGTGCCATGTGATCGGCGATGAGAAGGGGGCGTTTTTGAAAGAAAAAATCTTCCTTCGTCTCGTCCCTGCGAACGCTGCAAAGAAGCAGTTTCCTAGCGGGACGTTGGACCAAACTTCCTGTATTGCACTTCCTAGGTTGACTTTGAGCGCTTACACACCGTAAGCGAACTGTATACGTCACCATGTCGTCCAATATGACTGAAACTGACCAAAACATCCAGGTATGTATCTCTCATGAAAATCACAGACTAACCTATAGATCTGGAAGGTCAAAAAGCTCATTAAGAGCTTGGAGAGCGCCCGTGGTGCTGGCACTTCCATGATTAGTCTGATTCTCCCACCCAAGTCACAGCTTTCGCAGGCTAGCAACATGCTTACGCAGGAATATGGTACGGCGAGCAACATCAAGTCTCGTGTGAACCGTCTTTCAGTGCTGGCTGCCATTACTTCGACACAGCAGCGTTTGAAGCTGTACTCGCGTGTGCCTGACAATGGCCTTGTTGTCTACTGTGGTACGATTTTGACGCCAGAGGGCAAGGAAAAAAAGGTCAACTTCTCGTTCGAGCCGTTTAAGCCGATTAATACGTCGTTGTACTTGTGTGACAACAAGTTCCATACTGAAGCACTTTCGGAATTGCTAGAGTCCGATGCTCGCTTCGGTTTCATTATTATGGATGGTAATGGCACACTCTTTGGTACTGTGTCTGGTAACACGCGTACGGTGCTGCACAAGTTTTCTGTCGACCTCCCGAAGAAGCACGGACGTGGTGGTCAGTCCGCGTTGCGTTTCTCGCGTCTGCGTGATGAGGCTCGTCATAACTATGTGCGTAAAGTCGCTGAGTACGCTACCCAGCACTTTATCACCGACAACAAGTGTAATGTGACTGGTCTTGTGTTGGCTGGTTCTGCCGATTTCAAGAATGAGCTGAGTCAGTCAGACATGTTCGACTTCCGATTGCAGCCCAAGATTATCCAAATTGTCGATGTGTCGTATGGTGGTGAGAACGGTTTTAACCAGGCCATTGAGTTGGCGGCTGATAGCTTGGCTAACGTCAAGTTTGTGCAAGAGAAGAAGCTTATCCAAAAGTACTTTGACGAAATCTCTACCGAGACCGGTAAGTACTGCTTTGGTCTGGACGATACATTCCGAGCCCTCGAGATGGGCGCTGTGGAGACTCTCATTGTCTGGGAGAACCTGGAGCATATGCGTCATGTGCTGAAGGATTCGGAGGGCAAGGAGCACGTCCTCATGCTTTCAAAAGAGCAGGAGCAGGATCGGTCTCGTTTCATGGACCCTGCCACAGGCTCTGAGATGGAAGAGGTGGGCGAGCCGCAACCGTACGTATTTGATGAGGGAGGGCTAACATGGACAGGTTGCTCGAATGGATCGCAGAGAACTACAAGCAATTCGGTACTACTCTTGAATGTATGTGTGATGGTATACACTAACAATACAGTTGTCACCGATCGTTCCCAAGAAGGTATGCAGTTCTGCAAGGGCTTTGGTGGTATCGGTGGTATTCTCCGCTACAAGGTGCCCTTTGAAGACCTTGCCATGTACGATGAGGATGAGAGCGAGTTCATGAGCGATGATGATGATGACTATTAGTCGGTGTGCGCATAACCTGGTAGCGGCAGACGGCCGAGAAAAAGTATAAGTAGTTCTGCCACAGGGTTGAATATGCTCGCTTTACCTGCCCAGACGGCGTAGCGCCGTGCCCAACAGCTTCCTACGTCGCGACAAATAATTTTCAAATGTACCCTTTACCACGTCAACGAAGCCCCAGGTTCCGCGGGCACGATCCACGTGCTTTTGCTTCTACCGGTCGACTGCATCGCAGGTAGGTCGACGACGAGCATGGCAGCTCCGCGCAGAGATCATCCGCCTGGAGCCGTGCGCCCGGCCCAACTCCGGGCCGCACCTGCTCAGCAACGTGGTGTTCGGCCTCCTATGAGACCGGCTCCAAAGTCGCAGCAGCCACCAGTCGCAGCGCCTGTGACCAACGCTGCTGCGTCGCAGCCCCAAGGCTCGCAGACAGATGTGTTTGGTGCCGTACAAAGCCCACCTGGCGCAAAAGTACGGCCTGTTGCTGGTGAACCTCGTGTCCGTCCTTCTGGACCGCCCAGGATGGTGCAGACTCATCCTCAGCCACCAACAAATACACGCCCACCAGCGCCCAAGCCCGCAGCTACGCCAGCTCCACGCACCGCGGCACCGCCTGCGCCAGTAACAGCCCCTTCTGTGTCACAACCTAGTCAAGGACCGGTGCCATCCATGAACAAGGTACGCCCGCCCATGTCGGCCAGCGCACGCGGTAACGTGCCTCCGATGAGCGCGCAGCATACGGGTCGGAGCATGCAAGCGCAGAATACTGGTCACAGTATGCAATCACAACATACGGGCCGCAGCATGCAAGCGCAAAACACAGGTCGCAGCATGCAATCACAGCATACGGGCCGCAGCATGCAAGCGCAAAACACAGGTCGCAGTATGCAGTCACAGCATACAGGACAGAGTCAAGCGCCGCCACCATCTCGTGCTGCCCCGCCTCCATCTATGGTGGAAACGCTGCCACCCCGCATACCTGCACCGCATGCAGCATCGTATCCACCTGTGCCAGACTCGATGCCTGAGCCAGTGCCAACGATGGATGCTTGGGACACACAGGATGGCTGGGGCGACCAAGATGACTGGGGTGGAGATGGTTGGGACCAGCCAGAAGAGGCAGAAGCAGCGCCTGCTTCTACCGAATGGATGCCCCCTGATGAGCAGGAGGGTGGTATGGCTACGAACGAGATGCCACAGGATCTGTTCGGTCAGAATACGATGGCAGTGGCCGAGGAGGCTGAGTCTTATCCACAGCAGTTGGGTGAACCGTTGGATCCGGCTATGGAGAATCTATCGGCCTGGGATCAAGAGGTGCACGATTTCCCTGAGCAGTTTGAACAAGATGCTGTGTATGATGGTGCGAGTCTGCAAGACGGTTGGGACTACCCAGCTGATGATCAAGACTACAATGAACCGTTCCTCGATCCATCGCAGTATGATGCAGAGCTGGATATGGACCCCTATGCCAGCACGGGTTTCCAAGAAGAGGTCCCTACGGCAGGTGCTGATATGTTCACGCAGGATCCGTACGAGCAAGATGCGTACGATCAAGGGGAATACCCTGCCGATGCCTACCAAGGTATGGATGAACAGACGTTAGACCCTATGGAAACACAGGCTGAGTCCCAACTTTTCTTCACGCAAAAGGAGCAGCTTGGTGCAAACGATCCAATGGATGACCAGTATGCTCAGGAAGAACAAGTTGATGATCAATATGGTCATGAAGATGCCTATGGCGAGCAGTACGCTCAGGATGGCGCTTTCGATGATCAGTATGCTCAAGAAGAGGCTTACGACGAGCAATATGCTCAGGAGGGTGCTTATGAGGAGCAATATGCTCAGGACGAAGTCTACGACGAGCAACACGCTCAGGAATATGCTTATGATGAGCAGTATGCTCAAGAAGGCCAGTTCGATGGACCATATGACGAGCAGTACGCCCAAGAAGACCAAGGCGAGTACGGCCAAGAAGGTCCATACGATGAGCAGTATGCTCAAGAAGGTCCGTACGATGAGCAGTATGGCCAAGAGGGCCCATACGATGAGCAGTATGGCCAAGAGGGCCCATACGATGGGCAGTTGGATGATCAATACGGCCAGTTCCAACAAGGTGGCACAGATGCACAGTTTGTGCAGGAGGACCAATACGATCAGTTCGAGCAAGAAGACCAGTACGACCCATCGCAACCGCCAGAGTTTGCACAGGATGAAATGGCCGAACCGGCTGGCGGTACGACAGACGAGCCTGGCTGGGATGATCAAGGCGCATGGGATGAACAGATTGCGTGGGACGACCAGGCAGACGGGCAGGAAGAACCGACCAGCATTGACGCAGCGCCTATGCAGCCACCTACCTCGATCCCTGAGCCTGTGCCGGAAGTGAAGCCGCCTGTGACCAAGGCGGCACCAGTCCCTCCTACGACCATGCCACCGCCACGTGGCCCTGCCAAGCGTGTCCCACCCTCGTCTACGCGGGGCGCGGCGACAGCGCCTGTGCCATCCGCGCTCACCACCTCGACGAACGCTCCGCCCTCTGCTGCGACGTCCCACGCGATTCCCTCGGCAGTCAAGAGCACGCCACAAGCGGCGGCTATGCCGAAACGCGGGCCTGTCGCACTTGGTGCAGCCCCACCTAAGGAGTCGCCTTCGATTCCGGCCTCAGCTCCGCCAGCTCAAAGCTCTGGTCCGAGGCAGCGCGGCGCGATGCCACAGCGGGCGCCTAACAAGCCTGTTCCTACGCCCCAGCCCGCGCCGCCTCCTACGCAGCCGGCTGAAGAAGAGGATGCATGGGGTTGGGGTGATACAGAAGAAGTGTCTGCCCCTGCTACATCTGAACAAGTGGACGATGCATGGGGTATGGATAGTGAAAGGGCGACGGGGACTGAATCGGCCTGGGGTGGGGACTCGGATGTATATGCCCACGATGCGTATGCACCGCAGGACTATGCCCCACCGCCACCCTCTCATACAGCGCCACGTGGTCCAACTGCTGGTCCAGCAACGGCAGGACCGCGGCGCGCCCCGGCGCGCGGCCCTGCGTCAAAAGGACCCACCCCGCCTCGGACGCCTGGACAAGTCAAGGCTGGTGCACGCCGACCTGATCCACAGCAGGACCGTCGGAATGCTACTATCCCTATTGTGTCCTTTGGTATTGGAAGCAAATTGGTCGTCCACATGCCCAGCAAGGGCGATTCATACGACTATCAGTCGTCGCGCGAGGAGCGTACGGTCACGATTCGCTCCCTTTCGCAGTTGGTGGGTGCACGTCCTTTCTCTACGCTTGATATGACCAAGTTCCCAGGGCCGTTGCTGGAGGGCTCGCGATCACAACTCAAGGCCAAGAAGCCGTCGATTGTCAAGTACCTACACGAACAGATTGCTGAATCAGCAAGCGGTGTGGGCTACCTGCGCCGCAAGTCTGTGATGCTGGCTGAACACTCGGAGACCAAGTCGAGTAATGCAGGCGACCTTGAGGAATGGCGCCGCACAGAGGACAAGATCTTGCTACTGAAGCTTCTTGTGATGCTGATTGAAAACGATGGTAAACTTACGGATGATGCGCCATTGGCTCGTTCCATTTGTGATTTGCTCCTTGGGAAGACGGAAGCAGGGGAGTTTGGTGCATTTACTGTGCCGACGTACTCGCGTGCAACCTCCCACTCGTCATCGAAACGGCCTTTGCGCTCGTATGCCTTGCGCCAAAGCTTCTTGGAAGAACTGCAGCAGCATTTGCAGCAAGGGCAGCTCAAGGAGGCTGTCGACCTTGCCTTGGATGAGCGCATGTGGGCGCATGCGATGACGATTGCACAGCAGCTTGATGAGGCAACGCGGCAGCGCGTCGTGACGGCCTTTATGCAGTATGAGTTGGACGATGCGGATATTGATAGTGCTATGCGCAAGGACTACACGAGCATCAAGGTGGCCTACTCATTGTACACGCATCAGCCGGCTGAACAGATTGCCGCACTATTCCAAGGTCCTTCAAGCCTCTCGCCAGAAGCAAAGCATTTGCAATGGCGGCATGCTATCGCCACCCTCATCTCAAATCGCGGCTTGGGTGAGTATGATGCGATCCTGGGCACTATTGGCGATGGTCTGATGGAGGCAGGGTTGCCGGAGGCGGCTCATGTGTGCTACTTATTGGGCAAGCAGCATCTTGGCTGGCTCAAGTCACCAGAGACGGATTTCGTTTTAGTGGGGACAAAGCCTAATACACCTGCCTCCGTGCTCTTGAATGATATGGATGCTTTACTCATGACAGAAGTGTTGGAGTATACGTATGCACTTTCTCAGCCATCTAAGACGGCGCCACCATATGCTGGCATCTCGACGTTAGCACCATTCAAGTTAGTCATGGCAGCTGTGTACGATGAGCTGGGCTTCTCGGCCAGTGCCAAAAAATACTGCGAGGCACTCACTCAACTTTCGCAGCTCAAGGGAGCGGCCCCTATTCTTACTTCAGCCTTGCAAGCACAGCTGCATGAGCTGTCGAGCCGACTGAATGGCCAGCACTTGGCTGGCCAATCATGGAGTAAGAAACTCCAGCGACCTACACTGGACGGAGTCTGGGGTGCCCTGGAAGGCCGACTGACCAAGTTCATCGCAGGCGAAGAGGCGGGTCAAAAAGAGGCGGTCAAGAGTACGGAAACGACCGTGGGTGCCTTCACCCATTACAGTGCTATTACGCCAGAGGCAGCGTCAGCCGCGCCATCGGAAACTCAATACCCATCTGTGCATGAAGAACTGCAAGAAACTGATGGTGGGTACTCGGCAGATGCGTATGCACAAGCGTACGAAGATGGAGGGGCTGAGACTCATGATAACCTGAACGATACTTATGCGGAAAACACTTATGAACAGGATGCTGATGTGGATGCATATGCCGAAGATCAAGCACCGAAAGAGTATCCGCAAGAGGAATATGGTCAAGAAGACTATGCCCAAGATGAATACCCTCAGGAGGAATATGTTCAAGAAGAGTATGCCCAGGAGGAATACCCTCAAGAAGAGTATGCTCAAGAGGAGTACCCTCAGGATGAGTACCCTCAGGAGGAATATGCCCAGGAGGAATATGCTCAAGAGGAGTATGCCCAAGAGGAATACCCTCAGGAGGAATATGCTCAAGAAGAGTATGCCCAAGAGGAATACCCTCAGGAGGAATATGCCCAGGAGGAATATGCTCAAGAGGAGTACCCTCAGGAAGAGTACCCTCAGGAGGAATATGCTCAAGAAGAGTATGCCCAGGAGCAATACCCTCAGGAAGAATACCCTCAGGAGGAATATGTTCAGGAGGAATATGCTCAAGAGGAATATGCCCGGGAGGGATACCCTCAGGATGAGTACGCCCAGGAAGAGTATGCCCAAGAGGAGTATGCCCAGGAACAACAAGATGATGTCCATGAAAACCTGGAGGCTGACCATGCTCATGAAGAAAGTGGGCAGGATAATGCGGGAGGTGATCATCCTCAGGACCCCAATCTTCCAGCAGACGAAATGTCGGCTTCAGCACCCTTGCCCAAAGATATCGATAAAGAGTCAGTTGCCTCGAACGTCGATGACTTTGCTGATGCTGAAACAGCAGGAGATGAGCAAGAGGAAGTAAAGCCACCGACTGCCCCGCCCTTGTTCCACAGTGTCGAGCAAGAAGTGGGCGAAGATGGTCTTTTGTCCACCATGTCGGTCCCAATGCTGACCCCTCTCCCTGCCAAGCCTTCTGCTACAAATACCAAGTCAGCCGCCCCTGAACCAGAGGAAAAGGAGGATGACCTGGGCTTGGGTAATTCAAGCAGCAGGCCAAACAAGACAGAGTCACCAGAGCCCATTTCTAGCGCAACGGAAAACTCGCAACCTGATGAGAAGAATGCCAAAGCTGCAGATAAAGCTTCGGGTGGTTCCTGGTTTGGCCGTTTGCTAGGTTCCCGCAGTAATAGCGCGAGCAAGGAAAACGAAAAAGAGAGCAAGGCTGTGAAAGCTCACTTGGGTGAAGAAACCTCCTTCTATTATGATAAGGAACTTAAGCGCTGGGTGAATAAGAAGGCTGGCGATGATGGTAAGGCAGCCCCTGCCGCCTTGCCACCGCCACCCAAAGGCGCTCCGTCCAAGCCTATCGCTGCGGCCGGGCCCGCCGATGCCCCTCCGAAGTCGTTAGCCTCGTCGAAGCCGCCTTCCTCGGCACCTGCTCGCTCCAACGGTGGAGCGGATGCAGGTCCGCCAGGGCCTCTCACTAGGCCAAGTGATGCAAGCGCAAAACCAGCCAGTAAAAAAGCTACAGGTGGCCCACCATCGGGAACAGCAAACAAGAAACGCCCGCTTAAATCGCGCTACATTGTTGTGGACTAAACTCTAGAGAGGGTGAATGGTATGATATAGTCACACAGTCATTACTTGATAGGAATGCAATACAATTCCACCCCATTAATTGTTTCGCAATGCATCGACAAGCCTGTGGTAAGAAAAAACTAATACGCACCAATCCAGTCCCTCATTTAGACCGGTGCCGTCTTTGGCACAGCACCGCCAAATACTCCACTGCCTGTCACGAAGCTCATCCAAGCCAATAGCTTTACCCACTTGAGCCTCATCCATCGCATTAGGGAGATCCTGCTTGTTTGCATACACCAGCAACTTGCACCCTGCTAACTCTTCCTCCGCCAACATAGCCAGAAGCTCAGCGCGTGCGGTGGGCATGCGTTCATGATCTGATGCGTCCACGACATAAATAATAGCAGCTGTATCCGCGTAATAGCATCGCCAGTAAGGACGGATACTTGATTGACCACCCAGATCCCAGACCTGGAGCGTCAAATTTTTGTATTCGACCGTCTCGACATTGAATCCAATGGCTTAATTGTCAGTTTCAGTCGAAGGACGTACTAGGAATCGTTGAAATGACTTCACCGAGCTGGAGACGGTATAGGATGGTAGTTTTACCGGCACTGTCAAGTCCTAGCATAAGAATGCGCATGGGAACATTGCGTCGCCATACGAATAGCGAGTCATAGAGCGACGAAAACGTCACTCCCATGGCGATCCGTGCGTGAATTTAGTCGATGTGTTGGTGTGGCTCCAAGCATCCATGGTTCGCCCAACCATCACGTGATGACAAACCCTTCGGCAAAGACGTCTCCTCGCATTTGCTCTGTTAAAGTGTCCCTCTCTTGTTGGTTGGAGCTGCACGAATGACGAAATAGAGTCTGCAGTAAAAATAATAAAACGTGTGACTAAAAGAGGAACAAGATGCATCAGAATGCCACGCGCTATTCCCCGGAACTAAGAACTACGTCGCCCCTGGGCCGCTCTACGCTAAGTTTCGCAAGAAACCAATTCCAGCGAACGCAGATACAAGCATGAGCCATCTACTAGCGGACGCTCAGCTCCCTAGTGGAATGGACGATGATCCAGAGTTGTTGGCTAAAAATGATCCTCTTGCAACGCAAGTGTGGAAAATGTATGCCAAGCAACGTGAGCAATTACCTAACGCGGCGCGTATGGAGAATCTTACTTGGCGACTTATGTCGATGAAACTGCGCCGCCAAATGGATGGAGGTCCAACGGCAGCGGTAGATTACACGGCACTGATCCCTAAACAAGATGGTGCGTCGCCACCCCCGGATGTCTCGGCGACACCTTCAACATCGTCACACGAGTCTACGCATAGTCAAGACGACGACACTCGCCGAGGCCGTGAAAAGACCGTGCGTCGCATTGAGGCTAGCACAATGCCTATGCCCATGACGAGCATGCATGAACATGCCCAAGAACAGACGCGGTTTATTGCCCGTTCTCGATCTCGGTCTATGAGCGCTATGGATATGGAACCATTCCATATGCGACGGCCCTTGTCTCGTGATGACACAGATCACCTCGGAAATCTTACAGATTCTCAGCTGCTAGCCGATTCAACGGGGCATGATATGCGCCTCTCTGACTTTGGTTTTGCGTCAGGCATGCTGCCGGATGGGATGCCTGAATCCTTGCCAGTGGATGCAAGCCTCTCTCAACTAAACAAGGAGAATTTATCGATGATTCCAAACGCATCATTTGCCACATGGAGCAAGACTGTGCAGGCCAATACGGTCAAGTCGGCGACAGATAGTCCTGGTACAGTGATGGGGGCACCAAGCCCTGGCACTGTGGTGGACGATCACAAGTCTCCTCAGAAACGGATCATTAATGAATTTGCATCAGGAGCTTACAAGAACCTCTTTGATAATTCGGACTCTCACGCATGGCAAGCGTCTTCCCACCTTGAACATCATGCGCGAACGGTGATGGAACTTAGCGAGAGACGAATGATTTCCCCAGATTACGATGAACGCTTTTTGGAGAACCATACTATTCTAGACAGCGTCCCAGGTATTGACGACTATGTGGGCCATCAAGCCAACCAACATCCAGAGTACGGCTTTTTGCCCCGACTTGTTCGTAAGACGTCATTCGATCATAAAGTGCGTGAGCGCAGTGAATCTCGCGGCCCGAAAGGGCGTTTGGCAGCATTAACAGAAGCATCACGGGTAGAAGGACATGCGCAGTCACGGAAGCGTATACGTGAGCATTCGCCTATGCCATTTGGTATGCGCATGCCTACGACGGCGGATCAACGCATAGCCTCTGGCTTGTCCCGCGAAGTACCGACCATGATTGCATCAAACATGATGCAGTACATACCATCGATGCCTTTTGACTTTTCGTTCCCGTCTACACCTGGTGTAGTTCCTCCAGCGGCTACCACTGGCCTTCTTGATGATATATCCTCGGGTCCACAAAACTCAACAACTATGGCTGCAATGTCTGATATGGCCACGATGCATTCTATGACGTCTGTTCCGCCACATATGCATTCCCTAACACCGACACCAGCGAATGTATCCCCGATGGCTTCTGTCTTAGGCACACATGCTGTGGAACAGACGAATGGATCGTCCTTTCCTGTAACCAATTTGGTATATCCTGAACAACCGTCTTCAATGAATATTATGGCATCGTCACCGGCAACGTCACACTTGTCACCTTCGTTCCTTCATGTGGATCCCTCGCAATTATTAAACCAGCAACCCCCCATGCCCATGCGCAGTGGAAGTTTGCCTAATGTACAATTACCTCCAACGACCCCTATCTTTGCCACGGATGCATCTACCTTTGCTACTGACTCCAACCCACATTTGACCGCCCCATCACCGTCTCCTATGAAAGAGACCTTGTTGCAACCTAGAACCAATGGCTATTATACGTCAATCTTCCAGCCGATAGAAGTGATGGGGCCAGATCAATGGGTATCGAACATGCCAAATAGCATGTTCAATTCGCCGCAGCAACCAAACGCTGGCGTACCAGATATGTCAATGACTATGAGCTATTCAACAGAGTCCAGCGCGGGAGATGATGCGCCGTCGCCTATGAATAATAATGTCACGGAAAGAAACAGTAAGACTCCCCCGTCCTCATCGTCTTCAACGACGAATGCACCTGAAACCTCACCCACTGTTTGCTCAAATTGTGGCACCACCAACACGCCGCTTTGGCGTCGCGACGCGGAAGGCAATGCCTTGTGCAATGCCTGTGGTCTTTTCCAGCGCTTGCATGGTGTCATGCGCCCATTGTCACTGAAAACGGATGTGATTAAGAAACGTAACAGAAATGGAACATCAACACGCGAAACAGGTCGTTCGCGTGGCAACAATACTACCACACGCCGCGGTTCGAAACCAACTATTTCTGATACGAACTCTCAGACTGTCTCTGACAAGAAGAACAGTGTTATCTCTTAAATCATAAACACATTTAGAGTTGTTAATATATAGTTTTTTTCTCTGTACATTAGCTTTCAAGGGTTTATTTAAAATTGCATCGCATGGCATGTTCGCGCAGGTTTTAATAAATCGCTTAGGCTCCACTTCTTAAAGCAATTGCACGTGATAGAAGGATGGCCGACATGGTACTTGCTCTTGCACTTGCTCTTAACAACCATGCTAGTGCACGCTAGCCGAAGCCTTCGGGCTCTGGCCTGCGTACCGACACTAGGGCATGCGCCTTATTTCGGTGCATGTAATAGCACCCTCATTCAAATACACACTCTGCATAGCCAGGTTGTCAAGGCCCCGGCACCCTGGCAAGCCAGGGTGCCTGTACGGAGCTATCGAAGCATGGCGGAGCCCAAAAGAGAAGATGACTCCAAGCAAATAAAACCAACTCGCGAAAGTGAAAAATTCACCAACTGGGAAATCATCCGAACCTTGGCCCAACATGTTTGGCCCAAGAATGATATTGGAACAAAAGGCCGTGTGGTGTTGGCTTTGTCCTTGCTTTTGGCAGGAAAGGTTCTGAACGTGCAGGTACCTTTCTTCTTTAAGGCAGTCGTTGATAAAATGAACACCTCTTTTTCTGAGCCTTTGGACTTGTCTAACCCAGCAAGTATTTGGGTAGTTGCCGGCGCTTCGATTCTAGGCTATGGGTCTGCACGTATTTGTGCAGCCGCTTTTTCAGAGATGCGCAATGCCGTATTTGCCAATGTGGCTCAGCGTTCCATCCGTACCATTGCTCGCAATGTGTTTACTCATCTTCTTGCCATGGATCTGAGCTGGCATCTTAGTCGTCAAACTGGTGGCCTGACCCGTGCCATTGATCGTGGCACCAAGGGTATTGCATTTTTGCTTCAATCCATTGTCTTCCATATCGTACCTACTGCATTGGAGATTTCATTGGTTTGCGGGATCCTCACCTACAACTGCGGTGCATCTTTCGCTAGTGTGGCTGGCCTAACCATGTTGGCTTATGCTTGGTTCACGGTTCGCACTACGAGCTGGCGTACACAATTCCGCCGGCAAGCCAACGCAGCTGATCAGCGCGGTGCTACAACGTCGCTTGACTCTTTAATTAACTTTGAGTCGGTGAAATACTTTAACAATGAACAGCATGAGATCAAGAAATATGATCTTGCAATGAAGGACTACGAAACAGCTAGCGTTCGCGTGGCCACAAGTCTTGCTGCTTTGAACTCTGGCCAAAATGCTATTTTTTCCACCAGTTTGACACTAATGATGTTGATGGCAGCACAGGGTGTCGCTAATGGTACCATGACCATCGGTGATTTAGTCATGGTGAACCAATTGGTATTCCAGCTCTCACTGCCTTTAAACTTTTTGGGCTCTGTATACCGTGAGCTTCGTCAAAGCTTGATTGACATGGAAACAATGTTTAACCTGCAAAAGCAACAGACGACTGTGAAAAACAAAGAAAATGCACCGGTATTGCCGCCTGTTCGGGGCGAGATTCGTTTCGAGAATGTGACATTTGGATACCACCCTGATCGTCCCATCCTGAAAAACTGCTCGTTTACGATCCCTGCGGGCAGCAAAACAGCCCTAGTTGGTCCGTCAGGTTGTGGTAAGTCGACCATTTTCCGCCTTTTGTTCCGCTTCTATGATCCCCAAGGTGGTAAGATTTATATTGATGGACAAGATATCGCCAATTATGATTTGGAAAGTGTAAGAAAAGCCATCGGTATTGTACCTCAAGACACAACACTATTTAATGCATCTATTTGGGACAATGTGAAGTATGGTCGTCTCTCTGCTACCGATGATGAAGTACGTCACGCTGCTAAACTCGCTCATGTGGATCGTATTGTGGCCAATTTACCTAATGGCTATGACACTTTGGTGGGTGAGCGTGGTCTAATGATTTCTGGTGGCGAGAAGCAGCGCTTGGCTATTGCACGGATGCTTCTGAAAAATCCTAGCATTTTCTTCTTTGATGAGGCTACATCTGCATTGGATTCGCACACTGAGACAGGTTTGATGCGAAATGTGAACAGTCTATTGCAGGACATGCATCGCACCTCCATCTTTATAGCCCACCGTCTTCGGACGATTGAGGACTGTGATTTGATCCTGGTCTTGAACCAAGGTCATGTCGTTGAAAAGGGTACGCATGATTCTCTTATGGCGGAAGATGGCCTATACACTGGACTGTGGCAAGCCCAGAGCGAACGTATCAACCAGGAAGAGCAGGAAACGAAACAAGAAAACCCTCAGCAATAGTTGATATGTAGTCAATCATGCATTGTTAAATAAATTAAAAGATGATTTGTGGAATTATGGTACAATTATCTGTTTGATCAGTCATTTCGTCCGTCTCGTGTCGATACATCCATGAGCTCCATAGCCCAAATTCGCACGAGTATCACGACATTCGGCAATAATTGCAATGCAGGCATGCTTCGCTGGAGTGTGGACTGGATAGCTGTTTTGATTCTGGTATTTCTTTACCGAGGCGTGATGCACCATCGCACAGATGGATTCAAACGCATGTTCAGTCTCCACGATGAATCCATCAAGCATCCCTTTACGGAGCACGAAAGAGTACCAGACGCTGCGATGGGATTCATTGCTTTTACACTCCCTATTTTTTCTGTTGCAGCCCTGTCTTGTCTTACCAAAAAATGTGCGATTCAACTTCATCGGGGAACTTTGGGAGTCATAATGACGCTGGTCGTCACCGGGTGTTTGACAGAATTTTTGAAAAACCTTGTGGGTCGCCCCCGTCCAGATTTATTGGAACGTTGCAAACCTGATCTGAAGAGCTGGACCAGTCAGCCTTCCCAATATAACACCTCTTTGGTGGACTACACGATCTGTACTACCCCTTTTAACGCCCGAATTCTCCAAGATGGTTTCAAGAGTTTCCCAAGTGGTCACTCAAGTATGTCATTCGCAGGTTTAACTTATTTGGCCTGGTATATTCGCGAAATTCTCTCTGCCTTAGTCCACAAATGGGCACAGCAAACATACGTGGAATATGAAGAAGCTCCTACAGAGGAGCATACCAATGACATCGAAGCAGGGCTCATTCGTCAAGAATCACAATCCCCACAAGTGCTGGCCACGGCATCTGTCCTAGCACCTTTGGTTCCTCTGACTGTGGCTACTTATGTAGCGGTAAGCCGTACAATGGATTACCGCCATCACGCCACAGATGTGCTAGCTGGTTCATTATTGGGCTTTGTTATGGCTACGATTTTCTTTAAGCTGTACAACCCTGCAGGGAGTATAAGAGTGTAAAGGTTGCTATGACAGTAAAAGGAAATTCACTTTAATATTGTACACACATGATGATACACAAACTCAACCAACTGCCCGCTAGTCGTTGGTCTATTTGTACTGCTGTTGGAGCAGCATAAAATCTCGATTTCACCTTTATAGCCAGCATGCAGCTGAGCAGAAAGCTCTTGTCTGTTGTGAGGAAAATGTTATCATACCTGAGCTCTTTAGATAAAGTGGGATGTCGAAGTAGGCGTGTAGCTTTCCGTCTGTCAGCACAAGAAAGCGGCTGCAGACTGGTATGATTTGTTACCTGCATCCACTGTGATACCTTTAAACCGATCCAGTGGACTCTTGTACTGTAAGCATCGTCTGAAAGTGCCTCATAATAAATTCTAAATTAAAGTGGGATCAGTACCAACCTCTGAATATCCAAACCGTGAGGATCAAACAATAAGAACAATTGATACCTACCTGCATCAAATAACATGAAAACATGGAAGCTGGTGTTAGCGTCATAACTGCATACTTTGGAATAGAAAGGATGTAGTCAAAAAGCCATCTGACAGCGTGATCTGGATATCCTTTTCCCTATCATTAGTTTTTTGTGACATACAGTAATCAACGCCCCCTTTTTTTCAATTCCATATGAGATTGCTTGATCCAGGAAACGGCATGAACGGAGCGTTTGGTATACAGCATGTTTTTCGACAATGAGTGCCCACTGTGCTTGACATACAACATGTCGGACAATAGCTGGATCAGGTATGAGCTGGTCAGGCTCTTCTGATGTACCTGAAAACTCCGTTTCCACGCAAGACCCATTTGTTAGTGCAAAATAAATAGGACCTGATACCACACTTCTAGGAGAAGCAGAGACATTGAGAGCTGCACGGGTACACGATAGCATGTTACATATTCGATTCACCATCGCATCAACAACTCTTTGAGATTTAAATAGAGAAGGATTTCGATAATAGATATCGCTTTTGTGAGAGTATATGAACATACCGTTTGGTTAATACGGTATCAGAGACCAGGGCCGCATGAATGTGGTCCAGAACACAAAATAGCTGGGCTATTGTAAAAGTAAGAAAGAACATACCCCATCGTCTCATTTCATATGGATTTTTCGATGGAAATTTCCACAGCACTGTTTTTTTGACGACAGAACTATTGCTTTGAGCAATACCAACCGATACTTGAAATGGCATTCGAGATTGAGGAGCCCTTTCAATCTGCTGTAGAAAACGCTCGAAAAACTGTTCTACTGCGTCTAGCATTTCCTTTCTTTTGTTCTGTTATCATTTATATGCACTTACGTCGCTATGCCTCCATCATCAGAATAGCGTTTCGTCTTGCGATCAATCGTCGATCGTGGCATTATCAATAGAAGACGGTGCTCGCACGTCCCTTTTCTTGCATATTGTGGAGGTGCTTTTTTTTGTTCCCCCACGATGATCCAAGGTAAGAAACAGGAGAGCTAACGAGAAAGCAACAAGCCTATATTCTGAATCGACAGAATTATGCGCTGATTCAATTGAGTCACATCCAAAACTGCCTTTCATTTTTGCAGAGTCGACGTATCATGTGGAACAAGACCAAGAGGATGCAGAAGTGTCTTCCAGTCCAGCATACACACGAAAGGGTCGATGTCGCATTCGTCAAGTGAAAAAAGATGAGGAGGGAAATATTAACTGGTTTGTACTAAAAATTTTAACAAAAAGTTCTGTCATAAGTAAGTGGGATGGGGCCGCTATTTTGGATACGAAATGGTAAGTGCTAGTGTCTACTAACAAAAGGTGCCTGTCGTCGTCAGAGCCTAGCATGTTCGGATACGGGATTCTAGGTATTGCAGATGCAACTGGTACTGTGAACTTATTTCAACTTGAAGAAGATGAGAATAAATACGCTTTAAATCCCTGGAGATCCTGGAGAATGAACTCCGAAAAGGCACTTTGCTTAAGCTTAGATTGGACAAATCCTGCAGGCAATACTTCACCTTTGGATGCCCGTTTAATTGTAAGCCAAAGCAACGGTACATTAGCTATGGTACCTACCTTGAACCATGATATTTTGGATGAAGAGATTATCGACACGTGGTCTGCACATGACTATGAGGCTTGGATTGCAGCTTGGGACTGTTGGAGCAACGGCAATGTAGTTTGGAGTGGTGCGTAAAATGTGTTCTCATACACAAAGGTGGCGATGACTTGACACTCAAAGGATGGGATATTCGTACTCCAAACTACAACGGGCACAGAGATCCCGTATTCTCATGTAAAAAATGGTAACGTATTGGCATTTCCTGACCAGAAAGCTTCGAAGGCGGAGTCACGTCAATGCAATGTCATTCAACAAAAGAACATTATTGGGCTGTTGGAAGGTTCGTATAAAGTTTCTCTCACTTAAAAGCTATGACGAAAAACTAAGGCTCTTTGATGCCCGTAATCCAAGGCGTCCAGTTAGTGAGACACCTGTTGGTGGCGGTATATGGCGCACAAAATGGCACCCTACTCTTGCCTCCAAACTTTTGCTAGGTTGCATGCATGGTGGTTTCGCGATTTTAAACTGCCCAGGAATGGATTCGGATGACAGTATCGAAGAACCTATGGAGATGATAACTCATTTTGACCAGCATAAAAGTATAGCCTATGGTTGTGACTGGGAACGTGCCCAACCGGATTCTCGCTTGATCTACAGCTGCTCATTTTATGATGCCATGATGCACATCTGGTCTTGGTGATTATGTCATCTGTTAAATTTAAGACGCGTTTGTACTTCACCCGCAACACATTAACACATACAACCATGCATATGAGCTTTTAAAAAGAATGCACGTATTATGTGTAGCAGAAAAGCGTATGTAAATGATATTATATATTAATTTTAGCTTCTATGGCGAAATCTATCGCACAAATTCTCTCTAATGGCACTTGCAGCAACGTACGTATGAGATGTTCCTCTAATCTAGAAGAGGCCTGGGAAAGACAAGTTTTGCAGGAACTTTGATTTTGTATATCGGCTACCTCGCCATATATTTGGCCAAAATACTCATGGAGGGGCAAACATGGTGTCTGTGGAAATGACCGTAACCTCTGTCCGAGGACATATGATGGAGTTCGAGTTTCCGGAAAATTTTGGATGGCAAAGCTGCAACCCTATCGACCTTTTTACGGCCCCTATTTTATGTCGTATTTCGAAGAATGCTAAGAATATCGCAAAGAATTTGACAGATGAGTCGCGTCGTTCCGATATGCTCATGATTTGGACTGATTGCGACCGAGAGGGTGAAAATATTGGCCATGAGATTGCTCAGCATTGTTTGAAATCCCGGAGTAATTTGATTGTTAAAAGGGCTCGGTTTAGTGCCATCATCGCAGAGTACGTATCGAATTTCTAATGAAAGACAAATCCATCGTGCCTGTATGGCGCCTGTTGAATTGGACTTGAATGCAGCATACGCGGTTGAAGCCAGACAAGAGATCGACCTACGAGCAGGGGCTGCATTCACAAGATTACAGACAAAAGAGCTTCGATCACGTTTTGGCTTAAAAGATATGCTTATTAGTTATGGGCCTTGCCAATTCCCTACGCTGGGTTTTGTGGTGGACCATTATAAGCGCGTCCAAGCTTTTGTTCCTGAACCATTTTGGTATATTGAGGTCAAACATGCAGTTCGCACAGTATCAAATTCCAAACCTGTGACAGTCGAGTTTATATGGGACCGACAACAGCTATACGACGAAGATATTGTCACAATCCTCCATCGGAGGTGCAAAGCGAGCAATGAAGCTATTATCACGAAGGTGATGAAGAAGCCGACAAGCAAACGGAAACCAACACCTTTAACGACAGTCGAGTTGCAGAAAAATCTTTCTCGATTAACCGGTATGCCACCGAAGCGAATATTGGATTTGGCTGAATCTTTGTATCAACGTGGATTTCTATCATATCCACGAACAGAAACCGACCAATATGATAAAGATTTTGACTTTGTAACTCTTTTGTCAAAGCAAAGAAATGACTCTGCATGGGGATCACTAGCCTATGAGCTGCATGAGTCCGCAACAGGAGCATCATCCTCACCAGACTCCCTGGTTTATGAACGTCCAAGAAATGGAAAGAAGAATGATAAGGCGCATCCACCGATTCATCCCACTGCCCATGCAAATGATATAAATGGCGATGAAAAAAAAGTCTATGACTACGTGACACGACGATTTCTGGCCAGCTGTTCTACAGATGCAGTGGGACAGGAGACGAAGGTTGCTATGGATCTTGGAGGGGAAAAATTCCATGCCACAGGCTTGGTTGTCCACGCAGAAAACTATCTGAAAATCTTCACGTACGAAAAATGGAGTGATAAGTGGATGCCAGACTATGAAGAAGGACAAGAGTTTCAACCAACGCAAGTCCTGCTAAAGAAAGGCACAACAACAGCACCAAGTTTGCTGACTGAAGCTGATCTGGTGAACTTGATGGATAAGAATGGAATTGGGACGGATGCTACTATCGCGGAGCATATTAAGAAGATCATTGACAGGCAGTACGTCATAACCCAGAAACAAGGCAAAACAAACTATCTTGTGCCGTCTACCCTTGGCATGGGTTTGGTGGAAGGGTATGAAAAGATGGAAATAAGCCAACATCTTTGTAAACCCATATTGCGCAGGGATACTGAAGAAAAGTTGGGTTTAGTCGCATTAGCACAGCATTCAAAAGAAGAGACTGTATCTCAAAGCATGCAAGAGTATAAAACCATTTTCGAAGGTGTCTCTCGGGGATTTTCTACGATCAGTCAAGTACGTGTCCAAGAAAAACTAACCATTAGTCTATCGGCCAGTTTTTACAGGTGACCCCTTCTGAGCAATCAAGCGACGTGAATTCGACGTCATCGAACAATACAGCGCAACGCTCAACCTTATCGTCTACGCCAAACACGCGTTGTCATTGTGGAACACCGTGTTCTCGTGCTGTCGATCAGCGAACGGGGCGAGAATATTGGGCTTGTGGAAACACGCAGACTCCTGACGAAGACTGTGGGTTTTTTCAGTGGTGTCAGCAAATACCAACAGAGCCTTCAAACGCAAGTACTGGGTCTGCACTGCCAAATCATGCAAATCCTATTGCTCGGGGCGAAAAACGCGCGCTCGGAATTGATGCAATCATGTGCCAATGTGATCTGACTGCCAAACTATGTACTACGAGCTCTGTAAGTACCACTTTCACTAATAAGTTAGGGACCCAATGCTGGTCGGTCGTTTTGGACATGTCCGAAGGAAAGCAAGCGCGCTAGGTACGTCAAGAGAGGCACTGACAACAGGTGCAACTTCTTCGAGTGGGCGGATGAGAATGACCCTATTCCAGGACCAGGTACATCTCGTGCCAGAACAAATGTGCCTGGTACAACCCGCCGTGCTTCACGACGTGGGAGAACACGAACCACGGCATCTCGCGCTAAGAACACGCCTAACAAGTGTTACAAATGTCAAGGTACCGGCCACTGGGCAAAGGATTGGTGCGTAGTTATGACGTAAGCTCACACGACTAGCTCCAAGTAGCTGCATGCATATAGAAACGCACAACGGCATTGGCCAAGACCTCGCCACATACCCTGCTATACCCAGATGCGCAATTGGCAAAATAAAGGGGACAGTTGCAACACATCTCCTTTAACGGATCAAGGTTATTGTTAATCACCGGCACAAGGTTGTGTGAGCCCAATTATAAGCGCTAGATATATACCGGGTATCACCTACCATGGAGCCGTTTGAGTTCAACACGGACTACTCTATTGACAATCTCCATCCCTATTACCCAAACCCCGGCGAGGTCCAACCTAGCCATGTGCACGGTCAGCAAATGTCAATGGCGTTAAGTCAACACCAGCATGAATCCTCCCCTTTGCATTTCAATCGTCACGAAGAAGGTAATGGAAATAATGCATATCCATCAATGCATGTGCGGGGAGGGAATATGCCTGTAAGTGAGCTAGACACGTTGTTGCATGACAGGTTCTCGCAAGTGCCGGGTCAAAGCCCTCATACGGGCTTAGCAGGGCCTTCAGAACTGCATGGATTCGCAAATATGCCTACAGAGGTACAGGATAACTCATCCTTGAATGAATTGAACCTGTCCGGGAACTTTGTACAGCATGGCCATGAACAAGGTCATGTATATGTGCCTCAGCATGATGTCACGCAAGAGCCGCATTCTTTTGCCAACCTGACAGCAATGCATGATGTTAGTACGAATGTGTATACTAACCAGAAGCAAAAGATGTTTCATCCCGTGGATGTTAGTGCTATCACGCCAGCAAGTGTTTTTTCGACCATGAGCAGCGCAAGTACAAACGATTTTTTATCTCCTATTACATCACCCATGCTTCAACCCCAGCCTAACCAACATATGTATATCATGAATGAGAATGAAAACATGCATCTGCCACAGAATACAGTGGCACCCTCACCTGCTCAGATACAAGGGAACTTGAGAAGCAACGGTGTACAAGTGGACTATAGTCTGCTGCTCAAGAGCCCAGCAAACCGACAAGCTGCTGCGTCTTCGCCAGTGACCAAGGACAAACCACAGATGCGTCGTTCACGGACTAGCGAAAAAACGAGTCGCATTCGTCCATCCCCTTTGATGAAGCCAAATCAGAGCCCCAAGACCACAGGTACTCAAGGTGTGTGGGCAGCGAATGTGAAACGGGATGGCTCGCAACTGTCTTCCCCCTCTTTGGGAGCGATAGAGTCGCTTACCACAACGGTCCAGGAAGCAGGTGGGCTCATGATGCCTTCCCCGGTTATCTCACCAAATATCCTGGCATTGAAAACGTCTCAATCACAAGGACGAGCTGTAAATGGTAATGAAGAGGGGATGAGACAACAGAACATCAATGTGAATGTTCAACAGACAATACAGGAGAATGGTCGAGTTTCTTCTATCGCAGAGTCGAAAAGTCCTTCGCCTATTGATTTATCGCAGATGGAAGTACGGGCATCTCCTTCTGCAATACCGGCGACGCCTGGTACACTGATGGGTCTTTCCTATTCGAACTCTTCCTTTACAGAAGAAAATACGGAGTCAGGCCCATCCTCGAAGCAGAACGCAGTGTCTCTTCCAAATGATTCCTTCTCCAGCTCCCCTAGGGTCTATGGAAGTCAAGACTATGCAGGGATGAAAGGCGTGACATTCAAAGCTACTCGCCCGGGGCCCATTTATGCTACGAATACAGCGCAACATAAACCAATCTTACCCGGCGGGCTAACAACAGAGGATCGCACCGCATGGATGAACATGCGTCGGACGGTTCATGGTGGCCTAGATCAACGCCGAACTTCACATAAAGCAGCGGAGCAGAAACGCCGAGACTCACTGAAACACTGTTTTGATGAACTGCGTGGGCTCCTGCCTGTAATCACTGTCGATGAAAGTGTGCCGGGTGGCTCCGTTTTAGGACCCGATGGCACTTTGGAGGATCAGCTCGCAGATGGTTTCGATGTGGGAAATGATGAAAAAGGTAATAATGACGAGTTGGAAAAGCCAGCCTCCGCGGCAGCGGCTAGTGAGCGTTTAAGTGAAGCAAATCGCACAGTAGCTAAAGTCTTGCTATTGCGTCACTCCAATGAGTATCTACTGCGGTTGAAACGTCGTATCGAACGTCGAGACAAAGAAGTGGAGTCGCTTTCGAACGAAGTAAAACAACTGCGCGCAATGCTAGCTAGTCGTGATCCTGCGGAGGCTGTGGATTCAAAAGTGTCTAGCGAAATGAATTCGCTGCACATTGGCACATCTCAAGCTAGCAGTGTGAAACGTGCTGAGGGCATACTTCCTGACGCATGATCGATCTGCTCTCACGACGCATATGAGCACACTATATGTATAAAAGATCTGCTATACCTTCTTATGGCAGTGGTTAATAGCTCTAGCAAACCCTGTGCTCAGATACACAACAACACTAATATTTATCAGACTTTCTACGTAGATGAAATACGTTCATCATGTCTTAAGTCGCGTTCAGGTTTAGGACGTAGGCGATTCAGTCTGCTGCCCTTTGGGGCTCAGCAACTGGTTCAATGTGGAAATGAGCTCCACGCGACGAATAGGTTTGCTCACGTAGGCATTCATGCCCGCTTGAAGACATTTCTCTTTGTCGCCAAGCATGGCATGCGCTGTCAAGGCGACAATAGGAATAGGAGGTGCACCTTTCGAAGCTTCGTGCTCACGGATAGCCATCGTGGCCTCAATGCCGCCCATTACAGGCATGCTAACATCCATGAGGATCACATCGTAAGCATGGTTCTGAACAGCCTGTACTGCCTGCTCACCATTGTCTACGACGTTGACGCGGTGACCCTGATTCTGCAAGATCTTGCATGCCAGTTTCTGGTTCACAAGATTGTCTTCGGCCAGGAGGATATCATAACTGACTTCATGACTGCCTTCCACCGGCGTAGCAGCGCTGCTTTCCAGGGACGGAAGTAGAGCGTAATAAAGGTCCGAAATGGCCACAGGTGTGTTGATATAGGACGAAATACCATAATCAAGGCAATACGTCAGATTGAGTGAAAGCATCGTAGGCGTGACCAGGTTGATCGGGATATACCGCAACTGTTCGACCATCCGCAGTTGGGACATGACAGAAAGCGAATCAATAATGATCGTATCGATTCGGCTGATCTGCTGACTCTGCGAAAGAGTTTCCTCGATGGAATGGAAAACAATAGGCACTAAACCAAGTTGCTTGAGCATGGAGGCTACACCCGTCGTGTCATGGAGTGTATCAAGGAAGAAGACTTTGCGGCCAAGATAAGGACGCATACGTTCTGCCAGTTGCGTATCGGTAATCTTGTCTTGCTTGACCACCATGGTGAAGAAAAAGTCTGAACCTTTGCCGAAATGACTTCGGACCCACATTTCACCACCCATCAAATTGACGAGACGACGAGAAATGGACAAGCCCAAACCAGTACCACCATACTTGCGTGTCGTAGAACCATCCGCCTGGCAGAACGTGTCGAAGATCATGTCAAGCTTGTCCTGCTTGATGCCAATACCAGAGTCAGACGCACAGAATTCTAGCACCGGGGTATCGGAATCTGGCACGCTGTTCAACTTGCAACGCAGTGCTACAATACCGCCACTCTCAGTGAACTTGACGGCATTACCGATAAGGTTGGTAATAATTTGCTTGAGTCGAAGAGCATCGCCAATGAGAGCATCAGGTACATCAGGGGCGACCTCGTATACAAGATTGAGCTTTTTCTGTGCAGCACGCACGCTCAGCGTCTTGAGTACGCTGAACACAATGCCACGAAGACTGAAGGGGATCTCTTCAATAGTCATGCGGCCAGCTTCAATCTTAGAAATATCGAGAATGTCGTCAATGATGGCGAGCAAGTTGCTAGCCAACGTTGAGACAGTCACCAAATTCTCACGCTGCGTACGTGAGAGCTCTGTCTCGAGAGTAAGCGATGTCATACCAATGATACCATTCATCGGCGTGCGAATCTCATGCGACATATTCGCAAGGAACTCAGACTTGGATCGGTTCGCCAACTCAGCTGCTTCACGGGCAGCCGTGTTCTTCTGGATACTGTCACGTAAACTGTACACCATCTGGTTAATCTTGGTCTTAAGCGAGTCCATTTCGCCGCTGGCTTCGACTGTCACAAAGCGTGAGAAATCACCATCGGTAGCGGCTGCAGTAATCTGGGCAAAGGCACGCACTTGGGAGGTCAAATTGTTGGCCATAATATTTACATTGTCCGTAATTTCACCCCAAGTGCCTTCAATGTCCTTCTTCTGCGCCTGGACACCGAGCTTGCCCTCCGTACCCACTTCGCGGGCGACACGTGTCACTTCCGAGGCGAAGAAAGAGAGTTGGTCAATCATGTTGTTGATCGTGTTGACCAAATCGAGAATTTCACCACTCACGGAAATCGTGACTTTCTGAGTAAGGTCACCACGTGCCACAGCTGTAGTGGCATGAGCGATCGTACGCACTTGCAGCGTAAGGTTGGCAGCCATGGTATTCACAGAGTCTGTAAGATCCTTCCATGTGCCATCCACGCCCAGCACATTCGCACGGCCACCCAGTCGACCCTCGGTACCCACTTCCTTGGCTACACGAGTAACCTCAGTAGAGAACGTCCGCAAACTTTCCACCATGTTGTTGACAGTGTGCTTTAGGTCCAAGAACTCACCGCGAACTTCCACATTGATCGTCTTCGAGAGGTCGCCCCGGGCCACAGCCGTGTTGACAGCTGCAATAGAACGGACCTGCGTCGTCAAATTAGAGGCCATCATGTTCACACGCTCTGTAAGCACATGCCACTGGCCCTTGACGCCCACCACATTGGCCTGTCCACCAAGACGACCTTCTGTGCCTACTTCGACAGAGACACGAATAATCTCATCCGAAAGCGTACGAAGTTGCCGAACCATGTTATTGACAGTCTCTTTCAGCTCGAGAATCTCGCCCTTGACGTCCACAGTAATGAACTCAGTAAGAACACCTTCTGCGACACACTTGGTCACACGGGCAATCTCACGCACTTGCGACGTCAAGTTGTCAGCCATCTTGTTGACACTCATCGTCAAGTCTTTCCAGATACCTTCCACATTGGGCACATGCGCTTGGCCACCCAGCCGGCCATAGGTACCCACTTCAAGGGACATGCGAACGACTTCACTGGCAAACACACGCAATTGCGCAACCATGCTGTTCACCGTATCTTTTAGCTCAGCCATTTCGCCCTCGGCCTCAATTTCAATCGTCTTGGTCAGGTCACCACGAGCGACAGCCGTAGTAACCATACCAATGGAACGCACTTGTTCCGTGAGGTTTAAGCACATCCGGTTGACATTGTCAGTGAGCTCTTTCCAGACACCTTTTACGCCTGGCACTTGCGCCTGGCCACCCAGACGGCCCTGCGAACCGACTTCACGAGACACACGAGTAACCTCGTTGGCAAAGTGACGAAGCTGATCCACCATGACATTGATAGTGACTTTCAGTTCCAAAATTTCACCACCAGCCTGGACGTCAATCTTCTTGGACAAATCGCCACTGGCTACAGCCTTAGTGACCAAGGCGACACCGCGTACTTGGTTGGTCAGGTTGGCAGCCAGACGATTCACGACATCCTTCAGTTCTTTCCATGTGCCTTCGACACCGGGCACGACAGCCTGGCCGCCCAATTTTCCCTGCGTTCCGACTTCCAAGGAGACACGCGTCACTTCGCTGGCGAAATGGCTCAGCCGGTCCACCATCTGGTTGATAATCTCCTTGAGTTCGACCATGACTGGACCCTCGACAGGGACCATAATATGTTGAGTAAGATCACCCAAAGCCACAGCTTTACAAACACGCGCAATATCACGGACTTGCGCCCGAAGAAGATGAAGCTCTTCTTCTGCGCTAAGCCCACTCTCTGCCGAGGCATAATCGAGCATCTCGTTCGGGTCCAGCCCAGTCGGAGCAATTGATGCCAAGATGGGAGCAATATGCGGGCTGCGCAGCACTGGGTCTGAGCGTGCCTTCATCATTTCTGAAACAGTTGACCATCCTTCCTGGAGGTGCGGTGTAGCTCTGGTGTGTGTGTGTGTGGCTTTCGCATCTTCCGCAGCCCATAGTCGGCGGGCTAATGTATCAACAAGGCCCTGTATTTCCGACACTTTGACATGCGAAGATGGTGGCAATGGCATATGGATCAGATGCAAGTCATCGTCGTTCGTCTTCTCTGCGCTCTCCTGCTTGTCGGATTTGACAGGCAAACGGGTAGCGTGGACAACAGACTGAAGCAAGGAAGCAATGTATTCCAAGGCCAAGTCACCGCCCTGCGACGATGAATCGACATCTGGCAGCGGGTACGGTGAGTACCGAAGTGCCGGTCGCATTATGGCCGTCATAGGGTGCTAGGTCCGCGGCGCAGTGCAGGCACACTAGGGAGAAGCTGCAGCCCTGATGAGATTAACGTGGGTGCAGAGGCAAAGATAATTGGCCCAGGCCGGGTTTTGTGTAAGCAGCCTCTCCCACACACGCCCATTGTTTTATGCACCTGCCATGCAGGTGGAGGATCAGGTAACGCTCACTCTCATGCAGCAGGCAAAATATAGCAGGCACCTACATAGTCTACCTACGGCGGCGGCCTCCTCCGCTGCCCTTCCGACGCGACCGCTCGGAGGATCGCTCCGGATTTCCACCGTACCAGCCACCAGGACCGACAGGGAAAGGATGCGGCGCCTCGTACGGCCGAGGGCCGCCAAAGGGAGGCGGCATCGGCGCGCCGTAGCCTTGTAGAGGGCCTGGCGGTGTTACACCGCCCCAAGGCCGCATGGGTCGCGCTATAGGCACATTGGACGCCGTGCCTGGCGTAATAGTCATATTCACAGGGGGCATCGGTGGCATCGGTGGAGGTCCTGGCGGACCTGGTGGCCGCGGTGGGGCTGAGAAGCCAGCAAGACCAGCACCGGGAGATGCACCGCCGCCATTTAACGTAGATAACAAATTTTGAATAGCATCCGGTTTCACGTTAAGTAGTGAATCCAATGAGACAGGCGGTCCTGGCGGGGGAGACATTGCAGGCACAGCAGGCGTAGCAGGCATGGCCTCAAGACGGCCAGCCATGCCGGCCTTGAACAAGACAAGTACCACTAGCAAAATATTGGCAGGGCGTGTCGTATTCCAGGCTTCGCCAAGCCCCTCTGGATGAATAGATGTAAGCCATTCCGGCACAGGCTCATTTGCCAGTAGTGGCGCCAAGTAAAAGTCCTTCACAAGCGATCCTTGCGCACCAGGCGCCGGGGCCAACACACCGAAGCGTTTTTTGTCCGCAAAATAGTGTACAAGTTTGTCCAGCGCTGGCGAGGTATGCAATGTGGGTGTGGTATCATGATGCCGTTCACTGGCTGCTACAGCGCCTCCAGCGTCGAGACACAGCAAAACAATTTCATTCCGAGGAGATACACGCACTTGATCCAAATACTCAATCGCTGTGGCACTTGGAAGTCGTCCTTCTACCACGCGCTCGGGCGTGGGGAAGATATCTTGCCATAAAGGGGCCGCCGCATCGTAGTAGGGCAACGTCAATTGACGTGCATGAACATAGGCCGATGTGTACTCTGGCATGGTAATGACACCATCCCATACTACAGGCTGAGCAAAAGAGGTGGAAGCCGATACAGTGGGCGCACTTGCTGACGCGGCAGCACGGACGACAAACGAGTCAGGAGGGGGCGTGCCTGGAGGTGTATGACTCTCAGGGACAGACGTCGTTCCTGATGGCTTATCATCTCCCAGGAACGAATCAATAAACTCATCAGCTTCGCCATGCGTGTCTATGCCAAGCTCTTTCGCCTGTTCGTTATCGATCGTATCTTCCACATCCATGTGTGATCCTTCTGGATGCGAATGCCAAACACCCGAAAACGAAATCGGTTCAGGCGGTGGCGAGGGCGAAGGCAATGCCTCCGTTAAACCGGAAGCATTCCGCGAGGGGGAGAACGTGGGGGAAGAAGGCACCGGCACTTCTTCGGACCCCTGCTTCTCTTCATCAGCTTCGTCCAAGGGGGGCGGCGCTGATCGACTATGATGCGGGTTAAACGGCACGGGCTCCGTATCACGTTCAATGTCCACTTCTCCCTTGTGTGTCATTTTCCGTGCAGGACCTTCATTCTGCTCGCGCAACACAGACTGCTGTAGTGCATCGCGCTTGGCTCTTTCGGTAGCTTCACGAATTTCATCGTTCGCCAAGGCCTCGTTGGACATGTGCACAATATCTGCGGCAGGAAGACGCCCGCACGTAATGCGGTCATGCAGAGAGGTATTCCGTCGATCTTTAAGGTTGAACGAAAGAGCTCGGAAGCGCTCTTTGTAGGCACTGAGACTACGCTCATGGCCCAACGCAGAAAAAAGGGCATCTTCCAAATCGGAGGCATATTTCTCCGCCGAGGAAGATGCTTGGCCTTGGGCCTCAAAGAGAGGTTGAAATATGGAGAGGAACGTGGAGTATACATGCTTGCGCACAGGGTCTTTGAGCTTGGACGCTGATGATGGCGACGACGTGAATGACGTGGTGGGGGCCGTGGTGCGGCGCGTATGGGTCCGTGAGGAACGCTTGGCTGGCTCCTCCTCTTCAGAGGCAGATTCTGGTTCAGCGTCTTCGTCGTTGTCGTCCTCCTCGTCGGGATTGACTTCCTCCTCGTCTTCCTCGTCTGCTTCTTGTTCGTACTCCGCATCGTCATCCTTGTGCTTCTCGGTAGACTTGTTGCCCTGCTTGGAACAGCTTTCGCATACGTATTCTCGAATTTTGGAAGCAGATCGCTGATTCAGGCCCACACACTTGAAGTGGTACCATTCGCCACAAAGACTACAGCAGATCATAGGCGAGCCATCATTGCCTTTACGACATAGACAGTAAACGGCATCATCATCATCTTCATCTTCATCACTTCCACTAGCCTGCGCATCGTCCTCATTCACTACTTCATCTGTGGCACTCGATGATCGTGCACGCTTAGCACGGGACGACTCTGGCTCACGATGTGTACGTTTGCGCGTAGATTCGCGCGTCGGACGTTCAGGAGGCTCCACAGAATAACGTGTCGTAGGACGCTTTACCCGGGAGCCTCGTCGCAATGATACAGCAGACTCAGCTTCTTCACTCATCTACTAGACGGAAAATATGGGGATGTAATAGACCCCACACTACGGATCGTGTGCGAGCAAAAGCGGAGGTGAGACTAAGACGTCGTGAGTGGCGTCGTGGCCCTCTTAAGCCTTCGCGTGACGTTTCCGGACCATGTCACGTGATGGGGGTTCTTCGTTCCGAGAGAACCATCGGTGCTCGTCACAAACCGACTATCCTGGGGACTGGTGTACGATGGCTAGCCCTGTTCCTGTCGCCCCTGCCCCGCCTGTGACGCCCATGGCGCACCCGGAGCCTGTTGTGGTTCTTGAGAAGCCTACGATAGAGAAGTCGTTGTTCAACTACTTCGCATCGTTGGACTCGATCGTGCGCCCAGTGGCGGATGCTTGCACCAAGTTGCAGGAGATCCGTCGCTCGTTGAACCTGCCCAACCTCGGCACTGTGGAGAAGATGCAGAACGAGGTGAAGAGTATGTGATAAGAGTAAAACTAATGTTGCGCAGTGGTACAGACCAACAACTTCCAGTTTGAGGGTGCGCGTGCTGATCTTACCAAAGGTTTGAACGTCAACCCGATCTTCCAGGTGACACACGCCTTCACTCTCGGCGCTGGTGGCAAGAACGCCTACAACTTCGGCGCAGTATATGGCGATGACAACCGCTTCTACCAAGCTGGTCTGGACGATGCTGGTAATGTGACAATGCGTTTGAACCGTCGCTGGCTGCCCGGCCACATTTCCAAGGTCCAGGCGCAACTCGCGCCAGCCGGTGGTCAGAGCTTTGTGCAGCTGGAGCACGACTTCCAGGGTGCTGATTACAGCATCAACTTCAAGGCATTGAACCCGTCGCCGACGAACTTGACGGGTATTTATGTCGCAAACTACCTGCAGACGCTGACGCCGCGATTTGCGCTTGGTGCCGAGGCTGTGTACCAGCACCCAAGCCCGGAGATTGAGGAGGCCAGCATTGGCTATATGGCCAAGTGGCTGGGCGAGAAGAAGGACTGGATCGCTACGGCGCAGTGGCAGCCGCAGGGTGTTGGTCAAGTGACCTACTGGCAGCAGCTGAGCGACCAGGTGGACGTGGCCGGTGACCTTCAGATGATCTTGATGCAGCAGCGTCGCGATGCACAGGCCTCGCTGTCGGCACGCTACTCGTTCCGTATGTCGTCTCTGCGGGCTCAGATCGATAGCCTGGGTAAGCTTACCTCGGTCTACGAGGCGCGCTTGTCGCCAGCCTTTGCCTTCACCTTCAGTGGTGAGCTGGACCACCTTAGCGGTGGTGCCAAGTTTGGTATGGGCGTCTCGATTGAGAGCGGCTCGGAGCCGATGGACCCGATGGCCATGCCACCGACGCCGCCAAACGTGCCGATGTAATTGGATGGAGAGATGTGCCAACCCCTTATTTCAAAATACGATTGATGCATGTGTATGACTTGTAGGGCTGTCCCCATAGCCCTGTATCTCGATTTGATCATAGATGCATAGAGGAATCTATCTGCATGTGCCTAACTAGTGTGAACCTGCATAATACACGAAGCTAGCATAGTTCTTGCACATCGACCTAGGAAGAATGATGTGGAATACCAACAGCTGTACATTCGCAAACAAGTTAGTGGCTTGGAAGGGCATGAAAAACAACGGCGCAATAAGGCAGTACAGTCCCACCATAAGCATATATCGGACGGCAAGCGGTGTGCGTGCCAAGGTTTTCGGCATATAAGTAGAGACAAAGGTGGCCGCCACGGCAGTGAGACCATTGATTAGGAAAAAGCATGTCTGCATGCCGTACATGACTGGTGACGCAAAGTACAGCATATACTCATGGAACAAACCAGACACCAAAAAGGTGAGCATGGCAAGGGAGGCATTCTTAATGAACCGGCGCACGGGCGTCTTGGTCTTGTCGCGCGGTACACCCTTCTTCGCTTGCTCTTGCGCATGTTGCTTAGCCTTCTTCTTGCGCACTTCCGCCATCACCATCTCATTCACACCACTAAAAATCACACGGCGAAGGACACCCGTAATAGCTTGATTCCAACGCGACCAAAACGTACGAATGCTTGTCGTAAAGAAGGGGTTCATAAACATGGGCAACTGCTCGATGCCGACGATCAAACCGATCAAATTGAGAGTAAAAAGACCGGCACCAGAGAGCATCATGTACAAAGCAACACCCATAAAGAGTGAGTGGATCATGTACTTATGCCATGGGAAAAGTCCCATGACCTCTTTCGGCGGGAAAAGAGGGCAGAGCAACAAGGCCACAAACACATAGATGAACGATTCCAACAGGTTCTTTAAGCAAATCAAGCGTGGGTTGTACGGCGAGGAGGGGTCCTTGCGCAGCTCATCAACTTCCTTCTTCTCACGCGGCATTAGAAATAGCTGGCTGTAGAAGCGAGAAAGCGACCAGCTTTGTACTTCTTCCACAGAACGAATTTGGAAAATGTCCCAGAGCAACAAGGCGCTGCGGAAACCTGCCGCAGGTCGCAAGTAGTTGATAAGTGCCGATTTACCAGTGTTCAAGAACGATGGCCATAAGAACAAAAGAGACGACAGCAGAAATGCAAGTAGACGACACACTGTTTGTGGGGCCTTGGCAGTGGCATAGTATAGGGGGATCACCACGGCAGCAAAAAGGAAGGTGTCAAGTGCCACACGAGCCATCTCATCAAAGAATTGCTCCAAGGACACATCAGGCATCGGATACTTGATCACTTCAAACCCCCAAGGGCCCAAAACATGCTCCCACACGTTGTCGCGCATCTGAAAGGCTGGCGCCAGTTCCAAGATACGCGGCACATGGGGCACAATCTGGAATATTGGGTTAAGAGAGTGTGGAAGAGGTAAACCTGGGTTCTTCCACGATACTGAAGACCACATCGACATGGAGCAAGATGAAATGATACAACCGAAGCAAGGCTGGGGAACGCACGATGCAGCACCGTTTCACTTGCATCTCTCTCTCATGCAGAGAGCATAAAGGCTCTACCCGCGTAGATCGGGACTTACAGCCCGATCCATGGGGACCAACGCGATTTCGCGTCCAAAGCAAGACTGATGTGGATCGTACCAATCTACACAAGACCTACATTTACATGCGCTTCGCCTACGCGCAATTGTACACTGTGAGCATCACGCCACTCAAAGGCGACACACGTCAGGGTATCAGCTGGAGGCAATTGAGCAGCCGCTCCAAGATGAACTTGTATCGCTCGGTACGCTGTGGAATCCGGCGTCTGTGAACGGCGCAGCATACCCATAAAGCCCGTAGAAAGACGCCATAACAAGACCACTTCTTCATCCAGACTGAGAGAGAGAATATGACGACCGTCTGGTGAAAACGAGCATGCCGTAACACCACGGGTATGTCCATCTAGAACGTAGAGACGGGTAGCCGACTTCAAGTCGTACATCACAATAGGACCATCACTCGTACCCACAGCTAGACGCTGCGATGGGCCGTGAAAGGCGATGGATGGATAGGTCTGCACAAGCTCTTTGATCATCACCGTGGCCGCTTGTGCCAGGGATGAACGCTGCTGACCCAATGTCGGATCCAGCGACTTAACAACGGCCTCAACGAGGCGTGGCAAGCTGGGATAAAGAACCAAAGGCTTTTGATGCACCATGAAGGCAACCAAACGCATGGTGACTTGACTTTGCGCCACAGATGGTGCATGCAAGATATCCATAGCCAATGTACTCATGAAGAGCGCACTGTGTTTGGATGCCAATGCCAGGGTTGCACGACGGGCCAAGCCTCGAAGAGAGAGGCCATTCAAGGTCATATTCGGCGTCGCATCGTCAGGTTCTGTTGCAATTCGGAAAATATGACGAACCAGTGAGACTGTATCGATGTAATGCTGCCACACGTGGAAACCTGTGGAGCATAGCTCCAAAGCCAAATAGGCTTGCAGAGTGTGGGGCTCCGGTTTCTCTAGGTATGTCACCACCATGGTAGCCACTTGCTTTAAGAGCGCAGGAGAGAAGTATGCATATTTTTCAGCACATAGCAAGCCTAGGAAGAGTACAGCCATTGGTGTAAGAGACGTAGCTGGCTGCGTTTCCGTGGGCAGATGAGGTCGCCAGCTTTGCTCCATGGCGCTCAACTCATCACTGCATACATTCTCGATGTACGCATAGAAGAGGAGTTTGGCAGCCGTGCGAAGCACTTCGTTTTCATCCAATATATATTGGGTCCAGATGGACAGGGCCGGCGGGATGTACGCATCTCCCACAGACTGTGCCATGAACGATGGCGTAAGCAGCGCTGAAAGCATAGAATGTGCTTTGGACTCCCACGACGAAAGTAGCAAACAAAGACTGACGGCGACCAGTAAATGTTGTGCAGAGGTATCAGGAGACGTGGTAAACCGCGTACGCGCATCGCCCATCGTAGCCATACTCAAGTAGCCATGCTGGTGTGAGCACCCAGGCACAGTGTGTACTTCGGGTAGATTGTCCAGTGCAAAGACAGGGTCCAGGGCTGTGGGCACAAATAGAGGCAGTAAAGGACGCAGCATACCAGCCAGTTTCACAGCTCCTGGACATTCGCGTTGGAGCGGATTACTAGGTGTTGGTGCGGGCCCTGCAGAAGAAGAATTAGAGGGTGACCATGCCCGAGCATGACTATCTAGCCATGGCAGAAGGGAAGAGAGATGCATGGCCGTGCGAAGAGCTTTGGTCGCGGATTCCACAGCGCGACGTACATCCGCTAAGAACAGACCGACTGCATCCATTTGTGCACTACCACAAGGCGACAGCATGCCCGTAAGGCTCTCAGCACTCGGTGCTAGGGTCCGTGGCAAGGTAGGCACGACAAACAAGTGCCAGCCCGTCTCAGGATCACGAATGGTCTTCCAAATATGCGCCCATGGTACATCGGTATTCAGCGAATTGGTCGACAGATCCCATAAACGCACGTGGCGTTGACCATAAATCAGCACCAGCTGATTCTGCTGCACAGCGGCATGTGTCAACGGCTGATCACAACCTGGGAAAAGCTGAACCAAACGTACGTCATCCAACGCCAGCAACGCACTTGTACCATCACGTGCGACGCACAGCACGCAGCCAAAAAGACGCGATGTCGTAGGAATACCGGCAAACGGAACCATGGCCTGCACTGGAGATGTAAACCAAGACCAAGCAGCCTCCATACGTAACGTTGTCACATCCCATACACCCACATCGCCAAGTACGGAACCACCTAGCAAATGACGCGTGCCTGTACGTGGATTGGCCACCACTTGTAGAGCAGAGATGGGTGCCTGCCATGTTGGTTGAGCCTCTGCAGCCGGTGCTGACCAAGCTGGGTGTGGATTCAGTAACTCGACCAAAGAAGTGACCGCCAATCCCCCCTGGTCATTCGCCAGCACAATCCGGCCGAGGGTCAACGGTAGAGTGGCCGACAAAGCCCAGGGCCAGCCAGGCTCCTCTGGATCCTGTGACGTCTCAGCAGGCTCTTCCACCGCCACAGGCCAAAGTCGGCTGGGCAGCGGCGCAGCCAAGCTGGATGGAGCCAACACTTGTTCATTCTCCACAAACACATCGAGATGCGCCCCATCGTGAAGAACACGAATTGTAAGTACATGGGCTTCACACTCCACACCAAACCGATCATAGAGTTCCCAAATACGACGAGCTGGGCTAGGCAGAGCAACAGTCACCATAGGCGCCTGGCAATCGCGATCGAGTAGATAGAGTGTTGCAGTTTCCGCTGATACAGCCGCTACTGCCCATAGCTGTGGGGTAAGCGTTGTAGCCGTCACATGGTCCAACGCACATGAACCGAGCGATACATGGCCTTGGGAAACAATACCCGCAGGGGCATGCAGATTAGGAGGCGGCGTCGCTAGCAGGTGACGTCGGCGGCGAGAGGCATGGGTAAGAAAATGCCGTGGCTCAGGACGAGGCGCTTGAATAGATTCTTCCTGTGTAGGCGACTGCGTCCAGGTTTGCATTTGGATCGCAAAGGTAGTGTCCATGCAGGTCCCATCTGTATGCGTCGAAAGCATATGAAGCGTGGAAGCATACAAGCCCCAGGCAACGGGTGCTTTTTCATGTTTGGCCGACGGCAAATCAAGCATGGCAGAGGGGAGCAGCGCATGCCGTGGGATATCGACACAGAGCAATAGCGCCTTGTGTGGCCAGGCAGACCATTGCACCACTAAATATGGGAAAGGGGTATCATCACTGAGTCGCACAATATCCAAAGACACGGAACCAAGAGACCGAGACGATATGGTCTCATTCCTGGGATGGGTAAACGTGAAGGTCGCCACTGTGGAATGAATAGGCTCACTTACATCACCTTCTTGGTGCTCAAGCACTACGCCCAGTTGATCTTCAGGCACATCAGTCTGCTCACGTACAAGCATCGTTCCAATAAAGTCGAGCGTCACACGATTCCAAGCTATGATGCGCCCTGATGCTTGCTGAACCACCAGCAGTGGCGGGGCATATCCACTGGCTGGTGTATCATCCACAACCAGTGCCGTGACAGGCGTCGAATCAGGAGAAAATAAGCGTTGTATACATGTAAAAGGCGCAGGAGGTACGTTCCATTCAGGCGCCGAAACGGGGGTAGACGATACCGTATCGCTCACCACACGTGGCGAGGATGGCGTAGACGAGGCGGGAGCCGCATGCACTTGCAGCTTTGGATAGGAGGCGTTGGGTGAGCTGGTCCCCTTTTCCATACGTGTATGTGTATGGGGTACATAGTGAGGATGCTCCAAGTGAGGATGTTCAATCACACGCGGCATATCCGTAGCGTGATACTGTGCCTCGAGCAAATCTTCGGCAGCATGGTCACTTGATTCCTTTAGCACAGCCGGTGCTGCATTCTCAGATGAGACTCCGATTGTGGCATTTTGGCTATTGTACATGGGACTGGCCAGGGAGGAGGATGCCATACTAGGCACGTTGGAACCTGTATGGCTGTGGTTGGAGATGGCTGATGCCAGCGATTCCGTCGACATCATACCGGCCACAAGCATTTGCAGATTCCGACGGTGCTTTCGGCGCGTCATGGGGCCGGTGGTTGGTTCCGTTTGCGTTGGGCTAGGAAGCTTCGCATCTGATAAGGATGAGGACGGACGTTCCTCTTCGGTAGTTGGTGTATATCGATGCACAGGGCGCGCAAAGATCGAAATACTACCATCCGTCTCACCCACAGCAAAACGAAGAGATCCGGATGCTTCAGAGGCATGAGCTGTAGGTGGGTAGGCGTGGTACCAAGTGGCTGAATACACCTCCGTCGATGCTGACGCCTCATCATCTTCAACCCAAGCTTCCTTGTCAGATTCCTGCGCCTCTGGAACATTATCACTGGAACATGGATCAATGGATATAGACTGATGCCACGGAGCTTTGTACCCATGGACGCGCGGCCTAGGCCGAGGCACACCCACAGGTACCAACAGCGCTGCTGTGTGGCTCATCGTGCAGAAGTGAACTGAGCGCTCACCCGCGAGACCTTACCTAAGCACAGACCGTCTCTGGCTCGTCGTACGGCGCGACCTGCTCCACACAGAGCTGAGAAAGTATTTCGGCCGAGTGACGCGCGGGTGTGTGTTGATCCCAAGACACGCGCCATTACAGGTTCTGGAGTATCTACCACGATGTCAGCGGGTACTGGTGGCAAGTCAGGTCCTACGACTGGACAGAAGACGGAGGCGCGGAAGCCTGTCTCCCAGTCGGTCCGCGCTGGTCTGCAGGTATGTGTTTCCGTGTACGCTAATATTTGTGCAGTTCCCTGTGGGCCGTATTCACCGTCACCTGAAGAAGAAGTCGCAGAACAACATTCGCGTTGGTGCCAAGGCAGCGGTATACCTGAGTGCTATTCTGGAGTACCTCACCGCCGAAGTGCTGGAATTGGCTGGTATGTTTTCCTATCTACCTGCTCGTACTTACACCAACAGGTAACGCGTCGAAGGATCTTCGCGTTAAGCGTATTACGCCGCGTCACTTGCAGCTTGCCATTCGTGGTGATGAGGAGCTTGACTCTTTGATTCGCGCTACGATTGCAGGTGGTGGTGTACTGCCGTACATCCACAAGTCGCGTACGTATTTTATGGCCTTCCTAACATGCAGTCATCAAGACGCCTGGCAAGAAGAAGAGCTCGTCGTCGGAGTAAAGTACATGTACCTTACTATTTTTTTCTCCTCATTCGCGTTGTAGTTGTGTTCTAGTATACAATGGTTGTGAGCTGTTTGAGCTCGTCACAATGTACAGGCGCGCTGCTGTTTACGCCTGTAGCCTTGGCGTACCCAATATGCCACGTGGGCCAGTGGGGCGCGTCGCGTCGTGCCGCGGCTGCATTGTCCGTAGAGAGATACAGTGCTGGAATTTGACCCCATGCTATATTCATAAACTACCACTAGAAGCCTCCGGGCGTACATACTTACTGGCACGGGGATAGGCGTTTGGGTCGTACTTTGTAATCCATGGGTGACGTAGCACTTTGGATAGAGGGAGCCGATCAGCTGGATTGTACCGAAGCAAGGAGCGAACCAGATCCTTGGCCTCCTCACTAAAATGCTCAGGTATATGTAGGTCCACAGAGGCAATCCGTTTATATGTCATGCTGGCACCACTTAGCTCTTCGAATGGCGGAACTCCTTCCAAAAATTCATAAGTGAGCACACCCATCGCCCACAAATCAACGGCGCCGCCATGGGATTTGCCTTCCACCATCTCAGGAGGCAAGTAATCCAAAGTCCCACAGAGCGTAGCACGTCGGTTACTAGGCGCATGTACACTCCAGCCAAAATCGGCGATCTTAACTTCGCCACGGATACCCACTAACAAATTCTCAGGCTTAATATCACGGTGAATAATATGCTTCGAGTGCAAATACTGCAGGGCATCAGCAATCTGAGCAATATATTTGGCAGCTGTAGGCTCATCAAAGTGTCGATCAGGAAGTTTTGACAATATTTTGAAAAGTTCTCCTCGTCCAGCGAATTCCAGCATCATGAAAATTCGGCCGTGGTCATGGAAGTAGCCAAACATTCGCAGGACATTGGGATGGCGCAGATTCATTTGGATTTCGATCTCACGGCGAAGCTGCAGATCCACCTTATTTTCCACAAGCTCCTTCTTGTACACGCATTTGAGAGCGACAACGTAGCCTTGATTACCAAGCTTGCCAGAAGCCTCAGGCTTGGTACGAGCTAAGTATACTCGTCCAAATTTACCTTTGCCCAGAGGACGACCAATCTCAAACTGTGATAAACTCCATGGCCTTGTTGGTTGATGCTTCAATCCATCCATAGAAGAGTCCATGGCCAGAAAACCGTCCTCTTCCTCCTTCGACGCATCTCGACGCCCCTTTAGCTCGTCCCGCTCAAGACCTCCATCGTAATGTCCTAGGTCCAGTTTGGGTGCTGGTGCAGATGATGTACTCATGCCATTAGAATTGGAAGAGGGGCCGCGTGATCCTTTTGCGTCAGCGCCACTAGAGGAAGATGCTGAGAATGTAGACGCAGGACGCAGTCTGGTTTGAGATGATGAGCGCGGGAGGGGGCGGTCGAGCTGCTGCCCAGAAGAAGGGACGTTTCCAACAGCATGTTTTGATGTCAGCGGTGCTCGTTGTTGCAATGGGGTCAAGTCAGATTTGAGAGCAGTCTTAAGGGGACGAGGTTGAAATGGCTGAGGAGCTGCCTTGCGTTGTTGCGAGGCAAGCAACGTAGTATTCAGCAGAGCTGTTGCACCTTGCTGCCTGTACGTGTGTGTTCCAGATGTACGATCTCCTTGACTGATTTTGAGAGACGACATGCGTGTCTCGAGACTCCCAGGCTCTTTATCTGTCATGGTGCACGAAAGTGTGTACCCAAAAGATCAACACTAGTCAGTCTCGCGTCAGAGCCTTCCGCACGTGACAACGACGTGGAGAAAAAAAGAGCGATGCTTCGTGTGCACGGTCGCCCGCTGACCTGACCATGGTGTTATTTTTCAAGTCGAATGGTGAGGACAAGCCAGCAGAACACTAATATCTAGCTGTTACTCCTCCCGCTACGATTTATATGGGGAAGGACAAAGTGGAGAGTATGTGGGTTTGCGTGTTATAAACTGACCTGTAGATGAGGACCTAATTAAATATGGCTTCGAAGAGGTACGCGTGTCTTGCTAGGCTTACATGTGTGCAGGACGTATGGTTCCATGTTGATAAGGTACGAAGTTAGGTCCTGTTTTAACAACTTAGCTTTCTTCAGCCCATGTATATTTGCGTATGCCGGAAGGGATGGAATGGACTTCGATTCCGGAAGCTTTGCTTGAAGATTGCTCGCAATTGGTCAAGGCCAATTCCATTGAAGGTATGAATGGTGCTATTAATATAATCAGGCAACAAGAAAAACAACATTACCATTATCTATACACCTCATGCGAATATTAAGGTACGCGAAACGAAAACCTAACAAATTAGAAAACAGGGGATATGGCTATTGGCACGGTCACATTTCACAATGACAGGGTTGTTAAGCGCTTTCACGTAAAAGAGAGAAAAAATGAGATTGTAAATCGTTTAAACAAGACAAAAGTGGTGCGTGACGTGGACCACGAAGCAGAGCGCCAAGAACGTGAACGCCAGCTTGGTCGCAAAAAGAAAGAGTTTGCCTTGCAGCAGGTAAGTCAACGCCTTCTAATGTGTAGAAAAAAGAAGAGATGGAAGCCAAACGCTTGCATAAAGAACAAGCGGCAGCAAAAGACTATTCAAATCGTACGACTTGGTTGTGCTAACAGCAGTATTCTCTGAGGAAGCCATTGCTGAGGCACAAAGGGAAAAGCAGAGACGAGATCGCCTCAAGGCATCTAAAGCCGATCAAATGAACGATGATGAAGAGGACTTCGGCATGGAAAGTGACGATTCCTTCATGTAAAGCGTCTTTGTTAATGACTGGTTAGATAGTATATCCGTGACAGAAACGGTGAAGCCTATGGCAAGATGGCCGAGTGGTTAAGGCGGTGGCCTGCTATTAGCACAACCGGTGAGGTTGGTAAGCCATTGGGTTCTGCCCGCGTGAGTTCGAATCTCATTCTTGTCGAATTTTTTTTACTCTACTGATTTTTTTGAACTACGATCGATCCGTTTATCCTCGTATTGCAGTTAAAAGATACCGTTGTTGACCTCTGTTTCATGTTAGTTTAAATCATAGACGTACTCGAGAAGGCACCCCACGAAGGAGCACCAAAAAGCAAAGTTGTAATTACCCACTTGAACTGATTTGATTAGCCACAATTCATCGAATATATAACGTACCGTCACTTTAGGGGAGGAGTTGCGACGAATGTTCACAAAGAGCATTACTAGAGCTTCACCAATGTGAGCAGCAATGGCCAGGTTACGAATCGTATCCATTGTGGCGTGACCACCAATGGAGTTACGAATGCGGGCACCTAGCGAGTTGGGCCCAGCATTGTCGACATAGGCAAATAGTGCAATAAGAACGCCTACTTGCCAGGCATCCTTAGGAAAACGGTACTGAATGGTCGACATGGTAAGCTATGTCAAAGAATACGTTGGGGTCTCAAAGTGGAGGACGCTAAGGCCAGAAATGGGGCGAGCGGAGGGGCGGGGTAAATACACAAGGTGGATGGTTCTCTCGTGGGGCGCCCACGTGAACCCCCCGGTTAGCAAGCCAGTGCCTCCACTGTGACAGCGCACCTGCATCGCTCCGTTCGGAGAGTGAATTTGGAAGAAACACGATGGCCGGCGCATGCTGCGCAGGAGGGGCTGCAGCAACGGCTATGGATGGATCCATATATTCTTTCATCATTGGCCTCGCTGCAGCTGTCGGAAGTAGTCTCTCCCCAACAGTGGTTATTACAACATTGGCAGGTGTTGTCGTTATGGTGGGTACTGAAGCCTCAGCTGACTGTAGCCGTATATCGCCCTTGTCTTGGCAACTCCCACCGAAGTAAAAACGACCTCAAAGGAGCGTACATATACGACGGCGGACCATCCCTTGGAGCACAAAGCACTGCCTACGCTCTCAGATCGGCCAGAGGTACAACTTACCGTGGTGGTGCCTATGTACAACGAAGAGATGAGATTGAAGGCAATGCTGGATGATACCACGCAGTGGTTGGAGAGTGTACGCGAAAAGGGAGAGTCTTTATCGGCTAGCAGTGGTACTTGTGATGAGACAGCCGCATTGACCCAACCCCTGCTGACGTACGAGGTGCTGATGGTAGATGATGGGTCGCGCGATAAGACATACGATGTGGCCATGGCGTATGCAAAACAGTGTCAGCTTCGAAATGGTGCAGAGATTCGTGTAACGTGCCTACATCAGAACCGAGGCAAAGGTGCTGCCGTGCGTCATGGTGTATTGCATGCTCGAGGCTCTTTTATTTTGTTTGCCGATGCAGATGGTGCTACGCGATTCTCTGATCTACGTATGTTAGCAAAGGAGATGGTGCGCGTGTGTACGCCAGCGGGACATGGGATTGTTGTGGGCTCTCGTGCTCATTTGGTGACAAGTGAAGCGGTGGTAAAGCGCAGTTTTATCCGGAACTTATTAATGCGATGCTTCCACCTGGTTCTCTCCCTTCTGATGCGCCCTCCTACGTTGGACAGTGTATGGCACCAAGCTGTACCGCAAGGCGCAAAAATCACAAGGCTGCCACGACAGCCGGAAATTAAAGATACACAATGTGGCTTCAAGCTATTTTCACGGCCTACAGCTGCTCTTATATTCCCGTTAGCGCACATTGACCGCTGGATCTTTGACGTGGAGCTTCTCCTGCTGGCGGAGATGGCCTGCAGAGTGAGTGAGGCAGCACATGTGCTACGGCCAGAAGCGCAGCGTGGCGATGGTGATACCCTACTGCGTCTCCCTCTCCCCGTGTCGGAAGTCTCTGTGCATTGGACAGAAATTGATGGCAGCAAGATCAACCTATTGACCGACTCATTGCGTATGGGCCGCGATTTGATCGTGATTCGTATGAACTACTGGCTACGGCGTTGGCAAAGCCCACCCAGTATCTATGCATGTGAGTAGCAAAGGAGACGTATAATGAAAGACGATAGGAAGCTTGCATGTGTGTGTGTGTAGGTCCCGGTGGCTGCTGCTGCTGGCACGACCACCTCGCGGTGCGTGCGTGTGGTTGCGTTGCATGCATGCATGCAGGAGGCCCGGCATGGTGGGTGGAGGTCACGTGCTCGGGTGCGTCGGCTGGCTGGCTGCACGTCTGTGACAGCAGACGCTTTCTCGCGTCGCTTCACGATAGCGTCACAGCACCCCACGTACCGTGTGTGGTGTGTGTTCCTACGTGTTGGTCGGTGTGTCCTAATAGTTCGGTACAGCTCTGTGTGTTAGCTGTTACGTGCCTGTGTGCCCGATCAAGTACAGCTAGCTGAGTGTGGGACCGACGTGAGCGAGCGAGATCGTGTGCCTAGCATCATGGTACGTTCGTAACCGTGGTTGTACTTACTGAACCAGGCCACGTTAAATGTACGCGATGCATTATCGTATCTGGACCAGGTGAAGGTCCAGTTTACGGATCATCCAGATGTATACAATCGGTTTCTTGATATTATGAAAGACGTACGTGGGGCTACAACTGACTCGGTAGTTTAAGAGCCAGACCATTGATACGCCGGGTGTCATTGAGCGTGTATCAACGCTGTTCCGTGGCCACCCCAGTCTGATTCAAGGCTTTAATACGTTCCTGCCGCCTGGCTATCGTATCGAGTGCAGCATGGATCCGCACGAGGGCAGTGTCATTACCGTCACGACGCCCAATGGTACGACCACCCAGACGCTGGGTGGATCGTTGGGGCCGTCTGGTGTGCCTCGCAATGGAAAGATGGAGGGGTCGGCACCGCCGCCAGCCCCCGGCAATGGCCCTCCGCCGCCTTCGTCGTCGTCCTCGTTGAGCGGCAGTGCGAATGGGCCTGGTGCTTTGATGCACGACGCACCGGCTACTGCACGTCCCGGTGGCGGCTATGCGCCTGGCCCGAGCGAGTACATGGATCGCGCTCCGTTGCCGCCGGGTGTCTCGCGGGGTGGCCCACCCCCGCCACCGCCGGGTCTGAATGCAGGGAATGGCAGTGCGTATGGCCCTGGTCCCGGTGCGCCGCCGCCTCCGCCGCCTGGTGCACCGATGGGCTACGAGCCGATGGGCCGTGGCGTACCTCCGCCGCCCCCGTCCGGGGGGGCAGAGACAGCGCCACGCCCGCCTGTGGAATTCAACCATGCCATCAACTACGTAAACAAGATCAAGCAGCGTTTCAGTGGCGATCCAGATACGTACAAGCAGTTCCTTGAGATTCTGCAGACGTACCAGAAAGAACAGCGGCCCATTCATGAGGTGTATGCCCAAGTGACGGTGCTCTTTGATCATGCCAAGGACCTGCTGGAAGAATTCAAGCAGTTCCTGCCGGACACAGGCGCACCGCCAGGTGGCGGGGGGGGTCTGTTTGGCATGCTGGGCCACGTGACAAATGGGATGGGCCCCGGAGGAGGACCGGACGGTATGCCGCCTGGCGCTGCGCCGCCGTACGAGCCAGGGGCGGGCCGGCTTCCGCCGCCGCCGCCTCATAGCAGTGCGGTGAGTAGTGGCAGTGGAAGTGCCAGTCGCAAGAAGCGCATGGCCGACGAAGCGCAAGCCGAGGCGATGTCGATGCCGCTAAAGATGGTCGGTGGCAGCAGTGCCAGCGCCGGGCGGAAACGCTCGAAGAAATCCGAAGGCCCGTCGGGGGCGATGCCTCCGCCACCGCCAGGGGCGCCGTACATGCCGATGCCCGGGCCAGGCGAGGCGATGGGCGAGGCTGTGTATCCGCCTGGTGCACCGATGCCGCCAGGCTACGAGCCCATGCCGCCGGAAGGCTACTTGCCGGCGGGGGCCATGTACGGTATGCAGACGTACCCGCCTCCGCACATGATGGGCGGTGGTGATATGATGCCTATGCCGCCGATGGCGACGATGGATGAGGTGGCATTCTTCGAGCGTGTGAAGAAGCACATTGACGATCGTGCGACGTACCTGGACTTTTTGAAGCTGCTCAATCTGTACACGCAGGATGCGATTGATGTCGCGACGTTGGTTGACCGTGCGTCGTTGTTCCTGGGCGGTCGTCCTGAGCTGCTGCAAGCGTTCAAGACGCTGTGTGGCTACGATATGGGCCGCCATGGATGGCTTGAGCAGGACGATCCCGTGCTGGAGAATGTGCCGGCACTGGAGCGAGAGCGTTTCGATTTGTCGACACAGAAGTCGTGTGGTCCGTCGTACCGCAAGCTGCCGGCCTCGGAGGTTAATCTCTCATGCAGTGGCCGCGATGCGTTGTGCTGGGAAGTCCTCAACGATGGATGGGTGAGTCACCCTACCTGGGCCAGTGAGGGCGAGTCGTTTAACCCGCACAAGAAGAACGTGTATGAAGATGCACTGTACCGCAGTGAAGAGGAGCGTCATGAGTACGACTACCATATTGAGGCGAATCTGCGCACAATTGCACTGCTTGAGCCGATTGCAGCGCGCATTGCCGCGATGGACAATGAGGAACGTGCCGCGTTCCGTCTCAAGCCAGGTCTCGGTGGACAGAGCAAGAGCATTTACCAGCGCATTATCAAGAAGGTGTATGGCCGCGACCATGGCCTGGAGGTCATTGCCGCGTTGCACGATAACCCTGCCGTGGCTGTGCCTGTCGTCCTTGCGCGGCTCAAGCAGAAAGACGAGGAGTGGAAGCGTGCGCAGCGTGAGTGGAACAAGGTGTGGCGTGAAGTTGATGCACGCAACTTTTACAAGGCACTGGATCATCAGGGTGTGAGCTTCAAGAGCACAGACAAGAAAGCCATCACCCCGAAGGTGCTGGTCCAGGAAATCGAGACGATTTCGAGCACGCAACAGCAGCGCCGCCTTACAATGGACCCCAGTCTGCCGCGCCTCGCGCCGCGTTTCCAGCTGGCCTATGCGATGGACGATGCCGATGTCGTGGCAGATGTTTGGCAGCTGCTGGCGCACTACTTGGAACGCCCCTCCGCCGGGCTCAACCAGCAGGAACGCACGCGCATTCGCACGACGTTGCAGGCCCTTCTTCCTCGTCTGTGGCACATTTCGCCAGAGACGTTGGCCACATGCTTTACCCCGAAAGCGCGGCTTGATCAGTCGGCAGAGGCTGACGAGGAGGCGGACGAGGCCACAGACGGAGGCGCAGCGACCTCCGCGTCGCCTTCCGCCTCGGAGGAGGCTGAAACGACAGCCTCAGCGGCTGCGAAGCCTGCGTCGGTGGATACGTGGCACATTCATACGCCGACGGCCCCGTCGTCGTCGTCGTCATCATCATCGTCGTCGTCAACAGCCATGACGTCACCGTCGATCCACTTGTTTGGTAATACGACGATGTACGTGTTTGTGCGCCTCTTGCATCTGCTGTACGAGCGCCTGCATCGGCTGAAGGAGGCCAGTCGTCAGATGGCCGACGCGACCGACGAAACGTGGTCGAAAGTCAATCCCCTTGCGGCCGAGCTGGGCTTGATGGACACGGCGACGGGCCCTGGCGGTCTGGTCAGCTCCATTGCGGCCAAGCTGCCTGGCACGTTGGCCGCCTCGACTTCGGACGATGGCAGCTCGGACGCCATTGCCGAGGCGGATCAGGCGGTGCTGCGTCTACATCCCTCTCAGTTCTACCCGATTGCCCTGGAGCTGATTGTGCGTCTGCTCGACAATGATGTGGACCAAGCGTCGTTTGAAGAGGCGATTCGGTTCATGTTTACGCGCGAAGGCTACACCATCTATACCATCGACAAGGTCATGCAAGCCCTATTCAAGACATGTCTTACGATGAGTGCGGACGCCAAATGCCAAGCACTCCTAGCCAACTTTGAATCGACGCAGCAGGCCTGTGACGAAATGCGGACGACGTCAAAGGAGGATGGCAATGTCGCGATGTACAAACACGTCATCGCCTCGCGTATGGAAGCCGAGCATACCGTGGGCCGCGATGAGCACTTGTTCCGAATGGAAACGAAGCCGGCGCCTGTAGCACAGGGCGTGCTGCCGCCTTGTGAGCTGCGGATTCAGTTGCTCTCGCACGACGACATGACCCTGGAAGATCCACAGGACGCCGAGCAGCGCTGGCTGCAGTACATCGCGAGCTACTGTCTGTGGGCCCCCACCGAGGGTTTGTCGGCCAAGACCAGTGCGCCGCTGCTCCAGCGCACGCTCCCAGCGTCGCCAGAGACAGAAGTCGACCCCGAAGGAACGCGCTACCTCGTCAAGAACGGCTTGGACATTCGTGTGTGCATGAAGACGTACCGCCTGTTTTTCGTGCAGGATACCGAGGACGTGTTTGCTCGTATTCGCCCTGCGACGGCAACCGAAGCGCATCGCGCGACGGCAGAAAAACATGCCGCGTCACGGAAGCAGCGTTGGGACGAATGGCTGCGTATACGTCATGACGTGATGACCGAGACGCAGGCGGCGGCACAAGCGGCGACAGCTCCGGAGACGAGCGAATCGGCAACGACGCAGCGAGTCGAGACGTCGGCTCCGACCGAGCCCTCGTCTATGGCGCAGACTACAGAGCCTGCTGCGGATGTCTCCATGACAGACGTGGACGAGAAAGCCACGACCGCGGCGCCGACCAATGACACGGCAGACACGGCCGCCACCTCGGCGCCAGCCGCAGAGCCTACGATGGCGACGTCACACGAAGAACCGCCTCAAGCGCTGCCGGCTACGTCAACATAGGCCGTCTTTTGTCTACATAGTACGCATGGGACTAGTGCACAGGATGACATTTTTCAGCGACCGAATATCTATAGGAGAAAACGCGGCGTCTGTCGGTCAGGGCAGTGCGCAACGCGTCTTGGATAGGCGTGCACGAGGGCCATTACAAGTCATCAAGGTCCTCGTCCTCCTCGTCACTCGCCTCCTGGAACTCAATCTCGCCACCTTCGTCGTCACCAAAGGCCTCCTCGTTGATCTTGGTCGTCTCAGGCAGCTCACCGTATTGCTTCAGACTACGTGCCTCATCGGGCGTGTACTTCTGAATCACATCGGCCTTGCCATCCTCAAACTCACGCAGCGAAAGCAGGATGATGTCACCGGTGTTGATCCACACCTTCTTGCGCAGTTTGCCACGAATGTGGGCCAAGCGCTTCTCACCGTCAAAGCCCATCGCTTCGAGACGGCCATTGCCCAACATCTTTACGACCTGCGCGTATTCCTGGCTCTCGTCCTTGAATACAAGCTCACGCTTGTCACCGTCATCATTCTTTCCGCGACGGCGGTTCTTGCCACCTTTGCCTTTCGCCTTGGGCATCGTGGAGGACTAATACAAAAAAACCAGCGGCGACACGCCGCTTCGTCCACACGAAAAACCAGCCTGGGGCCGGCGTGCGTCCGTGCTGCCACTGCTGCGGCAGTTCGTCACGTGATGACGACGCGCGTGGTGCGGCAGTCTAGACCCAGCCTGTCGGCGCAGGCAGCAGGCCGAGCGAAGCAGACACGCGGCCGCGGTCAGTGTTGGGCCGCCGCGCCGTGCACCTGGCCAGTTTGTCTTTGTCCCTTTACGTTATGAACCCGCCAGGGTCTGGACCTACATCACGCGCACCAGCGCCACCGCTGCAGCGGCCTGTAGCCAAGCACCCACGCCCACCTGGCCGGCCCCAGAACTACGAGCCAGGGGCGCCTGGCTCAGCGGGCCCCACCGCAGGCACGGCCTCACGGCCTCCTCCACGTCCCTCGGCAGGTCGTCCCTTGCAAGCCCGTCCGATGGGCCAGGCCCCACGGAGCGGCGGAGCCGCTATGCCTCGGCCACCAGCAGGACCTCAGACACGCATGGTGCGCCCGCCCCCCGGCATTCAGCGCGAATACCAACGCATTCGCTCGCCAGGACCTGGCACGCCGACAGGGTTGGAGCGAACACCGACCAATACGCCGCCGCCTCATCGATCCAACTCAGCAGCTAGTATGCCACAAATGAACATGTACCAGTCCACCGCGGCGGCATGGGACGACGATCCGAACGCCCCATACAACGCAGGCATGTCGGCGCACTCGCCCTACGCTTTGAACGATCCATATGCGACCAACGAGCAGCCTGCGGACGCAGCAGGTACAGCATGGGACTCGTTTGCAAGTGCGACTGGGTTCGGCGGCACAGGCACAATGATGAACGATGCCACGACACAGATGGGCATGCAGTTCGGTCGACATGTCGCCGCTGTGGGTGGTGAGTATGTGCAGCGCAACTTCCGTGCATTGCTCCCGATGCCCATTTTGAAACACTACTTTAAAGTGTCCAACTCGTATGTGCTGCACAAACTGCGTATTATCCTATTCCCATGGCGTCACAAGCCGTGGTCGCGTCGCTTGCGCTACTCTACGCCATACGGTGTCTCGGGGTACATGTCGCCTAGCCAAGGGACCTCTACACTGAACGCTGGGATGAGCACACCGGATCGACCCCTCTCTGCAGATGGTCGACGGGCTAGCAGCACCGAGCCCGTCACTTTCTGTGTCCCGCGGGAAGATGTGAACAGTCCTGACATGTATATACCCCTCATGGCTTTGGTGACGTACGTGATTGCTACATCGATCATTTATGGCTTGCGTGGGCGATTCCACCCAGAAGTGCTGGGCTACACGGCCTCGCGGGCCTTGGCCATTGTCCTCATCGAATTTAGTGCGATCAAGTTGGGATGCTATCTGCTGAACATCCAGGGCGACCATACCGTATTTGACCTGCTGGCCTATTCAGGCTACAAGTTTGTCGGCACCCTCGTTGTTTTGGCCGTGGGCGTCATGGGTATGGGCCGCTGGGTGTATTGGCTCACGTTCTTATACATGTTTGCAGCCAATGCGTTCTTCTTGGTATGTCCTATTCGCACTAACATCAGCTTCGCTCTTTACGCTACGTGGTTCTCCCTGATCCTGCCTCCCCGTCTAGCGTGACTGTGACACAAGGACAGCGCGCTGCACGGATCCAGTTCTTGTTCGCCATTGCCATGTCACAGATCGTGTTTGGCTGGCTCCTGATTGTGGGCGTATACTGAGACTTAATGCGCCTTCCTCGTGTAGATATAGCTGCCAGGCAGGCGATATGTACCATCTCATTCATTTTATCATTTATACCGTGACGTAAATGTCTCATCTCCACAGCACACCCCCCTTATGCCATGGAGCTGCTCGTCAGTGATTGCTGGGCCGTGGCAGCCATCTCTCGCAGGATATTCAGGGCTTCCTGCGCCCGATCCTGTGGCACGAATAGGTGGTCATGGTAATACGCCGAGACGGGATTCACGCTGAGCTTGGCCTTAGCTAGACGAGCGGTAATAGCTGCAAGGAAGCCAATCGCTTCCAGCGATGCATGCACGTTGAGTGTAATCATACGGCAGACATAGGTGCTAGGCAAGCCCGCTTCCTGTGCCTCAGCAGCTGTAAGAATCAATGTTTGTCCCTCTACTTCACGAAACGTCATGATAGGCTGCACGTAGGCAGGACATTGCGTCCCCGGAGGCAAAGTCACAAAAACCATAGCTGGGCCTTGCAGGGTAGGCTGCATCGTTGAAATGAGCTCTTCCAGTGAGCATTCGCTCGGGCTAGTGTCGCTACTCATGCCTGCTGGTGTCGCCAGAAACAATGCAGTAAAAAAAGAGAAGTAAGTTCCACTTCAACGTGGTGTCAAGTGCAAAATATATGACCAGCACGGGGCTCGAACCCGCAACCTCCTGATATGCTCAGCTCGTAAGAGCTTTCGTAGTCAGACACACTACCAATTGTGCTAACCGGCCATCTACGTAAGCAGATTACGTAGATGGAATACTTGTGGCTTTTCATGTGTTTGTTCGCCGAAAAGAATATGGAAAAAAGTGACCAGCACGGGGCTCGAACCCGCAACCTCCTGATATGCTCAGCTCGTAAGAGCTTTCGTAGTCAGACACACTACCAATTGTGCTAACCGGCCTGAAGCTGTAGGTTTGTCTGAAAATGGCATATAATTATCCTACTAAGTGTATTGTGTCCCTATCAGCCAGATTTTTAAATTGGTCCAAATTTTATATAAAATTTATGTACGAATATGAATTAGCACTGCCTGCCTACAATACCTCCTCTCGCATATGGACATCCGGATGAAAAACTAGCAGAATGATTCCAAGATAGCTACGAGAACATGTATAGATCGGCTATGGATGTACGCTTCACACTCTAGAGGCAGCCATGTGTGCGCCTAGTCCCATATCCCCTCGCGTAGAGAGGTAGCTAGTAAGGGAGTCCCTGTCAGTGGAGGGGAAAAATCGGCCGAAGACTTTTTTCTTGCTCGAGGGACGCGGCACGGCCGGCAGACGACTTTTTTGACCTTGTCTTTCGTAAAGAGCATGCGCAGTGCATCGCCGTCAGACGAATCGTCTGGCCCAAGCACGCCACCAGAGGCCTCGCCTCTGGCTACTATGCATGCGAAAGGCGATTCATGGAAGGAGCCACATACTTTTCATACGCTGGAAATGCAGCGTCGTTTTATGAAGCCTTCGACGCACGGCTGGGATGTACCAGCATTGCGTGACATCTCTCGTCCTCATATCGAAAGCTTCAACGCGCTGTGGGCCGAGAATCCCTCTGTAGATGCCCCCGGCCAGGCTGACAAGCTTGGCGTGGAAGGCGCAGGCCTGTTGGAGCGCAGTCTGCAGACACTTGCGCCGCGCGTTGTCTTTGATGGGCGCGGTGCCTCGGATGGCGAGCGTGGCAACCGACTGGAGAGTACGTATACACATGCACCTATTTACACTGCTAGTTCGCATCGACTCTGTATCTCTGAGCCGTCCCATGGTACCCGACCGTGCGAAGAATGCGCTGGACCGCCGTGTGTACCCAGACGAGTGCCGCAATCGCCTGGTTTCATATCGCGGTCGCCTGACGGCGCGCATAACATGGAGCGTGAACTATGGACCTGAGCAGAGCGAGATTCGTGATATGGGGCAGGTCCCTGTTATGGTCGGCTCTAACCGTTGCAACTTGCGTGGCATGTCGTCGGACGAGCTGATTTCCCACCACGAAGAGCCGAACGAGATGGGCGGCTACTTTATTATCAACGGTAACGAGCGTCTGATCCGTTTCCTCATATTGTCGAAAGCGAACCATGTCATGGCGCTGGAGCGTCCGTCCTTTACACGCCGTGGCCCGAGCTACTCATCCAAGGCATGCTCGATTCGATGTGTGGGTCGCCATGACCTCATGAGCATTACAAATTCTGTACACTATTTGGAGAATGGCGGTGTGACTCTGCGTTTCAGCTGGCGCAAGCAAGAATACATGGTACCAGTCGTGATGGTTCTTAAAGCCCTTGTGAGTGCTACAGACAAGGAGATCTTTTCATCCATTGTACAGACAGACACAGACAACACTTTCCTGACAGACCGTGTTGAGCTGCTTTTGCGTGGATTCAAGCGGTATGCGTTGTGGACGGGTGAGCAGTGCCTAGAGTACCTCGGTGACAAATTCCGTGTGGTCATGCGTGCACCGGAAGACTGGAGCAATGCGCAGGTGGGCGAAGATTTGATCAACCGTCTCGTACTGCCGCATCTCGATATGCCGCGCGACAAGTATCGCTTGCTAGTGTTCATGATCCGCAAGCTGTACGCATTTGTGGCTGGCGAATGCTGTGCGGACAACCCGGATAGCCCACAACACCAAGAAGTGCTCATGCCGGGCTTCTTGTACGGTGCCATCATCAAGGAGCGCCTGGATGAGTACCTGATTGGCGTGCGTACGGCCATTGCGCGTGATGTGCGCATGCAGGCCAAGGAGTGTGACTTTTTCGACAACCGATATATCCAGCGCATGCTTGCCAAAGTAAATGGCGATGTAGGCGCACGACTTTCGTCGTTCCTAGCGACTGGTAATCTCTCGTCGCCGTCCGGTCTTGATTTGCAGCAGGTCGGAGGTTTCACCATCGTGGCGGAGAAACTCAACTTTTACCGTTACCTCTCGCACTTCCGAAGTGTGCATCGTGGTGCCTTCTTTGCTGAGCTCAAGACTACGACCGTGCGTAAGCTGCTGCCCGAGGCCTGGGGTTTCCTGTGCCCTGTACACACGCCCGATGGTAGTCCATGTGGTCTGCTGAACCACTTTTCGCACACGTGCCAGCTGACGACGCGTGATGAGGATGTGTCACAGATTCCTGCTCTGCTCACCTCGCTGGGTATGACCGAAATTGTCGCCGCCCAGATCAGTCCACGCACGCACGTGAGTGTGCAGCTGGACGGTCTGCTGATTGGATCTGCGACGCCTGCCATTGCACGGCATATGGCCACGGTGCTGCGTGTATGGAAGACAGAGGGACTGCACAACGTTCCGCTGGACCTCGAAGTAGGCTTTGTGCCCACGAGTCATGGTGGTCAGTACCCAGGTCTGTATCTGTTCTCTGGTCGCTCGCGTATGATGCGGCCCGTGCGGTACCTGTTCAATGGACGAGAGGATCATGTCGGCCCATTCGAGCAGGTGTACCTGGACATTGCCTGCCGTGCGCCAGAGATTGAGAAGGGCGTGTCTACGCACGTCGAAGTCGCACCGACCAATGTGCTGAGTGTGATTGCGAACCTGACGCCGTTCTCTGACTTTAACCAAAGTCCGCGTAACATGTACCAGTGCCAGATGGGTAAGCAAACTATGGGTACGCCCAGCGGTGCGATTGCTCGACGTACGGACAACAAGTTGTACCGCCTGCAAAGTGGGCAGACGCCAGTGGTGCGTCCAGCGCTGCACAACAAGTACGCGATTGACGACTTCCCGAACGGTACCAATGCGATTGTCGCTGTGATTTCTTACACAGGGTACGATATGGAAGATGCGATGATTCTGAACAAGTCGGCGCATGAGCGTGGCTTTGGCTATGGCTCTGTGTACAAGTCAGAGGTCGTGAATCTCCGCGACTTGGTCGGCGGTGGACGAAGCGGCGGTGCGCTACCTATTCACTTTGGCTTTGGCCCTGATATCCGCTCGGACGATGCGCGTCGCGAGCAGCTGGACGTGGACGGCTTGCCGTTTATCGGCACGTATGTGACCAAGGGCCAGCCCATTTACGCGTGCTACAACGAATCGACAGGCCGCACGATCGTGAAGCGGTACAAGAGTGACGAGGCCGCGTACGTCGACACTGTTCGTGTGATCGGTAGCGATGCTGGCGATCAAGAGTGCCAGCGTGTGCAGATCATGTTCCGTATCCCACGTTCGCCGGTCATTGGTGACAAGTTCTCGTCGCGTCACGGTCAAAAGGGTGTGTGCTCACAGAAATGGCCTGCGGTAGACATGCCGTTCAGTGAGAGCGGTATGCAGCCGGATGTGATTATCAACCCACATGCGTTCCCCAGTCGTATGACCATCGGTATGCTTATCGAGAGCATGGCGGGCAAGGCCGGTGCGATGCATGGCATTTCGCAGGATGCTACGCCCTGGACATTTAACGAAGATGACACGCCCGTATCGTACTTTGGCGAGCAGCTCAAGGCGGCGGGCTACAACTACATGGGCAACGAGCCAATGTACTCTGGCATTACCGGCCAGGAGCTGCGCGCGGATATCTACCTGGGTGTCGTGTACTACCAGCGTCTGCGTCACATGGTGAACGACAAGTTCCAAGTGCGTACGACCGGTCCTGTGCATGCGCTTACGCGCCAACCCGTCAAGGGCCGTAAGCGGGCGGGTGGTATCCGATTCGGTGAGATGGAGCGCGATGCGCTGTTGGCGCACGGCACGTCGTTCCTGCTGCAGGACCGTCTGCTCAACTGCTCTGACTACACGACCGCGTACGTGTGCCGCACATGTGGCAGTCTCATCTCGCTGAGCTACGACGAGGCGGCAGGTCTCTCTGTGCCTGGCCTAGGTACGGTCCAGACGATTGAGCGTGGCGCTTCTACGACGCCGCTGGGCCCGCATGGCGAATACTGTCGCGTGTGCCGTCGTGCATCTGAATCCAAGGTGGTGCAGGAGGCGGCAGCTCCTCGCTCGGCACGCCATGTCGTGCCGCGCTCGCATGTGTTAGGCCGCGCGGGCGATCTCGATGTGATTGCTGTGCCATATGTGCTCAAGTACCTTGTCGCAGAGCTGGCTGCGATGGGCCTGCGCATGAGTTTCACAATCGCACCATAGATAGTGGGATGTACACAATGTCTATTGTATCTACGACTAAGGCGAAAAGCCCTTGGCGCGTTCTTCACGGTGTTGCCGCAAACGCTCCTCGAGCTTCGCAAGTTCGTCAGCTGCGACCTGCTCGACTTCGTCGAGAACTTGTTCGACACCCTGCACTTCCGGCACATAGTGCATAAGCATGCGCTCAATGCCCGATTTGAGTGTGACGGTAGAGCTATCGCAGCCACGGCAGCTGCCCTTCAACTTGACACGCACAATGCCATCCGTATCCTCGCCAAATCCACAGTACTCCAAGTCGCCACCGTCTTCCTGGATCGCAGGGCGGATGCGTGTATCTAGCAGCTCCTTGATCATCGCAACGACTTCCGAGTCCGTCTCGAGGATCGTCGTATCAGAGCCTGGTTGCTGCACAGAGGGATCAGGGAACAAGTCGTGGCCAGCAGTAAAGAACTCCATCATGGTACTGTAGATTTCCGGCTTTACAGCCGACCAGGGCGTCTCAGAATCTTTGCTCACGGTCACGAAATCCGGGCCGTAAAATACGCCCGTGACGCCGTCCAGCGCAAAGAGATTCTTCGCGAGAGGCGATCCCATTGACGCACGCTTATCGAGGAACTCGGCCGTGCCCTTCTCCATAACCTGGCAGCCTGGCAGAAACTTAAGTGAGTCCTCGTTCGGCGTAGCTTCCGTCTGAATGAACATGGATCGCGAAGGCGTTAGCGATGCATAGCGAGCCCATGGCCTCGTCGCTTGACGTGGACGGCGTGGCAGCGCTACCATCGCACTGAAGGGCCGCACCAACGTAGGCGCCTGGGCAGCGGTCGTCGTACCACGCATCATCCTACGCACAGCCGGCATGGCCTCGGTACGCACACATGTCAACGTCATCCACATGGTAGTCCAAGGTGAAGCGTCTTCGTCGCAGAGGTGGCGTTCTCGTTCACGCACAGACAAGCAAGCAATAACGCACGCACGCTACGCTTGCGCGTTTGTCAGCTCGGCCGACGACGCTCTTTTTTTTTTCTCGTTCGCAGGCAGGCCGTCTCGCACTCCACACGCTGCAGCGATGGCCTCGAGTCCTAGCACCGCGGCGCCGCTGGTCCAGACGCCGATCCAAGTATCGACGTACACGCGGCCACGCAGTAAGCAAGTGGACGATGTGTGCAGTAGTCACAGCAACAATATACATCGCTCGCACGTCGCTGTAGGCGATGTCGTCCGACTAGGCACGCATGGCCTTCGTCGCCGACGTGGCCTCGTCGTGACGCTCGAGCAGGGCGTCGCGATTGTCCTCATGGACTTGCAGACACAAACACCCGTGCATACGTATACACTCAAGCCGTCCGAGCATGCATGCACGCCGCCCCTGGTTATTGAGCGCAGTGTGCCTGGCCCCCACCACCGCCAGTTGCTGCGTACTACGTACGTCGGCCTGCTTGACGCAGGCCGGGCTGCCTCCCCCACTACGCGTCTTACAGCGTACACGGAAGCACTAGACAAGCCCGGCAAGCATGTGCCGAGCATCGCGACGACGACATCCACGTTCGACGTGCCAGGCCATCTTGTGCATTTGTACCCTTTGCTCTCTGGCGCGCTGCTTGCAGCGCGCAACGATGGCTCTGTGGTGCTCCTCAGCGATCCGATGGACGAGCATCGGCCATGCTCGGTGCTCGATACCTATGCGGCTGATCCGATCTACCATGATGTACGTGTTCTCGATGGGCCTGCTGCGCACTCTCTCTTCGCACACCATGCGACCAGCAACGACGACGGTGCCACTGTGCAAGGTGCGTGGATCGGTGTTACGAGCCACCCAAATGCGCGTATGCTGCGCCTGCATGTCGTGGGTGTGTACCCAACGGCGCCTTATTTCCGTGCCGTAGCGAACGACGTGCCCTCAATCGATGCACGCCACCTCGTGAGCTGTGCCTTGGATGGCCATGGCATCTTGGCCGCGCTTACCCGCACAGGCTTGCTGTATACCACCACGTTCGCTATGGACGGGGATACCTTGCAGATCGAGGCACCTCATACCGTCTCGCTTGCCCTTCAGCATGCATGCCTCGTCTTCCTTAGCACGACACACTTGCTTCTTATTGCGCTGCAATCTGACGGTGGGAAGGTGCGTGCGGCGGCGTTGGTATGGGACACAGACTTGGACGCTGTGTTAGCCTCTGTGGAATGGGCGCTCAGCACCACCGAGGCGACGCAGGTGCATGCGGCGCGTGTGCTGGACGATCATGTGTTGATTCAAATGGATACGTCCGAAGGAAGCAGAGGCGGCAAGGGTACATTGGCCGCCCTGCCTGTGACTGTCCCAGCCCGTGGCCTTCTTCGTCATGCTCTCCAGGCCGCCACACGCACGCAGCCATGGCTCGTGGCCAAGGACGATATCGAGGCTACGGACGCAGCCGCGTCGACCACCTCGCCGACCACCTCGAGCTGGCTTGCAGCGCTCTCTGCCCTCCCGACGGAGCCAGGTGCACGAGCTACGGCACTGGACGAGCAATTCCAGGCTTGGCTGCACAAGGAAAGCGAGCATCTTCGCTCGGTGGAGCACGTCAAGGCGAGTCGCAAGGCGCCCAAAGTGCCGCTGGACGCTGCGCTGGTGACGCACGTCCTGGACTATGCGCTGCCGCCCCTCGCCAAGCCAGGTACGCCTAGCTCTGCGCCTGTCCCTTACGCACGCGATACCGTACGCTACCTCCTTGAGCGCGGTGTCGTCACCGCCTCCCTCCTGCCGGATCTCGTGCCGCGCGCGCAGCGCACGCGCGACTGGTCGGTCCTCTTCTTGCTCCTCCGTCACGTGCCCGACCGAAGTGAGGCCCATGCGGTGGCCCTGCTGGCGGAAGCCCTCGCGACGCGCGATGCGCCACAAGCGCCCGCCGTGGCGCGTGTACTACAGCATGTCTTGCTGCCACCGACCCTGGCCAAGCCAGCGCTGCGTATGGCGCTGCGTACGCATATCAAGAACGACGACGACGTGCTGATTCTCCTTGATATTTTGCAAACGTGGCTGGAGCTCCATATTTATGCGCCTCTGGAAGGCAAGGCACGTCGCACGACCGAAGGCACACGGGCGGTGCCCCATACCGAGCTGACGTACCGCGTCGGTGACGTCCAGCCCCCACGTCTCGAGGCGTGTGTCTCGTTTGCGGAAGACTTGCTTGATACCTATTTCCCGCAATGGATTGCCGCTGCGCCACGCACGCATATGTTCCTTCGCGATTTCATGCGTGGGCTTACACAGGCTGTGCAAGCCATGCAGACGCTCTCCCGCCTTCGTGCGCCGCTGCATACCGTGGCGCATGCACGTGAGAGGGACGAAAAGGATGGGCGCTCGAAGCGTCTCGAGCTGCATGAGGCGAGCTTGCTCGTCCCAACGTACTCGGTCGAGTCGCTGGAGGTGTAATGCATACATACCTATAGAAGCATGTTGTAGGGTCATGATTGTCATCGTTACATCAATCGCGGAAGCGCTTGGTTGGGGAGTTATCATTGTCATCGTCGTCGTCATCGTCGCCACCCAGCGTGAAAGCGCCCCGCTCCATGTCCGGCGACATGCTTCCCGCGGCCGCCGCTCGGTGCTGAGATGCATGGGTCGGCTGTAGCACAATGTGCTCGCCAATGGCATGGTACTGCGCACCTGCTGGCCGACGGGCTCGTCGACGTACATAGAAACACAGCCATACGGCCAAGGCCAAAACGACCACCACAAACAAATCGCCGGACCAATCCGATGTATCCACTTGTGGCAGGGACGACGACGACCCTGGCCGCGTCGTCGGCAAAGGTGTCGATGTCGACTTCAATGGGCTGGGCGTAGACGTGGTTGCGGTGCTATTCTCGGCTACGAGAATACGCGACGTCGAGCCAATCTTCGATTCCATGTGGACTTGCGCCCCGTCGACCCAGTCCACTTGCACATCCATGAACCGCAGCATCATGTCGTGCGCCGCGTACGGCGCATCGTATGCCGCCATATGCGACGCATTGGTCAGCGTTGCCAGCGTCAGGTTGCGGGCATGCAGCCACGTACCGACAGGCTGCTGGTTGATGGACCATACTTCGGGCTTCGCATCCCCAGGGCCATCGCTGCCAAGCCAGTGCAAACGCTCGACCAAGCGCTGCTGTCCCAACGCCGGGCAGATCAAGTCTTGATCGCCTGCAAAGAGAAGCACAGGCACACCGCGATTCAGGAGGCTCGGCAACAAAGTGACGCTTGCATTGCTATTCGCCGCATGCGCATGAATCACATCGCCGACTTGTGCATTGCATTCGACCCATGCCTCCGGCTTGTGGTTCGCATCAATGTGCAGTGCGCTGCGTACGTCCTTCTTCCGAAGGAACGTGTACAAATCCGTCAGCTCCGCCGGCCAATTCATGCCGCAGGCGGGCGACGTATCGGTGAGCCGCATATCGTACATGTTCATGCATCGGCTCACGCCATTCAAGCTGCTGTCAGATTGGGTGTACGTACGTTCGAACACTCGACTTGATAATGTCGCCGACGATGCCATCACACACGGGGTATTCAGCGCGCGGGACACTGTCCTTCTGCAGGGCGTCCTGGCACGCACGCAGGATCGGCTTGATGTGCTCATGTTCCTGGACGTAAGTGAAACAACAACGTACTGGCCCATTCTTCTTCCACACGCCTGCTTGCAGCAACGTATCGACTTCGGTGCCATACTGCGACGCAGGATCGATGAAGCCGTTGCCGATCGCAATGCCCTCCAAATGCAGCGACAAATTCGACGCCCGCAGCATCGCATCGGCCATGTACGGAATGTACTGCCCCGCACTGCTTGGTTAGCTGCCTGCCACGTACTAGCTCTCGCCTGCCAAGTACACATCCACGCCCTGCGTGTATTCTGGATAGGCTTGTGCAAACCCACGAAGGAAGAACACAAATTCCTCTGCCACCTGGTCCAACGTCTCGGCATACGCCGCATTTTCCACGTACGAAAAGCCCGTGCCTACGGGCTGGTCCACATACAAGACATCTGCGTATTCGTTCCACGCCTGCCCCGCCTGAGCCTCGACGAGCGCATCGGAGGGCTTGACACGCAACGCACCCACCTCCAGGAACGCGCCGTCAAAGCTTGAGCATCCTGGTCCACCATTCAGCCACACAATCAACTTGCGCCGACGTGGCGTATACATGGCGCGGTGCAGCATAAAGTACAAGTGCGCCTCATCTTTCGGTCGCTGATTCGGCGCGACAGGCGGACGTGCAGGTAGGTACCCTGCCTCGATCTGAAACGAACGTGACGTAGCATGCGGTTCACCCGGAAGCTGGCTCACCGTCCATGGTGTAGCGCGACTCATTTCCCCACAGCGAGTCAACCGGAGGGTTCAGGGCACAAGGGAGCTGGTGAGAGCCACACCGCCGCCAGCGCGCGCCTAGGCCCTCGGTGGATGATGTGCCTCCACTCATCACGTGTCGAAGAAAAAAGTCGTGACGCCTGGCGTGCGGCCTGGCTTGCTACGGCACCATGGCACGTCCTAGACGGCCAGCACCGGTCTCTTTGCGTGCTTCCAGTGCGTCGCGTGCGCCAAAGCGTGCGCGTGTAGATCACGGGAAACCAGTGCCAGTGCGAGCGCCAGCGCCAGCGCCTCACGACGACGAATCGGATTCTGATGCCGAGGCGCTTGCTCGCGATGCGCAGGCGATGGTCAGTGACGACGACGCCGACCGTGTCCAGGCCATGCAGTTCCTTTCGCGTACGAAGCTTCCAGATGTATCTGCTGCCGGTGCGCAAGGCCGTGCAAAGGAGCGGATTCGTGACGAAAAGCGGCGTCAGCGTCAGTGGTTGGATACGCAGCGCCAGGCGATAGCGAGGGACGACAGCGATGGCGAGAGTACAGATATGGAAGGTGCGAGCGAGAGTGAAGAGGAGGAGGAGGAGGAGGAGGAGGAGGAGGACGACGACGACGACCTGGACGACGATGATGTCGACGAGGACGACGAGGACGACGAGGCCCTGGAAGCGCAGTATTTGCACCAGGCTGCACGACGAGAACGACGTGCGCAAGCCGACCGCGAAGCGCGTGCGCAGCGCCCGCTGCCTATCCGCACCGAAGCCGGGATTCAAGAGCAGGGCAGTGATACCGAGCCGAGCGGCAGTCGCGCTGTGTTTAGCGACGAGGCGGCGGACAGTGATGAGGAGGCAGCGACGCATGCTGCGCCTACGTATCATGCATCGTCTGCCGCGCACTCTGCGCGATTCGGTATGCAGGCGCCGTACACGTTGGTCAGTGGCGCGCTCTCTGAGTCGCCGGCGGTCCGTACGGCCGCCTTGCAAAGTGCTCGAGAGCAAATTGCGCACTTGTCGTCCAACATTGTCGGCGATCCGGAGCTGGGCACGAGCTGGCTTCAGCGTCTTCTTGTGTTTGCGCAGCCTACGTGCTCGCCGCCCCCGGGCGAGACGGGGCGTCGTGTGCGTGTGCATGCCTATATCCGCCAGCTGGCGCTCCTTTCGCTGCTGGCTGTGTTTGTGGATATCATTCCAGGCTACCGCATTCGTGCGCTGAGTGAGCAGGAGCAGAAAGAGCGTGTGAGTCAGGACGTGGCGCGGCGGCGTGAGTGGGAGCAGGGGCTTGTCAACATGTACCGCGACTTTTTGGAATGCTGTGAGGCGGAGATACGCAAGTCGGCCTCGCCGTTGGCGCCGATAGCGCTCAAGTGTTTCTGTACGCTGCTGGTTCGTGCGCCGCACTTTAACTACCGCAAGAACTTGCTGGCTAGCGTGATTGCGATCATGTCGCGTCCTGTGTGGAATGCATCGAGTGAGCAGTGCTCGCAAGCGCTGATCCAGCTGCTCCGCTCTGATGCCGATGGCGAGATTGGGCTTGAGTTGGTCATGCTGCTCAACCGTATGATCCGTGAGCGCAAACTCGCTGTGCATGCGAATGTCTTGGATGTGTTGGTCCATCTGCGACTCCGCGAGGAGCTGCGTCGGAGTGTGCGCAGCGGGCCGATGGGCCGCCAGAGCAGTATGCCGACCGCAGCAGAGAACCGCCGCGCGGATCCGAAGCAGGTGCGTAAGGGCCTAGCGATGCACCGCAGCAAGAAGCAGGTGAAGCGGGATCGCGCGTTGCGGGAGATTGAGGCGGAGATGCGCGAAGCTGATGCCACGCTGGACGTCGAAGAGCGCGAACGGCACCAGAGCGAGACGCTCAAGTTGGTCTTTGCGCTGTACTTCCGGCTGCTCAAAAGCGAAGTACCGATCGCGCTCTATGCGTCTGCCCTGGAAGGCATTGTGCAGTTTGCGCACCATGTGAGCGCCGACTTTTTCCGCGACTTGGTCGAGGTGCTACGTACGCGCCTTCATTCGGCGCTGGCGTCGCTAGCGGACGACCACGACCACGACGGCGATCCGATCCGCCTGGGCCTGCTGTGCATTGTCGCTGCGCTGGAGCTGCAGGCCGGGCAGGGCGGGGCGCTGGAGCTCGATATGGCGCAGTTCTACGTGGCGCTCTACCGACTGTTGTGGCCCCTGGCCATGTCGACAAACATCGAGGAGGGGACGACGGCGAAGCCAGGGACCGTAGCGGGTCTGCGGCAATGGAGCACAGCGGCGCTGTTTTTCCATGCGCTTGAAACGGGTCTGATCAAGGCGCCGCGGCATACCCTGCAAGTCTCGCTGGACCGCACAGCGGCGATGGTACGTCGTGTGCTAGGTGCTGCGATGCATTGGCCGACGACCAGTGCCTTGAAGGCGCTGCAGTGTGCTCATGCGATTCTCTCTCGCGCCACGACGATGGATTCGCGCTTCGATGCGCTGCTGGACAACCGCGACGCGATCCATGACGGGCAGTTCGATCCGTACACCGATCAGCCTGACAGCGCACGCGTCCTCGCGAGTGGCGAGCCGTGCTGGGAATTGATCCTGCTCAGTCGCTCGCATGCCAATGCGCAGGTACGCGAGACGGCCACGGCGCTTTTGCAGTGGACACGCACGTAAGGGAAACCAATCCACATTGAAAGGGGCGGATACATAGGGCTACTACTAGTAATACAGACACGCCATGGGATCGATCCATCCATAGGCAGCAACACCAGCCACATGCATTCGTCCAAACACACAGCCGGGCGCGCCGCCGTTTTTTATCCAAAGGAGGGGAGTCCTCCTCCTCCTCCTTCCGAGCGAGCGAAGCTGCGTCCTTGCATACGATCATACCATGGGTCAAACACGTCACGCCCCACGTGTCAGAAGAAGAACGGCGCCCTTCTTCCTCGCCATTTAGGCGTCCGTGGTAGCGTTCGACTCGGCTTGGCCACCCTCGCGGCTCTCGTACTCACGGAGCACCGTAAGGGCTTCGTCCACCTTGCTCGTGAGCGCCTCGTCATCCTCCAGCAGGTGCAGAAGCTCGCCGACCGGCAGCTCCAGAATCATACCTGTAAGCTTACCAGCCAGCTGCGGCTGCGACGCCGCAATCTTCGGGTAGATCGCCTCACCCAGCATCTGCTTCTGCTCCTCCGGCGAGGCATTGGCCAGCGCCGCGGCCGTCAGCTGCTCAGGCTGGGCAGGCACGGCCTGCTGCGCCAGCGCATTCTGGCCACGCTGACCACCCTGAGCATTGTTCACGTTGCCACCAGCCGGCGCAGCGCCACGCGGCGGACGCGGCGGGCGGTAGCCCTGCGGGAACATGCCACCCGCGGGGAACTGGCCAGGCGGGTACGGGCCGTTCGGGTTGCCGGCCATCGGCGGCATGCCCTGCATCATACCAGGCGCATACTGCGGACGCACACCACCAGGGAACTGACCCGGCGCACCCGGGTAGTACATGCCCGGCGCGCCAGGGTACATCTGCGCGGCCGCCGCGGCCGCCGCCTGCTGCTGCTGCAGACGCAGCTGGTTGTGCTGCATCATCTGCGCCGCCAGCTGCTGGTGGCGCACATCCTTGCGCTGCGCCAGCGCGACGTACAGCGGACGGTTCTCGATCATCTTGCCGTTCATCTCCGCCACAGCCTTGTTGGCCTCCTCGGGCGCCGAGTAGCACACGAAACCAAAGCCACGCGAAGCACCCGTCGGCGTGCGCATCACCTTGGCACTCGTCGTCGTACCGAACGGCGCAAACTCCTCCTGCAGACGCTCATCATCAAAGTCCTCCGGAAGGTTCTTGATGTAGAGGTTCACACCCTGGTACTTCGACAGCTTCTCGTTCTTCGCCGCCTCGTACGCCTTACGCAGCTCCTCCTCACGCTCAGCCTTCTTCTGGGCACGGCCCAGGAACAGCTTCTGGCCATGGAACTCCGTGTCGTTGAGCTCCTCCACGGCCTTGGCAGCCTGCTCGTGCTCGGCAAAGTTCACGAAACCGAAACCACGGCTCTTACCATCCGAGTCGGTGGCCAGAGCCGCGGACGTGATCGTGCCGTACTTCGTGAAGAGCTTCTCAAACTCCTCCTGCGTCACAGCCGGGTCAAGGTTCTTCACGTACACGTTGGTGAACTGCGCACGCGCCTCCTCAATCTTCGCCTGACGGTCCTTCTTCGAAATGTGGTGACCCACATACACCTTCTTGTCGTTCAGAAGCATACCGTTGACGTGCTTAATAGCCGCCTCCGCAGCGTCCTTCGACTCGTAGTGCACGAAACCGTAGCCAAGGCTACCGTGCTCGTTCGTAGCGACCTTGCACGAAAGAATCTTACCGAACGCCGAGAAGGTGTCGTGCAGCGCCTTGTTGTCAATGGCCTCATCCAGGTTCTTGATGAAGATGTTGCCCTGACCCGCACGGCGCTGACCAGGGTCACGCTGCGACCACATAATACGGCATGGGCGGCCGCGGATCGGCGTGTAGTTCAGCTGCTCCAACGCACGCTCACTGTCCTCGGCGTTGAGGAAGTTGACGTACGCGTAGCCAAGCGAACGACGTGTAACAGCATCACGGCACACACGGATGCTGCTCACGGTACCCACCATGTTGAAAATCTCGAACAGAATCGCCTCGTTCACGTTCGGGTCCAGCTCACCCACGTACAGCGAGGTGTTGGCCTGCGCCTGCGACGAAGACTTGGACTTCTCCTTCTCTTCCGTCTTCTCCTCGGCCTTCTCAGCAGCAGGCTTCGACTCCGCCGGAGCAGCAGCCGGGGCCGAGGTCTCGACCTTCTCGGCCGCAGTGTTTGTAGTGGCAGCAGCAACTTCAGACGACATGGTTAGGTTGGTTAGTGAAATACGATAGTTTTTTTCTAGGTTTTTCTTGCTGGAATCTAGCTCGACGTATCCGCTGGTGTGGGTACGACAACCGCTAGGGTGGGTTCAGTAGACGCTTTTGGGTGAGAAGCGAAGCCGTTTGCCGTTTCTGCGTTCTTTTTCTCTTTTTCCTTTTTTTTTTCTCAGGCTGGGCACGTACTTCCCGCCACCTATTCCTCATACTCGCGCGGCGCTGGCTCGGCCCTCGTATTCGCAATGTATAAATCCACAACTTTCTTTTCTTACGGCACGTGATACCTGCCAGTCCTGCACTCCGCCCTGCCACGCTACGCCTCCGCGCACCCGTGGCTGTCCATACGTCCGCACTGAGATCCGGTAAAGTTCGGCGCGCACCTCTTTTTTTACATAGACGGTAGCAGGACAACAACATCACTTGCTATGGTATCGTATTCACTCTGCCTTGCCTATCTATCATCAAGGCCCCAAGTCGATGCACACGCGTAGTCAGACTTACGACGTCTCTTGCACTACACCGACCTGCGCGGCACGCAAAAGGCGGCCTTTGATGGTGTAGCCTACCTTGCTGCAGTCCAGCACCGAACCAGGCTCCTTGCCCGGCACAGGGGCTTGGTACAGCGCATCGTGCATAGTAGGGTTAAACTTCTCACCCACAGGGTCGAACGCCTCAATACCGTGCGTGCGCAGCATATCCAGCATACTCTTGCGTGTAAGACTCACACCATCAAAGAGCTCGGCCAGGACACGCTCCGAGTCCGCAGCGCCATCCTTGCTCTTATGAAAAGCCTCAGGCACAGACTTTATGGCAAGGTCCAGCACATCAATCGAGTTCGTGAGATCCTTCGCCAAGCGAGTGATCGCATGGTCACCCGCTGTCTTCTTCTCCTCCGCAGAACGGCGCTGCAGGTTCTGCAGCTCCGCCTTGGTGTATAGAATGTCGTCCTGGTCATGCATTAGCACATGCACAAGTTATACATACAGAAAGAGCCTTAATACGGGCATCCTTTTCCTTAATCTGCTCCTCCAGCGACTTGCCCTCTTCGCCCTTCTGGTCGGCAGACGCGTCCTTAGCCTCGTCCGACTTCGGCGTGGTCTCTGAGCTCTTGTCCTCCGCCTTGTCCGAGTACCAGCGCGACGCCGTCAAAGCACGAGCCGGCACATACGCCGTCTTCATAGGGCGCGAGAGCACGCCAAACATGGCATTCTTTGTGGCAGCTGCAAGCATTCTTCTTGTTCGTTCCTATGGAACGTCGTGGGGTGGAGTCGATCGACTCTTGCCACTGTTCGATGGCTGGGTGAGTTTCCACATCTGACTAAGCATGACTGTCGCTGCGGCACGGCAGCTCTAGATTCACGCGTTTAAGAACCTAGAAGGTGCCAATCATTGTGATAGGATCGAGAGCGGGCGAAAAAACCGATTGTCCCGCCAACCCTGTTTGATAGTCCAACAACACATTTTCCCCTAACCACAACTATCACCAACATGGCTTCCCAGGCGCAGGTTATTCAGCAGAAGTTCGACAAGTTCATGACGCAGGTATGTATTTCATCACCATATCGTTGGGACAGTGGACTGATACGTGCTTCATCGCTGAACGGCACGCTTATGTGCTTGTTTATGCTATGATTTGCCACCCCTTTAGCTTGACCAGGAGGTATGTGCATGATGTTTTGCGTTTGTCTAACCAAACAGCTGTCGAAGTACCCGGCCCTCAACCGCCTCGACAAGCAGCTTCCTTTCCCGAAGTCGTACGTCGTGGTCGGCGTCCTCGCTATCTTCACTTTCGTACGTACAAATTACTATCCACAGGGCTAACCTTGTCAGCTGATCTTCTTTAACATGTATGTCTTTTTTTTAATGATACGTGTATACTAACACAGCGTAGTGCCGCTGGCTTCCTGACCAACTTCATTGGTTTCTTTGTCCCGATGTACTTCTCGCTGGTTGCTCTGGAGACTCCTCAGCCCCAGGACGACATCCAGTGGCTTACCTACTGGGTTGTCTTTGGCTTCTTCAACTTCATTGAGACCTTTGTGAGCTTCGTGCTCTACTGGTTCCCCTTCTACTACACTTTCAAGACTCTGGCCATTGTCTGGCTCATTCTTCCGCAGACCCAGGGTGCCAAGCTCGTGTACCACAAGCTGCTCCGCCCGGCCTTCCACGGTGTTACCGGCACGTCGCGCAGCACCTCGGTGACGGATGCTACCAAGCCCGGCTTCTCGGCCTCGTCGTCGGGTCTTCACACCCAGTAATTTTTCCTCTGCGTATCGCTACAAAACCACCTCGATTCTACTTGTAGGAGACCAGGTCTTTTGTAGTTGTTTGAATCGGTTCCTATTTATGTGGCCTATATACACGATGCTTGTCCTGAAGCGGTATAGATGACTATATAGCCACGGCACCGTGCAGAGCTCGCCAAAATCGGCTGGTCTGTTCGTAGCTTTGGATGAATATGCCAGCCTCTTTTTTTTTGCATTTTCCAATGGATGGACGGCCCGACCGTCGCGTGGTAGAGAGGATTTGGTGTTTGGCCTCCCCTCCGGCTGTGGTCTAAGCTGACTCAGCTGAATTTTTTTTTGTCTGCGTTGCTCTTCGACAGCCTCTCATACATACGATGGGCAAGCAAGTCGCTAAGGCCTCTACATCAGGCGAAAAGCGCAAGGCCAAGCATACCAGCAAGGCCGTTCCTAAAGAGGCAGAAGACGAGGACATGCCATCGTCCTCGCTTCCTGCACGTAAGCCGTTAGGCCAGGAGAACTCCGATGACGAGTTAGAAGATGATGAAATCATGTCGTCTCTGCAGGCAGAAGCGTCTGGCGCAGACCAGGACGACGATGCATTGGTGATCGATCAAGATATGGCTGAGGACGATACCAATGCACCTACGCAGGGCATGCAACTTGACCAGGATGACAGCCTGCAATTCAAGCCGATCAGTGCCTCGGCGTTGGCGGCGGCGCAGAGTGGGGTTGACAACAAAGCCAAGTCACAGCTGCGCAAGATTCCTGTACCGCCTCACCGTATGAGTCCATTGAAGCGTGACTGGCCCAAGATCTATACGCCACTGGTTGAACAAGCGGGTTTGATGGTGCGCATGAATCCTCGTACTCGCTGTGTGGAAATCAAATCGTCAAAGCACACGGAAGACCTTGGTGTGCTGCAGAAAGCGAGCGATTTCGTGAAGGCGTACACACTTGGATTTGATGCGGACGATGCGCTTGCTCTGCTACGTCTTGATGACTTGTACGTCGACTCGTTTGAGATGAAGGATGTGAAGACACTCCATGGCGATCATCTGAGCCGTGCTATCGGTCGTATTGCAGGCAAAGACGGTCGTACCCGCTTTGCGATTGAGAATGCTAGCCGCACACGTATTGTGCTGGCGGATACCAAAATTCATATCCTAGGTGCCTATCAAAACATCCGCATTGCCAAGGACTCGATTGTGGCTTTGATTATGGGCAGTCCGCCTGGCAAAGTCTATGCTAAGCTGCGCACGATTAGCGCGCGTATGCGGCAGCGTGCATAGGTCATGACTTTATTGTAGAATACGAACAGACGCCGTTTGCAACGAGGGGACAAGGGCTTGGAGGAGCCGCTCTATGTACGGCGCTCCTTGCTGCCCTAGCCATGCAAGGAAATGCCGACGAACGTCGGTGTATTGCCAGTCCATAGGCAAGCCTGCCTGCATATGTCAGTTAGATCCAAGTACATACCCCTCGAGCCCCACGCAGTGCAGAAGGCGTGATTGGCGCTCGGATATTGTACCCTGGCAGCAATGCTTCATGACAGTACTGCTCGAAGAGGGGGGCCAGCCAAGGCCCGTGCGATAACGACGCCACAAGCACAAACGGAACAATGCGGAAGGCATCGCAGGTCTGCTTCCAGACAGCTACTGCACTCCGATCGCACGCAACCATGCCATCTATCACCACACCACGCTGCAAGCATTGAGCAAAGGCCCGTCCACTCCATAGCATGTCTACCAGGGCCGTTGCCATATCATCCACCAGGCGAGCGTCCAACACATGGTGCTCTTTTGTGACACTCGCACGCAACATACACACATGCTCACAAAGTCGATCGAGCGTGGCCACAGAGCCAGCCATAGCCGGAGGCGCTGCGAGCGAAAAGAAGGGGAAAGGGAACGTTTTGCCCGTCACATCAGGTATTTGAGCTTGGGCCATAGCGCGATGGACATCCAGGATGCCCATGTAGACAGGCAGTGTGGGATCACCGCCTAGCATGAGCGACGCCTGAAGCTCCCATGCACACAACACAAGCTCCTGGAGTTCCGGGGCATGGTACGCTGCCCAATGGGGTATCATACGTGCAATGGCATAGAACACTTGCGAAGAAAACAAATCTGAGACATCATCCAACGCTGCTAGGTAGCATAGCGGCTGCAGAAACCGCGGGAAAAAATCTGTCCATACCAAGGGCGGCATCCATGCATACAAGCGTACAAGTGCACGCATAGTCGGGCGCCATGTATGTTCCCACTGTGCAACGGGCAGAGTGGATGTCATACAGCGCACAGCATCCTGGCCCATACTATGAATCACATGGGCGATGAACGGCAGAAGTGGTAGGGGAACGGTCTGCAAGCTTGCACAGTAGGGGTATAATTGCTCCAGCCATCCAAAAGCGGCAGCATCAAAGGGCGGAATGGTATTTGTGTCCCAATGGATATGCGGGTCGTGGCGCTGTGCATACATGGCATTGGCAGCAAGCAAGCGGCCCAACGAGGTAGCAAGCCGAGCACCTACTTCCTCCTCGAGAGAAGGTTCTTTCCCGCCAACACCTACCAGCAGAGCCAGCTGGATTCTGTGCGGCACATGCGAACGCAATCGTTTCGGTTCGCCAACAAGGCCAGGGACCATATCTGGCAGCAGCAAGTAAGGTAGAGCCTGGGCCCAGAGAGCCAAAGGGACTTGGACCTTGACATGGTGCGGTTTGCGCTGCACTTGGTCCACAGGCAATAACAAGGCTGGCTCATACGTCGCAAAAGCGTCGAGCATGCTGTAGAGCCATGGGTCCTTGTCTTGCTGATATGTACGCAGTCTTATGTCAGTTTTATTGCATACGTACAGGACACGAATACGGTGCGCTGTAACATGACGATGTTCTGTGAGGTGCACCAAAAGCGGGACAAAGGAAGATCTGTGCGTCAGTCGTGCATCTTTGACGTACCTTACACCAGGCGTATCTATACAGGCAAAGAACAGTGCATAAGCCCTACGCAGGATCGTGACGCCTTGAGCATCAATACGATTCGACGTATAGCATCGGTGCAAAAGGATACCTAGCAAGCACTGCCCTTGTTAGCTCCTCAACGCTGTCACGTACTCGTGCGGTGTCAGGCGTGCGTCGCGTTGTAGCATGGCCGACGAGTGTAAGAACCAGAGCCTCAGGCAAGGTCTCCTCACTTGCCTCAAATCTATGTACGGCAAGCTCGAATGAAGGCGCACTTACATGCGCCAGCGCCTTGCGCAGCCCGGCCGTCACCTCCGTATCCGCCGTCACGTTGAGAATGAACGCGTCGTAGTGGAGAGGCGCGCACGAGTGTTGCGCAAGCCCTCACCGCGTGGACAGGTCGTTGATCATGTGACCTGGTGATCGGGGTCGACGACGCGGCGATGCCTACACGTCTGAGTGACCGACCATGCCGACGACGTCTGAGGAGATGAACTCGATGGCCACGGCCACATCTGTGGTTGTGCACCCATTGGTACTCCTCTCTGTGACGGACCATGCATCTCGTGTATCTATTAGCGCTCGGAAACGCGTAGTAGGTGTGCTGCTTGGCCAAGACAATGGCAAGTCTGTGAATGTGGCCAACAGCTTTGCTGTGCCATTTGAGGAGGACGAGCACGATGCCAAGACACTTTTCCTTGACCATGACTATATTGAAAACATGATGGAGATGTTCAAGAAAGTGAACGGTACGTACATGGATTGCTGACGTGGCGTAGCTCGCGAAAAGATGGTAGGTTGGTACCACACAGGTCCCAAGCTGCGTTCCTCTGATCTGGAAATCAACGAGTTGATGAAGCGCTTTACGCCCAACCCTGTTATGGTGATTATTGACCCACGCCGCGACGATGTTGGTATCCCCACAGATGCTTACCTGGCCGTCGAGGAGATCAAGGATGACGGCACAGCGACTCAAAAGACGTTCATGCACATTCTCACGATGATTGAGGCGGAAGAAGCAGAGGAAGTGGGTGTAGAGCACCTGCTCCGCGATATCCACGACACAACGACCTTGGGCTCTCTTTCGGACCGCGTATCGCAGCAGCTTGCATCACTCAAAGGTCTTCATCGACGCCTGGTGGATATCCGTGACTACCTGGCCGCTGTTCTTCGTGGCGAATTACCCGTGAACCATGAGATTGTGTACGAGCTGCAGAATGTGTTCAATTACCTCCCTGACTTGGAAAAGCCCGAAACGGTGCGCAGCTTCCGTGTAGCAAACAACGATCGTTTGCTCATTGTATACCTCAGCAGCTTGATCCGGTCGGTGATTGCGCTGCATGCGCTTGTGAACAACCGCCTTGAAATGGCGCGTGGCGAACACAGTGGTACGGACGCCCAGGAGACCAAGAAAGATACACCGGACGAAAACAAGAAGGAGGCAGATTCTTCGAAGTCTACGACATCAAAGCCATAGTTTATGTACCACTTACTATGCCAAGAGACCGAGCGTTACATGGCCACGACGGCTCCCTTTAGCCCCCTCTTTGACGCGTCCCTGGGAGGCCATCTGCTGACTCAGCGACCAATTTTTTTTTTGGGCGACTGGTCTGCAGTGTCGTAGCCCCTCTTTCGTGCGACGATGCCGTTCTCACATAGGCCGACGTTGAAGCAGAAGAACAAGCGATTCAAGTCAGGTCATGCTACGAAAGGCGCGCTGAAGCGCGCTGCGAAAGGTATGTCAATGATAATGCTCACCAGCAGGCAAACATGAGTCTGCAGAGCCCTCTGCTGTGAACCGTGCACACAAAGCGAATGCTTTGCGCATGTCTGGCAGTGCTGAAGGCTCGCGGACCAACCGACGAAACGAAGCACGCCAGATTTCGCAGCAGAAGCGCGCTGCGCTCGTGGAGAGCACACGCGTGTTTGGCGGCACAGGTCTGCGTGGTGAACAGCGCGCCGGAGGCTCAGGACGTCATGCAAAGGCAGGCGCCCCACGCATCTGCGCAGTAATCGCATTAACACCAGATGTCAATGAATGGGATGTGGTGCGCGCGTTGGAATGTGATGGAGATGCGCTGGGTGTGCACCCTGTGCCTGGCAAGAGTGCTGACGAAGCACAGGCGCAGTCGCATGCCCTCTGTGAGCTGGACGCATCGCGATTCCGCCAGACATTGCAGTTCTTGCCTCTGCCCTATGGAGCTCTTCTTCCAGCGATGGATGCATGTCGTTGTGCTGATTTTGTGGTACTTGTCCTGTCTGCCGCTACGTCCATTGAGCCAGGTTCATGGGGCGAGTTGTGCCTTCGTTCTTTGCAGGCTCATGGTATGCCCCAAACCCTAGCGGTTGTCCCTACACTGGCGTCCGCAAATGACGCGCCGTTTGCGAAGGCAAAGAAGAACACGCAGTCGAAGGATGCACAGGGTGCACGCAAGAGTCTGCTGAGTTTCGTGCAGTACTTTGTACCCGAGCTCACAAAAATCCATGCTATGGACGATGCGGCGAGTCGGAGTGTATTCCTTCGTACGCTCGTTACGACCGCACCGAAGCGCGTGGCATGGCGTGATTTCCGTTCGTGGTGTGTCGTGGAGGACGCATCGTACGTCCCGCAGCAGGATGAAAAAGGCCTGCTCAAAGTACAGGGCTGGATTCGCGGTGCGCCTCTGAGTGCCAATCGCCTTGTTCATATTCCAGACTTTGGCGACTTTGCTGTGGACCATATTTCCTATGCCCCTACCGGCACCCCTCTCGATGCCGTCCTGCCGGAGGAGGCGATGAATGAAGCTTCAGCACCGGCCACAACGACGCTTGTGCCAGGGACCGTCCTCGACCAGCGGGACGAGGATGAAGCGGATGAGCTTATTAGCGAGAATGAGCCGGATCTTTTGGCTAATGAACAGACGTGGCCTACCGAAGAAGAAATGGCGCACGCGACGGAAGTCGAGCCGATGGAAGATGCCCTACCTCCAGCCTTGCCTGGCACTACGCCACGTGAGATTCTCAAGCGCCAGACAGAATTAGAGGGACAAAAACGATACCAAGCTGCGTGGATTGTCGAGAGCGACGACGAAGGTGATGACGATGAGGGCGATGCCTCTGATGTAGCTATGGACGACGACGATGACGAAGCGTCCGACCCAGAGGCCATGCAAGCCGAAGCATCGATTGACCTTCAGCCTGACGGCAATGAAGAGGACAACGACGACGACGATATCGAGGAGGAAGACTACAATGAGGAAGAAGAGCTGCAAGCTATCGCTGCTTACCGTGAACAGCTGCAGAAAGAACGGGAGGCCGAAAAAGAAGAAGCGCAAGATGCCGAGTTTCCTGATGAAATTGACACACCTATGGATGTGCCAGCACGTCAGCGCTTTGCACGATACCGTGGTCTGGAGAGCATGTACACCACGTACTGGGATCCGTACGAAGACCTGCCTCAAGATTATGCACGCCTTTTCCAATTTGACGACTTCTCCAAGACACGCAAGCGCGTAGAAAGCAACTCCCTCATGGAAGGCATTGCGCCTGGTATTCGCGTGTGCGTGTGGATTCGTGATGTGCCCGCTGCTGCTGCAGAGCGTGCCCTCCAAGCGACGGGGCATGGTCAAGCAGGCAAGAAGCATGAGGTTGTACCGTTTGTGTTCTTCGGCCTGCTTCGTCATGAGCATAAGAAGAGTGTGATCAACTTTACTGTGACACGAAACACAGAATATACGGCTCCTGTACGGTCCAAAGATCCCTTGGTGGTCTGCCTAGGTTTCCGCCGGTATATGGCACGGCCTGTGTACTCGCAGCACCTGCGGCGCGTAGGTCGCGGCGGGAACAACGTATACAAGTATGAGCGTTTCCTGCCTCATGGTGTTGGTGCAGCTGTAGGCAGCGTGTATGCCCCTGTCACATTTGGTGGCGCCAATGTCCCTGTGGTGCTCCTACGCATGCGCTCCGAAAGCAAAGAATTTGGCTATGATGACCAAGGCGTGAGTGCGGAGCAGACGCCGCACTTGGTCGGTGCTGGTTCCGTGTTGGATGTGGCGCCTACACGTATCATCGCGAAGCGTATTGTGTTGTCAGGTCATCCCTACAAGCTGCATAAGAAGACGGCTACAATTCGTTTCATGTTCTTCAATGCAGATGATGTGCGTTACTTTGCGCCTATTACCCTGCGAACCAAGTATGGTCGAACGGGGCACATCAAAGAAAGTTTGGGTACGCATGGTTATTTCAAAGGTATGTCTCGTATAAACGAACGAAAACTTACATACTAGCGCACTTTGATGGCCCTATGTCACAAATGGGTATGTTATGAGTGGCGAAAGTGATAGACTAACATGAACAGATACCGTGCTACTGAATTTGTACAAGGTATGTACTTTCTCTATCCTAACGTTAGCGTGTGTACCCACGATGGTCGAGCTTGTTTGTAGACTCGAGAGCCAATATGCCTCTCATACAGTAGAGGTAGGATCCTATGTATTCTCACAGGTTACGAACTCATGGGTCTTCCGAACGTAGGGCCGGGAATGCGTGGCTCCATGGATTAACAGTTCAACAGCTGTGTTGCCTTTTCACATGCGCCAGGGGTCGCAGCAAAACCTGTCTAAGAGGGGTTGCAACTCAGCACGGACAAATTTCTGTCCCTCCGTAGATGCGCCTATCGACACGCGCAGGGCTAAAAACCTGCCCCCCCCCCTCGGCCGGGGCAGCCAATCAAATTTATCAAGGAAGCCTATTAGGCCGTGTCACTAACTGTGGGCGCCTGACGTTTCTCTTTGCTCAGGTTCTCGCTGGCTTTGCCCCGCTCTCATCACACCCAGTCTCTAGGTTTCAACAACTTGGACCAGGATGTCGACGCCATTGTCTTCTACAATGGGAAGCGGCAACGTGACAAACAAGCCTACTATTATAGCTGATCCAGGTGATATCAATGCTGAACCCTTGTCCATGGGGACAAATCGCCACCGACGAACGAGCAGTATTATCATGCTCAAGCATATGCGCGAAACACCAGAGCAGCTCGTTGATCAAGCTGTCGGCCCAAATGTGAACGCGGAATGGGTGAATATGAAAGGTACGTTTACAGCATAGAAGAGTTCCAGCTTACACTCTTAGGTGCATGGGTTATCCATGTCGTTCTCATCGTGCTGGGCAAATTTATTATCAATGCCGTTCCAGGCATTTCTGACTCGATGCGCTGGACAATTGTAAATTTGGGATACATGGTTGTTTCCTATATTATTTTCCATTACGTCAAGGGTGCACCTCTGGATTTGAACAGTGGCGCATACGACGAGCTGACTCTTTGGGAGCAGATCGATCAAGGATACCAATACACCCCGGCGAAAAAGTATCTCACAAGTTTGCCCATTGCTTTGTACGTATTTCATTGAATGCAAGACGACTGACATTCTACAGATTCCTGCTTTCGACTCACTATTCCCATTATAACCCATGGTTGTTCACACTGAATTTGATGGCTCTGCTCGTCGTCTTATTCCCCAAACTTCCAATCTTCTACCGCTCGCGTCTTTTCATCTTCCCAAAGCAGCCTGGTACAGGTGCCAATACACCCACGCGTCAGCTTTCCGTTGGCCTTGAGGGTCCATGGACCCAATCCTAAGCTGTATCCGGACACTTCAACATTAATTTTATGGCAACAACTCTAATGATGGAAATCTGGTACTTATTTCAATGATATGGTCCAAATGCAAAGCGATTCTCTGTGACTGACTTCACTATCTATGTCCTACATACTGATCGGCTTGCCAAGACCCTTGGCCTTGTTCCTCTTCTCTAGGGGGCCATGTGCTCTTACTTCTTTCTCCATGCGAAAGATGTACTCAGTTTCCCTGTTCTATCTGACAATGGACAATAGATACAGATATTGATATTTATAGCTGCTGTAGCACCTGTGAAATCACTCCATGGAATCGCAATGACATCCAACGAGGTCAGGATAGTCCGTTACGTGGCGATCGTGTCTTGGCATGTTGTTTAGTCAGCCAGAATCATTGTCTGTCACAAGTGGTGTGAGAGTCGTTAAATACAAAAATCACCGAAAGCTGCAGGATCGCGCGGTCGTTTTTTGTTTGCACACGCGGAATTGTAGAGCCATATCCGCTGTGTCTGATCGACATGCTTTTTCGGAAGCATAGTCTTCCTCCTCCGGAGAAGATTCCTTGTCCACCATCTATACTAATGAATCCCATCAAGCGAAAGTCACGGTTTAGCACCAATCGCGGAGGCTATTTGATAAGGCGCTACACGAAGCATCACGGCTCATACCCACATACTCTGCTTGTGATGCCCAACCTGGAACTACACGAGTCATATTGGCCGCATGTACATCACAAAAAGGGACACTCTGGTCTCGTTCGGCAAGCATCTGGACGCATCAAACACACAGCCGGTGCACTCGTACGATCACATTCCACTTCTGAAGTGCCTTCTCACGCCACCAATAATACATCTAACAATAAAAAGAAGGAAAACACCCAAGATGGAGAGGACGAAAACTTTGAACCTATGGATCCAGAAGAGCTTGCCATGCTAAACTCCATTATCAATACCCGACGGAGCATGGCCACAGCCAAGGCACTTGCCCAGCACGAAATGGAACATTTGGAAGTCAATCGATCCAATCCCAACTCACACAGTGCTTCACGAACTCCTTCACGGGCAGTCTCACCCTCGCCGATGCGTCACCGATGCGTCAAATTTGCACCTCTGCCCTTTCCCGAGGACGAAGAGATGTCTATTCCACCTGCATCGAATGTGGACAAAGACGGAGAGTACGGCGCTCGGACCATTGGTCTCTCATCTTCGGCCCTCAATTCGTCAGAGTCTTTGCCTGAGACCGAAGATTCACGTTCTGTGAACAACAACTCTACGACCAGCTTGCTATCTCGTGTGTTGTCCTCTGAAAGGCCTCGATCAGAGACAGGCGATGATACGTCATCTATACATCATTTTCGTGGACGTAGATTGTCACGGTTTGTGCATGGTCGTCGCGATAGTGAACTATCCTTGCCGGACGATTCACCGCCTCCATCGCCAGGCAGCACATGGGAAGACCGTCTACGACGTCGTGAGCATATTCGAGCACAGCGCCCTGGAGGTACTGGTATGGTAACTCTTCTTGATGGAGAACGTATTCCTGCACGTATGGCTGGTGATCGTGCTATGGAGATGGAAATTGATGAGGATCTACAGGACCAGCTGTGGGGCTTTGCTGCGCTGGAGCGCTACCGCATGCGAGTGAAGGACGAAGAGGCAGAGCGTCAGAAAGAGGCTCGCAAGGGCAAAGGTAAGCTGTCTAAAGAGCAAGCGAAAGAGTTGCAACGTCGCTTCGAAAATGAGATGCTGGTGCTCGGTGTGGAAGCTTTGAACAAGGCTCATCAGGGTAGCGGCAAGAAAATGGCCAAGCACCACGCGTCAGGCCCCGAATCGACGACAGAGCGTCGGTCCTCGGCTATGTCTGCATCTGCCTTGGCATTGCCGTCGTCGGAAGGTACACGTGTGCATGCCGATCCTTCCATTAGCATGCCCTGGCCGTCTCCGCGATTACCACGTCGACCTGATGCTCGCGGTATTGTGGTAGTACCACTGAATCAGCTCGGAGAACGTCCAGAACGACCGTTTGAAGGACGCTCATGGCTATACCAACTGCCACTGGATTGGGATAGCGACGAAAGTGATGATGATGCCACGACGGTCAAGAGCACGAGGCATCGCGCCACGACACGGGCCGCTGGCCAGGAAGTTGTGCATTCGAGTCGTCAGCGCCGATCCAAGCGGTCAGAAAAGACATGGGACGATGAATTTTGGCCCCGGCCCAGTGCCACTCGTCGAATGTATATGTAATAGGACGAGGCATGGACTCGTTAGCTCAGATATTTTTTTGTATATATAGACAAGGGAAAAGAAACTATAGGCTATTAACCACGCCATTCGAACTGGATATCGCCGGCTTCGAGTAACGGATCGTCACCTAGGTCGTCTTTGGCCTCGTGTGCTGCGTCCCCTGGTTGTGCGTCGATACCGCGATGCAAGCTTACCGATGGTGTGCCGTACAAGAGACGGCGGCGGCGTTCCAAGCGGCGACGAGCTTCAGGCGATAGTGCCGACTCATCCATGTCCTCGTCCTCCAGATTGCCTTGCTTGTCATTCTCCTCCAGCGACAAAGGCTCATCGCTGTATAAAATCTGACGGCCCATAGTGGGACTGGATGGTGACTGGCTCAAAAGACTGTTGGGCGACATAGAACCATCGGATGCATCAAACGAGTGAGCCAAGAGCGAGGGCGACGTAGCTGACTTCTCTTCCTGGATGGGCATAGCTGCTGACGACGTGGACTTGTCGCGTCGGCGAAGTCCTAACAGGCGGCGGAAGCGACTGGGTTTTTCTGTGCCTGGCGATGGGGCTGCGGGTACGTCTAACGAGGCTTGAGGTGTGGCCTTGGGGCTGCGTAGACCCCGGAGCGACGGTGACGTCGGCTGGACCACAGAGACCAACTCGCTATCCGGCGGCAGTTCCACATCAATCGGGTCGTCTCGCCAGTAGTTAAAGTCGGAGAAGGCGGCAGTTTTGGGATTGCGTTTCATGTCGCGCACAGGTGGGAACATTTGGTCGACAAGGTCCGTCATATTGGGGTACGATGTATTGTAGCCTGCAAGCTCCAGGAGCTCCATCTTTACCTCACCATTCGCGTCAATGGTGAAAATGCGTGAACTCGGGATATTCACACTGCGATAGCTGAGGGCATCGGTAATACGATTGCCAAAGCCCGCGTAGAATGGCGTCGTTTGATCGCCCACTGGGTGAGAAGGATCAATGCCAAAGAGGCGCGAAATGTCACGCAGACATGCCATTTTAAAGACTTCCGGCTTGCGCAAGATGACTTCACGATGCAGCGAGGCAATTAACCGATCCGGACTCATGATCACAGGGCCATCAGGAAGCTGGTAGTTGTTTTGGTTGATGTTCTTCAAGTAGTCCCGCGTGATATCCGCTTGCCCAATCGCTCGCGATGTTAAATACATGATACGGTACCCATTTTGCGCAATGTCATGGTACAGTTTGGCTACGCCTAGATGCGTCCAGTCTCGTCCCATCAGTGTAAACACATGGCCTAGAGCATCCGATTTTGTAATGGTACCATCAATGTCCGATACCACTACGGGCTTTTCGCTGTCCCACAAAAAGATTCTGGCTTGGCATGTAGCAACGCCCGAGTATGATGACGTCACAGAGAACGTAATGGTATTCATGCCTTTGAGGAGGTTCAATTGCTTCAGCTGGTCCGATGACAGTCGCAATGTCTTGACGTACGTCTCAGCAGGCGCACTCTTGGGCGTGGGCGGCTCGCTCTCCGAGGAGGCCGCATGGCTGGAAGTGCTGGTAGGGCTCGGCAAAACTAAGCTGGTAGTCGGATCCATCGAATGCCGTGCTGTGGGCGCCGGCGGCTTCGTACCCCACCACCGACGCCACAAACTAGCTTTCAACCCATTGGTCGCCATAGTATTGCTGGATCGCAACAATGCGTTGCGGTATAACGTGAGAGTAGAGAACATATCTGTGTCTTTCTCAGGCCAGTGGTACTTGTCGTTGCGACGCAAACACAGACGTGGGTCCTGAATGATCGTATCATCTTCCATAAACCGCTGGAACGAAACGCGGCCCTCGTCAAAAAGGGTCTCCATCTCAGAATCGTCGCCCTCATTCGAGGACAATGGCGAAGGAGAGCACAGGCTCAGCTCAAAGGTATACACAGTGTCGGCATCCAGCTTGAGTTGGAACAAATATGGGTCGGCATCGGCGCACGACAATGTGCCCACGGCGTCCTCGTCTTCATCTTGTTGCTGCTCAACAGTATCGCCTTCTTCCACAAATGCGGACTGTGTAGACGGCCTACCCTCGTCTTCCTTGTAGTGCTGCATACGCAATAACTCAGTATCGCTTAGCGATACTGGAAGGTGAGGTCGAGTTTCTTCACTCGGTTCATCGGTCTGGATCGTCACAATGGACGCATCACTCGAGCGACGTGGCCGTTGCGGCGTATCTACCTTAGACGGCGTGATATGATCGAGCCACTGATGCTGCCAACGAAGCTGCATACCACTGAGACGCTCTGAGAGTGGCAAAACAATGTTGCCACCGTGGCGGCGGTTCAGTGGCATCTCTGAAGCAAAGCGCTGACCCTGCTCCAACGCTTCTTCCTTACGCAGCTCTGTCATCTTGTAACCATCCATATCCAAATCCAACTCAGACGCATCAGTCGTTGGCGGCACATCAATAGCAGCAGCTTGAAGCGACGAATCCGCCTCCGTCGTGGTGTCGGGAGCATCAATGGTCGTGTCAGAAGCCGTATCAGAGCCGCCAATAGGTGTTCTAAACATCTGCAAGGATGCCTGCGACGCACCCAGGTCTAAAGGCTCGGGCTCGTGGGGCTTGTCATCCGAGGGCTCTTCTGTCGTTGGCGAGACCATAGGACTTGTCACCAGAGAATCAGGTACAGAGTCGCATGCCTGATCGATTTTCATCACAAAAAAGGCCTCGCCATTCTCACCCACCTTCATCGCGAAGGGAAGGGGATCAGGTGAGTCGTTTAAGTGCAATGTCACCTGCTCGTGTCAGTCTCATTCCTTCACGGTCCTTACATACCTTGCGCTCGGCCGGACGAAGTACACTCATCTTTCCAAACCTCACATGAAAGGGCGATGATGCCAATTCTGTTGTTCGGCGCCGCGTTTTGGTAGTCGTACCATCCTCCAACGTGGTCGTCTCCTCGACTTCCACTTCGCGCTCCACCACAATCACATCAATCGCACCTGTCAGAGTCGATGGATTGATATTGGGCGTAATGGTGTTATACACGGAAGACACGAGCTTTCCAACATATTGCATCGTATCTATGCCTGCTGCGCTCCGTCAGGTACCGCGCTGAGGACACAAGACAAAGAGGACGTTGAACTGGGGGCAGCACGGAGCACGGCCCAGCACCTCCACCTGCCCTTCAGATGTCCACGTGCAGAACGTGCCAGGGACCAACTGCAACGTGTCGAGACAGCGAATGCCTTGTGAAAGCTGGTGGGGATGGGTATCCAAATAGTAGCTATGTATATAGTACAGAAAGAGGTATACATACGGCTCATAACGCGTTATTGGAGCGAGTTGGGCGAATAGGCCGCCGGCGCTTGCGTGGACGGTCAGGTCCTCGTTGAGTTTGCGACGGTGGCGGCGCAGGCGACTCGGACGCGCACTGTGGCTCATTATTGTTGCGACGATTTGTCGGCTTTCGCATATGTTTCCGCTCCATCGTAGGCGAAGATGTACGAGGGGACGCTCCGCCATGATTCGTAGTGTTCTGCTCTGAATGGTGGCGCTGGTCCCCTGCACGGCGCTGATGCAACGAGAGCGTCGTAGGAGTCTCTGTCGTAGACATATGACGCGCATCTGATGTATCCTCCTGTTCCTGTGCATCACCTTGCAACGCCTCCAGGCGTCGTACCAAGTAGTCACGGAGTCGATCTAACTCTACCTGAGCTTGCTCAGGCTCTACCATGGAGGCAGACGGTGGGAGGCAGTCAATGACATCACGGATGGCCTTGGTGTATCCTTCAAGAAAAGCCCCCTGGATATTCTTCCGTCCTTGCTTGTATAAGTTAGTCAGTTGAAGCGCAGCCCCTGGAAGGCGTTAGCTACTGTGCCACTCCACAACAAACACGTACCTCGAAACTCGGCTGTAAGCATTTCGTCGTAAATACGACTTGGCACATTTTGGTTTTGGTTGCTGGAAGATTCTAGGCTTTCCCGAAGATTAGATAGATCCATCTGGTAGGAAGACAAGCCGCCTAGGTTGGAGGTTGGACAACTACCGCAAAAAAAATGGAACCGACGGCCATTACGCTGCCCCCACAAGTGTCGTAACCAAATTTCCTTCATCACGTGAAGAGGCATGCATAGGAAAATAAAAAGAGAACTGCAGCATCCAGGAT